TTGGAGTTGGGCAGCTGACATGATAGACAAAATTGGGTGAGGTGATGAGTTGATGAGCCATGACACCTAGGTGGGATACAACACCATACATTCACTACGACGCATGACTACATATCGCCACTGCATACCGCCGACCAGGTCACTTACACACAGACTGGCTATCGGACGACATCTGACATTCAGGGAAAGAGAAAAAATGAAAGTATGCATGGCAATTTTAATGGCCAAAGATCAAAAAAGGATATAGGATACACGGCCAGGAGTTCTTTTCGACATTTGTTTCCATTTGTTTGTTTGATCATCGCTATCACATTTGGGAGGCGGTTGGGTTTCAGTTCAATTGGCTTTTTTATCTGTCAATACTGCTCGTACAAACTCTTCTTGGATGAAAGACATGGGTCAAAATTTGAAACCTGTTTTTTTATTCTCTGGGTGTTAACTACAGTATGATCTCATTTTGAGTTCGTAGTTTTCTTCTGTTGAATAAGAGTTTGATCTTGCATCTCATCCAAAGGGGGTCTTGCTGGGCATGGTGTTTTGGGAAAGGTATCGGATCTACAAAAACAATTGCAAATGGGGAGGCTTGATACTTTCGTTAGATATAGCTGAGAGAAAGGGCAAGGACATCATGAAATAACAGTTTTATGATTGCCGAGGATGCATAATTGAACATGGCTGGTTCGCCGCCTTGATTGGCACTGTAATTTGAAGCGTCTCATCATGAGTGATGTCAATATTTCCAAGATGTCGTCTCTTCTCGGCTTGAAGAGGGGCAGATGTAATGTGTGCCCTTGTCTTGACCGGATTGTCGATAATCAACTTAAAAAGCCAGCAGAAACGGAGAGAAAAGGGATGTTTCTATACGATAATACAAAGTCACAGCATCTACTCATACATCATCAACAGAGTCGGTCAGATACAACTGTGTCTACTTCAAATCTCGAAAGATGGGCAGAACAAGTATGCATGTAATGCCGACAACACTCGTCGCCAAAAGGTTCTTTTTATTCGTAACCCTCTCACTCATTCATTCCCCGTGGCTGTCTTGTCACACCTCCCCTCCTCCGTTGTAAATATAAATAGTCCCTTCTTATGGTGCGCCGAGATTAAAAGAAGAATTGGATTGCGTTATATTGGCGGATTTTTGTTCTCTTTATCTCCTTCTCCCCCGCCACCTTCGCTCCCCCCATATCTTCTTCTTTTCTGTTTTCTACCTCCGGGGTTCGGCGTTATTGGGATTGGATGGAGAGGTTAAGATAATTGTACAAGAATGGAGGGGAGAAAAGAACAGAAAAAAGAGGTTGGTGGATGGCGGCGGTAGTGGGGGTATATGGGAGATTAAGCCGTTTAGTTGGCGTCGGGCTGGTTCAGGATGTACTCAACAGCCTGGTTAACTGAGGGAGTGTGTTAGTACATATTGGCGGTTACGAAATAAAGCAGGTGTATGTACCAGAGTGGATGGAGTCGGCGTCCTTGTCGGGGATCTCAATGCTGAACTCCTCCTCGATAGCCATGACAACCTCGACGGTGTCAAGAGAGTCGAGGCCGAGGTCGTTGGCGAAGTGAGCGGAGGACTTGATCTGTTTAATTCGTTAGGCAAGTAGTCATGATGACCAGTTTTCGAGACATACGTTGGAAACATCGTTGACCTTGTATGACGTTAGCTTCTGCTCTATACTATCGGCAATTGCTGGGGAGAGGGATAGAGCTTCTTCCTCTATTTGAAGCTATATCCCGTCCCCCAATTGCTTCTGGTTTCCCAATCTCACCTTATCGAAGCCCTGCAACAAGCTCATAATTCGGCCCTCGACCTCCTCCTTGTTGAGCGCACCACCGGCACTGTAGAACCGCACGGCCTGGAAGCTCTGGATCTTGGGAACGGCAACGGAAGCGACGCGGGGAGCAGCGAAGGAGCGGATGGCGGCCGGTCGGGCGGCGACGCGGAGAGATCGGAGAACGGCGGATCGGAACATATTTGCGGTTATGTGTGAGTCGAAAGGAAGAGGTTGCGATTGAGGTATTGGCGGGCGGTGGAGTCGGTTGAGATGATGAGGTTCAAAAAGGTGATGATAAATTTCTCGTTACTACCCGGGTTGAACTGGTTCTGTTTCCGATGGAGCCAAATTGTGCTAAGCTAAGCTCGGTTTGGAGCGGTCACGTGATTATGTCTGGGGAGGTGAAGTCGCCTACGTCAGCGATATGGGGGATGTGATTGGTAGTTGAGGCCGAGGAGGTCGGATATAAGAGATGGCATTGAAGTAAGAGGATAGGGAGTATTTAGATGGGAGTGAATATGAACTTGTTTATTAGGTTCAGAGTAGAATCGAGTATTTGATGGTTTAGATGATGGTGTAGTCTAGTAAGCACAATCCAACATGTCCCCATTGGTTCTAATTCATACAACAGTCTGGGGAAGTAAAGGGATTGACTGAGTGGATGAAGATTAGTCACTCTTCACCAAACAAGAGACTCAATTGAAAAGTCAACAATAATCATGGATCAATTAAGTGCATTAAAACTCATTTTACAAATGGATATACATAAGCAGCAATGTAACCCAAACGCAACCCCATCATCTATCACAATTCCCATCACCTTACCCTAAACTAAAGCCATCGGCCAAACCAAGTCCTCCAATTCCCCCAATAAACACCAACTACCGACCGGCAATACCCTCATCCTTTCTCTATAACCCCTGCTCAATTACTCACTATGTCAGGTCAAAATAAAGATAAAGATACACATGGAGATCTACTACCTATCTCCTCACTGTATTACTCGCCCCTCCCGCCAAGCTTTCCAAACGTCCCTCGCTGCTACCCAATCATTAACCCTTGTTCAATGGTTATCTATCGCTTCACCTACCAGTTTAAGTCTACGCCGACAGGCCGAGCCCTCTTTAACTTATAGGAAACTACCATCGAGCTTGGACTTTTCCTTTCCGTCTAGTGCAAGGCACAATTATCCATGGGAACTTTGTTTCTTGACGGAGCGGGTGGCTGAGATAGGAAGGAGACGTTGATCAATCCAGACATTCGCCGGAACTGACGTGTGCCTTCTACGTTCAAGTTGTTATTGGTTTGTCGTCGTACAGACACAACATGCGATGCGCTGGAGCATGCAGTGCCAATACCTAGACAGCGACGCATAAGCTTAAATATAGACTCATCTCCCCCAGATTCTCATCTCTACCTCACTTCATCCCCCCTATCCATCCTTCTTGTCCCGTTGCTTGTCTGCCCATCATGAAGCTCGCTCTCGTTGCTTACGCGCTCTCTGCTTCGGCATGCCTCATCCCCTCCGACTCAGTCCCTCACTCGGAGCGTAACTACGGCCTGTCAGCACGACAAGCCCGTCCCGAGCCAGATTTCCCCATCGGCACAGGCGATCGCTTCAACAAGGGCAAGATCGCTCCCAAGGGTCTGTCCACTTCGGATCGTAACCTCAAGTCCATCCTGACCCCTACCGAGGTCAACTCTGCGCTTGAGGGTCTGGCTAAGCAGTTCAAGGAGGTTGAGCTCATCCACCCTCCTCACAAGACATACGAGGGCTTCAAGACCGTGGGTGCCAAGATTGGAAAGAACCCCAAGTTCTTCATCATCAGCGGTGCGCACGCTCGTGAGCGTGGTGGTCCCGACAATGTCGTCTACTGGCTTTCTGATCTCCTGCACGCCCGCAAGGCGGGCAAGGGACTCAAGTATGGAAAGACCACATACACTGCCGCCGAAGTCCGCAAGGCTCTCGACGGAGGCATTGTCATTCTGCCCAACATCAACCCCGACGGTGTCAAGCACGACCAAAAGACCAACTCATGCTGGCGCAAGAACCGCAACCCCAAGAGCTCAAAGGGCAACCCTGACGCGGTGGGCATTGACATCAACCGCAACTACGACTTCTTGTTCAACTACAAGAAGGCTTTTAGTGACGCCATCGACCTGAGCTCCGTCGCATCGGAGGACCCTACAAGCGAGGTCTTCCACGGTACCGGACCCAACTCTGAGCCCGAGACCAAGAACGTCGTCTGGACCATGGACAAGTTCAAGAGCCTCAGCTGGTTCGTTGACCTTCACTCCTTTGGCGGTTACATGTTGTACGCTTGGGGCGACGACGACGCGCAGACCACCAACAAGGCCGAGAGCTTCGCCAACAAGAAGTACGACGGCCGTCGTGGCGTTCTTGGCGACGCTGAGACGCCCAAGACAAAGTACAAGGAGTACATTACCAAGAGTGATCTCTCCGGCCAGCTCAAGCTGGGCAACCGCATGAAGAAGGTCATGGAGAACGCCGGAACTTCAAAGTACACCGTTCAAGAGGCTGTTGGTCTGTACCCTACCTCTGGAGCCAGCACTGACTACGCCCTTGCTCGATACTATGGCAAGGCCTGCGGCAAGAGCAAGCTGCAGAGCTACACCATTGAGTTTGGCGAGGAGAGTGGTTCGGCTGCATGCCCGTTCTACCCTGACCAGAAGCAGTACCACATGTGGATGAAGCAGGTTGCCTCTGGATTGACTGAGGTTGCTCTCAAGGCTGCTGACACTACCCCTGAGGTGAAGAAGTGCCCTTATTAAATAATGACGACGTACATGATGCAGCGTTTTATAGTTCAATGTATATAATTAAAAGCCGAGGCAATCCTCGACTTGCTCATTAATGAGCAACACCAAGAAATGACCTTATATCAAAACTGTGTCCATCCATAACCTGTACCCAATCGTTCATCCCATTAGTATCACACCAAAACACCAAAATTGAGTGACAAAGGGGCATTTTTTGGACGTCTAGATTATGTACATCTGCCCTCTCCGCTCGAACCATCCGAAAGCCCGCCCCCCTCTAGTCCTTTGCCGCCTTGCTACCACCAAAAAAAAGTTATGTTCCTACAGCAGCGACGTTTCAAACGACCCTAGGTAACAAAGGCGAAAACAACAAATAAAAACTATGCATTCAAATCCAACATCTCCATTTCCCTTTTTTCATGACGGCTTTCCCAGTTGACTAGTTTATCGGTATGGCGAGTCGGCGCGGATGGCGGCTGCGAGCTCGGGCTCCCACTTGTCTCCGTTGGAAAGAAGCTTCTCTGCGTGGATGTTAGTCTTCGATCTAGAATACTATAGTTTGATATATGGGCAATTGTGTACGCACCCTTGTTGTACAGAAGTTCTTCTCGGGTCTCGGTAGCGTACTCGGCGTTGGGCGACTCAACGATGGCGTCGACAGGGCAAGACTCCTGGCAGAAACCGCAGTAAATGCACTTGGTCATGTCGATATCGTACTTGGTGGTTCGGCGGGATCCATCAGCTCGCTCCTCAGCCTCGATGGTGATGGCCTGGGCGGGGCAAATCTACGGAATTCATGTCAGCGATACTGGACCGCAGCGATTGGGATACGGGTTCTCGTACAGCCTCGCAGAGCTTGCAGGCGATACATCGCTCTTCGCCAGAGGGGTATCGTCGGAGAGCGTGCTCACCACGGAATCGGGGAGAGATAGGGCCCTGGGATGGGTCAGTTATATGGTCGGGTATGAATGCGTAGTCGTAGTTTCGCATACCTTCTCGAAGGGGTAGTAAATAGTGTAACTGTATCCCCTCGTCAGCCACTTCTTCTATAGAATCTGGATGTTGTTGTGACATACGGTGGTCGGAAGTACTGCTCAAGCAGGACATACATGCCCCTCGCCATCTCGGTCATGAGGAAAAACTTTCCCATGCGGTCCAGGGTGCTATCATTATCCCACGTCCACTTCACAGGCTTACTCGTTCGGAAGTTGGCGGGGGGAGGGCCGTGAGGTGTCGCATAGCCTCGCTGCTGGACGAGGCCAACGATGCTGGTAGCTCTGGTGCTCAAAGAGCTCGAGGCGAGCTGTCGTCGCGCAAGCATAGTGGCGTGGGCCATTGTGAACTGAGGGAGTTTGGCTCGGAGAGGTCGTTCGAGGTGGACCGAGGGTCTGGCGGAGAGGAGAGGTTCAATTGAACTCCGGGGGGTCAATTGGTCGTCTAGGCTGGGGCGGGAGGCGAGGATTTGACGTGATGGATGTGTTCGGCTAGGAAAGTTGCTCAGCGGGATTACAACTCTGGGCATTTGATTGGCCAGAAGCTCACTCGTGACCTGGCACGTGATCAACGTCAATCGAACCTCAGCATCATCACTTGAGATGATGAGTATGAAAAGTCATTGTGACACATGTTTCTGTTTTATGTGGTTATTACCCATTTGTATATATCAACTATCTGATTGGTATGTGTGGTATCTCAATTCCGTATCCCATATGAGTCGTTACGTCGTCTCAGCCCTCGCGGCTTTAAGAGCTCTACCAAGGTTTAACATGCAAACTACCTGCCTCCCTAACATGGCAAATAAAAAGAAAACTCCAAAACAAAACCATTTAAAAGATCTTGCTTTTAAATCATGAGCTTTAGAAGCTCTTCTCCCACGCCTGCCACCATAGACCCATGTTCGCAGATACCAACAGATCCAACATCTTTAGCCCGTCGGGATAGATGATGAGTTTGCCCAGCTTGGCTCTCTTTCCGCGGTTTCCACCGCCGGCTTTCTCTTTGCCAAGGTTGATGTCGAACGGTGAGACCATGCCGTCATCATAGGCATCGTTTCGCTCGTCGCGGCCGAGAAGCTTGTTGAAGTGTCCCTGCAACTGGGTCTTGACTTCCTCTCGACCTTCTGCTGTTTTAAAGAGTTCTGCAGTTGGAAGATTGAACCGAAGTTCGCTCATGGCCATGCCGCCACCGCCACCTTGGACTTGACCTTGGTTGAGCTCAGCTAGGGGGTTATTTGATCTGTCATCATGTAGGATGTGATAGCACCGTAAACTGCGACCAGCAGCCCCAGTGCGAAACTCACATCTGCCATTCCAGGGACTCGTAAATATATATCCACGCGGTCTCAATCCAGGCCCTGGTTGCATTGATATCGCAGGTTCGACGGGCGACGACGCTTCCACAGAATCGACCGAGCCAACACTGCCTTGTCGCCCATGGCCACGTCCAGCGCCATCCTGCAGCATCTCACGCCAATTGGTTGTCCAACTCTTCGCATAGCCCATAGCAACCTGTCTCGACATGACAACCCCGCCATCCTTCGGCTGAGTAGTATCCATGCCAGGTCCAGCGTCGAAACTTCGTCGAGTAGGCATTCCGCGGAACTTGCCATACCCTAGCGTCTCGATATGGACGTTGATGGGGGGATTTCCGGCGTTTGGCGGTTGCGCAACGGGTGGTACAGATGTGAAGAGCGGGTTCGCATCGTCTTGGTCGGGTGGTGGTGCATCTGTCTGGAAGGATGAGATATGCCCGACGTTCCACTGGTTTCCTGTGCTTGGATCACGGCGTATAAGTGCCAGTTTGAAAGGTTGCTTTCCCTCATAGCTCTTCTTCGGGGACGGGGAACGGCTGTGGTTTTTTCGATTTGGCGGGGGTCGGTTTGACGCAAGCATTCGTTCCAAGTCTGCAGCTGCTGGGTATGGGCCAGGCACTGGTGGAAGAGGACGCTGATTCTCTGATCCAGGGGCGGAACTAGTTGATGTTCGGGGACCAACTGGCTTTCGAGTTACGGAAGGATCTCGGGAGATTGAAGGCTCGGGTGTATGAATTCTTGGAACGTTTGTACCCGGCCGAGGGGGGAGAACCGGGCTTTGCTCTTCCTGTTCGTAATCGTATCGTGAGGAGGGTTGTTGTCGAGGATCAAAGGTTGAGTTGACTGATAAACCACGTCTTCGAGTAGGGTCTTGGTCTGGGACAGGAAGATGGTCGGTGGGCGGAGGCGTCAATGGTCTTGCGCCACCAGGAACAGGCTTCCTCTTGATGTTCCGTATAGAAGAGCTCTCGTCGCTGGAAGATCGATGGCCGTCATCTCGCAGACCTGGCGCGCCCCCAGTTGGTTCTAGTGAGGGGACTTCATAGTGAACGTAGTAAAGACAATTCGCGACATCTTCGGCGGTGACGATCTTTAGTTGAGGCTTGAAAGGGGAGAGAATAACATCTGGTTCAAAGCGGTGTTAGTGCCAGGTAAGGCCCGGTGGGGGCTGTAATGGCTGATTTGGGGGCTTGTCTTACCTCGAGTACCAGGAACTCGTGAGATGTAGAGAGTCACAGGATCTTGTCTCTCTTGAGCTGGGTTGATGGGGTATTGAGGCGGATTGCCGGCAAGATTATTGAGTGCAGTTAAAGAACGAGCCTCCATATCTTGAAGTTTTGTCAAGTTGAGTTTATTTAGTTCAAGGTTGAGTTTCGGAGAGGGTGGGGGAGGAAGGAGAGGAGAAGTTGTAGTAGTTTGAGGCGGGAGGTTGGAGTAGAAGTAGTAGTGATAAACAAGCGAGAGTAGCTTTTCAGTTCCACCTTTTGTCTGTGATGATGTAAAAATAAAACAAAGTGCTGACAAGGTGAGGGGGATAGTCTATAGACTAGAACAAAAGGTGAAGAGGTAAAAGAAAAGCTGGGGGTATCAATTAGATCCGAGCCAAGATGTTAGGTGCTGGTATAAGGTACTGAAGTTGGGCTGATGAGATGTACAACTATAAGAGGGGCGACTAATAAGAGACCAAGTCGACGTGGCATTAGATAGATGAATGAATAGCTGAAAAATAAAATGAGAGAGACATCTTGGCAATCAATAAAAAGGGATCAGCCTTGCATTTTGAACTAGAGAACATTTACCAGAGAATGCTAGAGAGGAGAGGAGAAGAGAGGGCGAAAACCCAACGTCAGCTCAGACGAGTGGCTGTGCTGTGGTCCCCCCAGCCTGTTTTACTCTTGTTAACGGTTTTGGACTACTTGGCAGGGACCATTCAAGAGTTTTAGATTTGTTTTTACTATTATTGTTATGCGCCAAGATATTGTCCATGTATCGTGTTACTCACATTTTGTTGTGTTGGTGATGGTGTAACCATAGAAGCATTGCATTACTATATTGGGTCTGCTTCCCATCGATATCCATGTCAGACGAACAGACAATGGAAATAGCGGGCTGGCTGTCTGTGGAGACGCGTCCCTTTGACTGATTCTCCTCTGACGCTCGAGCACTGCCGACGTCACTTGGCGGGCCAGGGGTTGTCTTCTACCGAGGGTTCCAGGGACCAGCCACTATTCTCATACTATACTGACCCCCTATGGTTCTCTGAAACTCTACAGTGTCAGACTCGTCATCTTTGTCCCCCTTGTCTCTCGTAATCCTCGACGCAATAGAAGCAAGCCACAATCCAACTTGATATCACTTATTTATATCTATCCTCAGCCTTCCTTCAACTATCTAGTCGAACTTGGTTTTTATCACATGTTCTACAAGGGTTTTGAACTCAGAAACTGGTCTTGTGTCTACTTTGCTTTTCAGTGGCCTAAAAGGCACGGCTTCTATCGTCACCTACTGCCCGCTTACATGGACCATCCTAGATCAAATACCCAACCATCAACAACAAAAGAAACTTCAGGGCTGAGCTGGATATACGCAATGACGCACTCCTCCGACGGCATTAACTGCCAAGCGATCGTTTGAACACAATTTTTTCATTTCTTATTTCTTTGTGACGCTTTGATGATAGTGTCACTTGTTTGTTAATATGGAGCTTGGATCATTGCTTGGACTATTCGACAGACGTACGTACATCATCAAATGTGGCTTTGCTAATTAGTAGATACGCTGTCACTGCCAGAGTCAATGCATTTCATTTCAATTGGCTAACCGAGTTATTGTGATTTTCGAAAGCCCGAGCTTTCATCTCATCTCGAGTCAAGCGTGTCCTGAATAACACGCCCAGCATTGTCAAGGCAGCACTACTACCACTCCTGAACACCATCTTGACTGACAACCTTTCCCACATCCTCGTCCTTTTCTCCCTCAATGACCTTTAGAATAAGCTCACCGCCCGTCGCCGGATACCCCGCACCCTCCCAGCCCTGTAGCTAAGAAGCCTGGGTTAACGGACCACACTCGGACCCCGTCTTCCTTGAGAAGCTGGTACCACGACAGCATCACCATGTTGAGCGCAGTCTTGGAGCAGCGGTACGCAATAGCTGTCGGGATCCCCGTCTTGGGCCACCCTTTCGGGATGGATTCTGTGATTTTTTGACAGGAACGACTCGTGCGTGCCGTGAAGTGTCGAGAGGCCTGAAGTCAAAAAGATGATGCGCGGGGACGAGGACTCCAACAGAAGAGGAATGAATGTCGCCGTGAAAACCTGAGTGCCCGACACGTTGTTGTTGTAAGTCTTGTTAAACAAAAGACGAGCGCGGGCAGGATCAGCACCATCGTTTTCTTCAAACGAGTCAAAATTTGCGCCTAGACACTCGTCAGCCACCCTCTCAAGTTACCTCTACACCATGTTGATGCAGAAAACGCACCCGCATTGTTGACTAAAACATCAACTCTGCCAAACTTGGACTTGATAGTCTCAAAGACAAGTGGGATCTTGTGGCTATTGCCAAGGTCGATCTGTACAACATCGACGCTGCTCTTGGTGTCGGGAAACTCGCTTTCCAGCTGAGCGATTGCTTCTTCGCCGTTGACGGCTTTGCAAGAGCCTATAACGACATGGTAGGCTTTTTTAAGAGCAGAATAAGGTTTTGACCGTCTCCAAGCCGATGCCCGTGTTTGCACCAGTGATGAGGACGATCTCTTTGTTTTCAATGTCTCTGGTCTCTTCCTCCCAGGGTGGTTTGACCTGCGAAGCGGGCTCACTTGATGGCTCTTCGAATGCTCCGTTTGCTGTCATGTTTGCTAGTTTTGTTGATGAAGAGAGGTGGGTGCGTAGTGTTGGATTCAAAGAGAGGACAAGCTCCTCATCTTGTAGTTGTGAACAGTGCACTCTGTGATACGGAGTCAACTACAAGTGCAACTTCATGTCGTTACATTCGTATGACGAGGACCTCGCCCGACGGAAGCGATCTGCAGCAATATGAGGCATAGAGATAAGCATTGAACGTTGCCGTGTGACATGAACACTCTCTTTCTCTTCGAGCAAGGATTGTAAATACATATGGCTGTTTGTATATTCTTGAATTCTTAGTCACAAACATATCAGAAGTTTATAGCTTGATTTATACCGAGACCCTTGTGGAGATCATGGTTTGGGTGGGGTTGATAAGTTGCGCGTCTTTGGACATGGTACAAGCATTCTTTGTAACACAATTACTGAATAGAGTAACTTTGTGCTAAACAAATTGTTGTGATACGTTACACAGCTATCTATGACATATATACGCTCGCTTCGGCTTTCCTCTTTGTACATGGCGAGATGGAAGGTATCCGCGATGGCGTCAATGGCCCATCGGACCACGACCCCGGCTTCCTGCATCGGAGATCAACCCCGATGTCTCAGTCGTTACACTTTCCGTACAGATAAAACCCCAAGAGGAAAGAGCTGAAGCTTGATCGAAATATCTATCCCGCATTACCCCGCGGTGTCGTATCTTTATCTACAGCTTCTCCCTCCAACACCAAAACTTTACGCCTTTGACAACAACAAACGTCATCATGTCTCTCAAGAAAGTCCTTCTCGTTGGCGCGAACGGAACTCTAGGCTCAGTCCTCCTAGAAGGCCTTGTATCCTCAAACTCCTTCGAAGTCTCTGTCGCCAGACGTGAATCATCCAAATCAACACCTGCGCACGCCGAATCTATCTCCATCGTCACCATCCCAGACGACTTCGCAATTGACGCTTTAGTTCCCGCTCTAAAAGGCCAAGATGTTGTCATTGCCTCATTTCCATTAACCAACGTTGTTGATCAGCATCTCCGCCTTGCAGAAGCTTCTGCCAAGGCGGGCGTGAAACGCTTCATTCCTGCCGACTTTGGAAGTTGTGATGCCCAGAGTGAGCAAGCCAAGAAACTACTGAAGCTTTACCGTGACAAGGATGAAGTGAGGAACAAGGCTATTGAACTTGCAAAGGAACACCCAAATTTCTCCTGGACATCTATCGTGTGTGGGCACTTCTTTGACTATGGAATTCGCGATGGTCTGCTACACACTGATCTCGTCACCAACACCGCTGTGATACTAGACAAGGGCAATGTTCCTGCTTCAGCATCCACACTCTCCCGCGTTGCCGAATCTCTTGTCGCAGTACTCAAGCACCCGGACACCACAAAAAACCGTCTCCTCTACGTACAAAGCTTCTGCAAGACACAGCTGGAGGTGGTAGCGGCCCTCGAGAAGGCGACAGGCGCAGAGTGGAAGAAGGAGTTTGTGAACTCGGATGAGTTCCTAAAGGAACAGGTTGACCAGATGGCCGTCAAATACAACCCTCACGCGCTGGAGAAGATTGTGTTTGTCCTAGGAGCACTAGACGCCGAGTGGCCCAATAGGGGAGATGCATTTGCCATGAAGGAGTTGGGATTGGAGGATGAAGACCTTGATGAAGTTATCGGGGGAATTGTTAAACAGTGGAGGAAGGAGAAGGAGGGAAGCAGAAGAAGTGATGGGATGGGACTTGTTATCTGAGCAACTCAAAAGCTACAATGTCCGGAAACTTGTTTGTGGAGAGTCGCAACGAGAATAAGGATTACTATTTACATGCATTAATTCTTGGCTATGCCACTGAATACGACATACTGGGTCAGATCTTGTTACACAACCTCCGATGGCTGCCAACCACACAAAGCGTGCCACAGAGGCCTTCCAAAAAGAGTATCAAGAATCACAACAGCAACTACCGAGTCCTCGAGACAGCGCTTTTCTCAGGTCTCCCTTCAGCCAAGATGATCGCTCTCCAAACTTTGCATCATAGCGCCTCGTATTTCCCAATGGGCATAGCTCCATTCGGTCACCCAAGAGTGATCGTCAGGGTGTTTAACAACATCTTGTCAGCCGCAGTCCAATCCATGTGTTTTATCTGCATCATCTACATTCCTGTCTTGTGATTGACAGATTCTGTTTGGACTACCATGGATCGGATCGTCGGAGAGTTATTCGTGATATCTCGTATTGCTGGCCGGACTGACGATGTAAGATGTAAGATTTAAATGTGAGGAAACAGCTGAGTATATAAATACCCGGATTCCTCTGGAGGAGAAAGGACTGGCTGTGATATACCTAAATATTAAACTTGCCATATATATAACAACTCCATTTACAATCATATATTCAACTCTCTATCCAAAATGCTGCCCTTTACCATCCTCACTGCGCTCCTCATGTACCGTCCCCAATCCCCCTTACACTGTCAACCATCGCTAACACTTACAGTTCTCTTACCAATGCAAAGAAACATCATGGCACCACTACAAAGCCATGCCCGACTGTCATATCCACCAAAGAAGTCTGCTCAACCTGCGTAACCCTCGCCTGCCTCTCCTTCTCCACCATCTCCCTCAATCAGCAGAACTGCCCCCCTCACGTCTCAACCGTCAAGACGTCCTTCCCTTGCTCAAAGTCCAAGTGTCCCGGCGGCTGCGATACGTCGTACGTCTACGCGTCCTCTTACGGACCAACTTCCACCATCGCCACTGCTAGTACTCCTGCATGTCCAACTGTTACCGAGACTCAGACTATCTGCTCGGATTGTATTAGGCCCATGTGCTTGAGCTTGTCGACAGTGAGTTCGGTTTGTGGGTGTCCTGCGACGGCGACTACGGTTACCACAGCGTTTCCATGTGGAGGGGATTGTCCCGAGGGGTGTGGAACTGAATTTGTTACTCCTACTGTTACGCCGGATTGTAAGTAGAGAGGCGCAGAGTGAGGTTGGGAGAAGTGTAGATGTTTTTGGAAGTGTATCGGAAATATCGAGAGTTGGCTGTTTAGTAGAATTACTGAAACATAAGAAGGTGAAACAAAACAGAAGGAATGGCGGAAGGAAGAATGTGAATTACTCCGAGTGGCTGAATATGTTGTTTTATTGTTAAGGACAACGTCAACATTAAGAGTGTTGATGACACTCATTTATTACCTTGGGATATGCTTGATCTCTATTGTTACTATTTAATTGTACGACGGTTTTCCTATTAATAATTGTGCTGAAAATATCGCTGTGAGATTGTATGTAGTCCAGATACTCGAGTTTACTTGTTTCATTCCTGATCATGGTGTTGATGTCTGAGACATATGATCCCCGCCATCACGCTCACCTCAACTGCCGCTGCTTGGAACGCAGGAGCAAAGATCATGTATCCAGGTAGTTCTAGATCTCTTGTTCCCGGGAATTACAATTGCCATTCAAATTATGTTCGCAACTGGTCAAGCTCCATGTCTTATCAATAACAGAATGGCTGGGCATCAACAAGATATATATTACCCCTATTGCTTGGTTAATCTCATCATCAGTCACTGCAACTCATCACCCACAGTATCACCACTTATACAAATACAACACAATTCATACATCAACGACAAGATGCTTATACCAATTATTCTCAACTTCATCCTATTGGCAACAGCCCTCCCCTACTCCCCACCCTACCAATACATCGGATGTATTTCAACGTCTGCTGCGCCGCCTTTCACACCTGCTTTCCTACAAGCTCCTTTCACGGCACCTCAATGTCTCCAATCATGTGCCAGAGCAGCAACACTCATAGCCATAGGTGCGGGCTCTTGTCTCTGCGACGCTGGTGGCGCATCAGCATCCTTTGAACTTGTCGACGAGCAACGATGCAATATTCTCTGCATTGAAGGCGATGAAAGCAGCGGGAAATGCGGAGGAGAAGGCGTACTGAGCTTGTACCAACTCGCAGGATGTGAAGGTGGCGAGTGTTTGGGAAAGAACGGAACTGTCCCTCCGGTCGTGCAAAAGCCATCGCCTTGTACAAGTTGCAACGGGACTGGAACACCTGTTCCTGCGCCGACACAGACTCAACAGCAACAAGCTACGGGGGTCATTTGTCCACCTGAGGGTTGCACAACTGTTATCCCGCTGCCCATCGCAACGCCTTCCGGGAACTCGACGGGTAAGACATGTCCATCTGGAGGATGCACCGCCAACAAGCAGGCCGGAAGCCAATCTGGCTCGTCTCAATCACCCTCGGGCTCATCTGGCAAAGGATCCAACGAAGCACCGGGGCTTGCAAGCGATAGTCCAAGACTTTATGCACCTAGTATACTATCAGCTATCGCTGCTGTTATCTTTGGCCTGGGTCTGCTATAGGACCAAGAAGGGGGTTCAGAATGGAGATAAAGGATATGGATGTTTGCTTGCACATTATTTGGAGTTAATGGATGTACACGAGTTATGGATTTATGGATAAATGACTTAGCTATGTTGAACTATCAGTTGCCTGGGAATTATTATATATCAGTTTTATTATACTGCCTGCATCGAATTTAGAGTGTGAGAACAATAGTGAACCAAGATTATCACTCTACTCCTTCGGCGCCTCGGTTAATGGGACATATCGAACCCCAAACAACTTCTTCTTTGTAACTTCCCCATTGCCGTCCTTCTCAATCCTCCATACGTGCTGGTTGTATCCCATCTTGTCATCGTCAACTGGTATAAACATGCTATGCCTCGTCAATATCCGTAAACAGACTGAAGACGCTCGACTTACCATCCAGGAGCCTTTAACTGCTCGATTAACTCAGGATGAATCTCCACTGCCGAAGCCCCAACGTGGATAACATCCCATCCCATACCTTCCTGCTGCTCACCTTCTCTTGGTTCTTCAACCCACCCCTTTCTCCCGTCGCCGAACCGAAATCTCACCTTTCCACTTTCTAGAAACCTCCTTCCTTGCTCACTCTTTGCCATATTATTCTCGCCCAGCTCCTTCAGCTGCCTGATATGTTCTAGCCCTACGACAAGACCTTTCTCGCCTACAAGCTCAGCCATGACATGTGTAAGATAACCTGAGCCAGAGCCGACGTCGAGAATGCGCGGGGAAGGCGACGTGGAGGATGGGAGGAGATAGCTTAGGACATGTTCGACCGCTGAAGCATGCATGTGTGGTGCGGATATAGTAGCTGAGTAGCCGATAGGTTGGGGAGAGTCTTCGTATGGCATCGCTGGAGCGTAATGTGCGCGGTCAACCTGGGATGTTAGCATGTATTACTTGTAGATAGCAAAGGGGGATGGATATACTTTGAGGAACGCCTCTTTCACTCGAGCATCAGTGATAAGTCCATTTTTCCACATGTTCTCGATCAGCGCCGAGTTTGTGTTACCACTACATGTCCACGCCATGTTGATTCCCGACAACTGCTTTGGGTATGTAAGTCGAGAATAGGTTTGTCTGACGTAGCGAGATGAGAAATAGAGCGATTTCTTGACAAAAGCCACGATGACGGTAATAAGTGATGGAGTTGGAGTTGGCATAGGCAGATAAAGGATTCGAGTTGAGATTCAAGAATGTTGCTATAAAGACAAAAAAGAGCTGCAGGTAAAGATAAATAAATGGTTGTAATACTATCATCATGGGAAGTAGCTGCCGAAGCTTGTGCGGGGCCGTTCCGTAATACTGGGATCGGCGACGGGTACCCCACAAAGTGAACCATGGCTTAAGTTAGCAGGGGGCTTTAGGTCAACAGGGGATGTAAAGTTTAAGATATTCATCTTGAAGGATGGGGTTTTATAAGTTAGGCTGATCCTGTCTGATTTGAGTATTTTAGGAATAGAGCTAGAGATCATCGCTTAGAAAGCCGAAGTCTATTCTACATCCGTTATACACCAGTCACCAATTCAACAGCAAGATACCCAAATTCAAATTTCAAATCATGTTTTGAAGACATATATAGACGTATGAAACTGCGTGCGACGCGCCAAACAATAAGCTTGTAGTAGGAACCCATATATCCTTCCAATCCCTTCGATTCGATTCATTCCACCCAAGAAAAACGCCGGAAAGAACAAGTAAGAGAAACGCGTACGTCTCTCGACTGATGCGCTTGCATGATGTGGTATATTGTGTTGTACATGAAAACTTCCTCCGCTGATCCTTTTTAAACTACTCGTTCGTTGGACTCGCCCTCGGCAATAATTGGGACGCCCAGGCCACGATCAGGGCTCTGCAGGACAAGTTGCTCGTGACGACGTGCTCGTAGGAACTCGGCGACACTCTTGATAAGAAGAAACCAGCCGACAACCATGAGCACATATCCTAGCCACTCGCTTCCGCTAATGGTGCCTAGGTCCTCGTCTGTCACGTCGCCTTGCTTAAAGCTGTGCGAGTTTGGGTCTGGTGGGGCTGCGTAACCATCGGGACCGCTCATTGCTGGGGGTTCGTCTTCGGAGGCACCCTTCATGTAGAAGCCGTATTGGATAAGAGTGATGCCGAGACCGGCACGAGAACCGTTCTTGGCAGCGTGGGTAGAGTGTAGGAGGTATGTGAGGAGGAAACCGACGAGCTGGAAGGACGTTGAGATCATTCCGTTCCAGACGAATGAGAAGAATGATCCAACTGGCATGCCGTCGATGTAAACTTCGTCGGGCCCACCCATGCCAGGAGCGAGGATTGTTGTTTCCCAGTATGGAGGAGCAGCATCGGCCGCAGCTTGTTCGTAAGACTGATAACAGTTAGTACTAGAATACCAAAATCGATAACCACGAGCGACATACCGGTGGTAGTTCATCCTTCTCGGGATCAGCGTTGCCTCGCTCTGGACGCGCAGACAAGTTGGCAAAAACACCATCCGATCCTGAGCCTCCTCCTACAATTCTTGTTGATCTTGAGCCAGATGGCGCTGGTGCCGGAACAGCCGGTTGGGGAGTTTGCGTCGCATTGGCCGTCTCGAATGATGGCGTCGAGTTTTGTCGCATCAAACGCTGTCGGTCGTCAACGTCATCGTCACTGTCGTCGTCATCGTCAAAGGCATCGGCGAGAGTGTTGTCGACCTGGCGCTGGGGAGAGGGGGCTCGAGAGTGAAACGAGGGTGGTGGCGAGTGGGGGGGGACTGTGGACATCCGGTTGTTGTTATTGTTATTGCTGAAGTCTTCCTCGTCTTGGGCGTTGACCTGGGAATTTGTCAATAAATCGTCATTTTTTACTTGTGTCTCCAAGTCGCGACTTACTCTTTCGTATCGTCCGGACATGATGGGCTATCGTCTGGCGGTGATCGGGCTGCCTCCCGGATCCGCTTACCAAGGAAATACACGCGATGTCGTAGGGAGGAGAAAAAGGAATCGTAAAGGAACAAGAGCCGTGAGGGAAAACAAGAGAAGAGGAAGTCGAAAAGAGACAAAAGGAGAGATGATCTATTTGGCGAAAAGGTTTGAAGGAGTGACGGCGAATTTGGGTTTAGTTTGGCTGTAGTATTGAGTTTCTTACTGTTTCGTTGGCCTTGAGTTCTCAAAAGCGATTACGAGGCGAGGAGAAAGCCTGAAGCAAAATGGTCCGGCGCCTTAGTCAAGATGCGGCCGGGAGGTTCCAGTTCGGTATCGCCACAGTGTGGGTAAGCACAGGGGGATGCGTCTAGAAGGGTCTTCAGGGGGCATGCGCCAAATATGGGTACCTAAAACGTCTTGGCGCACTGTATCTGTACTTTGAGTCTGTCCTCTATAGCCCCTTGTTCAGATGTCTTTGAAAGAGGCACAGCAAAACAACAAACAACAATCAGAGTTGAAATTTAAACATACTTCTTTCTGGGGAACCTGGTGGAAATAAATGGCAAAACTCAAATGTTGCTGCCTTTGATGACTCTCTCAAGATGAGGTGGGCTGTGTCAGGTCGTAGTTAGACCCGGCTGGCTCCACCTCCACATTGAATCATATCACGAGCTTGTCCTTTTTGAGGTTGAAGAATGAATGAGACTTTGATTTTCAAGGGTCTCGTGGTGGCCTGAGGCAATTTACGCATGACCCAATCATATGCTTTTCAAGAACAGTCTCAATAGTATCTGACACTGTAATGAAACACTGTAGTGTGGAATTTCTCTAATGGTTGACGTCGAGATATTCTGTGGTAGAGAAGGCTAATCCCAGCAACGACAACAGCCTCAATTCACAATGTCTCGGCCATTATCTGTAAGTAATATTCCTCCATACTATGATTTAACTATTAGAGAACTAACATCTGTCTGCGTTGTAGCAAAAAATATACTCCGACGTCTTTGCGCGCTGGCCAAAGCAGGCCCTGCGTCCCGATCACCAACTCCAAGATGTCCTAGGCAAGGCCGTTACCGAGCGATTCCAAAACTACAAGCCATCCATGGAGCGCGAAGAGCTTCTCAAGGCGAGGGCGCTGCAGTTCCTGGCCCAGGACCGATACAACGATCGAGTGCGTGCGCTGCGATATCATACCACAGAAATGACGACGAAAGCTAATATTCGGACAGTTCAAGCTCAAGGGTCGATTGCTAGAACCAAAGAGTCAGCCTACATACTTCGCTGATCTAATAAGGGAAATCGATGAGGCGCCCAACAGGTCATGGTTGGAGCGACTGGGCAAGAGATTGTCGGGTATGATTCGATTCCAGTAAAGATGATGATGAGACGATTAATGCCGGATAAGAATACGGAAAGATATTCAGCTGGCATCTGACGTGTATATGTAATTGTACTTGTACATTGTATCAAAAAGCGATTCCCCATTATGTTGTCCATTCTCCAACGCCTTCTGCATTTTATACCGACTCTAGTATCTCTTTAAATGTACTTCTCCTCTGGGTCTATCTTGGTGAACCACAACTGGATCTGTTCATAAGCAGTAAACACCAATCCTCCCGAGACAATCAATCTCGCCAGACGGGGCAGCGCACCACTCCAGAAAGTAAAGACGCCTTCCTGTTTGAAGATGGTAGTGGCGCACTTGAAGCTGTTTCCGTATGTCTTGCGCGCCTCGATACTCTGCATCCTCGTCTTGATTGTGTCGAGAGGCTGCGTCACGTAGACAGTGATGAGACCTGCTAGACCACCAATGGCAAAAGTTCCCACGACGCCGAGCTTCTCGCCTGGTGCTGTGTACGACTCGGCCATTTGCTTGAAGAAGTTGTAGGCGGTGAATCGTGTTGCGCTGTTGGCGGCTTGTCGGGCGGTCGTGGGAGCGAAGCCTTGGAAGAAACCTCGGAGGCCACGCTCGCGGGCGATGATGGGGACGGCATGGAGGAAACCGCGGAATCGAGGCTTGGCCGACTTGCGGTCGTCGATACTTGAGATTGTTAGCTTGAGTTTTGTAGAGGTTGGTATGGACTTACAGGGTTGTCTTGATACTCTCGGTGGGAGTGACAGCAAGCAATGACTCTGTCACACCAGCACCAAAACCAGCGAGGACAGTTCGAGGTCCAGATAGCTTGCCATTCTCGTCAACAAGTAGCGCCTTGTACTGATCAAACGCCACGAATCCTATTAAAGGTCAGCCAATGCTTTGCTGATGTGATATAAAGTCGGGGGAAAGCATACGGATTCCAGCCTTGGCTGCATTGCCAATGATGAGAGTGGTGCATCCTGCGTACCACTGCGATCCGAACGGAGGCCAAGGGAGCTTCTGACCTTCTCCCAACCGTCTGTTCAACTGCGACCGAGTCTTTGCAACTGCGTTTCGATTAGGTTTGTTCTAGTTGGCTTTTCGCGAGGAAGTAAACGTACATTCGGCGGGATAGGTAATAGCTATAGTCCAATGATTAGTTTGTGGTTATGGATGTCGCGTGGGTGAACGCATACCAATCTCAATGGCACCGGCTGTTGAACCAGCGATGACGGATCGCAGAGGGCTGGGCTGCTTCTTCTTCTCTGCTGGTTGTGCGGCGGAAGCCATTTTGAATTAATTGCTATGTTATCCTGCCGGAATTGCAATTAAGTTGACGTTGGTCGTGATTGAATGGCAACTTTTTTCCTGGCGCGGGGGATTGGATTTCGTCACTCGAACTTTTGGAGCTACAGCACTTGTTTCAATTCACACGTGCGCCGATGTCGCTATAAATTTTGGTCTAGCCGAGCTGAGTTCCGTTGGATCGGCATCCGGGGTTGGACTGTTGACTACAACCAGGAACGCCTTCACCAGAAAAGAGTTACTAGGAGCATATCCTGGAAGATTACTCTCATTAGTCTCTGCTGCATTCATTCTTTATGCCTGGGTGACGTCGCTGGCGTAATGACAAACTACAGCTTGACAACCCTAACCTACAGGTACAAGCCTCAATCTGGCATATATCAAAGTGCTGTTTGTGAGCATACTGATGCTCTTGCAGGGACTCAATTTAGTGCCGTCTTTAATTTATAAAGTACTCCTTTGTCCTGAGTATGAACTGCTTGCAGACTTGGTGATTGTTACAATTCCGCCTCACTGTGACTACCATGCTCACCGTCAAAGATGAAAGAAATGCCAAACCAAGACTCAATGCATGATACTAAATGGCCGAAAGCTCCGTATTCTATTCATAATTTATTGAGCCCAATGTTCAGCGTATGAACTCTCTCGTTGTTTCTTTGTACAGAATGTTACCAGATCAAAGAGTAACTCTCAGTGAGCCTTACCAATGACTTCTAGCCCTGGCTGGCTTCAATTATATCTTTAATGAAGGATTCAGTATAAATGGCTATAAGCTTTTGATTCAATAACTCAGCATCATAATCTTCCTATCTTGTCATCACTCAAACCTCAAACACCTCCTGAAGATTCTCAAGAAACGACTCTATCACATCACAACAACCCCTATCAACACTCGCTAACATGACTCCTCAAAAGGTCTACTCACGTTCTGAGCTTGAGAACATGCGCTTAGAACTTGGACCTAAAGAAATTTTGAAAATATTCTACTCGCCGGGGATGGCTTTCGAAGCCTTCCCTACCAATTCTCAACGACAGGACAGCATTTCGACTACTGGCTTTGACGAACGCCACGACGTGGAAATACATGCGGACATGATCCGGGCGAATATCTACAATGCGTTCGCTGATCAACAAGCTACCTATGGTATACCAGTCAGAGCAAGGTTCACTCTATGCCCACAAGCTAAACAGCCGATTCCTCGAGTTCTTCGAGATACCCTCGTCGACTATTTCTACTTGCGCAAAGGCGCCGAAAACCCCCTTATCAAGCAATGTCCACACGATCTGAACCGCTACTTGACGGTTATGCCTTTCCTTGGCGAGAACAGTGTCATGGATGCGCCAGTCAACAGGAACGTGGTGATTTCTCTTCCAGAAATGGTGGAAATTGGCATGGACGTGGAAAGCATCTCCGCGACTATCGGCGACGCTCTCGCCATGTTCGTCTTCAAGTGTGGGCTTTACTACTTCGGCTATTTCTGTTTCCGCATCGTTGCTGAGAACAAGGGTGATTCACCTGGTCCTGTCACTGTCGGCATAATTGTCTCTGATTCTCCGCGCGACGTGAAGCAGCGACATGCGGATACAACCCGTGCAACAGAAGACATGGTGCGGATGGCAGAAGCTGTGGAATTACAAGTACCTTCTCCTATCGAGTCACCCTACCTTTGGAACATCTTCAAAACGGCGTTTATCGCCCGGGGCAAGAGGTACTGCTGTGCCATTCGCGATACGACTCCAGAGGGGATGATGGAGCTTTTCGAGGAAATGTATGGTCGCCCTGAGAGTCATGATAAGCTTTGACGAGGCGACTCAATTGTCGATTGACGGGTGTGGAATTAGATTGGGATCGTGTGTGCTTTCTTTTGTGGACGTTTTTGTTTTTGGAAATTGTTTAGGAGTCAGTCGTTTATGCTCTCATTTAGATAGTTCGGTATAGATTGGTCAATGGAAATAGAATCACATGTACTGTTGGATGTCAACAAGTTTAGCATATCTACCCATGTATTGTCATATCTAACGATGCTTTGTATTCGATGCCTCATCTAAATCTTAATCAAACTCCATAAGATGCTTCAATCATATCTCATACCCTCATACCATCATACCCCATATTCCCATATCTTTCTCTATTTCTTTTTCTGTCGTCCCCATTTCTGCTCTAGCCCAGCCTTCCACTCTCCAAAACTCGCTACCTTTCCAGTCCCCAAAAGAATCTCTCCTCTATGCAGCACCATCCTCAGCGGCGGTACAGCAAACCACTTGTGATCACTTCTGCAGATCAAATCATCCCTGTGATCACTTGTCTTGTTCCCCTCACCCTGGATAACTTTCATGCACTTGGCGTCATATGTCTCCATGCAGAACTCGCAGATGTAGTACTCATCCGAAGGAGAGATCAGATCGAGACACTGCGCGCAATTTTGACGCATGGTTTGGATCTCGGGGAGCTTAGGATCCAGGCGTTGCAGGATGGGTGAATCTTCAGGAGTGGAAGCCAGGATCTTGGGATCAACCTTGCGCATGGATTGGCTAAGAGCCTTAGCATTTTCGATGTCGTCGGCAGCGATGAAGAGGCCGAGGAGGTTATCCAGAGCGTACTCGTCATTTGATACGTCGTCGTCTGATAGAATATCGAGACTGTCGTTGATAAGCTTGCGCAGATCGCGGTCTGTGGAAGGGCTCCTGCCCAAAAGCCTGTTGAAGAGGATCATGTAGATGGCGGCGATGTTGACGTCTGATCCCACCATCTCAATCGGCATGTCATGATTCTGATGCCGATTCTGCTTGTGCTTGATCTTGTCCAGCTCCTCCAGCCAATCATCTGCTTCTTTCGTCTTAAGTCCAGCATGGAGAACGCGCTCTTTGTATAGCGACGCAAGCTTCTGGAATGCGAGAGCGTAGGCTTGACGGGTGGGAACATTGCCACGGGGTCGGTAGCCGAGTTGTGTGATACCCTCGAAGAGGTCCAGTGCAGCCTCGATGTCGCGACTGTACGTGTATGTTGCTCCAAGCGAAAGACGGAGGTAAAGCGCTTTGAGGGGAAGGCGAGATACGGTGGCGACATCAATGGTGAACTGCAAACGATCATAAATAAACTCTGTAGCGCCTACTTTGCTAGCCGCTTTGGGGATCCAGTCGATGACAAGAGGTTTGTTGTGGAATTCGAGCAAGAAGTCTACCAGACGAGTACGGTTGTTCTCTGCGTCGGTGACTTGCTCGGACATTTGCTCGAGGAACTCGATTACAGCCTCATGGCGGTTCTCCGTAGCCACAAGCTCGAGGTATCCAAGCTCAGGCTCAAAGTATTCCTTGCACTCCTTGCGATCAAGACCGACGTCTTTGGCGCTGACCATGGATTTGAGAAAGTACTCGAGTGCTGGGTCAACTTTGTTGAGTTCCTCGTAACAGCACGCGATGAGGATGTGATCCTTGTATAAGCGCCACTTGCAACTCTTCAATGCCTGCTCATCAAGTTTTCCACTTTCGATGCTCTCGCGCTCGATAATCTCACACTTGAGGGCTTGCTCAAGCGCTTCTTTGAACCTTCCGTCACGCGAGAGACAGTACGCAATGCGACCGCGAGTCTCGACGCTGTTATTGTCGAGAACAAGCGCCCTATCATAGTGTCCCAACGCCTTATTGTGCATACCGTTTGTAAGGTATGTACTTCCGCATCGTCGGTGCCAGTGCGCACTTTCCGGGATCTTTGCCCACTCTGAGGCCTTGACGATTCGTCTATCGACCGGGATCTCTGTCCAGTGCGTATTGCAGCCTGACCACGAATATCCGTCTTCCATAAAGGCGATGGACTGGACGATCTTGAAGCAGAACAGCGTGGGTACATATTTTTTGAAGTCCTCGGATAGCCATGCACGGGCATATAGGTCACCAATAGGTTTGAAGATACCGGGAGATTCCTTAATAGCTTTGCTTGCCCACTCGCGAGCTTTGGGGTTCAAAGAGGCGAGGACATCGGGGTCAGCCATCCATCTCTTCAGCCCCTTCATGTTGGCGTCTGTGAGAACTTCAAGACCTTCGTCGTTCTTTTCATACATAAGAGTCCAGTCGAGAATGATGTTATCGTCAGTAAGCATTCTGTACACGTACTCGCCCAACACCTTCTTCTCGGGCGCAGGGACGGTCGACGGGTCAAGCACGGCCAGATGCTCCTGCCAGTACCAGGCGGAGTATTGTTTCATTGACTCACGACCACTCGGGCTGAGACGATATTTCTCGAAGCCCGCCTTGTCGGTAAAGATAGAGAGACAAGTCTTGAGGATGTGGATGCGCGAGACAAGAGGGTTGAAGCCAATACCCGTGCCGTACTTGGAAGAGTCCTCTGTGCTGAAGAAACCCTTGATGGAAGAGTGGAAGAAAGTGATCCAGGTGTTGGTCTTGCTCGATCGAAAGTCCATGTCGCTCATGGGATCGAAGAGATCAGAGTTGGCCGCTGGGCTAACACCGCGGCCGGGGCTTCCTCGCACAGGACTCAAACCATGCGTAGGGCTCGCACGTCTCAGAGGAGAGAGATTACGTGCGAGGTCAGGCGTTCCGGTTTGGCGGCCAAAGATTGTTGGACTCTTTGGACTTCCACTTCTGCCAGAGCCTGGTCGACTTGCTGAACTCGATCGTCTTCCGGAGCCGAGATCACCATTCTTGATGCGCTGCTGTTTCTCATGCTCGCGGATGAGATCGTCTGTTGTCAGTCCGTCTTCGCGCTCAAGTTCGAAGAAGCATGCGTATTGACCGCGCAGAGTTTCTTCAAGATGGAACGGCGGGTCACCGAAGCGCATGATGAGTACGGCCTCCAATTGCTCTAGAGACAAGACTTCTTCGGCGCATGCGGCCCACTGCAGCATCTCGTTTAAATCTCTTGTTTGGTCTTCGTAAAGAGTCTCGGAAAGGTTCTTTAGTGTCTGTGCGATAATTCCGTTGATCTCCTTGGGGTACGATTGTAGGCTTGTGAGAATGCTTTGTGGGTGTCGCTTGCGGCTGATGTCTTCGATCATGAACTTGGCGAGGATGAAAAGGCCGTCTGCTTGCTTGATCATGGCGTCTATGATCTTTTGTCGGAAGTCGGGAGGTGTACGGCTGAGATTACGGAGGTGCCAGACGCTGTCTTCAATGTAGAGCTTGACATCTTCAGCATTACGATCGGGCGTAACGTGAAGAGTTGTAATGGCCTGGCTACCGCGGTTGGAGGGATCGAGGGTATATGTCACAGTTTCAGTCATGTACGTTCTTCCAATAAGAGCGACCTGAATTGTGACATGCTTTGGTCTTCGAACAGACTCGTCGCTCGAACCTAGCTGTTCCAACAGTTCTTGTACACCTTCGGAGTCTGCTTCATCGATGCCGTCGAGAAAGATGTAGATAGCCTTTGCCTGCGCTTCTTCCCGGAAAGGTTGAACAAAGAGTTTGCGGTAGGCACTGGGGATTGTTCGAATCTCATCGATATTCTGCACGCCCCTCAGGAGTTGCTTTGCGTAGAAAGGATCGCTTTCGCTAAGCTGATAGGCGACGTCGCGTAGAGCTTGGAGGACTGAACGGGTCTCTGGGTTGTTGTCGCGGAAATAAAAGTATGCGAGGCGAGAGATCCTATCAGAGCCCCATGAGATGAGACGAGTGGTCAGATATGACTTTCCGGTACCTGCAAATGTCAGTGATGTGTTAAGAGTGATGGGTACCAGAAAAGTTGGCCTCCCTAAGTCTTAGGGCACAGAAATAAGTAGTCCAAGGACCATGGTCTAAGGCCTAATAGTTCCACCTCTTATGCTTCCAGCGGCCAATTTTCCTGATACCCTGAGAGATAGTCGGGACGAATGATACAACGTACCTGCTGCGCCAGTTATCCAGAGAAAGTTGGTCTTCTTGTCGAGCCACGCCCTGAAGCCCCCGTCTTGAAGGATCCATTCACCCGTTGAATCAGCCCTTGACTTATTGAACAAGTTGAAGAAGTCAACAGGGAATGGCGAGGGATCCAAGATCTCCTTGAGTTTATCTTGATGTGCAGCGACGGTGCGCTCCCGTCCCTCGGAGCGTATCTGCATCATAGTCTGATTCATCTCATCCAGCTTGCTCTGCATATTCTCCGTCGTGACATTGAGTTTACTAACGCCTCCGTATGTATCAGCGAGGACTTGTCTTTCCTCGCCGATGTTGAGGGCTTTCAGGTTGTCGAGTGCCTCCTGGACGGGCGTTCCCTTGCCGAAGAGGGTTCTGAAATAGGCCTTGAAGCGGCCGCGACGGATCTCTTTGGCGGCAAGGACGAATACCTCGAATAATTGTGCTAGAATCGTGACGACTTTGTTTCGTAATGCGCTTCCCATTCGGTATTGCACATACACATCTAGTCTTGATGTGAAGTCCTTGATGAGCGTTAGTAAGGATCTTGTCGCAAGCGGGCACCAGGGTACCCGAAACGTTGGCCGCTGGTGACATAACAGACGAAATTCACAGATCAGTTTATGATGCTTAGACCATACTTCGTAGACTACTAATTTCGTCCCCTATGTTCCTAGCGGCCAACTTTTATGATACCCTGAAGGGGATGAGGAGGATCTCGTCACAAGCGGGGCTGGGTCGGGAATATCACTCACCTTGAGAAGCTCAAACAACTCAACAATGGTATCATACGCCGAGGAAACATCGCGCGCAGCTCCAATAAGGTAGGCGACTGCTCCAAAAATCCCTTCAGCAGGTGCAAAAGTCTCTGCCGCAGCGCCGCTCACGATTTGACCGATGGTTTCGACCGGGTCAAGGCAAGCGGCGAGAGCACTAAAAATGGACTGTCGCTTTTCGCGAAATTTGGAGAATTGCTCATTTTGCTTGTCGATTTCAGAAATTAGGTCTTTCACGTTGCTTAGAGGTGGGTTGAGAAAGTCTGTGAGTTTGCTTTTGGAAGAGTCCGAGTACAATTTGCTGGCGTCGTCAAGGATGTGGGCAAATTGGGCTTCGGCGGTGTCTTTTTCTTTGTTTTTGCGGACCGCCGCCATGATGTCTGACGGTCCAGCAAATATGAATCCAACGTGAAAATCTAGTGGGCAGCGGTGGTTAGTCTTCTGAGTCTTGGGATGCAAAAACAAGTAGTCTGAAGTGTAGCCAGAGTAGCAATGACTGACCTACTAATCGTCCTTTATGTTCTCGACTTTTCTGAGACCCTGCGAACAGTCCAACAAAAGTAGGTTCAACTAACCTGACTAGAATGAGATAAATATGAGTATTCAAAGTTTAATCAGGTGATGTTCGGCAAATAAATAAGACGATTGGTGTTTCAGAAACAGGTAGGCTGTGAAGGATGTTTTGGTGTTGTAGCCTTGACGCTAGGAGCAGTATATGACTCTTTAATACTTGGTGGGTACCCAATTCAGAACATATGATCAATCAATATTGACCAACAAAAAAGAAAAGAATAAAATGAAAGAAAAGCCCCTGCAAATTGCACAGAAAGAAACAGGATTCGGTAGGAACGGGCAGATCAAACTTGTTGCTTACTGCATTTACCAGCCTCTGTTGGGTAAGGCTGAACTGATGTAGGCCGATCCTTGGGTTTGTTTTGTTATCCACAATAAATACGGATGGAACGTTATATGTGTGATCTGGACTTTGTATTTTTCAGTTGACTAAATACATTTTATATATAACATTATTCGCATCGGCCCCCAAGCGTCGTAGTTTAGTTTTCGTCATCGAGCGGGAGGCGTTCAGCCCGAAACAATAGTAAAAAGGCACAGCAGGCTACAGTGCAGAGTAGGCTGAAGGATGATAGGGTTTCACCGCACGTTCCTGTAAATCTCCCCCACAGGCCGGGCGTCCACACCTTGTGGCTGTAGTTGCAACGTGACCAACCGCTGTGACTGTTTTGGCCGTAACAGAATCCCTTTCCTTGTCGATCCTTTCAAGGATTAGGCAGCTGACGATTATACGTAACATATTCCTTCGTATTCTATTCATGAGGCTCAATATTGACCAGGATGAGTAATTAGTCATACAGAAACTAGGCTTTATTATTTATTTGACCGCCAGGTATTAAAGCCCTGATCATTCTCCAAGTGTATAAATTTCGTTAATACTATCCTTGGGCGGCTCGGGCCGTAATGATATCAAGATACGCCACCTCACTTTCAACCCGCCTCGAGGCAACATTCAATTTGAACAGTTCATTTGCCTTCGCCTTACCCCGATCATTATCCCCACCTATACGCTAGCTAGAACCGAAGCAACAAGACTCTCAGCAGTCTCCTCAACGACACCAAGCAATCCAGAATCCGATTCCTTCCACGACGGCGCAACAAGACAACGAGCCTTTCCATCATCATACAGTTGAGCAACCGCCAAATCAAGAATCCAACCTCCTACACCTTTCTCCTTTTTATCCCGTGCTCCTTCGATGAGCTCACGCGTAGTTCGTCTCTGAACCTCCCACTGGGTTTCCGTCTTATTCTGGAAGGCTTCCAATAATTCAATTTGACATGTCTTGATTGACATGACTTTGACAGTGCGGTTTGCGGTCTCAGCTGGGTTTTGCAAAACACCAACCACAGATTGTCCAATGCCTTGCAGTGTAGTTCCGGTAAAGCACTCTTTGCCTTTATCGTAGATAATGGCGGATTGCTTCTTGATGTCAAAGCCCATGGTTGGGAAGCGCTTCAAGGCCCAGTCAATAGGATTTCCTGTCGCGATGCTAGTCCAAGTGAAGTTTGGGTTTGTGGCTGCGTGCTTCTTTGCATGTTCAAAACCAACAGCTCGTTGAGCTCTAACCGAGTCAAACTCAGGAAAGCTGGTAAAGTCGGGACCCCAGCCAAAGTCAGCTACTATAAAGCGTTTTACTCCAGCGGCTTCGGCAGCGTCGATCATGGTGCCTTGTGAGGGAATGCCCGCTGGTCCAACAGCACATACAGCTGCGTCCTGGCCAGACAAAGCTTTGGTCAGAGCATCGTAAGCGTAATCCGTTCTAATAACGGGAATGCCTTCTGGAAATGTGGATTTGGATTCAGTTCGCGTCACAATGGTGACCTCGAAGCCAGCTTGTCTAAGAGCAGCTGTGATGGGAGTGCCAAAGTTGCCAGAAGCCTGAACAAGTTAGTAAGTATATAATCAGTGGAAGAGGGTAACTTACACCAAAGACGACGACTTTAGTCAATTGATTGGTGGACATTGTGTAAATCTTGTGAGAGTGATGTGTATAAGTCAATGTTCCTATGGTTGAGAATGTCTCGATTTGGTTGATTTTATGGACTAGGCTACCCCACCAGGCGGAATTCCGCCAACTAACTTGACTAACCTAGACAACTGTTCTTGGTAGACTGTTTGTACAGCCATATATCAACTCTCATCTACAGTGAAATAGATGAAATAAATCAGATGGCTGCCTTGTGAACCCTTCTTACTCAGCCGCTTTTCTTCCATAGATGGAATAACTAGTCTTGTCAGCGACTCACCCCATATTTCACATACAAAAACTTACATAGGCCAATAAGCATGAGTGTTCTTATCCGCCAACGCCTTCCTCTGATCAATGAGAAACAGGGTCACTTCTTCAGGCGTCCAGCCATGAGCTCGCGTCAGCGGTGCCATAGTAAACGCCTCGAGACCGCTAGCCATGTTGATATAAGACCACTCTCCCAATAGCTTATCCTTCTTGTCCTTTGGCCATCCGTTGATAGGCCACTTGAACTGCTTGACAACGACATCTACAAAGCCGACTTGGGCCATGATATCTGCAAGCGGTGGAATGTCTTGATACGGGCGACCGAACATGACCGACGCTTCTGTCAAGAGGCGGAGGGACTTGAGCATTATGTTATCGGGTTTGAGCGTACCATCATCGGATTGAATGTTCAGGTCTGCTTCCTGAATCTCCATGTAGCCACCCGGTGCAAGGTTGCTGGAAGAGTTAATGAGTATTGATGTGCGAGGGATGAGACATACTTGAAGCATTTGGTGAGAAAGTCGGTCCAACTTGCGAGAGCTGATGACATGAAGCGACTATGAATATAATCAAACGAGTGAGAATAGTTCCATTCATCTTCAATATCCTCAATCATGAAGGTTAGGTTCGGCGGAACGCTAGTCTTGTTAGCACAAATATGAGCTAGATGAAGGGACTGGGTCATACAACGCTGGCTGTATAGGAGATAAATCCACACCGATTACCTGTTGTCTGTTTAGGGATAGCAGATATCATCTCTGTCAAGACCACTTACCTGTGCTTCTGGATGTTCATCAGCATAGTCAATAGCCCAAATTCCAGTTCCCGTTCCAATATCCAAAACGTGTTTCGCTTTGGAATCAGGCTCGTTTGGAGGTGCTAGACCGAGTTTATCGTCTAGAGTAAGCAGGAAAAGGTTGTGTTGGAGGTCTACCATCGTGACCTAATTAGTGCCATCTTCGGTCTTCATACGTTTACCATACCTAGTCTTTCATTTTCTGCCTCGTCGTTGGGAAGAGCATATTCTTTACCACAGCGGTTAGTATCATAACATGGTCAGAGGGATAAATCGTCTCACTTCCGTCTTTGTATGCATGGTATGTCCTGCCATTTTCGCGACGATAGTTCAGAATTGAACTAGAGATACTTGTGGTCGATGAGAGAACTTCCTAAACGCTGTTGGACCTCGTACGTTTTGATCAAGAAAAAAAAAAAAAGGGTTGAATACTTCGCCAAGTGAAGAGTCGGTGTCGTTACCCTAATAGTCGTCAGATCATTCTTCCTATCATCCAAGGGAACGTAAATCATACCAGCTCATCAGACACAATGACCGCCGAACGAACTTGATGCGTCTGAGCCATGCTTTTGAAAACAATGGTCAGATGAGTCTGTGGAGAGTTGCTTTTCATAATGAATCACATCAGGAAGTTCAACGATTTTATATGCTGGTCCCTCCCCTGATCCCGGAAGCTGTTGGTTGTCTTGGGTTTCCTAACCTGGATTTACCCGCTGTATGCGAGTCCCATCAGTGAATCATTCGATGATTTATACACCAATCGTGATTCTCTAAACCTGGGTATTCGTGTTGAATTTGCATGGAAATTGCATTGAATCCGATATATCATACTGTGCCTCGCATTTGCAAGACATGAATAGTGGAACTCGCGCAAGTTTTCGAATTCAGAGCTTTCCCCGTCGAAGTTACGACTGAGACCTTCTCAATAATCAATCGCCTATTTGAGGCCATCGGTCTTTTAGAGAAAGTATCACGGGTGCAGGGCAGTGTATAACAGAAAGGTCATCCTCCGAGCCTTGAGTACAAGATAACTAACCTGAGAGGTCTGGCCTAAGAAGCATACACTAGGATACAGATTTCGTCCCTTATGCTTCCAGTAGACAATATTTCTGATACCCAGAGGGCGACTGGTCGAAGCCAACGCCAGAATCATGGCATCCGTTTGCAGTGGCTTTCTTCAATAACAACCGCGTAATTGGTTTAGTGGTAAAATTCTCCGTTGCCATTCGAGTAACATCGGGGAGCCCTGGGTTCGATTCCCAGATTACGCATTACTATACGCCTTCGGGCATCCGATATCTTTTGCAATTAATGCATCTTTTTGCTGTGTTTTGATGTTTTATGGTGGTGTTGAGCCGTCCGTTGGCACAACCACGTGGCTGTGAGCGGAAAGCCGCTGAGCGCACGTGTTTCGCCATGAGCTTATTTTTTTTTTCCCAATGAAAAAGGAAGGAACAGATAAAGGCAATCTGATCGCGTAACCAAGTAGGAAATATTTCAATGTTCAAGTGCTTAACGCTTGGCTAAATGTCACTTGCGAGGTTTGACGAGAACTCATCAACAAGTGCAGGGTATACAGTCCTGCATTTAGATAGCCAACTTTGCGGACAAGAAGAAAGGAAGTCCGGGGACCGTTCAAAATGTTATTGCGATTACACATCTAACGCAGTCTCAAGTCTTGGGGGAGTAGATTACCATCAGAGAGTAAGTCATTGTCGACTAGGTAGGTGTCCCGGAGCAATCCCGAAAGCTCGTTCTAATCGACCACAAAAACAAAAGGCGAACAAAATTGTGTCGAAATACCAGAAGGTGTAAAAAATGATTCGCCTGTGTAACACAGGTGGCGGATCTCTCCCGCCGGGAATTGAACCCGGGTCTCAAGCGTGACAAGCTTGCATACTGACCACTATACTACGGAAGATGAATCAGGCTACGCCTGTTGTAGTTCACTGGTGATTGGAGAAGTTTGCCTAATTTACGTATAAGTAGTCTAACCTTCAACTCAGGACTTCCTCTACCTGTCATGCATGTCTCGAAGGGATGCCCAACGTGCCCCTCACAACCTGAAGTAGCCATCGAGATAGGATGGACAATATCAACATAGCCATTATCGGCACTGGTAAGTCTCGTGTACCTGCTGAGGCATATTGGTAACTGTTATTTTCAGGTCCTGCGGGCCTTGTAGCTCTCAAGAACCTGAGAGAACAAGGCTTCAACGCCGTCGCTTTTGAACGTCGCGAGTCAGTCGGGGGCTTATGGGCATACAGTGATAACACGAAGTACACCACAGCGTTGGATGACACAACTGTCAATGTCAGCAAGTTTGTGGTAAGTAGCAAATCGGTGACATCCAACAATCACTGACTTGACATATCTAGTCTGGCTTCAGTGACTTTCCAATGCCAAAAGGTTAAAAGACAAACCGTTTTATTGTTCACTATTGACCGCAGCTAGACTATCCGCCTTTTCCGTCTCGTAGACAGATGCAACAATATTTCGAAGCTTACGCGACACATTTTGATGTTCACAGGTACATCAGATTTGGGGTTACTGTACACAAGGTCCTGCAGAACTCCTCAGATTCTGGATGGAATGTTTATTATTCAAATATCGATGGTCAGGCTGTACTTCCCTTTCACAAAGTGGTGTTCTCGACTGGATGCGAGACTGTACCGGTGTGGCCGCCCATGCAAAGACGGAAAGAGTTCAAGGGCACAGTGATTCATGCTCAGCAATATCGAGAGTTGGTAGAGCCCTGCTTTTCATCCGCTGTCACTGACATCCTCATCTAGCTACAAGAAAAATGGCCTGGAGGGCAAGAGGGTTATGGTTGTCGGTATTGGAAATACGGGCTGCGAGATTGCCTTGAGTCTTTGCAAACACACATCAGAAACCTATTTGACCTATCGTCGTGGAAGAATTCTAGTGTCTCGTTATGGAAAGAGTGGCGTACCGACGGACAGCCAAGTCCCTTGGCCAGTACTTCGACTCAAATATCTCATGGACTATTACTTACCCAATCTATCCAAGTGGGCGACCGACAAGTTCATGATCAACAAAATGATTAGCGACGCTTCCAGGCACGAGCCAGATAGTGACAGTATATCAGAAAAGCAGAGGCTCAAGATGGCTGGGAAGAGGGTCTGGGGCGAATGGCGTCTTGTTCCTTGTCCCAGCATGGCTCACAGAAACCCGGCTGTGCAAGAAGGCATCTTCCCAGCATTTCATAACAAAGACATAATCCCGACTCAAGGATTTATGGAATTTGCTGGCGAAGATACTGTTTTGCTAGCAGATGGCACCATAGTTGAAGTCGACGCGGTGATCTTTGCTACAGGCTATCGGCATGATTTCTCTATTATGCCGGAGCTTCAGATGAATGGCGCAGCTGGGATGAAATTACAGACAGCTGAGATGACAGAAAAGGAGCCGAATGTGGAAGACGAGGCCCAACAACCTGACCTTCCCCGACTCTATCAAATGATCTTTCCGCCCAAGAGGGCTTTTTCGATAGCCTTTCTGAGCTGGTTGGCTCCACAGGAGAATGTCTGGTGTGTCTGCGAACTTGCGTCAATGGCAGTCGCTCAAGTATGGACAGCAGAGTCTACTCTCAAACAGAAAGATAATCTGCCAGCTTCATACCGGCCATATTCGATTCTACCCCCAGAGAAAGAGATGGAAGTCGAGGTTGATTCATATCAAACCTGGTGGCGGAAAGAGTGGAGGACTGATCATTCCATAATGGAAGGATATGTGAGAGGCCATAGTTTCTACCACTTTCTTCATGAGATGGCCGGAACCGGTCTCTACAGCCACATAAACCATCCGATCTCATTCACTGGATGGTGGCTCTGGTGGAAGGATCGCAATCTCTGGAGGTGGCTTGCTAAAGGCCCGATGAATAGTTACTCGTGGAGGCTGTTTGACACTAACCCTGATGATATCCCTGGATGTGGGAGGAGAGCTTGGAGAGGCGCCAGGACAGCAGTCCAAGAAGCTGTAAGTTCGACTATTTTTGCTTTTGGTTCCGCTCTAATATTTGGTAGTATGAGGAGTTGGAGAGATTTAGAGATATGAAGGCAAAAAGTGACTAAGAATCAACACTTCATCTTGAATGCAACGGCATTTTGTATGGTGGTAGAGTACAATGCATTGATCATTCAGTAATTATCATGCTTCTTCAGTCAATGCCCCTTGACTTGAATAATACAACTCAATGGTTATGACTGTGTGTAATTTCGGGTTGCCGAATGAGTAGAGATGCCATACTACGTTCTGTAGTAGATAAGTCATATCACCTCGTAGCTATGGGATTGGGTAGTATTCTCTTGAAAAATAACATTCCTTCGGTTCTCTCGACACTTGGATCTGATTCTTTGGACACGCTACGTATATAATCCCTATTTTGTGACAATCTGACATGACAACGTGGCCGAGTGGTTAAGGCGATGCCCTGCTATCTCTTTAGAGACATCATAGGCATTGTGTTCGCACGCGTAGGTTCGAATCCTGCCGTTGTCGTTCATTTTTGCATCTGCTTACTTTTTGTCCCTTCTTCTGGGCCTTTATAGAACAATTGCCATGGCTGCTCACTGACTTCTGATCCGCAGGACTATTAGCGCTGGGCTGGTACATACTTCAATTAGCCTGTCTACCACAGCCGAGTGTCATGGTTCGCGAATAGACGTTATGCTGGTTGAGTGGTAGCTCTTCCGAGGGAGGATAAGTCACAGTCCCAAGTGTTTCGCTGTTAATTTGTGATGGTAGTGGAAAAAGACAAAGCCATTTAAACGCATGCTACATAGTATTATGTTCAATTCCGTCTCACTTGGCTCTCTGATATCTGAGCTTCAATGTAATGTTAAAGACCAATGAGCGTTGTAGAGCTCGGTAATTAAGCGGAGCCTCAGTTTAATTACACGAGTCCAAATGCTGACAGTCATCAACGCGTTTCCTTAACAAACTCCTTACAAAGTTTCATCTTCGCCAAGAAGCCAAGCCTTGAGACTCTAAAAACGAGGCCTTCAATTGTTTATCTTGATCAATATATGAAATGAACATGGGGTTGTCCTTATCACGAAACGAATTCCCGGTTGAGGGTCGAGTTAGTGGTACCATGAACCCCTGTAACAAATGCCCTAACTGACATCGAACAGACAGTCCTCATCACAGGCGGTTCTCGTGGACTGGGCTTAGCAGCTGCATGCCAGCTTGCAGCAAAGGGTGCAAATGTAGCTATTGGAGCACGAGACCCCGAAGTCCTGAAAGAAGCCCTTGCAGAAGTTGAGAAATCTGCTCATTCTTCAACCCAACGTTTTTACTCACTTATTGCGGACGTGACTAAAGCTACAGAATGTGCAAGGGTAATTTCTGAAGTCACAGCATGGAATGATGATACCCCACCAGATATCGTCTGGTGTTGCAGTGGAAGCGCACATCCAACATTGTTTGTCGACACGCCAGTCGAGCAGCTCCAAACTATGATGGACAGCAATTACTTTTCCAGTGCTTACATGGCTCATGCTACACTTAACGCATGGTTGAGGCCTGCTTTAGACGGTGCTACTAAGACGAGTGCCGAGTCAAAGCCATTGCCAGCGCGGCACATTATCTTTACTGGCTCGTTTGTATCTCTGTACAGCTTTGCTGGTTTCACACCTTACTCTCCATCTAAAGCTGCCATTCGATCTCTATCCGATTCTTTGTCGCAGGAGATGAACTTGTACGCTGGTGCTCACCCCAACGAACCTCGCGTCTGCATACATACAGTCTTCCCAGCTACAATGCCGACCAAATCTTTGGATGATGAAAACCGTGTCAAGACAGATGTCACAAAGGCTCTCGAGGAGGGAGACCAGATATTAAAACCTGATGAATGCGCTAGTCGTGCGATTGCAGGACTCGAAAACGGAGAGGAGCTTGTTGCCACGAGCACTATTATCAGACTGGTTATGACTACTGTTATGGGCGGTGCTATCAGAGGTGGATTCCGGACAGGGTTGATCAACACCATGCTGAGTTGGGTTGTTATGATTGTCATGGTATTTATTCGCTGGGATATGGATGTCAAGGTCAGGAATTGGGGGAAGAAACATGGTGCAACCGGCAAAGTTTCTGAGTAAGATGACGAAAAGCTGCACAATTTTCTAGACTTTTACAAGCGGTTACCTTGAACAATGCATTGTGTTTTCTGTGGAAGATCTCCTTGCAATTGGTCAATTGACTTGCATTGAAAATAGAGGCCACCAGTGTCACAACTCGATTTGTCTCACAGAGCACTCCTCTACTTAGAAGGGGTATGCATCCTATGAGAGTACAACGAGGGCTGTTCATACTTGACGCAAGTGGCTTGTTGTACAACCACCCATGTTTCACTTAAATGCGAAAACTCGCAATTGCAATCATTGCCTGGTTCGCATTTATTCTTTACCCGAGTCTATAGTTCCCTCTCTGAAACCCCTCAAAGTGGGCGCTTCTTATCTTTCCGTTTTGGATACTCTTTTGGGGGCCAGAAACCAGCCAACACCCCAGGAACCAATGCTTAAGGTCAATCGAACGAAGCTCTGCAAGGGTAGTTAGGCTAACTGCAGCTAAACAGTCTTACGTGCATATGCAGAAACAAAACATGTATCCGTGATTGCACAGCCTGCTCGAGGCAGCCATAAGGCAACCTCTCACCAATTGACTTTCCTGACTTGTTGAAGAGCCCACCCCGAAGATGTAGCATCAGATCTTTCTTTCTCCATTGTCCTTCCATCAATTGACTCTCTCGCCAGAACACAATGGATCCCTTATCAATCATAGCCAGCATTGCTGGTATAGCGACAGCAGGAGCGCAATTGTCTAGTACCCTTTTCCATGTCTACAAAACAGTCCGTCATGCTCCGCAAGAGATTCAGTCTGCCGCGATTGAGATGTCAAATTTGTCTGTCACACTCGAACATCTCCACGATATCCTGAAAACAGGAAAATCGTACGCAAAATCATCATTCTTCGATGCTGTTAGACATGTCGTCAAAAACATCGAGGCAACTCAACAAGAGATCTTCAAGATGGTCGCGGACAACGCCATCAGTGTCAGATTAAAATGGCTTAAGGCTCGGAAGTACTTGTCTGAAATTGACAAGCAAAAGGTCACTTTGACGCTGCAGATTACTATCCTCTCTGCGGCGATTTTGGTCAAGTCCGAAACTAAGTATGCATCGCAATCACCAGAGAGGGCCTAGAAACGTGTCTAATCTTCTTAGATCGTCTTCAGTACAAGAGAAAGTCGACAACAGATTCAGAATACAAGCTGAGAGTCTGATCCAAACTGGCCAAGCGTCACTTCAAAGAGACAGCATGCAACAGCGTCAAATACCTCGGCCCCCTCCGGAAAGGGCACCAAGTCCACCGGTTCGCACCGCCAAAAGGCTCCCAAGTCCAGTCCGTCAGTCCTCTATCCCTGGTCATGTAAGGCCTGAAGAGCTATATGGACAATCGAGCACGACTGGAGATAACTTTGATGTTCCGAAACAGGACGAGGAGACCAATTCCGCTATGGTTAGGCGCGAAAGAACGCGCGAAAGCGCATGCCCACCTATCCATACCTATGCTACGTTTGAAGGTGACACACAGGAATATGATGGTGAAGATTGGGAATATCAAGATCGTCGCGGAAGAAGAGAAGGGTATGATCCGCTCGCTGGCCGAGTTGCTCAATTTGGCCAACATTTTCATTTGCAAGGCGACGCAGCCACGTTTCTGTACAAGCTTGTCTTTATGACAGAGATGGTGAATTACGGAACGACCCCTAAGGCTCCCAGTTCTTCCGGCGTTACTCGAGGAAGCTTGCACGTTGAATCGTATTACTCCGATAATGACTACTCAGACACGGAAAACTTTGACACGGGAGAGGATTATATGCCCTATGGGGATGAATCGAAAGTCCCTTCAAGATATGTGTACCGAAGACCCGAGGAGCCTGCAAGAGTGGTCAATCAACTCCTTCTAGCCTGGACATCGCTGAGTCAGAGTGAGATTGAGAAAGGTGTCAAGGATGCGCAACCAACCGCAACACAGAGTTCTGCTCCTAAGCATGCCTATGTTGAGAGTGACGATGAAAGCGAAGACGAACATGTGAAGGGTTCTCAGGGAAGAAGCAACTGGCCCCATCAAGTAAGTCATGAATATTATCGGAGCGAGAACGGTCATATTCTTACAATTCTACAGGAAGAAGACTCAGGGCCTCACTATGTGATCCACGAGGGTCGCAGGGAAGAGACACCACGAGCAAATAGTCCTCGCCACGTTAAAATTCGTCCTCTCGGACAGACGAATAGGCATCATTTTCAGCCAGAGACGACAGCCCCGTACGACCCACGGATGGCTCCTTTCAACTATCAACAGCCTAACCAACAGCTTTACGATCCTTGGGGTTACCCGTATGAAGCTCCAAATTGGGAGCCTGCAACAACACCACCTCACCCACCAATAGAAACGGTCAACACACAACAAGAAACTCCTCCAAAAGAATCTCCGAAACCCAAGTTTCGCAAACCGCATGTCGTTGTGCTCCCACAAGCAGATGCGGCCGATTCAGAAATTGGAACTATGACGCCCAAGCTTTACGTTTCGCGGTGTCTGAAGATAAGCATTGTGAAACAGGGTGACGATGCTATTTGGAACTCGGACAATTATAATTCCAAAAACAGTATACCTGGGAAATCAATTATGGGGGCACTCATCGGAGACAAGACAGCCAGAAGTCCCTATGGCCTTGATCTAGCACATACGTTGATCCAAGGCCAGAATATGAAACTAGTATACATACGAGGAAATGGTGAGTTTATAAATAATGACAATGCTTTAGATTACTAACATCAGAATAGACCTTGGAGAAACTTGGTTCATCAACGAACAGCCAGTCTTCCTACAATTCCTTCATTGTGCATATCTTCCGCAGTTCTCTCCCGCGAAAGAATCTGATATTACAGCTATGAAGCAGGAGTATGTGGCCGTAGGAGAGGAATGGGCCAGTGTTGAAGCTCTTAATCAGTTGGGACTGCCCGCCAAAGGAAGGGAAGAAGGCAGAGTACTGTTAGATCCAAGTACAACATGGGTACGTTTGAGCTCATATGTGGTCTTGAAGATTCATCTAACAACTTGCTCAGTCCATGGTTAAAGAACTCGCCATCACGACGCTGCAGCTGAGAAGTATGAGGCAACGGCGTCTTTATACCTCGACATTTTACAACTCGACAGATACTTTTCAACAGAAGCACTGCGGAGCAATTTCAGAGCCATCACTTGTCACTGGATATCCCAATGGCCTGCATCATCTTGCGTTAAGAACTGAAGCGGTGGTGGACCTTGAAGGCGACAAACCTGATATCTTCAAGTTCCTGGTGAAAGACGAAGAGAAGATCGAAGACGTCGTCAAGAGCCAAGAGGAAGAAACAAAGGATACTCGGCCACAGATCGCCATCACACCGCCACCTTCACCACGAGAGCCTTCTTCTCCAGAACTTGATACAAGTGATATGAGTTCGACATCTACTTCAAGGTCACGTTTCTCTAGGTTCGTGAAACGCTATACATCCGGGCGTAAGCATGATCAGTTGTCACCGCCACTGCAGCGCTATGGGTCCAAAAACAGCGGCAATGAACCTGCGATAGAGGAGTTAGAAGACAATGAGAAGAGACCGGCAACACCGGCGGACTCTGGCGTTGGAAGCTCAGTCAATTGAGTCTTATTACATTAGAAATAATAAGCCTAAATTAAAGGGCTATGTAATACTATATTTCACGATGCTTATTTTAAACTGTATCCAAAACTCTGTATTTAATGATTTATTCTTCCTTGTAGAAAGGGTAGTCAGTATAACCAGCAGCATTATCCTCAAAAGGCCCATAAAAGGTAGACCGGTCATAAGGTTGGAGAGGCCACCCATTTCGCAATCTCTCTACCAGATCAGGATTGCTGATAAAGTATCTTCCATAAAGCATACCGTCACATTTACCGCTCTCAACAACCCCCCAGGAGTTGACATCGTTGAAGCCACCAGCTGAAAAGAAGGGAGTTCCTGCAAAAATGTTTCGGAAGAGCGACAGGTCAACGGTGGGAAGTCCCCAAGACCCAAGGAACTGCTGCTTCTCAGCTTCGGAGAATATCTGCTCATAGCGAGGCTCAACGAAGCTAACGTATGAGAGCTGAGGGAATCGGCTCTTGAGCTCACGACACAAGTGTCCCCATGTCTCGACTCGCTTTTCACCGCGGGCTTGATTGAAGAGACCAAAGGGTGTAAGACGAATAGCCAAGTTATCCTGTCCAACAGTCTTGGCCAATTCGTCCATAAGTTCAAGGACAAAGTTGCATCGCTTCTCCTCTGAGCCACCGTAGTGGTCCGTTCGTTTGTTAATATTGGAAGAGAGGAACTGCTCCGGAAGGTAACCGTTTCCTCCGTGGACTTCAACGCCATCGAACCCAGCCGCAAGTGCATTCTTAGCAGCATTGACGTAGTCACCAATAGTACTCTTGATCTTCTCGACAGTCATCTCCACAGGAGGATAGTCTGCTAATTTAACGGGAGTGGAAGTATGAGGAGGAGGGTAGGCGAAGGTCTCGTTGGGGTCGTCCCATGGCGTGGCCGAGGGGGCCAAGATAGGTGTACCGGTCAGCTGGGGGATGTTGGCACGGCCTGAGTGCCAGAGCTGAGCGTAGATGTATCCACCCTTGGCATGAACAGCATCAACAACCTTCTTCCAGCCTTGTACCTGCTCCTGGAGGAAGATTCCAGGAACTCCTGGCATACAGTTGCCCTAGCGTCTGTTAGTTCTATGGTGAGTAGTCCAAATATTGAGCTTAAACTTACCTCTAGTGAGGGAGGGAGACCCTCAGAGATGATAAGACCGCCATCAGTAGCTCGCTGAGAGTAATACTCGGCAATCAGCTCATTGGGAAGCCAAACTCGGTTAGGGTTCTCGGGAGTCGATTCGGGGTTCAGCGGCGTTCCTCTGTTTCGGGTAAGAGGAGCGTGAACGATTCTGTGCTTGAGATGTATCTTGCCGTTGGCAATGTCGAGAGGAGTGAAGAGCTTGGAATTGGCTCCCGCGTCAAAGATGTCGCCCATGGTGAATATGAAATGATGATGTAGATGGTGATAGTGATAGCGATGACAGCAGTGTCTAACCGAGATTCAAGAATGGGAGAGAAAAGAACTTTTGTAGTGCCAAGTTATTTAATTTTCCTAAGAGTTAGTGATCTACGACCGGATATACGTCTACAGTGGAAGCTAAGAACAGGGTCTGATGGAGGAAACTAGCATTATTTCATGGGCTAAATGCGAGCCCTTGAACTAACAATCTTGGCTCCATAGACTCAGCCAAACAAATTGTCAATTTCGAAACTTTGCCTTGCCTGCACTGTAGAGGCAAAGGGCTCGGCATTATTACAAGTCAAGCGAACCTATCCTGTTGACAAGTCCCTATAGCATTGTAGGTCTAATGTTTCGACGTCATATTCTGCACTGGCTCATGGTTCAGCCGATGTAACATGAACGATTCGATACTTGTCGATGTTTTCGTTCTTGTGCCAATCAAGTTGTCATCAAAAACTCTTCGCCTTTTTGTCCGTAGTCCCTAGTCCTTGATATTAAGAGGGGCTTATCTTTCCGATTACGACACTGACATGTTGTGGATACACGACCCATAGAAAAAAAACGTGGACATGCAGGGGAACTCCATTTTCATCATCTTTTTCACTTTGTTGCTTTTCTATCTTGCAGAATTCGTTGTTATGAATCCGGGGTTGAAATACAGACTGCAACCGCATTAGTATAATATGAGTAGATTGGTCTCAGATACCTGCATGAACCCAATGTTAGAGGCACCTCGCAAGAGACTCTATATCACGCATTTACAGCATCTTGGCATTGTATACCCGGTCGAATAATGTCATCGGAAGACCCGGACGATACAACGTCGTCTCCACTGCCGAGGCTTCGCTAGAGCGGTGACCGGACCACTTCTCTGACCGCACGGTCTTGTTCAATTACGCGCATCTGTCAAGTTGATGAGTGGCGTATGTAACGGATATCGTGTTTCCGGTGATAAAAACCGAAGAGTGCAGATCTTGTTTTGAGTCACGGTTTGTTAACCGATGAACCTATATCTGAGTCTACTCGACTGATAAGATATGCGGCTCTCATGTTACTCGAGGTTCTCGGAGGATATGCACCGAAGACAGGGATCCATTGTTTCGTCTGCTGTAGATTATGGCTTGTGTTTGAGTAACAGAACAGTAGAGGACAAGGTGCTGTACCTTCTCAACACAGGGTCATCCTGGTTATTGCATCACCTACATCACGCAATTCTCCCGTCTATCTTACAGACTCTGTATCAGACAACAGTGTAGCCCTGAATACGCAGCCGCTCTCTTTCATTCAGTAATTCCCCATGCTGGCAACCCCATCTGGGAACCACTCTGGAGGAGTTCTCATGTACTCCAAGCAGTAAGACATGTAATACAAGATCGTCACGGAAATACCAGAGATAACCCGGAAAATTAGACTCCCTGCAAAATGTTACCCTGTTCCACGTTTCCTCATATCTAGATCCCTCTCATGACCTCTTCCCCCTGAGTGATCTACTCGCCACTTCGGTTGAGGCGCCGTGACGAGAGAACACACTGCAGGCTGGGATGTCAGCCAAGAGCAGGGGACCAATGGGAAACATATTGCACCATTGAGGCGACATTCGATTCAATGCTAAAACATGTCAGAGCTATATGGGAATGCAGCAAAACCATAGCATTAGCGTGTGATTTGCCTGAATACTTGCCGGTACTGCAACCCTTCAGTCCATGCCATATATGTACCGGTGCCTCTGCATTAACTAGTGTTCTTCGTTTGGAGTAGTTTTCCTTTAGCGGAAGAACTGCTCTCTGACACTTGCTGAACCGAGAAATGATTCACCTCTATTTCCCCTTTACTCCTTGACCCTTGTTTCTCCTGCGGGATGAAGCTGACAGGACTCAGTGCGAATAAACATAAGACAAGTGGTTCCTTTTTCCTTGAACTCATCTGCATGTTTGTCTTTGTTCAGTCTTTAGCCTTCTTTTCTTTCGTTTTCTTTGCAAGGCTACGCATTCACAATGAGCTTCTCCGGTGCCGCACCTCCACCTTCTGGTGTTGAGCCGAATATGGAAAACCCGGCCGATGTGCTCTGGACGATTAATTATCTCACCCAAGTTCTCACGCTTGTTTTCACAACGGTGTTTGTTGCAACGCGGTTTTATGCAAAGTATAAAGTTATGGGGGGAGGCATATCTCGAGACGATGGTTAGTGCTTCCATCACGACGTTGAAGCCTGTACTGACCGACACGACTTAGTTGCCACATATGTTTCTTTTGTTTTGATGGTTGGGTACTGTGTCACTGCTCTTATAGGTACATATCTCGGGTTCCGTTCCAAACATAAATGCTGATGCCCTTTAGGTGGACAATATGGCATGGGTCACAACCAGTGGGAAGTCAGTCCAAAAGATCTAACATCTTTCTTGAAGGTGAGTTCTACCTCGGCATTCCCCCAGTTACGCAACTAACGAAAGACTAGTGCGGATATGCAGCTACCATCTTCTACGCCCCAATGGCTCTGGGCGTCAAGCTCTCCCTCCTTTTCATAACCATTCGCGTCTTCGGTACTGTTCACAGAAAGACCACGATCGGCATATACATCTTCATCGCCATGCTAGTTGCATACTACGTGTCCGGCTTGTTCATCAAGATCTTTATCTGCAGGCCCATCAGTTCGTACTGGATGGGAGATATGGAGAACTGTCTTGACCAGAACGCCATCATTACCGCTGACGCTATCATCAGTGTGGTCAGCGATCTGGCAATTCTATTTCTACCCACACCACTTACTTGGTCACTACAGCTTTCCATGAGGAAGAGGCTCCGTGTCATTGGAATTCTATGTGCAGGAGGTGTTGCTACGGGGTTTAGTATCTATCGATTGGCAATGATTCTCAACGCTCGAGACTCTACCAATCAGACTCTTGTCTTTACCAAAGTCATTCTTTCCGGGTATGTAATCTCCTTCCAAACCTACTGGAACTATTCTAACATCCTTTAGTAACGCGGAAGCTGGCATCGGTCTAATATGTGCTTGTCTCCCTTCAATAAGCGCCCTTCTTGTTCGACGCAACGGTTATGCTTCTCGTGGATATCAGAGTTCAGGACCGGCCGATATTAGCAGACACGGCGAGATTATGTTAACAAGATCATATCAGGTTGAAACGAGCAAGAAGGAACAACAGGATCCGTTCCACCTTGGAAACGATGAAGCTGGTTTGATTGCGAGTATACAAGCAAACTCTAAGAGCAACTGTTCGAGCCGGGCGAGGACTCCAGAGTCGGCATGAGTACAAAGAATCACAGCAAATATTATGACATGATAAATCACAATAGTAATGATAATAATTAATACCTTTAATAAACAATCTTTGCATCTTCAGATACAGTAAGTTCCCATTATGGTAAGGGGACTTTACCTTGCTTAAGCTGAGCTTGGGACTTAGATGCGGCTACCTTAATCTAAGGCCTCTTCATAATCTGCCTTTCTCCACAGTCCCGAGAAACGTCTAACCACAATTTCAACCTCTTTTCTACCATTAATTCTATTTCCGCCCTGACTAACTCCCTGCATCTCATCAACGTAAAACTCGTATTCCCAAGATGACTGACAATATTATCGATGGACTTGTCAATATGTTCATCAGGCCAGAGGGCGCTGGTGAAAGCACCGAAGGTGCGACGTCAGCTAGCAAGGTTATCGATAGTATTATGATACAAGGCGTCTACGATGCCGGAGATGACGTATCTCAAGAGGTTCAAATCTGAGTGTCGGAGAGCCAACACAAATTCAAAGACGTCGCAACCAAGATTTAGCAGGGTTCTCCGGATGCAGATGAGGCATCAGAGCAGCTGAAACGCCAGTGGGCTGACTACTACAATCTCATCTAGACTGGTGGCAAAGCCTTTGGGAAATTTGTCGGCACCGAGATAGCTAGAGAAGCTGTTTTCACTGCCGGTACCGTAGTTCTTCAAGCCTTCCTGGCCAATGCCATCATGAAGCTACAGCAGAACAGTCAGGCACAGTCTGCAAGACCATCAGTGATCATTCTCGAATTCAGATTTGCTAGGCCAACGCTTTAGATGACGTTCAATCTTTGTTGACGTTTTATATTGCCTACACGCAAGCTGTCGTCAATTTAAGCTCCCAGATAAACACGAACATGTTTGCCATGACAGACGATGGATTGCAACCCCAGTTGACTGGAGTCCAGGGTACTTACGCGATATTGGTTTCGGCCAACACTACGGCAGCTACGAACTCAGCCTCGATCACCGCCTGATGAGGAGCAGTGACGCCAGGAACAGAAAGCTCGCAGAGTGTTTCGAACTACCCAAGAGACATTTACATCTATAACCAATTCTATAACAAGAATGAAGAAATTACCAGCCCAATCAGGCGGCCAGGAACCTATGCTTGATAATAGTGGGAGTCATGGATGATCCAAGAAAACACTAATCAACCTCACAACTTCTGTCTACACTATTTGTTTGTATCTATAATTTATTTTATAATTTCTTATCAAATATTTATATTATATTAACCTTTTATGTGGCGGCTCAGTCTAAACTGAATCACCATCCGATCGTGGATAAGAGTTGGCACTCTTATTATCCATCTGCTTCATATGGACCAGATACGTCTCATCATCGTATCCATATTGCACGTCGTAAGTTCGGTTGCAAGTGATTCCAGAAGGGTCCACGCCCGCACGATTTTGAGAGTCCCTGCCAACTCGCGCAACGGAAATTACACGCTCTGGTCGCAGATTGTTGATCTTGGCAGTACAGTCCTCGCATCTGACGGTGCTGTTTTCGGTGCCCGAAGACTTTCCACTCTTGTCACTGCCGTACTTGAGATATCGCTTGGATGTGCCGAGCAGCGTGGGATACAGACGAGAGAACATGACGCGCAGTGTAGGCATACATGCGCACCAGATACCGACGTTGATTTCGATGGTGGACCATTTCGACATGGCGAGGTATTCCCAAGACGCGTTGTTGGTGTGACTCATGCCAGCTACGATTGTAGCGTAGAGGCGGAGGATACTCATTATTGTGATACTGAGAGAAGTTAGAAAAGACGATGAGTCAAAGACGGGCGGGTCATACTTACAAGATACCAACACTAAACATACTACCAACAAGGATCTTTTTGCCCCAGCCCATGTTCATCTTCTTCAGTTGAGAAATTGGGATAGCCAGGATCCAAAAGTCCATAGCAATGTTGATGGCGCCGTTGGACCAAGTGATACCATTGACGCTGGCACACTTTCCCTCATGCTCCATATCCCACTTGGTCCAAAAGTAGCTAATGGGCTGACACTGGAAAATCGCGAGGAAAACATAGATGACGCCGATAGTAGTCGTTATTCCCACGGTCGTCCAAAGAATCTTTCGCACATTTTCACTCGGGAAGATTCGAAGGAAGAAGAAGATCATGGTTAGCTTGAGAAAGGCCTGATCTGCAAAGTACAGAATAGCCATGACATAGAACCATCGACCGAAATCTGTGATTTGCGTTGGTGTGAGGGTCCAAATGTCCTTTCCGAAGCCGGAACTTCCAAGGCCATACGTGTTGATAGTGATGCAGGCAATGGAGGTGAGCATTGTAATAAGCATAAAGAAATCGTCCAAGCCGAAGGGCACCTTATAAATAATTTTTGTGACGTATCGTAACAGACAGAAGATACCTGAGATGACTCCCATTGTGTCGTTGAGTGAGACGAAGGGGGCCTGGCCGTTTCGGACGGGTGCGCCACAGAGTGTCATTGTCGTATTCTTTGTGGCTATAGATTGTAAGTAGATGGACGTTCAGAAATGATGATCAAGTCGGTTTACGTACATAAAGCTTCTGTGACTGTGCAGTTGGACAAGACACATATCTCAACTTGTTGCTGAAGTTCTGCATTCATGCATGTGCACTGCACATCTTCGAGTTCGCATGTTGATGTTAACACGTTTGTTACCAGACATTTGGCCTGCAATAATCAGCTATCATGTTACATGATATCAAGTATCGCCAATACTTACTGCGCACGTGGGCAAAGTAGACAAGACAGCAGCAGCCTTATCATCTAGGGTCAAAGCCATAGGCAAGGCCGCAAGGCCAGCCAAGAAAGTATACAACAGCCTCATCATGAAACAAAATGTCTCACGAAAATAGAAAACAAGACAGGTAATGAGTGTATAAAAGGACAAACAAAAGAAATGACAGGTCAAGATTTGTTTCTTGATATGAGACGGGAGTTACATCGGCTGTATATTTGCTTTTAGCAGGTTCACCGTTGTCAGGTATATAGCGGAAGTCAGAAAGCAAAACAACTCGGAAACATCAGCCCTGGCGTGCAAACGTTTGTTGAAAAGCAAACTAAGCATATAAAGCCCCATCTGGGTGGCTACCAGAGAGATAAATACCGTGACACCATATATTAGAACCGCGCTTAGCATGATTTAGCCTGGGTGATCAGACGTGCACAGATGGAAAGTATGGAACAGTCGTGCGGAAAGATAGCGTGACGACCCGCTTTGTACTCCAGCAGCCAAGATATTAGGAGCGAACTAAGGGTGGCAAAGAATACTAGACTCTAGATATGGATTTGTGTTTTGTTCCATGTTTCTTCCAAATGTAGTCCTCGGCTTTTGCAAGAAGAAAAAAAATTCTCTGACGCGAGACTACACCAATATCAGAAGTCTTTTGATGCCCCATAGACAACCCACCAGCACTGTCAGTGCCAGAAACCTGGCGCAATCTCGGTCTATCAGTATCAAGCTCCAATCTGATGAGTTCCCGCGGGAAGCATCAATACGACTGGTAAGAAAAGTTGTGCAAGTTCAGGTGGTTTTGCGAGGTGTGATCTGGATAAAATCAACATGCCATTATCACTGATATGAAACTATCATGAGATATATCCCCACAACGTGTTATGTAGTATTCCGAATAGTAATGCACTCTCTCGCCTAGACTACCTTTGGCATGTTGTATATGTTGGTCCTGTATGCAGATGCAATAATTGCTGTGGCGTCAAGAACAGACTTGATGTTACTCCCAGTACTCAATAATATCGGCCAACATCGACGAGACAAGACTGGATTCGGGCCAGTAGAGTCAAATCCCGGTTGCACTGGCAGGCCAAGCATAAAAAGCTGTAGACCATGAAAGACTAGAATACGGATACTCAAATCCAGATTTGTGAGTTTTGGCCCCGATTCCCGAGAACCAGGCCCACTGATCTACAGCCGGCACCTTCATCTCTCTTGCTTAGTGTACATCCGGAGATAAGAGGAGAATGTCATCCCCTTCATTTTATAATCAAGAGTTGGAGTTGCCAAGGCCCCTGCTTCCGGCATGAGACAAAAGAAACATCTTGCTTGGAAAGGATTACCATCATAAAAAGTGTTTTACTTTGATGAGACGAAGAACAGAGGACGTCACTCACAAACAATTACAAACAGCACTGTGTGTATTGTGAGCAATGCTGTTGTTTTGATACAATTGCTATATACATTAAACATCTCGGTAGATATGAGGGTTGGGCACAATGGTAGTAGCAAGCGCCGTTTTTTTCTTATTGTTCCTCTTTTTTTCTTTTCTTTCTTGTTACTCCATTCTGGGAAAGAGTTTCGCCAAGTGGCTTAACTAACTAACTTAGCATGCCACTAATAGATAGAGCTCTCATGAGTTCGGACCAAACCCCTGGATATTGATTGTACTTTAGTACCGAGTCTGCCGAGGTAATCCAATTCGAGCATACTAAGTCATGCCAGCCAACGACGATTGGTTCAATGGTTTGGTCTCGGCTTCGGTCTATGATAGGACTGCAGTTGGTTTATACTTACTCATATGTACGATTCACACCCCCAATAGCATAATGATCTTAACTCATGGGATCGATTGATGTGGTAAGAAGTAGAGAAAGAGAAGCCGGTGCATCATATGTATATATTAACTCCGTGTTTCTGCGCGAAATACACTGCACGAACCAACAACTCCTTCACCTATTAGTGGGACCCGTGGAGCTCTAAACTTTGGTGGGTACAGTGGACACGTATCTTAGAATTTAGCTATGATCTCTTGACCCGCTTCATTTTCAATCGCAGTAGCTATTCGCTGATCTAGTCAGTCAATGCTTTAGACCACTATCGAAGCTATCAAAACTGACTCAAACTCTACCAAACTCTTGCATATTGATCCATCTCTACACGTGGTTATTCAGGGTCCCTGGCTTCAGCTTGGCGCGGATCGGTTCCGAACCGGAGTACTGGACCATGGTAAGAAAGCACAATCAAGACGTGCCAACTGTACCCTGGACCCCTTTTTGTTGGGCCCGGCTCGAAAGCCAAGAACTTGTCCTTGCCATTTCCCGAGATGGTCTGATCAATTGCAGTGCTGCTTGAACCACTAATTTCCGCCCCTGCTTCAGCCGTCAAAAATATCTCCTGCCAGGGGTTGACATCCCTACAGCGTTACATTTTCCCCAGAACGACCTGCCCAGATGGGACATATTCCCCTGCGGGGAGAAGCATAACAGTCTCTTGGGAGTCTAGAAGATCAAGATGCCTGCAGAGGCGATGCAGCCAGATAGTAATGCATGTTGGTTCAATCAATATCGAGTTGACTTAAATACCACGTTGATCCTGTCCTGTCACCCAAGCCGCTTGCATCGGTCAATCGTTCACTCCACTCGTTACCAGCTAATTCAAGCCACCACCATGAAGTCACTTCTTTCGCTGGCAATCTTGCCACTAGCATTAATTGCCCGTACTAGTGCCGCCTCCAATTGTCGATGCATGCCAAGCGACGCCTGCTGGCCCTCGAATAACGCTTGGGCTTCCTTCAACAAGACCGTTGATGGTACCCTCATCAAGACCGTGCCCATTGGAACACCATGTCACGATCCCACATACGACGCTGATGCTTGCGCAGCCTTGCAGGACGCTTGGTCATTGCCACAGACTCAGTATGGAAACCGTCTCATTAATCTAGTAGGATCCATCAAGGCTAATCATCTGTTCTCATAGCATCGAGTCATCGTCCTCGGTAATGCAACAATTCTTTGCCAATCAGAGCTGCGATCCATTCTTGGCACAGAGCCGTCCTTGTCTTATTGGAAATTATCCCAGCTACGCTGTCAAGGTCTCCAACGCGCGGCAAGTCGCGGCTGCTGTCCGCTTTGCCAACGACAACAACATCCGTTTGGTCGTTCGTAACACAGCACACGAGTAAGGGCTTCTCTGCCGAGGTTATCCGTCTTGAACAGGTTGTGGAAATAAGACGGAACAAGTTTATATACTGACGTTCCCTCCTAGCTACTTTGGCCGCTCTACAGGTGCAGCCTCACTTGCTATCTGGACGCACCATCTCAAGACCAAGGAAGTCATCCAATGGTCCGACAAGCTCTACTCCGGCCCTGCGTTTAAACTGGGCGCAGGTATCCAAGGCGCCGAAGCTGTCGAGTTTGCTAACTCCAAGGGTCTCACAGGTGTTCCTGGCGAGTGTCCTACTGTTGGTCTGGCTGGCTTCACCCTCGGCGGCGGACATTCTCCACTGAGCACCAGCTTCGGTCTTGGCGCCGATAACACCTTGGAGTTCGAAGTCGTCACTGCCGCAGGCCGTATCATTCGTGCCTCTGCCAAGGAGAACAGTGATCTATACTGGGCTCTGAGCGGTGGCGGCGCTGGAAATTTTGCCGTCGTGACATCCATGACTGTTCGCGCTCACAAGACAACCACCATCGGTGGTGCTACTTTGACTCTGGGCGCAGGTACAGATAAGGATGTGTACTATGCTGCTCTAGCCAAGTTCCATGAGCTTCTGCCTGCCATGATCGATCATGGTCCTACCGTCGTTTACCTAGTGACTGCTGCTGGTCTTTCCATCAAGCCTGTTACTCTTGCCAACTCGACGGGTGACTATGTTCGTGACAAGGTTCTTGCTCCTTTCACAGACTACCTTACCAAGAATGGTCTGAAGCACACTGTATCTTATACCACATTGGGTTTCCGAGACCATTATGACCTCTACAACGGGCCTCTTCCCAATGGTCACATCGACTCGTCTCAATTCCAGTACGGTGGTCGCCTGATTCCTCGATCTGTTCTTGAGAACGACAATGCCGCTTTCGGCAAGGTCATTCGCAGCCTTTTGTCCAGCGGTCTCGTCATGGCTGGTAGCAGCGGCACCTTCAAGGCACCTCTGGGTGTATCAAATGCTGTTCTCCCTGCATGGCGCAAGGCCATCATGTCCATGCAAATGGGCACTCTCTGGGACTCTACTCGTTGGGAGGACATGCTTGCGGACCAGAAGAAGATCACCGAGGTTTACATGCCTCAGATTATCGCCGTGACTCCCGGTAGTGGAACGTACATGAACGAGGCCGACTTCAACCAGCCCGACTGGCAAGAGACCTTTTATGGCACCAACTGGGATCGTCTTATGACTATCAAGAAGAAGTGGGACCCCAAGTCGTTGTTCTACAACTGGCGAGGTGTTAACAGTGAGGTTTGGAATGTCGCAAAGGATGGCCGTATGTGCAGGGTCTGAGTTTGGATGTGAATTTCCGTGTATATATTTGGGATGTATACATAGTTTAACGACCACGTTGCATGGTAAGGAGTATTAAATACATTTATATATCAATTAGACCATCATATTAAAGGCAGAAGTTGAATGTTAACTTGACGCACGCGTTTGACATAAATTTGAGCGCATATCGTTTGCTTTCAACTTGCCAAGTACCCAGTTGGCGGACTGCTGAAACTTTGGGTGGCATCTGATTTTTGACAGCAATGGTTCCTGGCAGGGATTGTATGTACCGTGTGCTTGACAGCAACGTGGTTCAGCGGTATGTCATTGGGGCAACGTGACTCGATCGTATAGTTCTATTACTAAGATGTGATATGAATGACAGACGCCACTTTTAAGAATGGTATGTCTTGCCTCAAAGACCAGCTAAGCTTCAACTTGATCATTGGCCACTCGTTCCATCATCAGACCTTTGGATCTGTTACCCCAACAGCGTCGCTACCAATGAGCCGGTGGCGTTTTCCACTCAAACGGTAGTCTTTCCCCTCACTTTACATCATGATCATCTGCAGAAGAATGATTGGCGGCGCTTGTGTCACACAGTTAGTGCACAAATACACAAACATTCCGAAAACAGAAAGAAATAGACAAGCAAATTCAGATTGTTGATATTTAACGATTGTTCCCTCCAGTCACCATAATAATAAACTTGCTTGCTTTCCAACTACAGGGTATCTCCATTTTACCTAATGTGAATCAATATCAGGTGGAGATTGGAATGCGCTACGTATAAACACGTTGCCGAGTTGCCGACACTTCCGCGTCTTCCATTCTTCGGAAGAGATTGAGAAAGACAAGATAATCTTCTTATTTTTCTGGTTGTGCATATATGCCAACAAAGTTTCCAAAATGGCGCCTGTATACAAAATTGCCATTATACAGTTTGAGCCCAAGGTAGGCCACCGGCAGGGATTATGCTTAAATACGACATCCCACATTTTCAATTTCGGTTGCTGTCATACAAGCTGACTCATACATCAACAGGCCATCGCTCTTGAAGAGAACTTTGCCAAAGCTGAATCCCATCTACGATCTGCTGCAGAAAAGGGCTGCGATATAGCACTCTTGCCAGAATTTCACCTCACATCATGGGCTCCCGAACATCCTGAGTTCGTATCTGCGAGCAAGAAATCAGCAGACTATCTTTCAAAATACCGAGACCTCGCCCAAGAACTCAACATCAACATTGTCCCCGGCACAATTTGCGAGGTCCACAACGTTGCCGACAGCAAAGATGAAGAGCTTCGTAACATGGCGTACTTTTTAGCCGCAGGAACAGGCGAGATTTGCAGTGCGTATCAGAAGAAGAATTTGTGGCACCCTGAACGACCACACTTGACTTCATCAACGCATACACCTCACACAGCTTTCGATACACCGTTGAAACATGCCAACGGTAAGCCTGTACGCGCCGGTATGCTTATTTGTTGGGATCTTGCTTTTCCAGAAGCGTTCAAAGCACTGGTCAATGACGGCGCAGACATAATCTTGATTCCGTCTTATTGGTTCATGAGCGATGCGGGCGATGAAGGAGGTGATCTAAACCCCGACTCAGAGAGATTGTTTCTCAACTGTGCTTTGACAGCGAGAGCGTTTGAAAACACAGCTGCGGTCGCGTTCTGCAATGCTGGTGGGTTAAGTTGTGTCAACATGCCGATTCTGGGGCCTTTGGGAAGGATTGAGGTAGGGGAGGAGAAGATGGAGATTATTGATGTTGACTTGGATGTATTGAGAATCGCCGAGTCACAGTACAAGATCAGGATGGATATGCAGAGTGAAGGGTGGCATTATAAGTATGGGATGAATGGTGAGAAGGTATAGCGAAAGAGTTGAGATTTGGTAACGCAGATGACGAAAATTAATAGTATTGACTGGTTTTCATTAATGGAATCTCTCACTATTTACATGAGAAAGACAAAGGAAGACAAAAGTCAAGGAATCTGGGAGGATGTCGATAATGATTGTGGTAGCCAGCGAGATGTCTCAAGATTGAGGATGGAAGGATAAATGAACCTGAACTCTAGTCTAGGTAGCGTGAATTAACATACTAATTGGATCTCTCATGCTTCTAACGGTTGACTTGTATGATAACTTGGAGAGTACCTAGTATACAGATGGATGACAAGGTTGGGTTGAAGAGGTCGTACTTTCAACCAATTATGCTTGTGATGGAGGATTTTGCCTCGGCATGACATGATGGTCACGTGTCTCCACCTTTCCAAGGACCCACTAATCAATCAATTGAATATTGAGAAGTATGTTGATATCTGTTTTCATCGCCACCATGGATAGGCATGTCAAAACAGGCTGATCATCATTTTCCGTCCACCAACGTCAAATAAATCGGAAAAAAGGCAAAAAGATATGCGACCGAGGGGAATCGAACCCCTCTCTAACGCTTGGAAGGCGTTAATGCTAACCACTACACCACGGTCGCTTTTGAACATGACTCGTGTCGTTATTGGTGGTCATCGCCAAGAAACGCATTATATATACACACCTGTTTGAACCACAGACACACAGAAGTATCCAACACTCAGTCTCTTTACACATATTCATTGCGTCTTGATCTATCCAAGGAATGAGTGATGACTTCCTTACCAGGAACTCCTAAACTCTGATTCAGGGGCGTGTCAAAGCAATGTCATCGTGATTCACGCCACCCGTCACTGTCACCATGTCTGGATCCTCGAGTTTCAGATCATAGGACCTGAATTTATCAATTGTAACACAGTGTGGATTTGATAGTTGCTGCAGGGTTCGACTGCCCAGTATTCCAATTTTCCCCAGCCTTGTCAATCTGACCTCCTCGTCCCGCCATGTCAAAGACGAAAGGGGCTTCAGTCTTAGTTTCTATATGTTAGATAGGAACGTTATGGTTGCTGTTGGCCGTTCTTCTCCATGACTCCGTGTCTGTAGAAGTGTCCGACGTGGGGTTGCCATCCCTGGCACCGCACAGAAGATCAACACTGGAAACGTGGGCGGATTTGCCCGAATCTGTGGTCAAAGGAGACTTAAAAAATCTCTGTTGTATATGCTGCATCTGCTGCATTTGCTGCTGAGAAGTGGATGATCTCACTCGTGGCATGAGCTTCGATTATGCGTGAGCTATCATGAACCACGGCACAGAATCATAGGTACTTGTATAATATTACCTACTGATCGACAATTCTGTAAATCATTCCAGAATCACTTTAAAAGAAGATGCCAGTGATCCTAGTAACAGAATACACTCTCTCTTTTAAAGAGTCACGAGCCATAAGCATTTGAGATACACGATATAAACAATCTGATAATACATCTTCTTTGCTGAGTGAAATATATTAAAGTTTTCTACCACATCGCAATTCTTATTACATTGTTGTAAGACAATAAATACAAGACACTACATCTTAGATTCTGGAGAAGGACGCTGATCTTCATTATGTCCAGTACCGCGTCTAATAACTGCCACAATATACAATCAGTCCCAATGCAACTGGTGCTATCGATTCCGCTCTTCCAAGCCCCGCCACACCAGTAGTGACATGCGACGCTATGATATCTCCTCCGACGCAGACGTCTGTATCTGAGAGAAACCCTCGCCCCGCAAAAAGAAAGAGCACTGCTACTCAAAAGCCCGACGTCATACCAGATTCAAAGGAATCCCTCGAACCGATTCTTCTAACCATCCGAAGGCCGATGGACTTGATACACCTGGAGCCAATTAACACTCTTTCTTCTCCTGTCTTTGTTTTTTATTCCTCTTCTTCTCAACTGTCTCCATCTCACCAATAACCCGCTGCTGATGTTGCTGGTGCTACCCACTGTTATAGTTGGAGTTGTGAGACCGACTTGTATAGTGAATAGAGGAGGTGTGAAAGTTTTGCTTTAACTGGGTGGGATACCTCGTAGTGCGAGATATATGACACACATTTCAAGATTCCATCAATGACACCGATGGAAACTTGATGATGGCGCGATGCCATCCAAAGAATGTGTAGATTGCCTTGTAATGGATCTCATACGTAGACCTTGAGACTGGAGAAAGTCTAATGCTATGTGCTGAAAACAGAAAAAACAATTTAGTCAATTTATGCTATATTGGACCTAGCTATACATCATTTCTTTTCTGCATGCGACGGTCAGGCTTCGATGTTTCTGGTACCTTGTAGTTAGGCCATGTGTTGTCCCTGGCCAGAAGAGATGATGCCAACCAGGTCATCAAGGTTCTCAGCAGGTCAACAGGGTTAATATCGTCATAAAAGCCTCTCGATTCGAATTGAACCTCAAGGTGATACTAACTTGGAGATGGTTAGTTGAGCCAATTATCTTACAACAATTTATAATGCCCCTAATCTAACCTCATCACTTCCAATCTTTGATCCAGATCTTCTGCTCTGTTGATCGCTGATGTTAACGTCAACAAGCATCATGTAATGCTTTGGTAAATCCCCTCGAAACAATTAATCGATGTACATATTAGTGGAGTAAATAAATGGCTGACGACAGTGATGCTTAGTATCGCATTCTACCTGGTTGGCCTCAATATCTCCAGTCCCTGAATGTCGTCAAGCCTTTTGGCGATTCCACTCCACAATGTTTATTCTGTGAGCTACTAGACCCTTTTGACCCTAGATCAAGTCTAAATTCTTGACTCTCATCAATGGTAGCAAATGGAGTGGCCGAAATTGTCATCAAGGTACTTACACCATCTTACCCTGATGGCCTCCAGGAATCACACCTTGATGAGCACGGATGATATCTCGTGTAAGTTGAGAATGACTAGAAATATCCAGGTTCGAGAGCAACAATCTCTACTCCTTACTTCTCATATCAATCTCCCTCATTACCCTTTCCTCATTTCTTTTCGGCGCCCAAAATGGCTAAAACCAAGGTCAAAGGCATCAAGAACAAAGTTGTTAGGAAACCCAATGTTCCTTTAAAGGCATTGCCTGTGACACTCCTTTCTGGATTCCTAGTATAAGTTCCTCATCTTTTGATCTTCCGTCTTTTCTAATTGTACCCAGGGAGCCGGTAAAACAACTCTTCTTCAACACATCCTCCGAAGTGAACACGGCCTTCGCATTGCAGTGGTGGTCAACGACATAGGAGCGTGGGTATCCCACCTATCTTAAGCAGAGTCAGTTTATCTGACTTTTTAGTATCAATGTTGATGCATCTCTCATCAAGCAAACCCATCGTGTCAACAAAACACAAGAGAAAGTCATTGCCCTTCAGAATGGCTGCATTTGCTGTACCTTACGAGGAGACCTCCTAGAAGAGCTGGTTCGACTCGCTCAGTTACAAGAGTTTGACTACATCATCATCGAGAGCAGCGGGATTAGTGAGCCTGAGCAGGTCGCTGAGACGTTTGACTCGCGGTTGGCGGAGCAGATGGATGCCATGGGGTCTATCGAGGGTGCACCTGGGCTTGACGCTGACATGATCAAAGTTCTCAATCAGCTGTAAGTCTTTCTCTTTCCATAGCGATGACTTGCAATAGTTTGTTGGAATGCCATTAACCTGTCAATAGAAAGGAAGCTGGTGGTCTGGAAAAGTTTGCCAGGCTCGATACCACCGTTACTGTCATTGATGCATTCACTATGCTCCATGACTTTGACACAAGTGACCTGCTATCCTCTCGAAGGGACGATGTTACACCAGAAGACGAAAGAACAGTCTCGGATCTCATGGTCGATCAAATCGAGTTTGCAGACGTCATCATCCTCAACAAACTCGACATGGTTAGTCAAAGGCTTTTCTTTTTCATTAAATATCATTAACAAACTATTAGGTCGACGCATCTACAAAGCCACGATTGCTGGATTTGATAAAGAGACTTAACCATCGGGCCAAGGTCGTCGAATCAAGCTATGGAAAGGTTGATGTCAAGCAAATTATCAACACAGGCACTTTCAACCTGCAAGTTGCCCAAGCAGGCTACGGGTGGCTTCAAGACCTTCATGAAATGACAGTCCGCGAGGTGAGATACACACACCACAACAGAAATGTCTTTCACATGCTGATTATCACAGGTCAATGGACGCAACGTTGTTACACCAAAGCCCGAGACGGAGGAGTACTCTGTCAGAAGCTTTATCTACAGTCGTCATAGGCCCTTTCACCCTCGGCGTCTCTGGGCATTACTCTACGACAAGTTCATTCTCCAACTTGAGCATCCCGACGAAGAAGATGATGAATATGACGAAGAAGACGACGAAGATGATGACCTTGAAATGGTGGACTACGTAAATGTCCAAGAACCATCCACAGAAGTCGACCAAGAAACTGAAGACTCGTCTTCATCACGCGGTAAACGCTCTGCACCAACGTCGCCTCAGAGCTCACACTCTACCATCGAGTCGGCACCTTCGCTAGAGCCTGCCTCCAAGAAGCAAAGGCTGGCCGACACAGAGATGGACGAGACAGAAGATTTCTTCACTCCACCCAACGAAGTCATCCTCGAAACCAAGCGCAACCATCCCGTCTTTGCCCGTCTCTTCCGCTCCAAAGGCGAATTCTTCCTGGCAACACGTCCCCACCGTGCAGGAGACTGGTCTCAAGCTGGCGCAATGCTCACCATGACAGGTGGAAGGCCATGGTTCTGCACCCTTCCTCCTGAGGACTACACAACAGGTGACGCAGAGGTAGACGGTCTCGTACAGCATGATATCGAAAAGGGCGGCGAATGGGGCGACAGGCGTCAGGAGCTGGTGTTTATCGGAGAGAATCTGGATCACAAGGCACTTGAGAAGGTGTTGGATGAATGTCTCCTGACGGATGCCGAGTTCAAACAGTGGGAGGACGTTATGAGAGATGAGAATAAGAATATCGACGAGAAGCGCGAGGCATTGGAGGATCTGTTTGATGATGGATTTCCGGATTGGTCTGAGGATGGCGAGGAGGATCACGAGGGGCATGATCACTCCCATTCGGGTGGTCTGAGGTCGATCAAGAAGCACTTACAGGAAGTGGATTAGATTGGACTGTGTAGAAAAAGAAGTCAATTAGTTTAATCATCACCTGGGTATCTTACGCGTGGTAATGAACTCCCAAACTCCTCTGCTCCGGTCGCAAACTATGCCCCTGTGTAACCACCTATGCAATTAGTCCAGCGCCCAATTTGTGTTGATGCGTCCAAGGTAAGCATTCTTGAATCCATCCCCGCACTCGCTCTCAAAGCTGACCCATCATAGCAAAGTTGGCATCAACAGCCTCCTTCAGAACGAAAGAAAGGACTTCAACGTCCCTGCCCATGCAGATACTCCCCTTCGCCCACTCCCTAATCAAGACTCTTGCATGCCAGACGGCAAGACGCTTGTTGTACCTGGCCACCCTTTTCTCGCAAATGCTCTTCATGTTATCCCTCAGCTCGACCACCCAGTCGTTTCCGTTTTTATGGCGAACATCATGTCGTTGTATAGGGCAGAACAGGCCTTGCAGAGGTTCCTTTGGACGAGGAAACGGTTCTTCTGTTGTGAAACTGATGCTGAGTTGTGCTGGTTGGGTCTTGTAGGTGGCGATGCCGAAGACGGGGGTTTCGCAGTTCGAAGACTCGGTACAGGCGGAGAATGTTCGATGATCGCTTGGTTGGCCTGAAGATCAATGTCAGATTGAAACGATAGTGATGTCCTGGAATACTATTACTGCAGATGTAACCAACTTTCAGGTACCCTCTAGCAAAATCCATCTTTGGCTTTGTCATCTCTTCCTCGTCATTCGCCGACCAATCTTTGAATACAGCCTTCAGAAACTCTTCCATGGTAAGTCTGGTTTCCACAAACGTCACATCCTCGTCGGAAGCCATGTGGCACGCGTGAAGTATCTCGAAGCATCGTTTTAATTGCGTGTCGCCGAGGTCATCAGACGAACAGATAGAGCGCGGTTGTTGAAGGTTGTAATCGCCAAGTTCAAGTGCTGAAAAGAGGAGCTGTCGCGAGAAAAAGTTGGACAGAGGTATCGGAGAGACACTGCAGTTGTTGTTTTCGGTCAGTCCCGATACAGAGGTATCTGGAGAATCTTGCTTGTAAGATGAGCGGAACGTTGATGCAAACTTTGGGATCGGGAATGTTTCTGGCGGGGAAAGAGCTAAATGGGCGAACGAGCTTGGAGGGGAAGAAGAATATTTTCTGTACATTCCGAGGAAGTTGCCGTTGAAAGAAGAGAGAAAATTCCCTCGAGAGCTTCTTAAGAAGAGAGGCCTTCATGACGAAGGGCACAGTTGCAGTGAATCATCGCGGTGCAGCTACATCTTAACACCACTTGAAAAAACCACAAGATACATGGAGGAAACCAGCGCAGGCAATCGATCAAAAACAAAACCAGCCCCAAACAGATATGATAGAGGAAAAAACAGTCCCTGGAGTAATATGGATCTGTCAATAATTAGCTCCTTGGTCGGGCAGACAGTCAGGCTCGGCACTTTAACTTGGGCTCCATAGTGGTACCTCCCTGGCACCCCCTGAACAAGACTGTTTGAACAAAGGCTGCTTTACACAGAAGAATATAACTATTCATCAAACAAATCAGATCGAAGGGATAAATCTCATCGGTTCTCAAAGTGTAGATAACAGGGACAGACAGAGCTGGACGTTAGTTGACAGATTGTATCAGGCCATGTCTCAATAATATTTCACAAGCCAATCCAAATAGAAACCACTCTCGGACGTCCGCTCCGGGTATTGTTATTGACAATAGTACTTGTACATACTAAACACGTCATTGTCTAGAACCCCATGACCATTTTATCACCATGTTTGTTTTCTTAGACAGGACGACATATCAGTTTCCATTTCTTCTGAACTGTGAAAGGTGTCATGAAGATCGGGAAGTTGATCGCCTGGTTCCCGCGTATCTTCCTGAGATTCTATGTCACCTTCAGTTGGTCAAGACTCAGATGACGCTCATCGAGGTGTCATGCCGTCTTGAGATAATGTCACTGGAAATGTCAAGTCGCACACTTCGCCTTACGAGGAATTTACCTCATCATTTATCATACTGACTTCAGGACATGCGAGAGATCATCAATCCTGCAGAAAGAATACTGGAGCTTGAATCACACTGTTCGATGTGCATGGATTGTTCCAGGCTTAGTCTGGCAGGGTTAGATGCGCCAAGGTGCTGTTTACCACTGCACTGTGCTATACAAGGGGATAAAGAAGCATTGACTGGTTGTTAGTCTGTAAGGCCTATGCAGACACACTTGCCGGAGCAAAGTGATGGCGGCGTGGAGAACGCAGCAAACAGGGCGAAGTGATATGCTTAACGGGATATCGAAACATTTGATCTATCTACACCTCATCCAATCTAGACTATACCTTGCAATCTCAAATTTATTTCTTAGTTTCTCGTTTAGATGGCGCCATCCTAAGTCGAGAACATTTCTGATGATGTGAGGAGGGAGTTGTGGCCCTTTCTTTGGGGTGGTCCACAACAGAAGGGGCGAAAGATTGTAGATGACGCGACGCATCCAGGCAATGAGAACAACAATAGCGTTACAACCGGTGGCACGTTGCTTTTTCTGTTCCTGTTCTTACCTCCTTGAGATAGCCATTCTGATTTTGATGCAAGAGACTGAGGACGGGGAATGGCGGCTGATAATGTCAGAAGCCGATGGATGTAGCGATAGCGGTGGCTGATGCCATTGGCAGGGTCGAGAGGAATCGACGCAGACGCCTCCTGCAGGAATGTGCAGGACACAATATAACAAACAATAACAGGACCCGTGCTTTGGCCCACAGTCAGTGTCATTTTTGCTGGCAGGATCATCTGTGCCAGACGAGTAGATTAACATTACTGATCTACCTAATATGAACAAACCAGTGTTGACACAGTAAAAATATCCGGAGTCGGTAAGTTATGTTGAATTACTATACAGAATTGGGCATTTGGGGAAGTAAAATCTGGATTAATCAAACTTTGAACAGACAGTGAGTAGGTGAGAGCAAGCGTTGCAGATCTTCCTGATAAAGGGTTGTCCCCCACAACGCAGGGGACAATTTGTGCAACAGAGGCCGGAAAGTAAGTCCTTGATATCTTATTGGTTCCAAGTTATAGTTGGCCAATAGGACATCATGGTCTGTTGTCGATTGAGCACTGTATGGACTGTGGGCTTGTTTGTGGCTTAGTGGCCGGCGAAAAAAACAAGACATGGCAAGACATGCCGTTGCAGTCGGAGTTGCGACTCATGGGAACAGCAACACTTTTGTCATCTTGGGTGTCGTTCATTACGCGACTCGTCACTGAACCACAGAATAGATAGAAAGCAACACTGAAGGATTGCAAACGATATCGCAGATGATAATGACAAGACAATGACAAGACAATGATAAGGAATGGAAGATGACAAGTGGAGGTGTCCTCAAGATGCGGGGATGTCAATGTCCCGTCCATCTCCTGGACCAGCTGAGCTTATGCAGGGCCAAGCTCCACTATCCATTTCCCCATGCTGATGGTTGCACGTTGCTTAAGCTCTACGCGTTTTTAGGAAAAGCAATTTATTCACGGTTGCAAGTTTCATAATGGTGACGATGGTCATTTATATTCATGGTATTTATGTAAAGTATCAAGAGTCAACTCGGATATACTGGAACAGAAGCTTGCGCATTCAAAATATGTGCAATTAAAAGATCTATGATTCGACTGTTAGCTGTATGCTCTGAAAGAGTTCTTCAAAACATTAGGTATCAGACGTATCCGTCATACAGTATTGTTGGTGTCAACAGAAAATTCAGGGTTAAAAAGCTCTTGAACATTTATATAATCTTGCGGAGGGATGAAAAGAAAATGATTGCGACTAACCTTTTTGACCTTGAAGCAATGTGTTACTAAAAGGTTAGCTTGACGGTGAGTGAACGTAGCAATTGACGCGTTCCAGACGCGTTATGTGCCTGCGACTTGGCTGCGCAGGTGCATCTAACGCTGCAAAAAGCAACGCTGACAAGATTGCATGCCAGGAGATGAACTGCACGAGCAAGCCATGTGCATTTGAGACGGTTTTTGTTGTCTCTGGATGAAGAGTGTGTTGAACATGAAAGAGAAAAAAGAATGCTCGAAATATATAGCAGAGATTTCTCGTATCTTATCTCTAGCGCGCTGTACGGGTCCTCGTCAAAGTGCTCTCATTGGTGGGTGGATACAGCGCAAGGTGTCAAAGCAACGGTTTAGTTGACTTCTGAGTTTGCTACTACCTACACCAGACTTGGTAGAGTTGTTCAATCTTGTGTGATGGATCCAAGAGTAAAAAGACAACATTCACCGACTCGGATGGCAAAAGGAAACTCCGGTACAGGGAATCGAACCCTGGGCTCCGCGGTACTGATCTCTCAAGTGATAGTGAGAGCGCGAAATGTTAGCCACTACACCATACCGGATTTGACTGAAAAAGCTGTTCATGTTTGGGCTCATGGCTGCCAAACGCAGGCCGAGAGAACTCAACGAGGAATAGTGCACATCATGCTAGATAGCTGGTATAAGTGTATTTTGCTGTATATATGTCTATCTCCTCAGTCATTTAAAGACGAGACTCGAGAGAGGCCCAGGCCCAAAATACAGATGATGACATTTAGCATTTCCCGCTTGAACCCTCATTCTTGATATACAACTGTAGGGGTAGAACCAATCTTAGGGGTACTGATGCAATGATGATCGTGATATGTAGGCGATACGTTCTTGCAATCAGGCAAGAATAGAACGTTGGCGGAAAAACCCTTTCGGACGATGAGAAGGCCGGAATCAGAGCTTTAATTTGAGCCGTGAAGTTTTGGACACTCGATGATGCGACAGTGTTTGTCTCTTCAGACGCATTTCTTTCCCAGACTAAATTCATCTCCGCGTTTCTTTCAAGAACTTCAGAGACACTATGGCAGTTCTTGACCTCTTGGATATCTGGTAGTTCTTGCATGGGTGCTGTTTGTGACCACGTTTGTGACTCGAACTTTGCAGAGAAGATACAGCTTTGAGGGAGAGCAGGCTTGCCTTTGGAGAATTCTAAGCAGAAGAAGCCAGTAATGTCGATTGGTGGGAGACTTCCACTACCAACGGGGAGGACTAGAGTCGTAGGTGGGTTTACAGACAAATTGATATGTCCTGAGTTGCCTGTGAAGAACTTTGATTTAAGTTGTTGAGTGGCTGTCATCTTTGTATCGTCAACCATATTTGGTATCAAAAGTGAATGTTCAACGAGAGCCGGTAGAACATTGAATGGTCGCCCAATTTCCATTCGTGTACGTCCATACGACCAGACTTCCGCAACGATAATATACTCGATTTCAACACCTGCTGGAAACATAGCTCGTCTTGCTTCTTTGTCCAGGTGAGATATTGTAGGCGGGAGGCATGAATGAAGCTTTTGAATTTGTGTGCTGTCCACATCATGGGAGCAGCCTTCATGACTGCCAGGAAGTACAAAAGAGAACGGAACGGTGTGATTCCAATAATCTAGAGGTGGCGAAGTACTTTTCTCAATTTGCATGTCCAAGTCAAGCAGGCGATGCCAAATCTGGTGAAAGTCCTTTCGCCTAACACTCGAATCGCATCTCAGTTTGATCGAGAGTCTTGGAGATCCCGAATGGTTCAGTTTTACTGTCCCCTTAACTATCGACCCGCTGCGATAGAATTTGGAGTTTGGGGGGTCGTCGAAAGAAATGCTGATGCCAGTTTCCATTTTTTTCACGAATTCCGCGTTCCACAGCCTGTAAGGGTACCACCATTGTCTTTTACCCAGGCGTTTCGACAATGATGTGCCAGCTCGTTCTGTGTCTAGATTCACCATTGCAATAGACTGAAGGAAAGCAAAACAATAAGCGCTATAGAGAATAGAAAATAGAGTCAGATTGTGGAGGCGGTTGAATCCTGTTGTATGATATTTTTTCTACTCTGAACTGTGCCGCATGTTCTTCAGTTACGGTAAGTGATTCACAATTTCTCGTGTTCTGCTTACTGCTATCTGACGAGATCACCATCAACACACAGACAGACATAGCATTCCCCACAACTGAGTCACAAGCTAACAACGTATACGAGGCCAAGGAATCAATTGATCGATTCAAGTCTGATGACGATCTTCAACACCTATTGCATATTTCTCGACGTTGTGTCCACAGTTGTTCTTACAATGCTGCCCCAGATGACCGGAAAACTAAGGCGCCGAGGAACAAGGGATAACATTAGTATGAAAATTCTTCTTGAATTGGAGTTTAGTTTCAGAGAGTTTGTTCCTTCCATAAAGTCTCGAGGCTGAGTCTGCCAGCACCTACTACTGGAAAGTGACATGTATATGTCAGACCAAGGCTCGAAACGTAGCGTGACATCGATCCTAAGTCACTACATCCGTCGAGCAACCTTACTATTGACAAAAGAATCCTAAATAGCATATGAACATATGAATGAGCATCGTGATTTGAATCATAATGGGGGCGCTCAAATTACAAAATCGGATGTTGCCTAATGGCTGGCTGCATTTACCTTGAAGATACCTTGAGCGACTTTCAGATAATAAGCGAAGGTGCTCCAGACGAAGGACTTGGCCTCCATCGCCACACTCAAATACAGGCAGTGCAACGGTGTCCTCGAAATTTAATGCAATATTGTTTAGTAATCCGTACTATGAACCACCTGTCATCAAGCCCCTAATATTTGTATGACTATACTAGTGTAGCCGATTTATGCCATCCAAGGCTGACCCAACCATCCAATCCTCCTCCTCGATGTTCCCGCTGGATGATCAGTAGACCATCACCGGCTTGCTTCGAACGATTCTATCGTTGCCCGAAACTTGCCGGCGTCAGCGCAATTTTCACCAGTTCGTATGGCCTCTTGAAGCTGTTTCGCAATATAACGATCGTTGCGCCCGCCCCATTGCATGGGCGCGGTCCAGGCGTTCGGTAAGTAACCGGAGTTATTCAATATTGGGTCTCGCGGCATCTTCATGGCTTTTTACGGGATAACGGGCAGCATCAACATCGCCAGCCGCCAAGGCCCCGTGGAGACCTATTAGATGTGTTTGTTTCACATCGAGAGGTATGCCATCAAATCCCCCCCTGAAGCGTTCCAGTCGGGGACCAAATGATGACATCTCCTCCACATTATTAGGTGGAAATTGCATCTCATCCATATCAAGCTGTGAATCATCACTGTCTGATTCGGATTGTTGAGGTTCTGCAGACTCGACCAATTGTTTGGGAATAGTAGCATCTGACCTAATCAACCGGTGCATCCTACGCATACACCTTTTTGCTGCGTCCGCCTCGTAAAGTCAATCAAACACATCGCCGTGAGCTCTAAAAGAGAATCAGGCAACTGATCACTGTCCTCTGCCTCGCCCAAGATATTACCACACATGAAAGGTAGTTCCCATTCTTGAAATTTAAAATCCCCACCGTAGAGTTCAGGCTCACAAACATCTCTCACCAGTTCCAGCATCTTCCAGTTTATCACAGGCATAGCCAGGTAGGGTCATGCAAGTTCGGGCACCTCCCCGGTCATTCTTCGTTTAAGATGTTTCAGTATACCGACTGGTGAAACGCGAATGTCTTTTTGAACGTTTGGAGTCTTGGTCTTGGCTTTCCCTTTGCCTTTGTCTTTGTCTTCGGACTCGACATTAGAGAGAATGGCACTGATACTCTCCGTGGTCCAGTTCATCCGGTGCTGATTCCTATGATATGTCTCCTGAAGAATTTTGTGGATTGAAGCTCGGCTGACGAGAAACTCGGCACCTTTTTTGGTGAAATCTTCGACCTTGAGTGGTCCAAGGAGAAGCCTATCCTTGTGAAAGGTCGCCGCAGATACACCGATCTGCAGCATGAAGCGCTTAGCGTAGTCGGAATAGTAGCTAGGCTTCCCACTAACAAAGAATTGCTCTTCTCCAAATATCTGCCATAACATCTCCATATCTTCCCAGACGTAATCAGAATATTCTCCCTGCTTAATGGCGTTGAACAAGTGTGCAGGAAGGATGATGGAGCCCCAGGCAATTGTAACATTAAGACCAGCTTCGTGAATCTCGGCACGATGGTAGTACAATGCCAAACCAGCGATGATCGGAGACCTTTTCAAAATCCTCCACTTGTCTATTTTGGAGAGTATGGCCCGTTCCTCTCTGGCACCGCCAGTGGTTCTTACGTGCAATGTCCTCAACTTGTGTATCGGATTGTCCAAAAACCAGTCAAAGCCTTCCTGTGTAGTTTCCAGCCACTTCTGATCTTGAGCCGACCAATGGGGGGGACTTGACATTCTTTATGGCTTTAATGGCATCATTTAAAGCATCATTTATGTCTTTAACTCGCGCGATTGCGGATTGGAACAGAGGCTTCAGCATAGTTGCCGGTGACATGGTGTATGTCGAGATTGACCTGGGCCGCGAACACGAGGCTGAAAGGGATCTCCTTGATTTCCCTGAACTCCCGGACACCTCGAATGAATTCGTCCGTGCATGGATAATCAGGAACATTATCAAGCAGAAAACACTCGAACCAAAGCTCGGAAGCGATGATGTTGTCTTCCCTAAGCTTTTGCTGATAAGTCTTCGATTCCCAATGTGTTTCAAAATCACAGACACCAAAGGCACCTTCCGGAAAGAAGGAGTTAGCAGTGTCCCAGTGAACTGAAGCAAGGGCTGCCAGAGAATTGGCGGTGTAGAAATAAATGAAGTTGAAAGACTCGTACGACGCTTTTCGAATCGACACCGGCTCTCCCGCTAGATCAGGATACACGCGAGTAATGAGCTCCGTAGCGATAACCAGATGACCGCCGTACTTGCCAACTACGGGTATCACCTCCTCAGCAATACTTTTACTAAACTTGATGGCAATATTTGCCACAACAGCCAGTACAGCTGGGCCTATACCCATTCCATCCTGTTCAAAGAATACACCTTCCCAAATGAGCTTAATATAATCTTGAATCTCGTTTAAATCCCGGCACATCATATAAAAGGCAACTAAAGCATCATCGAGTGACTCCCATGGATCAGCTTCGTGCGTAGACTTGTCATTCCCGGCTTGAGCGGGCATTTCCACGTCTGGTGCATTGAGAAATTCTTGGGATGGCTCATAAACTTTGAGTGCATCGAACTTGTTGGCCAATCGCTCGACTGCATCGGATGAACCGGACCCGGGCACGTCGGAGAATGGCTTGAGAACTTGGCCGACCTCTTCAAGAATTGAAACAAAGTAAGAATGTCTAGCATCGGATTCGACAGCTTTCTTTTTGCTGAGACGAGATAGTTCTTCGCTGAAGCCATTTCGTACAGAGATAACTCGATTGAGAGTATTGAAGAATGCCTTTGGAACCGAAAGGGTTGACTTTTCATGAGAGGAGATAAATTCGGGAAGGGGGAAAGAATTCCTTGATTTCGATGATATACGGCGAATCATCACCAGCCGCTTTTGACGCCTTTTTCTTGTTCTTCTTGCCTGCTCTATGCTTAGTCTTGGGCTTTGGAGCAGGTTTGGCGGGCAAATTCTCACTCGTGTAACTGCATTCTCTGGCTGTGGAAGCGAGCTATGATGCAATTGTGTAGGTATCATTTTTTTATTCCTTGTACACACTTACTAAAGCTGGTGGTAGCATGGTCACGGTTGCTAACTTGTTGGTCGAGTGTTAGGTTAGGTTCACGTTTCGGTTTCCCAGACGCGTTGGCAGTTCGGGGCGGAATCTTCCAATTGAACTGCCGTGCTGGCGGGTCAATAAAACTCTGAGTAACTGCAATACCGTGTCATGTCATCACCCAGCCATCGAACGCCAATCGGACCAGATGGTGAAGACTGAGTTCTCACTCTTAGTTTTCATTTAGGTACAACCTCGGTCTTAGATGTGCCATAACTAAGTTTGACAATGCCACTGTTATCCTACATCATCTTGTACTTGTATTGCAAGAATGTCTATGTCAAATCGGTTACATGTAATTATCAAGACAACAAGATATTATTAAAGGTAACCTATGGAAACACAAGACAATTTTCTAGAAATAAAACCTTTTCAAGTCTGCGTAATCAACACCCATCGCATCTCCCATCCTCTCAAATACAGAGCGCAGCGACCAGGACAGGGGTAAGCATGAGCACAAAACTGGTGACAGCTTGTGCTTCTGCCAGCGAAACAACAACAGGCTTGGATCCTCCTGGATATCCAGGCTTTCCTTCAGACTCTTCATCGGTTGGCTTGGGAGCGTCGTAACCATTGTTAGGAGTTTCACCATTACCTCCAGATCCTTCATTGCCGTTGGATCCCTCATAGTCACCACTAGACCCCTCACTTCCGCTGGAGCCTTCGTAACCGCCTTGAGAGCCTTCATGGCCACCGTCGGAACCCTCACTTCCGGTAGGATTGTGCTGACCACCACTAGATCCTTTGCTGTCACTGCCAGACTCGTGGTAACCGCCTGGAGAATCCCCATGACCACGGTCGGAACCCTCACTTCCGGTAGGATTGTGTTGACCACCACTAGATCCTTTGCTTTCACTGCCAGACTCGTGGTAACCGCCTGGAGAATCCCCATGACCACGGTCGGAATCTTCACTTCCAGTAGAGTCTTTGGAGTCATTGCCGGATCCCTCACTTCCACCTTCAGAGCCTGGCTTACCACCCCCATATCCGGGCTTGCCTTGTTCAGAACCTCCATGTTCACCGCTGTAGCCTTCATGTCCCTTAGGTTTGTCAAACCCATTGTGTCCAGACTGGGTGCCGTCATAAGGCTTGTAAAGAGTCCCAGTAGTAGAACACTGCTCGTATGTACACTCTGAGGGGTAGTACACAATGCTGTCTCCACTGTATTGCGTCTTCTCGGGCTTGTAAACGGTCTTTCCGGTACATGATGAGTCGTCACAGCGGTACGGAACGTACTCAACGCCGCCACGGCAAGAACATGGGCTGGCCAGAAAAACAAGCTCACCAATGCAGTCCTCTCCTGGGTAAGGATTGAACACGTAGACGGGCGAGTTTGGTGGCAGGTCAGTTGTTGGAACGCAGTATCCGCTCTGGCAGACTACAACGGCAGTAACAGTGGTGAAGAGGGTCTGCGAGGCTTCTGTAATGGTAGAGACAAACGTGGTTGTGACAGTTGTAACATCCGTGATGGTAGCACCAGATCCATTCGTAACAGTGGCACCGGATTCATCCGTAGCGGTGGCACCAGATCCACCTGTGAGGGTATTACCGGATCCGTCTGTAACGGCGGCACTAGATCTAGTGACTGTATTGCCCGGCAGAGTAACTACGTCACCGGAGATAGTAACCGTGGCGCCAGGTCCAGGGATACCCTCACCAGTCTGTACAACCTCACCTGACAATGTAACAACCTCGCCAGGCAATGTAATAACCTCACCAGCGACAGTGGTAACTTCACCGGGCAGAGTAACTGTATCACCTGGGATAGTGATGCTACCGCTAGCCGTGTCAGAGAAGGTGACATCGACATAGATGATGAGGAGAATGTTGGTGGAGATGTTCTGACGCTTGGAAAGGCGACCACGGCGGGCGGAAGCCAGATCTCCACCGCAAGTGTAATCATCATTGCCAGGGCATGGAATGTCACATTGGTCATCGTCGACCTTGTAGGCTTCCAAATCGGAGCCACAATAGCAGTTGCTATAGCGGTTAGTTATTTCGTCGTTAACACCCAAGAAAGCTTTGACTCACCCTCTGTAAGTACCGAAAAACCGACTTCCATCACAGGACTCAGCGCATAATTCATGGCGGTTGCTGTCACTGCTCCCTGCAAGTACAAAGTTGGGGAATCCATTGGTAGAGCCATGGCAGCCCAACAGTCGGAATTTACCAATAGCATCAGGATTTTGACGAGTACGAGATGAAGATGTCTCCGAAGCAGTTTCTGAAGCGCTATCACTGGTTTGATCTCCGCCGGCCATAGCCGAGCCGCTTGTCCGAGAAGCTGTTGCAGTGGTGAAAGTGTCATCAGTTTCGGTAATGGAAGTGCTGACAGGAGCAGGAGAGTCATCAGTTGTTGGGCCAGTGTTTGTGAGTGTGGAAGCGTCAACTGAATCATTACTGGTGGGCTGCTCAGTGTCCGTAATGTTATCCGTCTGTGTTCCTGGAGTGCTATCAGAGTTAGAAGCAATACCAGTGGAGATGGAGGTATCTGTCTCCACAGGCTTAGCGGTGGTGTCCTGGACATTGGTAGTGTCTGCAATCTCGGTTGTGGTGTCTGCAAGAGCATCGGTGGTGATGTCTCCATTAGCTGCAGTGGTGGTATCTGCAAGAGCATCGGTGGTGATGTCTCCTTCAGCTGCGGTGGTGGTGTCTACAAGTGCGTCGGTCGTAGGGTCTATAGCGATGTCACTAGTAGTTGGTTCGGTGCCCACCTCAGTTGTAGTGTCGGCAACTGCATCAGTTGCTGTAGTGGCGACATCGCCAGGAACACAAAGCCCTGCTTGTGTGTCACAATTAGGGAGCAAAGGGTTGATACAATCGTCGTCTGTTTCGCAAGTGACTCCCCCAACTGCTGCAATACAGAGACCAGTATCAGTATCGCAGTTTGGCAATAGAGGGTTAGTACAGTCGTCATCTGTTTCGCAAGTGACTCCACCAACTGCTGCAACACAAAGCCCGGTATCAGTGTCGCAGTCTGGAAGCAGAGGATTGGTGCAGTCGGCATCTGTTTCGCAAGTGACTCCTCCAACTGCTGCAATACAGAGACCAGTATCAGTATCGCAGTTTGGCAATAGAGGGTTAGTACAGTCGTCATCTGTTTCGCAAGTGACTCCACCAACTGCTGCAACACAAAGCCCGGTATCAGTGTCGCAGTCTGGAAGCAGAGGATTGGTGCAGTCGGCATCTGTTTCGCAAGTGACTCCTCCAACTGCTGCAATACAGAGACCAGTATCAGTATCGCAGTTTGGCAATAGAGGGTTAGTACAGTCGTCATCTGTTTCGCAAGTGACTCCACCAACTGCTGCAACACAAAGCCCGGTATCAGTGTCGCAGTCTGGAAGCAGAGGATTGGTGCAGTCGGCATCTGTTTCGCAAGTGACTCCTCCAACTGCTGCAATACAGAGACCAGTATCAGTATCGCAGTTTGGCAATAGAGGGTTAGTACAGTCGTCATCTGTTTCGCAAGTGACTCCCCCAACTGCTGCAATACAAAGCCCAGTATCAGTGTCGCAGTCTGGAAGCAAAGGATTGATGCAGTCTGCATCGGTTGTACACGTAACTCCGCCGACAGCTGCAATGCAAAGCCCAGTATCAGTATCACAGTCTGGAAGCAGAGGATTGGTGCAGTCTGCATCGGTTGTGCAAGTAATGCCGCCAACAATAGTCTCAATACAGAGACCAGTAGCAGTATTGCACTCAGGCAGAAGAGGATTGGTGCAGTCTGCATCGGTTGTGCAAGTAATGCCGCCGACAGCTGCGATGCAAAGCCCAGTATCAGTGTCGCAGTCTGGAAGCAAAGGATTGATGCAGTCTGCATCGGTTGTACACGTAACTCCGCCGACAGCTGCAATGCAAAGCCCAGTATCAGTATCACAGTCTGGAAGCAGAGGATTGGTGCAGTCTGCATCGGTTGTGCAAGTAATGCCGCCAACGATAGTCTCAATACACAAGCCGGTGGCAGTGTTGCATTCAGGAAGAAGGGGGTTCGTGCAATCGGCGTCTGTATCGCAGGTAACTCCCCCGACAATAGTCTCAATACAGAGACCAGTAGCGGTATTGCATTCAGGAAGAAGGGGGTTTGTGCAATCGGCGTCTGTATCACAGGTGACTCCCCCGACAATAGTCTCAATACACAAGCCGGTGGCAGTGTTGCATTCAGGAAGAAGAGGGTTCGTGCAATCGGCGTCTGTATCGCAGGTAACTCCCCCGACAATAGTCTCAATACAGAGACCAGTAGCGGTATTGCATTCGGGAAGAAGAGGGTTGCCACAGTCTCCGTTGACTCGACAGACGACGTTGGGCACGCGAAGAACGCACACGTCCAGACTGTTGCAAAAGTTCAGGCCTGGCAAGATACATTGTGCACTCGAGGTACATGCTGCTGCCCGGCCTGCTAGAGAGGTGAGGGCTGTGATGCCCAGTAAACGAGTGTGTTCTTTCATATCCGTAAAGACTGTCAACAACGAAGAACGTGAGAGGGGAGAAGAGAAAAACGAATGTCAATCCCAATGAGGATGGCTGAATGCTTGAGGGCTGAATATGAATAGTTCGCTGAGTCGATGAGATGATGGTTACCTTTATACTTGACAATCCATCTTCAACTTGATAACAATAGCCTTCCTGGTTTACTCAATCTCCTGAAAGTGTTCGATATCCGCCCTCGTTTTGGCTGTTGTCATGCTTCATTCCGAACAAAACTATGAACTCAAAGACTTGGCTGAACAAACCATTCCTTGTTTCGTAAGACAACTGTAGACTAGAATGTCTTTATGAGAAGATGATACCCCTTGCAACCTTTCAATGCCAACAGGTGTCTTTGAGACGCTGTGGCATATCCTATCCTATCTTGACATTTCCCCTTATTGGAAACACCCGTTAAAGTGGCAAGTACTGGCGCCTCCTTGTGCTGACTGGCAATCAGTCTCTCCTGCCGGTGAACGGGAGGGCGACCAGCCGAACATGAGAGTGGAATGCATTTATTCTGGATTGATGAGCTTTTTGATTCAGTTGCGCCCCATGCAAGATACATGTTGTAAGTCACGATGCCATGGCCAACAAAAGCCAATTTGAAGTGATCAAGGGAGTTTGGGCGCAAGGTGTCAGACAAGACGTGGTGAATGTCGATGCATCAAGAGTTGCATACAGCCACAAAGATGGTCACACAGTTCAAAAATTCTCCCTGAGTACGTGCCAGGGTGGCTATCATGCAACTGGATATCACATTGTTCCCACAGGTTTCAAGCCCCCAATTGATATGTCTGACACAGAGATCCATCAATCTGTTGTCACAAGTTAGAGATGATGTCCAGAGTGCTGTAGCCCTTACTGCCACGAGAAACCAATTCAAACGCTGGCTACCAAAAGTTCACAGCCAATGTGGCGTTTTGCTCCCTCTTTCTCCTTACGTCCGGACTCAAGACTTTGATGGAACATCTACTTAGTGCGAGTACAACACACCTCGGCATTATCGACACGTTGAGTCAGTGAGGGGTAAGCCACAAATATGTCGCCTAACTAAGCGGTAAATGTGGCTCTGGATTCGACGGAGTCCGGCAAGTGAGACAGCCACAGCCCTATTTTAGATGTTCTAATGTGACTGGTGATTGAGATGGGTACCTTGATTTACCTGTACGACGCACTGCCTCATACTGTGTGCTCGCATGTCTCACATCTTGTGGTAAGCAAATATACTGTTAAACCCCTGCGTCAACTGTCTTGCACGTATCCCCGTTACATGCATGTATCTAAAATGAGTCATGGAAGTTCGGCAATTTTCAGCTTCGCTCCATTCAATGGACAATTAATTAAGTATACTTTAGACTTAAACTTTCAGTATAAGACCTCCAAAGCATAATGAACTTTTCGGCATGCAGCTTTGTTATAAAAATCGGGGCTTAGAGAGCATTATTCTCACATCAAGAGCAGCTGAAATACAAACCCTCTTATAGCAGGAGAATACCTTGCTTATTCTTCTTCTTCCGAAAGTCTGCAATAAATTTACAGTGGTTATGTTGTAGCTGTCACTGGAACTCTTGGAACTACAACATGACCTGAAAAAAAGCAAGCTCCGTTATTTCACGGCCTGTAAATATCCACCACACACGCTCGGGTTACACAATGTCTTTGATTCACATAACTTCGTAGCGGAGGATTTCTACCGGTCCAATCACTAAACTCCATCGACACAAGGGAACCAATAATCAACCTTGCTGAACTGGTTGTTAGAACCAACATCTGAGACTAATGATCAGCTGGTGGCTGTGTCCATGTCTGAAAACTGATAATGTTTTTGGAAATAACAAGCCTCCGGTCTAGACCAGTCGACCTAATCTGAACACAATCATGTACAAGGATGATAAAAGTCGATGATGTGTTGCCAAGTATTAAGGTTGTGTCAGTTGGCCACCTCAGATTGTGTAACATGGCACGCCATCTTATTATTGGTCCAGGACGAGGAGCTATACCAGGGCAACTTGAACCTCATGCCTGAGGCGTGATGAGGCCGAGGTCGTTGGCATTTGAGTTTATGAGTACCTAATTTCAGTTGACTCCAAAGCTGCATCTTCCGATCTAGGTACCATCAAGCTAACAGAGGGCGATCGTTATTACGGAAAAGCGGGGACATTATCAATATCCTTCACAACACTCTACAGGCAACATAGATACTGTCAGTTTCTAACATATTGATCGAAGGGAGTCTTAGGCTACTGCAAGCCTCTTACTCCATGTCATAAAAATTCCTTCTTTCTGCTGCGCAGCTACCAGTCAGTATCAGTATCAATCAACCACTTATGTTCGCTTACTACTGCCCAATTCGATGGGCTACCTTACCCCAACCCACCCCCTGATAAACAGCACACTGCCCTCGATAATTACGTATGTTATTAGCTAAATCTACAGTTGACAAGCAGGTTTACTTTCAGGGCCAAACGCTTCCCCATCTCAAGCTCTTCTTTAACTTCTGTCTTCTCTTTATTATTGGGGAACATAGTGATACATCTATGATACATAGAGTTGTTAAAAACAGTAAGCCAAAATTATTCATTATGTCGCTCATTGCTATTCAAGTGTGGATAATCCCCCTAAGTATGCAAAATGACTCCATATCTCACCATGAGCCTTCCTCCAGTAGTCTTTCTGAACTGTTAGATAGGGAATCACTAACATAAAGTAATATGTCATGTTTGTGACATCGGGATTGCACTACTTCGCTTGTCCTCTACGTGTTTAAAATCCTATGTAGAGTCTCTTTAGGACATTTTATAAGACATTCAATGTCCATCCTATACAAAGATACTTTGTAAACCCTGAAATCATTACGACATCCCACAGTATGCCATCCTGATCAACCTTGGTAAACCAGATGCATTGGAGGTTACCCTTTTCAAAAAGACTTTACCAAGTTGTCCGTGTCCTTCGTAAGTTCTGATGCGACCACTCATAGACACCCAATAAAATATCGGACCTGCTTCGTCCTTCAGTGGAAAGGACTTTACTGTCAGTCTAAGCTCATTGTTCTCGAGCGTTGGGTCTGAAATTAATTTCAAAATCTTTTTGATGTAATAATCACTCTTCATCTTGAAAATCAGGTTCAATATTAATAATACGTCTGTGTTTTGATCCTCCCGACCTTTAGTCGTCTGGGATGGTCGCTGTTGAAAGACAAAAACGTTAACTCATCTCTATGGCTGAGAGCTAGGCCCGGAGAATTTAGTGGAAATGCGCAGTCTAGCGTTAAGAAAACGGCACTTAGGAAGAAGAAGATAAGAAAAAGTCTTACATTCCCCAGGACTGCCGGCAGTTGTTCCCTGCATTTCGGCGCTAGTTCTAGGCTAAATAAATCTTGAGTTGTCTGCAAATAGGGTTGCAAAAGGATGACTATCAAGTAGCGAAATAGTACTGTATAAGTCGATTAAGAACAAGCCTAGTCAGTATCTATAGGTTTTACTTGAATATATTGCAAATCAATATCTAACATTTGTAAGAATTAACATGCCAATTTGTGATGTATAGTGGTCCCAGGCTCTTTGATGTCCCACTTTGACATTGGTTTATTCTTGGCCAAGTGGTGTCCACTTTCCCTCCTTAACATCCTTTCGAATCCGTTCTGCAACGTCAGGAGGTGCCTCGCCAAAATGACTAGTATCATCCAACCAATTCCTTTCCTCCTCCGTACTGACCCTCCCAATAACAGCATTACGATAAGGATAGCGACCAAATCGCTTGATTATGGGCCAGTGAGCATCCAGAATCATGCACCACCAGTACGTCCAAGTTGCCATGCTGATATCGGCTCTATCCTCGACCGGTGGACCTTTAACAACCTCACGCAGGAAGAGAAGGTCATCTTTCAAGGTAATGTCTCTCGTTCTCCGGTAAGTATCATCAACCCCGGTGTATTTCTCAACAGCTTGGCGTAGTTCTTCTGATAGATCCAAACCAGTTGACTGACTCTCCAAGTCCTCTGCGTGCAGAAAAGGAGCCGCCCACATTGTCTGGGTAGCTACCCAATAGCTATAACTATTGCACCCTGCAGCCTTCCATCTTTCAAACTTGTACGGTTGTTGTTCCTTTGGTAAAGCATGCCACTGCCCTGCGGGACGTCTGCCAAGGGGCCCGAAGTAACCAGACTGCCATCGCGCATGAATACCAGTAAAGAATATTCTTGATGTTTGATCAAGAAGAAGTTGAAGACCGAAGCATTGTTGCGGAAAGTCTATAGCAGTGGGTGGTGGGAGGAGAGACATTAGGTCCAAGTCTGGTAGAGTCGCATCAGGGCTCAGCCGGCCGAGGGCGATAAGAGCATCTTTGGCAGTGCTCGATGCGCAGACTTTCTTGAAGTGTTCCGATGTTTCGTCAGATTGAACGTATGAGAAGCTGAGTTCTTTGTCCTTGGGGAATGGGAGATATCCCTCAGCGATTTGAGCTAGGAGGGCAGGAGTGATGACTGATGACAAAGTGTCGTAGTTACCCATCTTGCAAGAGTAATCAAAAAGCGAAAGCCACGTTCAATGTTAGAGACTCGAGGATTGAGGCTTTTTAGAAGTAACAGTATCAGGTTATATAGCAAGAAGAGAGGGGACACATGAGGGATATCGGTCAGCTTATGGTACGTTCGTTTTATCGTCATTAGTCATCAACCTTACCACTTGTTGCCCGAGTCCCATTCCATGACGATAACTGAACTGAGAAGCGGGCAATTATTTTTCCATAGGCAATTGTAGAATAATGACATACTAAAAGCATTCTGATGCGAGTCTATTTCAACCTACCTTGAGCAGCGTGATAAAGATTCCACCATACCAGCTTTACACGATGGGGATTTGGGATCCTATCTTGTAAGAGCGATGTTTCGGAAACAGCAGATATGAAATATGTATCTCTTCAGGAGCCTCGGTCATAATTCTCAGTGAAAATAGTAAGTGTAGCCATGTAATACGTGCCAAAAACGCTCGAAAGACATGAAAGGCAGACTAGATAGGCACTTCCTTAAGATCCTCGTGAACCTGTTCCAAAATACTAGGATGCTTCGCCTTGTAACCCATAACCGCCGCACGATCTCCCTTGATGAGCATGTTCGCCGCCACGAGATGCTTGACCTCTCCCTGACCAGCCTCTTCAAAGGGAACGTTCTTGGGCTCAGCAGTTGCAAAAATTCCTCGTGCATGCATCGCCTTGGCAAGCTGAGTGGCCATGTCCTTCCAAGTGACTCGGCCCGTTTCAATGAGGTAGTATCGGCTGTATGTTGTGCCTTCAGCAGGGCCTTTAGCGGCCACATCGGAGATATTAACGAGGAAGTCAACGAGGTCGAGTATATGTGTCTAAAATATCAGTACGAGTTTTTAATGTGGATAAAGGGAAGAGCTTACTGTGCTTAGGATGGCCGTTCCATCGCCGACGTAAGGAACATATCCCAAAGGCTTAGCATTCCCTGTGAGAAGACTGTACCCGATACCCATCGTCTTTGATCCAGTGTGAGCACCTCCATAAACGACTGAGGGACAGACGATCCAGGTATTAATTCCCTCAGCCTCAAGAACGAGTGTATCGGATTGTCCGTTGAACATGTCTTTGTGCACAGCCCTGATGTCGTCTTCGTTCGCATCATTCCAGACCTTGCTCACAGGGTTAAAGTTTCCAGACGTTCCAAAATCGATGAAGTTTCCTGCACCGCTAATGTGAAGTACTTTGCCTCTGGTCGTACGCTCCTTTTGGCCAGCGATGATGGCCGCGACCGGTTCGGAAGTGAAGGAGTTGCCCACGTTGACAGCGATATCATGTTCGGCGCTAGCGGCCTTCACTTTGTCAAAGTCGATGAAGTCACCAGTTATGATGCGATCTATGTTGAGGGAGATTCTGAGATCGGTGTTCGTGCTTCGGACATAGGCAGTGATCTGCCAGTCTGGATGAGCTTGCTTGAGCGTTCTTGTATAGGGGGCTGGTGGGGTTATCAGTATGATTCATATCTTATCAGAGGCGTGAACATACCACCGACAAAGCCAGATGCACCAAAGATGATAACTGAAGGCATTGTGAAGTGTTTTTATTGTAGTTTGAGTTGTCACACTGAAGTTTGTAGAAAGCTGATAGCTGGAGTTGGTGAGTAGGTAGATTGATGTAGATGTGATGGTATCAAGTCCGAGAAGAACTATCATGATGGTTCATATATATACAATTGATGCCCAAATCAATTGTCCGTCCTGAAGCTGCTGTCGATAACGCAATAATGCATTGCTTAGTGCTACTCGAAAGTCGTATTTCCAATCGCAATCGTCAAAAGATCAATAATCATTATCTTCAAGAAAAGATTCCAATTGAGGTTCCATACCCACAAACTTGACGTTATTCTTGATCAAGCATTTGCTTTACCTATCAACGCATTGGTTGATTTATCAGCCTTGTTGCATCATAGCCGCAGGTCCTCTTAGTAGGCCTAGCGCTTTCGGAAAAGACCCTCCGTTTCTAAGCGAAAAGTTGGTGCTTACTTACAGACCGCTTACAGAGAGACTGGTTCACACGTTCGGAAGTCGGCACGCATCAAATGATTTGTATTGACTGGATACCTTGCTTTCTAGGCCTTATCAGTTGAGGTCTTAGGTCTATGTCGAGCCTAGCCAGGCACTGCAGAGCGGTAATATTACACAAACGGTCCGCCTTTTCCAGTGTAAGATGTTTTCCACCAAAACAATTGCTTGTAAATAACTTCCGAACAGCTTCCGTGTCGAGATTGTTCATCGATCATGTCAACATATGGTATTGTTGCGGAAGCACCGTGCACATATCCTGGATCCTTTTCGGGGTTCGCTGTTGCAAATCTTCCATTTTTGCAGGGTCATGGTAGACTTAGAAGTGATCCATCCTACACTATCGTAGAAGAGTCTGTGTCGGATAGTAGATCAATTAAAATAAGGCTTTTGCTCTGCCTGAGCCCTACAAAGCTCGCATTTCGGAATGGTAGAATCCCCGAGCAAATAAATACAGCCAATCACAAGTTGTAAACTACCCCATTTAATCCAGGGGATTTGCTATGGAGTGAATCCTTCTCTCGCTTTTGTCTGTGAATGAGTACTTCTGCAAAGTGACAGCCACTACTCATCGTAAAGTATTTCCTATCGTATCCTGACTCCATTCCATTTCAGTCTTTGCCGTGTTTCCCGTCCATCATCTCATTATGCATATCAAGACACTATCTCTTAACGAGATTGCACTGAAGCCTGAAGACAGGGGTCCACTTCCATTCTGGCTTCCGTGTCGCTTACTCTAGCTGCCAATAACATAGATTATGGATCATGGAAAGCTGAGAAGGATGTTCAATCCCGGCAGTGGAGCAAAAGAATAGCCATGTTAGTCCTAGCAATGTCAACAGCACGGATTCAAGCGAGGATAAGTATTCTCGTAAATATATAAGAACATCAACCACAACTACTTGGCTATCCATCATCAGCCTCAATCCCCTACTTCACTCAAACGTCCTCAACACAAGTCAACATCTCCAACACTCTCAAAATGTCTCCAGAACAGTACCTCGCCGGCAAGACTGCCATTGTTACAGGCTCATCTAAGCTCAATGGTATCGGCGCCGCAACAGCTCTTGTTCTCGCCAAGCATGGTGCCAACGTCAGTCTTCTTCTCTCGCCTCTCTCAATCTATCCCATACTAACAATTGTAGATTGTAATCCACTATGCTTCTAACAAGGAAGCTGCTGAAAAAGTCGTCGCACAAGTCAAAAAAACCGGAGTTCAGGTCATTGCTGTCAAAGCAGATTCGTCGTCCGAGTCATTCGGTACGGATCTCGTCAAGGCTAGCTTGGAAGGTCTGAACACAAAGACAATCGACATCATTGTCAACAACGCAGGCCAAGCAATCGCACATCCTGAGATCGCAGCTATTGGAGCTACCAACTGGGACGATATCTTCAGAACCAATGTCCGAGGCCCATTTCTCCTTATCCAAGCCGCTCTTCCTCACATGACCCGCCGAGGTCGCATCATCAACATCGGCAGCATTGCTGGAAAACTTAGGATTCCTGCACTGACTGTTTACGGAACCTCAAAGGCCGCTCTGACATTCATGTCCACTGCCATGGCCGGCGAGCTGGCATCAAAGGGGATCACTATCAACGTCGTCTCTCCTGGACCCACAGCAACAGACATGACAATGGAGGGAACGCCTATTGGGGAAGTCTTGAGGAGTCACCAGGTTGATAAGAGAGAGGGCCACCCTGGAGAGATCGCAGAAACTATCTTGTTTATCGCAAGTCCTGGCTCTAGCTTTATCACAGGACAGGTCATTCCTGTGGATGGAGGGATCCATATGCCATAATGTGCGAAGCATATAGACCGTGAGAGAACATGTTAGAAGGTTTAGGTTTAAGGTAATCATTGGGCTGTGTGGCACCTGCTTTGGATTATTCCCATCATCTCGAGCCCACGATCCGAGCTACAAAAAACAAAAATTGGCCTATCAATAAAACCCATTATCAAGAGTGGAGATTTTCGAACACAAGTCTCTTCCAAAAACATCTATGTACAATCTCACAAGTCATAAGTCAAGATTTCTAACTACTTAGTAATAAAATTTAATGTTTCTAAATATGTGGCGAAAGCTTTGATTGCCTATCAGGATGGCTATTTCTAGCAGCAAGCTCTCATCAAAAAAACTATGCTTAGCCATTACAAGCTTAAAATTGACTCACCAATCCATATAAATTTTTGCTTTTCCTTAGGTAGAAGGAAAATTGACGAAGAAAGTTCCCAGACGTAGGCTCACATTCCCAATTCAGTCAATATGAATCAAACCTCAGCAATGAAACAAACTTTGGCACGCTTTTATATAAGAGTTTTATTCAAGAGCATGTAGAATTTCAAGGTTGAAATCCCTCAAAATATTTCTCGACACTGTTTCTCGCTTCCCTCAGCATCACCACCCTTTTAGAAGATAAACGCGAACAACGTCGCATATGAAAGCAATATGTCTGCAACAATGGATAGATTGGCAAGACTCCCAAACTTGGTCCTAACAGAGATCTTTGTTCAACTCGAAACTGAGTATAGTATTAATGGTCTTATTCGCGCATGTCCTTCTATGCTCTGGCTTTACCACCAGTACGAGCAAGGCATCTTGGAGAGAATCCTGACCAATCTGCTTACCAACGATGTGGAAGGAAATATCCGAAAAGACGCCTTGGCAATCATGGAATTCTGTATCCCCGATGGATGCCATGAATCGGAATACCGTGGCAGCGAATTTAAAATGGACACTTTCCACTGGCCGGAATGGACAGAATCTCCTACACGAGGAGATCTTCGAAAACTTCATCGACTTCTCGGTCGTGTCATCATATTTGGCGAGGATTAAATTTCGAAGGCAACTAGTGACTATCCTCCTCGTACTTACCTCGGCCTCCCAGACATTTTGACTGGTAACACCAGCTTTATGGGCAGCCCACTAGATACCAGAATGGTCCGGTTCACCAGCTTGACACGCTCTGAACGTTACCGTCTACTACGCCACTATGTTTGATATGAGCTTCTCTGCAACATTCACAAAACCTACAATAGAACAGACGGCACTGTTCCCCACAACTTCCGCAACCTCAACGCTTTTGGAACACCCAATGCTCCAGATCCAAAATTATTGTTATCTGTAAATGAATACTATGCAAGCTTGTATGGTGCAGTATTCGCAAATTGTGCAGACGCATGGCTACCGAGTGTGCCAAGCTTGTCACTCCATGGAGTTATGAATGCGTCTGCATCGCATTGCCGCCCTTTAGCCTTTCCCGAAAACCTGATCTTCGATCAAGAACTTTATCTGATAGATTTAGATTTAGGCCACAGCGATAGAGGAATAGCTGAAGAACTGGCCGGCCTTGGCCTGGACCAACTTATACCTGTTCTTAGCCGTTTGAAAAGAGACAAAGGAATAGGGAAAACGTACATCAAGTTCTGGCTGCAGAAGATTCACAACCGCTAGCGTCGGTTTAAGCCTTGGATACAAAGTCACTATCTGATACGCTACGACGGGGAGGCTTTTGCCTATATAGAGCTGATGATGCCTCTTCGCATTTTATTTCCTCCGTTTTTCCCCCGTCAGCCTTTAACATCCTGCCTTCCAGCCTTGAATCGTTATCTGTTATTCGACAGGGAAATGGATGATAACTATTGGGTTTGGCCGGTACATGTATTCCAAGTCAGAATGTACAGACAACGAGCATGGGGATTCTTCGACGACCACAGGCTTTATTCCAACATAGCCTCCCACTTCCCAAGCCTTTACCAAAATTTCAAGATAATCAGTTCCGAGGTGGAATTTAGCATCAGGTTAGAGTGCAAGTTTGGTAATGATGTATCGGCAGAGTATGACAACCGCCAAGAGAGAGAACGACATCGACGAAGGTCGCAGCATTGGCAGGACTACTGGGCGAGGGGAGGTACTGATGAAGCCTTTCTTGATGATGAAGTGTCGTAGGATAAGAAAGAGGAGTTCAAATTCTTCAATGATGGTCCAGTACCCCAGCGACTACCTACTCCCTGGCTGGCCAATGAAGAGTAATATTCTTACCAGTTGCGGCAAGGAAATCATTGGTAGGGGTTTCAAGCCAGGAATAAATAATAGAGATATGTTTCTCTTATCCTGATTATATAACTCTAATTGATTCTGTTTTTCTCGTTGGCGCATTATCCTTGTAATGAGTCATTGGGCCGAAAAGGTCATCCTCCCTAGCTTCTCGATTATCTTCTTGTAGGTTGAAAGTGAATGTGCCAATTCGACGGAAAGTCTGTGTAACTGGCAAAGAATCTAGACAAGTAGAGGTATCCAACCCTGACCCGGACTCTTCGGACTCTTTACCAGTTCTAGCAGAAGAGTCATCTTCTGTAGACATCAGGACCAGGCCTTCGTAGCTTTCCCAAATCGACTGCTCGTAGCGATCGGTCTGACGCCAAGCTAACTGCAGCGGGACGCAATAAACCTGTATCCATTTTGACTCTGGTATCTCATCTGGAAAGTCCAATATGCATGAATTGGCAAATTTCGGTAACCTTTTGCTTGGATCCCTCTCCTCTTCGTAAGATTCGAGGGAGGCGTCACCGATACGTCTGTGGTGTTGCTCAGTAGTGATGATCAAGGCATCAGATGATTCTTCATCCATTTGCGATTCAGTTGCGGTCAAATTCTTTAGTAGATGACATGGTCGTAGATAACACTTCATGTCAAGATATCCACCCGTGACCTTGCCAGTGGGCAGAGATCCATGGACATCTCGAGGTTCGATGGAAATATCCACAATGCTTGCGAGTTCGACATCTTTTTGATTCCAAATCCAAGGGACATATTCGTCATAAGAATCGATTTCACCATCAAGTGATGCCCAGCTCCAAGAGGGAGCCCGGTAAGTGTCCGGACGGCGACGTGGTAAGCCGGATTTTGGGCGCCAAAGAAGACTGCGTTGGAAATTTCGATCATACCAAAGGCCTGCCACATAATCTAATTTCCTCGGAACTCCATTCGGATCGTTGCCGGTCCCAGCTATTGTGATGATTCTTTCAACGATCCCCTGTAAAGCTACCAAGGTATCAGACCCGACAGTCAACTTCGCCCTGGTATATCTGGAGATAAAGCTATCCCAGAATTCAGATGGTGACTCGTCTTCTTTCGACATTCTCATTAGCTTTTGACGAAGATGCGACAAGCTCGTGTCTTCGTTTAATGGCGTAATGAACTTGGGATCAAGACCCAAAGGAAATGTTTCACTTGCTTCTACATTGGTACAAGACCACACCATTTGTTTTGGCCCGAATATCAAGGTTCTGGGTGACACTAGAAGCTCTTGTAATGCCCAGGCACGACGACTTAGTGGGCTTTCGTTGATAGTATTGGCCAGTAGACGTTCCGGTTGGTTCGGGTATATCGCCCATGGGTAACTGAGCCCTAGGTACCTCGTGTTCGGTTTGATATTTGCCACACAAGGTCGAATAGCACGGGGATTCCTACGACAGGACATTGTGTCTTTGACATTTGGGTTTCCAGCCGCAGCAAGGGTGAAAGTTGCTGAACCGTATATATCGCCCATCATTGAAGACTGCTCTATCCAGTCTTCTTTTGAATCCTGGATAATGCAAAGCGCGTCGATCCATATATATTCGTAGCCGAGTGTTTTGGTGATAGCGATTGCGTCTTGGATGGTGTTTGGTAGACTTTCAGCCGGGATTTCCTTTTGGAAGTCGTGAACATTCTCGAGACAAAGAGTAGCACTGTAACCTGATCCCCAGCTATAACTTAATGCGACGTAGGGAGCTGCGATGGAATCCTCAGATAGGACAATGAGTCTTGGTTGCTGAGACTCTGAGCCCACATGAACAAGTCTCGTGGGTCGCCATCCTGACTGCTGCGACTGATAAGCTTTGCATATGTGGTGTGACCGGACACACTTCTTGATCCATTTCGATGCTAATTGAAGGTTCTGGCTGTTCAGTGTTGAAGCATGCTGTTTTAACTCTGTAGGAAGTATGTGCTTGCCGTCCGTTTCTGTTCAATATGTTAGTGAGGCCTTTGCGTTGAGTTGCATGGACATACCTTGAAGTAGCCGTAGTCTTAAGTCGATTAACAGTTTATCGAGGACGCAACCAACTTCTGGTCGTATCTGCAACCAAAATTCATCTGGTAGGTAAGCCTGAAGTGTGATATCGTTGATCGACATGCGTGTTCTTTGTCCCCAATCTAGGCCTCCGCTAGGATCTCGCTCGACAGTACGGTAAGAGAAGCAAAGGCTGAGTGTTTCGGTGGTTTCCATTTTAGAAAATGTAGCCACTGATGTGCTATCAAAGGCATGGGCAATTATGATACAAAGATGGCATCCAGATGTGCTTGTCTCACCCATGAAGTCGCCCTTCGTCTTTGACCATTTTGCCCATCCAGACACATCAGTCAGTCCATTTCTGCTGTAAATACCGGAGCCATCACTCCTGGAGTTGTAGGTATGAGTTTGACATGTTCCAGGTCTGCATCCAATGATGGACATTGAGCAAGCATGCGTACAAGCTGTACAAAGCCGGGATCGTTCCAACCGTACTGGCCGCATTGTCGATGCCGTTGTGGTATTTTTTTGTGCAATGATTGAATAAACTTCTACGAAAATATTCGGAGGATACTATAAGTATTTAAAGAAAGAACATAATTAGTATATCATGAATTGATGGCGTAACTGAGATGACGAGAAAAGAGCATCTTGGTGTGACTCATTCGGGCAGACTCCCATCAAGGGTCGAAACTCGCTAGACTGAAGCTTGGACAGTTACGAGCAGGCGTGCCAAATACGATAATTCTCAGACTTTGACTCAGCGATTATGCATCAATTACAAAGAAGAAACTCAATGTTAGTAAAGCGCTGCATGTTCTTGCTAAAAATAATATTAAGCAAGCACTACTTAACGGAGCTGCAGGTAATATGACCCTCAGGGATACTGAGAATTATCCCCGATAAACATAGCTAGCTCTTACAAGCATCTTGCTGCCTTCATTGAGATGCCATCAAAGATAGTTGACCATCATGGCCATGCATGGTCTTCAAGTAGGTAATCTGAACTGCTGTTCTATTTCAGACCAATTTTCAAGAAATAACAGCAGCGCCTGACGTGATTGCTTCCACGAGTACATGGTTGGTGACCGCGAATCTTCCATTAGAAAGGAATGAAATTGTGTTGGTGGCTGACTGCGATGTAGATCAAGTTCTTACACAAGTGTGGCCACCCAGACATCCATGGTTCTGGACTTGCTACCACGTAGCTTTTCATCGGCTCTCAATACCGCTTCTCTCTGACTCCGGATAAGAGTCACGACCTTGCGGTCTTTAACATATTTGTCCACATCATCGAGGAACTCCCGACTTTTGACTCCACCAACCTCCCACATACCATCTTGTAGCTTCTCGTTGGGGGTAATTGTTGTCTCTTCTTCTACCTTCCACCCCACCTGTTCGGCAATGCGTTTAATGTCTGGTGGAGTAAGGAGACAACGAATATTGGCTTCGCTTTCTGGGTGATGAGCAGCTAGTGTGGCTTGGGCGAGGGCTGCAAGGACATGAGGGACGGCAGCTGTCTCAGAAGCTTGCATCGAGTACTCGGCGATGCATAGTTTTCCTACTCGGCCCTTTAGAGCTTGGAGCATCTGTCGGAGAGTCTCTTCACTGTCGAGATACCATATACAATGCACCAAAACAGCACAGTCCCACTTCTTATCACTTGTTTCTTGTAGGAAGTCTTCAAGTTTTCGCTGCCAAAATGTGATACGGCTACCCAATTCACCCTTCGTGATATGTTCCTGTGCTTGACCCAGGGTGTATGGGGCACCATAATTAAGCGACGCGGGGTCGATAGCGTCAACGTGACCCGCTGGCCCCATGGCAGCTCCAAGAACTACAGTGCATGTTCCTTGTCCACAGCCTATTTCCAAGATATTGGACGCAGGAGGGATACGAAAAGAGTTGAGAAGATTGAGTCGATGAGTTGCTTGGTCAATCTCGATTGGTAATGTATCTTGCGTCCATAAATTATATGCTGCGATTGATGGGGCAAGTGACAAAGGCACAGGCTGCCATTCCTCTGTAGGTTTGGAACTCATGTTGTGAAAAATACTCAATTACTAGGAAATATTATCTTTATTTGGGGGTTTTGTGAGTTTATAAGCAAACACAATCTTCATAAAAACAGATAAGCCTGGTCCAAAACGGGCAGCTCATTAGATGCCTCTGACTCACTATATACCGGCTAATATACATAGGAAAGTTGTGCTGACGGCGATAACCAGGCAATAATATTGATGAGTCAGTTGTACCAGCCCTCCTCTTTTATGGCTTTAGATAACAGGGTTCCTGAAACTCGTGACTATTCACGCGTTTAAGAATAATTTGGAAACAGTATCTGTACACCGCTAGATGATAATACATGCCATGTTATCTAGCCATTCAAAAGCTTTTTTATCGGCATATTAATTCATGGTGGCTGGCCAGTTTCTTCTGCATATTCCGGTGGCTGGCCTCTTTCAGACAACTTCGCAATGCTGCGTGGTCCCCAGGCATTCGTCATTGTAGCGAGGCTTGGCGAGTTCATAACTAATTATGATCAGGCTTTGTGCAGATCAATCTATGCGTTTGCAATGAATCCTTGCTGACTTGTCTAACATCTATTGGGCCACTTAAGTCTGTGCGATACAAAATTCACCAATAACTCAACCACGTCGTGTGGAGTAAATACGGGGACGAACAGCTCACCGATCGAATATCAAGAGCCCAACGAGGCCTTAAATTTCTCTCTAACTTTCAAACAACAATCATTCTCATCCTTTTTCAACAATGGGAGCAAAAATGGGAGGCAATCACAGAACATGGGACATTCGTACAAACATTTTCAGCCCCGTTGATAGCGGCGAGCTGACTACCTCTTTCGACTGCCCTGGAGAAGCCGCCATTATGCGCTGGCGCAGTTGTTCAGTCCAGAGCTTGGACAATGTACTACACAGCGGCCACAAAATACCTCCTCAAGAATACGACGACCACGATGGCGAGTCCAGCACATCCCTCGCTTTCGTCCGCAAATCAGACCCTCAAGCGGGCAGCACATATATCATCCTAGACGTCTCACAAACTCGTGCGTTGACTTGCCATAAAGGCAAACTGCGCCTCGAACCCGTCCACCTGAGCGACGACCATATTTCTGAGCAGGCTCAATGGTTTTGCACAGCAAGAAACGGCTTTAAAGGTTTCAAGAATGTCGCCGAAGGCAAATTCCTAGGACACGATGTGTTCTGGGATTTTTACGCCACCGCTTCAAATCACAGTCTTTGGGAGTACTTCACTATCGCAAGACGTCCAGGTGGTCTGTACTGGCTACAGATACTTCATTGGTGGACGCAGTGGCAGGTCACTGTAAGGGAAGATGGGAGCGGAGTGTTTGCGGAATTGGAGGACGGAACTGATTGGGAGTTTGTCAAGGTTTTGAGCATGGGCGAATGAGTGTGACTGTTTTGTCACTTGGCATGATTGCATGAATTTTCTTTGGCCTGTTCGGAATTTGTTTACTTGCTTTCGTCTGTTTGGAGTTTTTTTATGTCTCTTTCTTCCTCCAGATATTGTTTGGGTTCCTTGATTGTCCGCATATGATTACGATACCTAGAATGAATGCTAGATGATAAGAAATAGAAATGATACAAACGGAGAATATCACATGTCTATCAAGAACGCGAATCTGGGCAAATTGACTGAAAGCTTATTATTTCCGTACTTAATGATCGATTTGAGAGTGGCGTTTTTTCTGGTTGTACTGACATAAGAAATAGGCTGATGAAGTGTTTTTGTATTGCGTGAAAAGAAGGTCGCTTCATGGGCCCTTACTTTGTGGCAAAACTGTAAACTGAAAAGGTTATTAGACTTTGGAAGGCCCAGCTGTCGAATCAAGAAGGCGACACTATGGCGGGGTAATGAATCATTCTTCATCGTCATCAAGCGAAACCATTGCAATAATCTCTCTTCGTCCTACATCAAGACAAAGCGTATGCCATCAAGAATGTCTCGCTCTACGTCCAGCGTTGGGGCGATGACACCTGCCACCACATCTGAAGCCGGACAAACTGACTACTGGCTCGATTCCTCAAGCGAAGGCATCAACACCCCAACCTCATCGGAGTCAGGCGACAACACCACTACATTCATTGGTCTTACTCGCAAGTCCGATCCTCACCACGACGGTAGATACATCATCCTTGATGTCTCCCGTAGCCGTGCTCTAACATGCCACGGCGGACATCTACGTCTTGAGGCAATTAATTTAAACAATCCCCACCGACACGTGTCAGAGCAGGCGCAGTGGGAGTGTAACGAAAGGGGTGGCTTCAGAGGGTTCAAGAACATTGCTGAGGGGACCTTTTTGGGACACGACATTTGGTGGGACTTCTACGCGAAGGTCTACCATCACAAGGGATGGGAAGACTTTACTTTGCGTGGACGTGAAGGTGGCCTGTATTTAATTCAATCTCTCGAGTGGTGGACACAGAGGCAGGTTTCTGCGAAGGAGGATGGAAGCGGTTTGTTTCGACAGGATGATGGAGGTACTTTGTGGGAATTTGTCAAAGTTGCGAACTGATCGGCTGTGATGCGCTCAAGGATCAGCTGCACCTTGGGTCTGCTGCGGGTTATCGTCTGATATGTCAGCGGTAGATTGGTAGACGGTATGCAAACTATGTCGGGAGACTCTGGCCGCCAAATGCGATTGACATATTGCCATCACTTGGCGTTACTACTACGATCATCGCCCGATGAATGTATTGAAGAACATGTTTAGGCTTATGATAAAACCGAGTTCTTTTCAACATGAAATGGTGGGTCTCTCGCGTACCAGATGGAAGTGAAATAGGACAATCAGACATGAAGTTGGTAGAAAGAAGATCGTGTGTAGTTCGACGATCTAAATTTGTTCCACACTCAGTCCTATAATTAGCAGCCCACACCCAACTATATGGCTACGAATACTTTCTCGTATCATTCATTGTATAAATTGGGTAGACAGGTAGGTCAAAATGAGCAATATCGTCATCATGGTCCCTCTGCAACCATACTAACTACGACTGTAACAGTGGATTCAGCCAACGAAAGAAACGAGAGCTGGCGGCTTTTCGGGTTTGCCGTTCTCAAGCCTGTTACTAACATATTGCGCTCGTTATAATGACTGCATTTCGTACAAACGGAAATTCCCATGGCCCTTCCTCCAAACAGTTAGATCATTCCCTTGCAGTTGTTTAGTGTGGTACAAGTTGAGGTAACGTAACCAAGACAGCCAGTTAGCGTCACCCAAAATACTCTGTGGCGTCAATTGGACAAATCGTCTCTCATTCCAACATTACGGCTGACAGACCGTTCCAGTGGGGGGTTTCAAGGTTACACGACTTAGGCCTGTCTTGAAACAGTCAAGACAGTTCAACCAGCTCTGATCACATGCATTTTGGCTTGAAGTAACCTCACGTCTATCAAGTGTTACAGGCTTAATCGATGAATCAATAGAGGATAATCCTATTGGCAGCCTGTTGGAGTTTGAGCTGGATTCTGCTCATCTGTTCAAACTTGATGTGAACTACCCGTTGCGATTACTCTTGCCCACTCGACCAGCCGTTTGCTGTTTAACGGTGCAATGAAGACATAAGAGGCCTAACTGAACAACGGCAAAGGTTGGTAGGGGTACAAACCTAACAAAGCCATCACCTTGCTGCTAGCCGCAGGCGTCTAACAAATACACAAAACATTCGTCTAGCCTATTCCTCTCATTCGCAGTGCACCCAAGCTACAACGCCTTGAAAGGCTGTACCCTTCGTAACCAGCGAATGCGAATGAGAATCCCATGGCAGCAAGCCACATACGCCAGATCGCAATCGCTTGTGTTTTAGCTTGACACTACCAGCCGGTAGACATTGATAGCACTAAAGCACATGGCTACCCCGAATGGGCTGCCGATTCGAAACTTAAGCTTTAGCGTCATCAATCTCAGTTAGTCACCTCGCAAGATCGTAGACTGGTAAATCATGTCTTCGTCGAATGGCTTGCATAAGATGTAACAATCTACCATCCAAGAGGTATTACCACAGAGAAACTAAGATGAAGCCTCAATCGACTACCGGTATATATGAACCTGGCTGTTGCCGTCTGTCCTGTCTCTATCTCAACAGCAGCATTCAGTACTTCTTTCCTTCCAATCATCACCATATCCTGAAGATCAGAAAGGATGGCTTTACACGGAGAAGCAGTTGCTTTGCAGATTGCCTCAGGCTCAGAAGCATCACTCGACTATATTCCACCCCAACCCATCGAGCAAAAGAATGAAGTCGTTCTGGCCACTCCAAAGGAGATCCAACTCCCCGAACAACGAGGGTCAGAAAAGACTCAAGACTTCAGATGTAAGCGCCCTCTTTTGCCCGTCCTTTAACTCGCCACTAACAGTATGCAGACAGGCATGCATCAACATACCGCAAGATCTTCACCATCATATTCGTTGCCAACGCCGCCGTATTCATCGCTCTCATGGTAACATCGAACGCGAATCTCCTTTCCCGCGACGCCGCCAGTGCAGCATCAGCCAATCTCATGGTCTGCATTCTCTTTCGTCAAGAAGAGTTCGTCAATCTGTGCTACGAAATCGCCGTTCTTGTTCCCCATTCCTGGCCCATGAGTATCAGAAAGAGACTCGCCAAAGTATTTCACTATGGAGGTTTCCACAGTGGTGCTGGAGTCGCTGCGACAGCATGGTATCTAGCCTACACGATCCTGGCGACTATGGAGTATGCAGAAGATAAGAAAGATTATAGACTGGTGAACATGATCACGGGCTGGGTTGTGGTCTGCATGTTCTTTATCATCCTCGTGGCCGCATACCCCACTATTCGAAGGAAGTTTCATGATCACTTTGAAGCTTTCCATCGCTTTGCTGGTTGGGTTTCCCTCCTTGCTTTCTGGGTTCACAACATCGTTCAAGCTCGCGTCACTGCTCACGAGTGGAACAAGTCTATTTCTTACGCCCTGGTCCGATCGCCTAACTTCTGGTGCATCTGCGTCACTACCTCCTGCACAATCGCTTCTTGGTCTCGACTCCGCCGTCGCGTGGTTTACCCCGAGAAGCTGAGCGACCATGCTACCCGTCTCCACTTCAAGTACAGAGACATGAAGCCTTTCTACGGCCTCAAGATCAGCGACAAGCCCTTGACAGAGTGGCACGCATTTGCTACGATTCCCGATATTGAGCCTGAGTCTGGCAAGGTTGATGGATTTAGTGTTGTTGTCTCCAACGCCGGAGACTTTACCAAGAAGCAAATCATGGACGCTGCAGAGCGAAAGCTTTGGGTCCGAGGTGCACCTCTCCATGGACTATTGTACACTTCCAAGATCTTTCAACGAATTGTCATTGTCGCTACAGGATCTGGTATTGGACCTTGCCTTTCCCTTCTTTACGCCGATGCTACGCCTCGTCGTGTTCTCTGGTCGACTCGTGATCCTGAAAAGACTTACGGACCAGGCGTTGTTAGCGCTGTCAAGCGAGCTGATCCCAACGCGCTGATCTGGAACACTACTACGCGGGGATATCCTGATATCGTTCTTGAGACTTATAAGCTCGTGGTTGAGTCTAATGCGGAGGCGGTTTACATCATTTCGAATCCAAAGGTTACGGACAAAGTTGTGTTTGGAATGCAGACCCGCGGTGTTCCAGCTTATGGTGCCATCTTTGATTCATGATACGAATACTGCTTAGAGGGTGCTTGGATTATTGGTTTTTGGCTTTAAAAAAGTTCGGCTCGGTTTTCTCAGATATAGCCTCAGTGGTTTACTTCAGCGATAGAAACAAAATAATGCATACATTAGATTTATGATATCATAGCATACCAATGTCTATCGAGGGGAGGCCAAGACCAAAGAGGCCACATGAAGTGGCGTTCATCACATCTAATACGAGTCGCCCCGACCCTATTTTCGTAAACACAAGACCGCTAGTAGGATCGGTGAACCATGATACTGGCCTTTCAACACGTCTTTCTACCCCTATGGGCAAATGCTGAAAACCCATGCCTTGCAGCTTTCCATTACGAATACTGGTTTGTAACTCGGGGTTCGCGTCACGATCAGCATCCCTCTGCCATGGTAGATCGATGATAGAAAAGAAACGACAACGCTCGCTAGGTGTTGCCCTGGTACCAAAAGAACCCGATACAATGACTGTAGCTCCGTCTCGCATACGATCAATAATTCGTTCCAAGACTTCTCTGTGGCGAGTGATCATAGCATCTGCGATGATTATGATGGAGGGAGGCGATAATCCTTTCAAATAATGGAGTGCCGCCTCAGGGTGAAAAGCATGTTCCGTGGGTTTATCGTCCAGTGCGCATATGTTGTTACAGCCGAAGTTTTGAAAATGTTGAACGCCTTCCAAACAAATGAAAAGGGTATAGGGCTGCAATTTTGGCTTAGTGGCATAAGGCTTACTTGAGCCCAATGTGATATCGGTGAACTGGTCCCTATCAGGCTTCACCTCAGCAGCCACTTTGGCCACCTCATCCGCCTCTTTATTAAGATGCCGTGGGATTTCAAGTAGACAGACGTCTAGCCCTTTATTGGCCCATCGTTCTACCTCGCCTAGTAGAAGCTGCCACAAGTCTTTGTTCTCGAGCTCCTTGCCGTTTCGTGATTTTCATCCATTGGAAACCCAGGCTTTAGCCCATATTGTTGGCCCGTTCAAAACATAGGCTGATTCGGTAGCGACCACAATAGAGGTGAACCCTTCTGCTTTCCAATCATTCAAACGGAGCGCAGCAACGACCGCGCGTAACTCGGCTCTGTTGGTTGTGGCCTTTTCAGAATCCCCAAATGGGCCAACAGTGCCAAGTCATGGCCAAAATGCCCCGTGCACAGAAGATTTTCCGGATCGCGATGCGGTTGATTTATCTGCGCAGAATGGATGACTAAATCATAATAAATTTCCTCTCACAATAACTAAGTCCGTCGTCAAGACTAAATGCAGCTGCCTCAGCCAAGAAGGTTGAACTGAGAAAGCCAAAGTGATAAAGGAGGCTCAAATCCAAAGGCTAACTCCGTTGAAATAATCCGAGTAACGTGACCCGTAGCAGCCTATGGGCTACCCTCGTGTGCTTTTCACAGCATGGTCAACTGGGAGGACACTCGCCATAAACTTATCGAAAAAATGAGCCTAAGTTAGTTTCAAGTAAATTCTACCTACTTGCACTTGACATGGAAGACCGGTCAAGTTGCAGGCGATCGGCGGTTTTTGTCTACAGCAGCTATCGATATAGATATAAATAAGAAGCAGCTGACTCATCAAAAGTAGTGCGGCCGCGTGGCCTAATGGCTAAGGCGCTAGATTTCGGTTCCAGCTCCCGATCCCTCTAGAGATTCCAGGTTCGACTCCTGGCGTGGTCGAATAACTCAGCTGAAGTTTCTTTTTGCAGAGATCAACGAATAGCTATAATGTAGATTTGAATTCGAACCAATTGACCAAGCTATGGATCTATCGGAGCCTAACGAATCTGTTATCCCTCATTGCAGTTCCTCCACTGAAGCACCCCTGTTCAACTATCACACTCCCTTGGTCATCTCCCTTGCGAAACCAGTATCCGTTCTGAGGTGTTATACCCTCGATTCTTCCGTACATCTCTCTCGTAAAGACGCCAGATGAAAAATCATACCTACCGTCCAAGTAACGCCACACTTTGTATTGCATCAACGTTTGTGATTTTGAGGACACCAAGCCCTTTTCTTCTTTGGCCATCTGAAAAACCTCTTCGAACAGTTGTTCAAATGCCCAGCTTGCGAGTGAAATCGAGATTGGTTCCTGTAGGGATTGTGTGCGACGGTCGACAAAAGAGTCCAATGTCTCAATCATTTCGTCGAGTTGCAGCGGAATCTTCTGGTATAATCTTAACTTCAGAGCTAGATTCAAACATTGGAGCCAAGGAAAAGTTGTGTCGAGAATAGATAGAATCTGGTTTAAGTCACCTTGCTGCAGGATTGATATTCCCGAATGTATCTACGAGTCTATCAACCACACTACCTCGAGTGAAGTCATCATGGCAAGCCGCTGTGGTAGAATAATATTAGGCAAATTTAAAAGCAAGGCCTTGCTGGACAGGTGTATGGTATTAGTGTGGTATAACACATCCAAACCTTCAGTGTATCTGTCGAGATTATCAGCCAACATAATAATAGACAACAGTAGCAGTAAACGCACGATTGTCGACAACTCAACAGCCAGCCCATGACGCCAATCAAACATGCATCAGTAGTTCCGTAATGATCCTTCCACCCATGGCAAAAGTTTGCCCGTCCGGAGCAGCAATTGTCATCAGCTGGTTGGCACACATATTCTTCACACCGAAAAATCTTTCGAATCCGGGGAGGGCCTACACGATGGCATACACAGCCTTTCCATTTCCAAATCCGAGGTCGGCTTCTGTCGAGGTTATCACGCCATAGCGTATCCAACTTGCCATGCCTGTGATCATAGCTCAAGGCAGGTGCTTTTGCCTTGAAAGGATGTTCGAGAGCTAAATCCATATGCACTGTACGATCGCCAAAAGCAAAAAGTAGAATTCTTCGTCGGATCTCGGTTGGCAACTTGCTGAACAGTGGGGAGCTCTGCAGTGGTAGCGAGAGATCTTGCTTGGAGGATGATGGTGTCAAAACGCGTGGGCGTGGGCTTGTGAGACATGGCATCTGAGGCGCAGGATCGACTTCGTTTTTACTCCGAGATTTTCTGACTTCAAGCCAAGCTTTCAAGTGGCGTCGCATGATTTGAATTGCGAACAACGTTTACGTCGGATTGATTGAAGAGGGGAGAAGTTGGTCGGACCAACAACCGACAGTTCTGAGAGTAAAGTATACAACAGAGCAGTGTCAAGAACGTCTTACACTGTGCATCTCATGAAGTTATTGATTGGCTCGTAAAACCTCTGCGCAAAATACGTTACCCTAAACAATTGGTGTCAGTTTTGGGACTTTCAAGAGTGATTATTATCTATCTTCTCCAGCTCAAGTATCTCCCTAGTGTGATATTGACTGGTGTATTAGTATTTAAAATCATTTCCGTTTTCTTTGTGTCCAGGTATCATGTATGAGAGTAACTACCAGATGTCACTTCAAATTAGATTATTAGATTTGAAATACACCTCATGCATGGCCGACCGCCGCACTGTGATAAATCCCATTCCCATGTTCTGGAGTACCAACCTACTAACATTGATTGTCTTACATCTGTTCTAAATATAAGGCAAACCCGACATAGACGTTAAGAATAATTGAGCAACTAGTCACGGGCCTAAATACGTCATAGATCTCGTCATTTCACGACGCGTTCCAAGAGAAACATAACGATGGGCCAACACAAACAGCTACATTTTACTCTTACAATCGAAGAACAAAGCTCACGATATCTCACACTTGGAAGAAATACTTCCATAATCACAGAAACGACATGGCGAACTCAGCCAAGGCCAAGCGCTTAATGGACACCATCACAGAAGCCCATCGCATGTCGTACCGAATAGGTCGCGGCGAACAAGGCGTCTTGACATTCGAACCATACAAATCACACATCCTTCCACTATGGCGTTTCCGTACAGTCCCGATCGCGAAAAAGAGTGCGGAGGAATTGTGGGATAAGTTTAATGAGTTCAAGGATCAGCGCGACTTTGTTGGAATGGACATGACGCGAAAATTCATCCAGATGGGCATGACGCGTGCTAAGAGATACGCAAACCACGCGGGCGGGCGGAAGTACGCGAAAGGAACAAAAAAAGAGCTACCAAAGAGCGAGGAACATCCTGACAAGAAGGAGAAAGAAAGAGCAAGTCTCATCTTTCGAGGGTATTGGGAACGGTGCAAGGAGGACGAGGATTATCAGGACCTCAAGAGCGACTTTTTGAAACAACAGAAAGAATTTGAGAAGTCATAAACCTTGGTAGCCAGCATTTCATTCACCATTGAGTCTACCCAAAAACACAGAAGATTATCGCGAAATGAGTAAGGATGAGGTGACACGGACGCCTCCAGGCTTGACTTTGTTATCTAACTTGCATCATGATAAACCCAGGTAACGAAAGTGACCGCCAAGGCTCTGGTTCTCACATGTACATGAACAGCTGTTGGTTCTAACCCGTGCCTCAAACATACAGCATTATCCGCAAATAACAGGCTACGTGTTCCCTGTAACCTCACGTGAAGTGGTCTGACAGATAAAACAACTCATTTATAACGCACATATCCCCTCTCTCAACTATTTTATACGGGCAAAGCAGATTTCCATCATTCACCAGACACGCATTAAACTCTTTAGTCTATCAAAATATCCAAGATGACAGAAGTGAGAAATGTTGCTGATTCGCCAGCCAAGGCACCGACGGTAACACCATCGCCTCCAAACGAATTGGATGTTGGTGGCCAATCTGAGGTACAGTCTGCACATCTTTATATGGGATAAAAACTGACATTTATTAGGTCGACGACGGAGACTCATCATTTCAATCAGATGCGTAAGCGTCAGTGTCATTCTTGAAATGCACTATTAAACTAACTCATGAACGCACAGGTCAAGTTCAACAGCATCAGTCTCTGAGAGTATCCTCGAATATCGCCGAATCCATGGACGAACCTATCATAGCGACAAGTACAGAAGTGAACACGTTTTCCCCAATGATGAACAGCAGATGGAATGTGTTGATCTATCGTAAGTATCTTCAATGACATACCCTGCAGTCTAACAAACAATCCATAGTCATCACTACCTCTTGCTTCTTCTCGAAAGCAAACTCTTCCTTGCCCCGATCAAAAATGATGTTCAGGTAAGACCAGAAGAATGGTAAATTAGGGAAGAGAGCTTTCTGATCATTATTGCAACAACAGAATGTACTTGACGTTGGGACCGGAAGTGGTAAGTCTATTGCTCCCTAATTTGTTTTGGGCATGACTGACTGTGTAAAGGTATCTGGACGATGTATGTTCGCCTTTACTTGCGCTTCTGAACTGGACTGACCCTCGTGATTTGCAGGGACTTTGGGGATCAACATCCAGATGCTGAAGTGATTGGCACGGACCTTTCACCTTGCCAGCCTCAATGGGTTCCGCCTAATGTTCGCTTCGAGATAGAAGACGCCAGTCAAACTTGGACATGGGAAGATGGCCACTTTGACTTTATCCACATCCGATACCTGTTTGGTGCGATCGCGGACTGGAACCATATTTTCGAACAGGCCCACCGTTGTTGCGCACCCGGAGGTTGGGTCGAGTCTGTTGAGGCCGATCTTCGGTTTCGCAGTGACGACGGGACTATAGACCTAGAGCCTGTCTGGGGGACAGCTAGCAAGTTGTTGGAAGAAGGCGGCAAGGTCATGGGACGTCCGTTTTTTGTCCATGAACAACAGCAAGAAGGCATTGAGAAGGCTGGTTTTGAAGATATCAAGGTGGTGGACTACAAGGTAAGCATGGGATTAGTATGAAGGAACACCGTACTGACTTTACTGTTGCAGGTTCCCATCGGTGGATGGCCCAAAGACCCAACCTTGGCTGAAGTCGGTCGCTTCATGCTACAGACACTCGAGAACGACTTGGAAGGTAAGAAATTCTGACTAATATTACAGAATGTTCAAAGAACTGACACTGGATAAGGATACTCATTCGTGCTATGGAACCATGTTCTCAAGTGGCCCAGTGATGAATACCAGATATTCCTCATGCAGGTGCGCAAGGCCTTGCGAAACCGCAAAGTTCACAGTTACATCAAGGTCCGGTATGTTTATGGCCGCAAGCCGGAGTAAGGTATAGGTTCTATCCACAGGGTTAGTATCACTCCATAGCGGAGATATCCCAATTTTTTAGCATGCCACAAGATATCATTATCTTGTTTATCAGTCCCCGTTGTATATGCAGCTGAATAATGATGATAAGTTGACGCAAGTGAAGACGCCATTGATCGGCACAAACAGATACACTTATCGGGGGAGAATCAAGAATGAGGTCCAGCCAGTTGTAAAACATGAAGCAATCAATAGTGGCAATTATCATGGAGTCGCTCCGGCATAGGACCCGTGTATCATATTCGAGTTATCTCGTCTCGGCTGGACCTTCTTAACAGATAAGTCGCCGATAACGCTCAGACTAAACCCCGTGGGGAAGGTCAAACGACTGATCTCGGCAAAGACATGATTGGTTGACGAGCTAGCCGGCTGTGAACTCCTCGCTTGGACCTTCACTTTCATCATCAAGCGGGGAATAAACAGAGGAACGGACAAGAAGTGACCCCGTGGGGTAACAACGATAAGGTTGGCGCCGGGCTATGTGAATAGGATATATAAAGACGCTTGTTTCTACCAATGTTGATCTTAGGTTCATCAGTATCTTGCGTTTGTTTGCTTCTTGTACAATGACTGATCTCAAGACTGTTGTTTCCTCCCCTGGTGATGCTCGCGCTGAATCAGTGCGAGCAGCAGAAATGTCTACTACTAGAGATATCCCTTTGTGGAAGTACATCTGGCGTCATAGTCTGACCCAGATGATACTTCTGAGCATCCAAGCCTTTTGTGGTCCTGCCATGTCAGATGCTATTGCAGGCTTGGGTGGCGGTGGTCTTGCTACTCCTCAGGTATCCAACATTTCGACTGCCCTTCGTTATGCTGCTTTAGCTTTCAGTAAGTTTAGTTGGACCTCCAATGAGATCATTCTGAAGCGATACTGACATTCTGTTTCTCTAGCTTGCTTCATGGGTGGTCCAATTGTCAACAAACTCGGTGTCAAATGGGCTCTTGTCATCGGTTCCATGTCGTTCCCCATTCAAGGCTCGGCTTATTACTGCAATAGCAAGTTTGGCAATCAATGGGTCAGTGAGCTCGGAGATGTTTTGCCTTTGTACATCTACTAAGACTACTACAGTATCTAATCTTGAGCGGTGCAATTGGCGGTATCGGAACTGGTTGTTGGTATGTCGCTGAAGCTGGCGCCATTATGACTCTGGCCCCTTCTGGAGCTCGTGGTAAATATCTAGCTTTGTGGATCGTCTCTCGTAATCTAGGACAACTCGTGGGTGGTGCTATCAAGTAAGTCAAACTCCTGGATGTAAAGTGTGATGACGCTAATAATTTTGTAGTCTGTCGAAGAACCATGAGAAGGGCGTGAGTGGTGGTGTCACGCCTGATACATACATCGCTTTCTTGATCATTGAGTGCCTGGCGCAAGTCAAACCACTTAGCCAACCACAAACAAATGCTAACAAAGTTCAGTCTACCTTTCGCATTTATGATCACACCATTTCAGCACGTTATTCGCTCTGATGGTACCAAAATCGTCACAGCTGAAACACTTTCGACGAAGTTGGAGGTTAGGCGTATCGCAAAGACCATGACTTCAAGGCTCATCACCTTGTCTGCCATCTGGGCTGTCTGGTCCTTCTTTTACAGGTGAGGCATCCGTGCTCTTTGGCATATTGTGAATCATACATTGACATTGATGGCAGTGGCTCTTGGTCAACCTATCTCGGAATCCATTTCACTATCCGCGCTCGAGCTCTCTCATCCCTCATATCTCCTTTCTTTTGCATGTAAGTAATCGAGCACTTGTGTATTATTATTCTCACAAAATTCTAGTATCGGCTGCTTCGGCCTTGGTTTCATCCTGGACGCCGAGAAGCTCGCACAACGACGCCGTGCACAGATTGGTCTCTACACCGTCGTTATCCTTAACGTCGGAGTTTACATCTGGTCAATCATTATGCAAGCTCGTTTTGAGCGGAACGACCCTGGTGCCATTGACTGGGACGATAATCTGTTTGCGACTTCCTTCTTGCCATACTTCTTTGTGCAGACAACGGGGCCACTGTCACAATCATACATGTACTGGCTTTTGTCTTCATTTGCTACTGATGCACAAGGTACTTCCATACTTGACGCTTGAAGTTACTCTCCACTAACGGCACGCAGAAAATGTTAGAAACGGTGCTGCATTTAGATGTCTCGAGGCCATTGGTCAAGCTATTGCGTATGGCATGAACACACAGACAAAGAGTGATCCCCTGGTCGGTTTGTAAGTTATTCCAGTCCTCTTTACTGGGGCCAAGCGTTTGACTAATAAATATCTTGACAGCTGCGTAACATTCGCTCTGCTCGGCGCTTCGCTACTACCCATGATCATGCTCGTTAACAGCACACCCGACAGAATCCCTGCTGATGAGATTGCTGAGCAGCAGGCAATGGGAGATAAGCTTGGGGACATTGAAGGCCAGCGTGTCCAACTAGATGAGGGCCAGATCAAGAAATGAGTGGCCGGTATGGGACTACACATATAACACATGATTAAATTGTAATTTAGGTAGCGAGTATCCACTATAGTTAAAGATTCGCTTCAAATTAATAATTTGTCGGGTACAAGGAACAAACAGGTACATGAAGTTCTTCCAGAGACAGCGTGTATGAAGATTGTCCTTGTGGATAGACGCACGATCTTCAGCCAATGTGAGTATGGAGGAGCAGCACCATTTGTTTTCTCCAATTCATTGATCGTTCCCCTCGCCTGTTACACTGATATGCCCAGCGACAGCCTTCATCGTATCACTATTGGATGTCGTGTACCGCGAAAGAAGGTGAGTGTGTAGTCTAATCTCCTAACATCAGATCATCCTTCCCATACTGCTAATAATAACCCCTTCAATGACTTTTATCTGATAGTTCCTCTAGATCTTAGCAAACTACACCTAAATAAGTGTTTAAGAGGGATGGAAGCTTGCCTTAGTGCAACACACACCATTGGTGCTCCCCTACAGCATACATGAAAATCTCTTGTTAAAGACAACGATTCTCATCAGGCTCCCAAGAGGTGCATGTCGCCAAGACACAAAGCGCGTCAAGGCCGAATAGGAACATTTTTGTTTTCAGCTCTATATTCAGCTTTTCTGAATTTTCGCATTGGTCGCATTATCGAGACCTGCTCGCCAAGACGGCAACCAATACCAGGAGCTTGGTTCAGCCTCAGCGCTTACATGCCGATCGTACCTGCATGTGGCATCAGCACTTTTTTTTTTCACCATAAATTTGTAATGACGGTATTTTGAGAAGGACTTCGATGTTGGGGACCGAAGGGTCAAGTATATATAGATGATGTCTGGTTGCTTTGTCGTTACAGCCAAACTCATATTCTCTCAACAACATTCTTTCATACCGACACTCTTTCAAACTGACATTCGTTTTTAACAATACCCTTTCTTCATTTATCATGGAGGCTCGTGCAATATCAGAGAAAATGTCCACCGGTTCTCTCTTCCTCAGGGTGATTGGTGTCGGCGAGGCCAGAATTGGCATGATATGGTTCATGCTAGCTATTTTTCGTATGTTCCTTCAATGAACACACGAAAAAAAGAACACTACTAACACGTTTACCAGTCGGCTTCATAGCTAATATCGTTGTCCTCGTCGGTTGTGCCTCGCCTGATACGCAATCAGTCTACCTCTTCAGTGTCGGAAGTGCGGAGCTTGTCAATGCAACCGCCAATGTGACTGGTGTTTCGCCGAATAAGCTACAAACGTTTGAGCTTCCAGAGTACTGGTACTGGGGCCTCTCAGGTGCGTTGGGATTATTACATGCTATTACGTGTGCTTGAGCTAATACAACCTTTTTTAGGCGTGTGCATGAATGTCAAGACCAGGAATCTATTTGACGTCGAGGAGAAAGTCATCTGCAAACAGAGCTTCCCACCCGTGTTCACCGTTGAAGACATGATCTCTTTTGCCGTCGAAGCACATCTCGGAGACAACAAGAACACCTCGGTCAAAGCCAAGATGATGCAACCTTGGACGAATGCACTTGCAAAAATCCAAGACGATCTTGTCGAACCGTCCCGTCCCAGAGACCTCATGAGAGCTGCAGCTGCCTTTTGTGTTCTTTCTACCATCCTTGCTTCTATCATTTTAATCCTCACCGCATTGTACCTTACCATTCTACGCGACTTTCTTAGACGTTGGATGCTTTATGCCCTCGCCTTGCTTGACGCACTGTTATTCACTGGTTCAGGTGTCATGATCGGCTATGCTATGCGTGAAGGTCCAAGAGGGATTATCGAACTTTCTGGTCTACCTCAAGGACATGTGTATGGAGCTGGCAATACCGCCTTTACCTTGGGTGCTCTGGTCAAGTATCTTGCTATGGAGATATTCTTGTTTCTCTTTTTTCTTGGACTGTTTCTGGTTCTTTGGCTTATTTACTGCTGTTTGCTTTGTTGCGTGGATGATAGAGAAAGGGTCAAGGTCAAGGTCCAAGTTATCAACAGGTACTTGCCTGCGCAAGGTTGATAGTATCAGTCGTGTTCGTTGAACATAGGAATTTGGTGTGGGAAGTTACAAAATGGTTGATGATGGATTGCTTATGTAGGATGTAATGACGGCGTTTCGTACACCTTTTTAACTAATGAATTGACGAGTGTTGCTTACATTTTTGTCATGGAGTTCTCTCAATGCATTGAAGAATACGTCTACGGGTGGTACTTCAATCCCAACATGACTTGATGTTTCAATTGTGGGTTTAAGGCGCTTTACCAAGATGCTTATGAACACTTCAACGCTATCATCGAAACGGACGACATTCCGGACCCGCTCTGCAGGTGATTTTCACTTAACACATGCGGTATATGACTTTGCTGGTACCAACAACTATGAAATAGCACTAAAGCAATAGATAAATCGCCCCAAATTGCTAGTAAGGTTGCTGAAACTGGGCAATATGCGGAGTCCCTTGTTCCGGCTTGACCTGCTCATGTTTCTGATCATCTGGGGTAACGGTGGAGACATATCTCGCGACTGTAGATCTTTCGTTATGCGACCCAATAACAATTTGTTCGACACCTGACTTGATGAATATTGCAGACCGAGTTTGTTACGAGATCTTATCCGAATCTGGGTACCAAGTCGCTGAACCGCAAACACAGACACTTTGGGAATCGATACATGCAACCATGACCGCTGCAAAGCTTTACGAGATTTTTGCCAGGATCAACAAGATGCCATAGCGTCTAGTGCGATGTTACAGCAGTTCTTTAGCCTAAAACAGTTGACTTTTGCCAGACCGTAGTCCACTACCAGGCCACCAGGCTCTGAAGTCTAGACTGGAAGAACTACATCATTTCTCAATCACACCGGCAGTTGGAGTACAATTTATCTGGAGGCGTATTGCAAGGTTCCCCGCATGAATCATCCGATTCGATACTGTTTTCTCCTCCAATCGGAGCCAATAAACGAAATTAAATTACTACAATGGGATATGTATTGCCGTTCGAATCAGAAGAGAGCTCGACAGATTTGAAGATGATGTTTCTGCGAAGTCCACCAATGATGCAATTGAAAGGACTACCAGAACAAATCTACACCGATTATATACAAGACAAGCCATCACGGTGGATCCAAACTTGATTTTGGACATCCTCATTTTCAAATTCTAATCCGTCATACCTTCACCATGACGGGCTTCAAGAAGAGTGCCATATTTGGCCTCCTCTCTTCCCTTGCGGTAGCTACCGCTCAGAAGTTCACAAACCCCGTTGTCTGGGAAGATCTTCCCGACAATGAAGTCACCCGCGCAGGAGACGCTTACTACATGACGTCCTCGACATTCCACTACTCCCCTGGTGCTCCTGTTCAGCGATCTTATGATCTTGTCAATTGGGAACACATTGGTCACTCGGTTCCTGTTCTCGACTGGTCGCCCGACTACAGTCTTGAGAACGGCAGAAGAGCATACGTGAAGGGTATTTGGGCCTCATCTCTGAGATACAGAGAGAGCGATAAGAAGTTTTACTTTGTCGCGTGTATCAGCGGTACTGGAAAGACGTTTGTTTACAGCGCTTCCAGCCCGATGGGCCCGTGGACCAAAGGCGCGACTATCAACAAGTGCTACTACGATGCTGGGTTACACTTCGATGAGACGGATACTCCTTACGTAGCGTATGGACGCGATGATATCCACCTCGCACAACTTAGCAATGATATGAAAAGCGAAGTCAGAGAGCAGGTCGTGCTCAGACCCCCTCTGACGCTCGAGGGAGCCCGCCTCTACCAGCGAAATGGAAGCTGGTACATCTTCTTGACTCGTCCTCCGGATGGTCAATACATTGCCAGGTCTACGAGCGGACCTTGGGGGCCATACGACAACCGCATCATTGCTGATAGGCTCAAACTCTCCAACGTGCCAAGGGCTGGATCTCCCCACCAAGGAAGTCTTATCCAGACTCAGAAAGGCGACTGGTACTACATGGGCTTTTCAGACATGTATCCCGGAGGAAGATGCCCTGTACTTGCACCCGTTACTTGGAAGAGCGATGGTTTCCCTCAAATCACCCTTGTAAATGGTGCTTGGGGCGACTATGACTACCCTCTTCCTCGCCGTGATGTCGCTAGTCCTATTGGTACCGACAACTTCCCTGGAAATCAGCTCAGAGCAGACTGGGAATGGAACCACAACCCTGTTACCAGTGGCTTCACCGTGAACAACGGTCTCACTCTTCGAACTGTCACCGTCACAAAGGATCTGTACCAAGCTCGGAACACCCTTACTCATCGCATTCGCGGTCCCCAGGGTCAAGCTACAGTCGTCATTGACTTTTCACAAATGGCTGATGGTGATCGCACGGGTCTTGGTGTCCTGCGTGACCAGTCAGCGTGGATCGGAATTGAGCGCGAAGGCAACAGCTTCAATCTCGTCATGACATCAGGTCTCACCATGAATACAGACTGGTCAACCAAGTCTACCGGTAATGTCGTCGCGAGAACCAACAATGTTTCATTCCGAAAAGTGTACCTTCGAGCGAATGCGGACGTTCGACCTGGACAGGCCGGTAGTGCAAAGTTCAGTTACAGCACCGACGGAAACAGCTTCACTAGCTTCGGAAGCACGCTCACATTGGGAACATATTGGGAGTTCTTCCCGGGCAACAGGTGGAGCGTTCACAATTTTGCGACCAAGGGGCTTGGTGGTTCTGTCAAGGTCGAGAGGTTTGATAACCGCTAAGTGGTGGGGAGTATCTAAATTGTATACATTGTAGCAAGTCGGTTTTTGGATGCCTGTAGTAAATAAGTCATTTTATGAGATGTCAAAGTACATTTCCCTCAGCGACAGAATGATAGGGCCCTTTGTGAGTACCCAGATGTAGCAACCACAAGTCTGTGCTACCTCCATGTTATGCTGAGCGTGATGCACTTCTACGGCAACGTCGACGACAAAAGAAACAGGCAAGGAAAACAAGCTCAATTGTGTCAATAGAGGAGTCAGCAATAAATTTGAACGATGGACTGTTAGAAATTGACTACAATATCCTAGCCAAAGCTTCACATTGCTCCTATAGTTGACTAAATAGAACATGTTACCCATCTACTCTTCACTTGAACTGCCACCAATTGAAATTAAACAAGTAATCAGACCCCTCGCCAGTAAATCGAAGGAACAGATCGCTTGTGCCCGTGGCTCCGCTAACAGGGCAGTCAATCGTCCTCCAAGTCTGCCAGCCACCAGTCGAGGGAACCGTGCAAGTTCCAACGAGCTTACCAGTCTCACTTCCCAACCTCAGCTCAATCTTACCTCCTCTGCTGTTAGCTGATGCAACGCGAGCACTGAAGGACTGGGCTCCGTTTCCAAAGGCCACGCCCTTGACTTTGATGTAGTCGCCATTGTTGATGAAACCAACGCTGAGACCGCCCTCACTACAAGCCTCGGTCTCGACGCCATTGGTCCACGCAATGGTTTCGGCTTCTTGACGAGTGTATGGATCAAGGGATCTAACTTGTGCAGGACCAGTTGTGGTCATGCGCAGTTGTGGAATTAATCCATTGGAGTTGTACTGGAAGCTCTCGACAGCAACTGATCGTGTGTAGCCGCTGCCACCGGGGAGAGCACCGTTGTGGTAAAAGAAGTAGGACTTGTTGTCAAAATCAATAATGGCAGGGTGGTTGGTGAAACTCTTTCCTTCGTGCGCCATGAGGACGCCGCGGTATGTCCAGGGACCAGTAGCGGTGGGGCCGGTTGAGTAGCGGATGTCTTCAGAGCAGCAATTAGCTGCGTAGAGCATATAGTACATTCCGTTACGCTTGTATAGCCATGGTCCTTCCTCGAAGTTGGTTGGGCGATCAGGGTTGTTGGGACGGGAGCCAAAGCCTGCTGTCGTCAGCTGGACCTTATTGATACCGCCGCTATAAGATATCATGTCCTGGTTGAGCTTGACATAGTAGAGTCCTGGGTTTCCCCAGTACATATAAGCTTGCCCATCATCATCGATGAAAACAGTCGGGTCGATCTCGTTATTCTCGACCAGTGGCTTGCCCAAGGCATCACGGTAAGGTCCGACGATATTATCGCTCACACCTACGCCGATAGCCATACGTCCATTTTTCATGGCGACAGGAACGTAATAGTAGAACTTTCCGTTTCGAGCAGCGACTTGGCCAGCCCAGGCTCTATCATTGGCCCAGCTGAAGTTGGTCAGGCCCATGGGAGATGGATGGTGTTGCCAGTTAACCATGTCGTTTGATGAAAACAGGCGCCAGTCCTTCATGTTGAAGAATGTGGAGCCATCTTCGTCGTGACTTGTGAAAAGGTAGACACGGCCATTGTGTACAATAGGAGCAGGGTCGGCAGTGTAGACTGTTTGCACAATAGGGTTGTCCGCGTTGACGACACTGGAGGTAGACAGTAGACTACTGAGGAACAGAAGGCCTTTGGTAATGGCCCAGGTGTTAGCTTTGACCATATTGGCGAAGTTGTCCACTGGTTGCAATAGTAGATGGATGAGCTGGTCAAAGTAAGGAAATGGTCAACTTCGAACAATCCTCGTGGGACAGATAGCCGTATATAAGATTAATATCTTACATTGAGATCACAAACCGCCGAGCTGTTGTCATTCTGGCTCATCAAGTAGAGAATACTTCTGTAAGTGTAGCATGATAGTAGTGTTGCATCCTGGTAAACTCTCACGATCGTGTCCTCGCCAATGGAGTTACATCGAGGTTGGGGAAGCTGAGCTTATTCGAGCGCTTCCCCAACTACTCATCGATTTCCTCTTTGGTCTCGGACTCGTTTATGGGGATGCCGGATAAATCTCAGGCACGTCGTAACGGACGTGGTACGAACATTGAGATCATCGGGCTCAGTAGCATGCGATCTTGCTGTTGGTCCAATCGTCCAATGAATATTCATACTCCTAGGCGGGGTATTAAGCATATTTCCGCTCCAATTAAGGTGTTCGATGCCCAAAACGTGCCATGATGGTACTCTTGCTCTTAGCCTTGGGAGTCGGCTATGTCATCTAAATGGACAGAAACTCTCGTCTTGCCACTCGCTCACAGCTTTGAATGGTAGTCAGTACGGCTGTTGGCTGCAATACGCTACGCCATCTTTTTCTTCACTCTAGACTCGGCCACTTCCCCTCCGATGTTACTGTAAACGTATTGGGGGACCCTCAGCCGCAATTGGCCCTGTCATCATTAATTTAACATTAGTTCTTATTACATTGCATATCGAAAATACGTCCAGACAAAAAGAACCCACGCCTGCATGAGTATCGTAAGTCAGCCATTTACGGGGCACCAACTCTATATCACCGCATCTGGATACCTCACTAGACCAAACAGGTAAGCTTCAATACCTAATACATCGTCATTTTTCGGCGCCTTCCTTCTCTAGTCTATGTATGATGATTTCCTGCATTTCCAGCTACAGCTGCAATGAGTGCAGCACCCGTCCCTGATCCATCCTTAGTAAGCTCTATCGTTATTTTCCTCTCATTTGTACACCCAATCTTGGCGACATCACGTAACGCGCCGCGCATCAACTCTTCGAAGTCGGCATGAAACTCGAACAGAGAGCCATCCACAGCGATATTGATATCCTCTTCTACCAGTATTGTCGACTCAATCACCTCTTCTGAGCCGTAAGGTGATTTAGCAACCGGTATTTGGGTGTCTTCGTCAGGTCGCAGGCAGCCACATATACTTCTGATCAGTCTAGCCAGTGACGATATCTTGCCCCGCTTTGGTTGTTTGGTAGGCTTCTGGGCAATCTCTTGCGTTTGTGCTGTCGTAGTTGTCTTGTGAGTCGTAGTTATTGACTGTAGTCTTCCTGATTGGAGGATGATTGCTGCAAGGCCTGCGCCGACTAACCGAGCAGATCGCTTTATGATGGCTTTTGCAAGACGCTGGATCTTTCGCATCTCCTCTCCAGTGGCTTCATTTACAGCCAGGGTCCGCCTCAAGAAGGACAAGGGCCCTTCTATGTCCTCCGGTTCGAACTCGGTGATCTTGGTCAGAAACGATGTTTCGATACCCGTGTAACGATGTACTGGACTTTCGTCCTCGAATGTGATACTCAGGCTCCCATTCAAGACAAGTTCCAAGATGATCAAACGTAGCAACTCTCCGAGATACATACCAGACACCATCTTCTCCAAGAGGCCACACCCGGGATCGGAAGAACCCTCGTCGATCAGCTTGTCGAATCGGGTCTGGGGGAGAACTTTTAACCCATCGTCCCAGGAGCCCCATTCCGTGTTGATTACCATAACGCCATTTTGATCCTTTGTTGTACTCTTGTCGCCGTTTTCCAGTCTCTGTATATTCGCAATTTCCTCGACATAAGCAGCATTGGTTCCTGTGCCCAGAATGATAGCTGCTAGAGCAGAACTCGATTCTTCAGCCGTGTATGCCTTGGTTAGAAGTGTACCGACTGCATCATTTGCCAAGACGCAAACTCGTACTGGTAGACCTGCTTCATCAACTGCTTCTTGTAACAAGGAGCAGGGGTCTTGGCCTATGGCACTTGGAATATCCCATCCCTTGTCCCAGTGAACGAGCGTACCCTGGGATATCGATGTCTGTTCACAGGTAAAGCTGAATGTGAATCCAAGGTTGAAGGTTTCCTGAGAAGCGCCTTCTCTCTTATTTTGCAGTCTGTATTCTTCAAGAAACTCTCGTATCTTTAATGCGATAAACTGAAACAGAGGCTTGTGGCTATCGTTCACACGTAACTCAGGAGGCACGACGTGTTTTCTTTGGAACACATCAAAGGATGAGTCTCCGTATAGCTCAACGGCACAGACGCGGCAGTTTGTACCTCCAAGGTCAACTGCAAGGACCATTCCTTTTTCGCGTCCCGTTGGTATCTCGGTGACAAAGGAAGGTATCTGATAAGAATACTTGGCTTTCAAGCCATGTTCTGATAGGCCTGGTCAGCGCGATACATAGATGGAGAGGAAGATACATACTTATCTGCTGAACGAAATAATTTGTAGTTTCTTGAACCTTTTCTTTGCCAATATCAAACTCTTTGATGATTGATTCAACACTAGCCGCATGGCCGTTTCTGATGCCATTTTCCAACATAGCTAAATTCGAAAGACCAGCAAAAGCCGATGCGATCTCACATGAAAGGTGAATATTGAGTGCAAACGGTACTGAGAGTACAAGTGCCAGAAGACTAATACCAATTTCGCCAAAGTTGCCGGGGCCATGTCAACTGAGACTTACCAAAAGAGAGTAGTTTCTCAACACCAGACCACCGGCAAAGTACGGTCCGAAGCCGGCCAATCCCGGCTTGAAGATGTTCCCAACCACTTTAGTACTAGACCGTCGACTCTCCTTTTGATAAGCATACAAGGTGATATCCGGCCACTTCGCCGCTCTTTTCCCCCGCATCATCCACTTTTGCACTGACAGTCAGAACCAAAAAGCAACAATCACAGAATGACTTTCGGCGAAGATTCCCGACATCAAGGCTCTGGGGGTGATGAGTCTGGAGCGCACAAGGCCCGCAAGGCTTGCAGTTCGTGCTGCCCCTGTCAAAGTTCTTGGCATAGCATGCTAATAATAGAAATCTTAGTCAACTGTCGCAAGCAAAAGATGAAATGCATTGTACAGGGTAACAGCGAATCATGCCGACGGTGTCGTCGAGCAGGCTTACCTTGTGTCTTTGTGCCAAGAGCAAACGCAGCTCAGTTGCCTCTGGTATCTGAGCCATTGGATTTAGAGTTCAAGAACAATGTTCTGTCGAGACTTAAAATCGTTGAAGAGCGATTAGGTCTTCTAGGTGACAAAAACATGAGCTTGGAAATGTTCGCTGGTGTACAGGAACAATCTCCCGAACCGACGAACGAACCACTTTGGAATGCCATTTTGCAGCTGCAGAGATGTTCACCTAATTTACCTTCAGCCATATGGCACCGTGATACTGTGGAATCACTTTGGTCGTCGTATGTGACTTGTTCATCCCATTCAAACTCAATTGGCTAATGTTATTCGCAATGTTAGATTTCACGACAGGATGCCCGGCCTACACTTCATGCCTGACAAACAGACATTTTCAGCACCCCAACCAGTTCTTCTCGCATCTATCCTCTATTGTTCAAGCACAAGAGGACCACCAGACATGGTCGAGATCGCACCACATTTCTTCACAATTTTATGCACCGCCATAGCACAACTTAGTATTCCCAGTAGCGAGGTTGGTCGTCCCATAGAGACATCTGTTTCCCGAGAGGAGTGGGCTTTCCAGACGGTTTTGGGTATCGTACTTGCTGGACTTCTAACAGAAGGCAACATCCGAGAAACAGGGAACTGGATCTCTGTAGGTTACAGGCTCATGCTGGACTATTGTCCCGCTCACGTCGATGATACATCACGAGAGTGGCGAAAGCTATTCAGTGGCATACAGATTGTTGATCTTGAACACTCTTCAATCCATCTAGCCTATCCGGTTATACCGATCGAAGCACCACTTGCAGTCTTGCGGATGTCGCCACTAGACCAACTATACAAGTTATCTCGCATGATGCACACGGGTTTGAGTCACTTCACGGGGCGTCGATTGCCGACCATATGGTCTTGCTTTGAAGATTCACGAGTCGAGAACAATAACTTCACTACTAGCTTCACAGCTATTGACGGTATACTCATTCGAGATTGGGCCAAGCAGCTAGACGATTGGCTGGTGGAGTTTAATGGAAAGACACCTGAGCCTGATCAAAGCAGCAAGCTTGTTCTTCGACAATATGTTCTCCATAGACTTCTCGTCCTTTCCATCTATCATCCTGCGAGAAGTGGCAGTCTCTGGTCTCAAAGCATTACATCTCATGAGCAGGAAGAATTACTCCTGTCAGCTCGTGCGACGCTCAAACTTCATCAACATGACGACTCAATCTGGTCAAACTGGGACTTGATCATAATCACGTGGGCTGCTCTTATTGTTCTACAAGGTATACAAGGTGGTATTGGAGAAATAGAAGGTAAGTCACGATTTCCTCATCAAAACACTATAAACTAATCATCATTCAGACATGACAAACATCAAACTCCATCTCGACATCCTCAAGCAGAAGAACGAACCCAAGCCAAGTCTTTGCGATAAACTCATCGTACGCTTGGAAGAAAGCCTCCAGGAAGTCAGCACACCCGACTTCTCATATGTTCAGCCAGCGCACCCATCTGTCATGGATCCCTCGTTTGACTACACCTGGCAGATATTCGATCAGGTGAACTTGCAACAAATCCAGTTTCCGGGCTAATACAAAACATGATATCGCATGCATATCACATGTTGGTGGGAAAGGTGACTGAACGGACTCTGGTGACGGGTGATATGCGTGAAGCCATATTATCGGGCTTCAAGTCTCCTTCATCATCCCCATCAGCTGTAAGGGTTGGTGAAGGAGGCAGCTGGCCTGAGAATTCCTTTTGCTTAATGGTCTTCGCAACATCTTTGAAGTACTGCAATCGATTAGTACAGTAGCACAGCATAGTCCGATCTAGAGACTCACGTTGACAGTCTTCACCTTCATCTCAAGTGTCGCATCCTCATCAACCACAACCATACTCTTTGGGTGAAGTTGAAGACACGAGAGTGTACAAAGATGACTCACCCCGCCTTCAACAGCCTGCTGCAATGCCAAGGCTTTTGAAGCTCCGGTAGCGATGATCACCACTTCTCGGGCATCCATGACAGTCTGCACCCCAACAGTCAATGCCATGTCCGGTACCTCATCGATGTCATCATCAAAGAACCGTGCATTGGCGATCCTTGTCTCGTATGCAAGAGACTTGACTCTTGTACGACTAGAAAGACTAGATCCTGGTTCATTGAACGCGATGTGTCCATCTGTTCCTACGCCACCAAGGAAGAGTTCAATGCCGCCAAATGACTTGATCTTGTCTTCATATTCTTGGCACTCAGCAAACAGATTTGACGCGTTACCATTCAGCAAGTGGATGTTTTGAGGCTGGATGTCGATATGTTTGAACAGACTCCGGTGCATAAATGAAGAGTAGGATTCAGGATGATCACGGGGCAAGCCAACGTACTCATCCATGTTGAATGTGACAACATGACGAAAGGATATCCTTGAGGCCTTGTATGCGTTGATGAGGTTCTTGTATATGTAGATAGGACTACCTCCAGTGGGAAGTCCGAGGACGAAGGGCTTCTCTTCTGAAGGGTTAAAAGAGATAATCCTGCCTTCCCGATGTGTCAGTTGCATGTTGACATCAGGCAGGGTTGAGTAAGCTTACTGATAATATACTCTGCGATATAGTTGGATGCCTCTTGGGGGCTTTCACGGATGACGAGACGCATCTTGAGCTTTAGAGATAATTGTAAGGAGTAAAGGCAATTTTCGGAAGATAGTTGTCACCCTGAGTCAACTCTCAGACAGTTTGGCAATATTTCTTTCTTAATAAACTGGCAACTCATTATTATACCGGCCATTCGCAATTCCCTTGCGTTATGTACGTCATGTAAGCGATTGCCTAACTCCAGTGACTCAATCATCTTCTACTCTGTTTGATAGAGTTTACAATGATGGCCGAACTTTGCCGGTGGATCAAGCGCCTTCACAAAAGCGCCAGCTCGGCATACTACGGTCATCTCGCGATACAGAAGCCTGGTGATCAGATACACTAATCATGTTTACTCTGTTCCACTGTAAATTCAGGATAAACGGAAAGTGGGATGTAGTGCCAACCTTATGAATACCTTCACTGTTGGATCATGATGGGCTCACGTTGGAATCGATTCATCAAAGTTGAAGGTATCAATATGTACATAATGCATGAGTAGCTGGAGAACTTCGAAACAGTTGCCGATATACTATCAATGTCTAGCAAGTATACTCCATGTCTAAAGTCACCTTGGGAACTCCCTTGAATCCTTCAGGTACTACATACGAAATATTGTAAATCCAGTGGTTCCTCAGTGTAGCGCCATAAACAACATCCTGCTTCACCAGTCCTGGAGCAGTGACGTTGACATCAAGACAGGGCAACTTCTCCAGACCCTTGACAACATTCTTGTTACCGAGAGTCCAAGAAGGTGGAATGCCGGTCAGTGCGAAGGTGAAGATATAAGTGCCCTCCTGCGTAGTGTTGGGATAAGACACGGTCAAGGACTTGGGTCCGGCCTCGGCATTCAGGGTGGATGCGCTAGGATACAAAGAGAAGAAACCCATGTACGGATAAGGCTTGTGCTTGGGGTCTGCAGCCCACTGGACAATGGCAGGAACGTATTGGTTGCCCCTGTTCTTCTCCTCAGCGACAGTTTGGCCGCCGATCATAAGCTCAGCGCTAAGCCACGATGTAACATGGCGAGCGTTCTTGGACTCGAGTTCTTCATAGATAGTCTTCTTGACAAAACGTTCGCCCTTCCACTTACCCTTAGATTTGATGATAGACTGAGCTTTCTTGGAGACAGTTGGTGAAACGACGTCGAGAACCATGGCGATGGCTGCGCCTTGGGCAACGTCATACAACAAATCACCTTCTCCGAGCGGTGGCTGGCCTCCAACTCCACGGCCATAGAGACCCCAGAGGACCATGGACAGAATTTGGGAATGAGTATTGGCGTCGCGGCTGTATGCACGATCATAGGGTCCAACCATGTTGCCAAGGTAAGGGTTGTAGTGAGCAGCAATATCGTCCCATAATTTCTCCAAGATGAACTTTGCGTTCTTGGTCATGGGGTCCTCCTTGGGTCCATAGGCGATGTTCGCAGCAAGAGCCCAGATATCGATGCCGTAGTAATTCGGCGCGTTATACTCGGCCAGCGCATCTCCGTCTTTCTTAAAGAGCTTAAAAATATCCTCGCCTTGTTCTTTGGCAAAGTTGATAAGCTCTTTGTTGTTCTTGCGCTTGCCGACCCAGCCTGTTGTGAGGGTTCGCATGATAGCTGGGTTGGAGTAGCCAAGGATCAAGTTGTCGTCTTGGGGGAAAGAGCCGTTGCGACGCATACCTCCAATTGCAGCTGCTTCGAGGGCGTCTTCAATGCGAGACTCCAGGCCTTTGGGGAGAAGATGGCCAAACTCTTCGACAACTTGGATGAGTTGGGTACTGTTTCTGGTCAGTTCTTATTCACTGTGTGTTTGTTGCAAATCACTGACCCGACAAACTCTCTCCAATTGGGGTCATAGGATCCATAGATTGAAGGAGGATACAATGTTCCATTTGGTGTGGGATCAGGCTCATCTGGAGCGAGCTTGAAAGTGCCATACCAGGCAGAGTCAAATTCGCTGTTCAGTTGATTTGCCAGGCTATGAGTATGTTAGTCAAACGCTCACCAATTGTAGAGATAGGCCACTTACACATTCTCAATTGCCTTGACAGCAGCCTTGACATCATCGGTCATTCCACGATGCAAAAGACCAGCGATATACCAGGCTGTGAAGCGGATGGACCATTGACCATTATCTTGGTACCAGACGTATCCGTAGCTAGAGTCAAACCTTGAGTCTGACACTTCCATAGAATAGTCAAACAAGCTCTGCGCAGCTATTTGTGCTGTTAGTGTTTGTCGTTGCATCTGGGCTATTGCGCGTACCTGATGTCAACTTCTGGTTGCCACTGCGCTGTGCTAGGCTAGCTGCGGTAGCTGTTGAGCTGACCGCTAACAAGGACGTGGCGAGTGATAGAAGACCCATGATGACTGCTTTACGCGATAACACAATACACTTGGCAAAGGTTGAGGATCAAGCAATTGACAAATGGGAGGGAATTGAAGCCCCTCTTAACAGAAGTCATGACTACTCGCTTAACTCCTTGCGATTATCGTCACCTTTTTCGGAATTCGTATTGTGATGGGCAAAGCCGGTGAAAGGACGCCGGGTTCATTATCCCATCTTGGGGTTCCCCCGCAATCTGCCCATGACTAGTTTAGCACTTGTCAGTTGGATCAAGAAGCTAGGATCCAGCTAATGGGGCTATTGTCACTCTCTCCACATTTGATAGCAGTCCCCGATTTTGGCTACCAAAAGGCCCTGGAGTTATCTTCGTAACGGGATAACGAAGCGTGATAGTTAGATAGCCTGTCCTGGTAGGAGTTGTCGCCTCTACTCTGTATCACTCAATTGCTCTCATTGTTCAACTGGAAGCCCGAGCATGTCCAACAAGGGTCATCTGCATAACAAAGTTGAAATGAGACATGAGTCAAAAAGTCAATTGATCTAACGCCTTCAAGCTACTATCACGACACTAATTTAGCACGCCCATCCCCGCGGTATTTCGGCTTCAAAAGACCCTGAACCCAAACCACTCGGAACATGACCATCTCCTCGTCGATACCGGTAAACATCGGCCAAACCACCGACCCCAATCCCCCTTCACCCTTGCAAGTCAGGTCGCGTGCACAGCGGAGACCCCCATGGGGATAAGTGTCACTCACTATCTTTTTATCGCGGGGATAAATCGGCCCACAGTCGATACCGTATCTTTTTAGGGAATCTTTTGATGATAATACTACCTTGTCTCCCCTCCTTTTTCTGACTCCAGGCGTGTCTTGAGTTCAGTTCAAACATATCATATTCTGTGTCAAGATGGTTCAAGCACAGGCTTCTCTTGCTCTGGACGACCAGCTGGCCGCTGGCTGGTTTGGCTGGATGAGAAATAAGGGTATCATGAAACTCAATGCCATTTTGTGTCTGTCGCTCATTTCCAGTTACGCGACTGGCTATGATGGAAGTAAGCTTATCTCCACAACCCTTTTTGAAAGTCATCTAACGATTGCAGGTATGATGAACGGACTTCAGAGTCTGGATACGTGGAAAGCCTCATTCAATAATCCAGATGCCCAGAGACTTGCCATGTGAGTGAAGCCTTGCACAAACTTGATCGCTTACAAAACTAACACCTCCAGTCTCAATGCCATCCAAAACATTGGTCAATTGGCAGCTCTTCCTTTCTGTGCCGGCTTCTGTGACAAGTTTGGTCGTCGACCAGCTTTAGTAACTGGCGCATTCATTATGCTCATTGGTGTCGGTCTTCAAGGCGGAGCCCAAAACACTGGAATGTTCATCGCAGCTCGCGGCATCCTTGGTTTCGGTCTGGCCCTGAACATCACAGCAGCCCCCGTCCTCATTATGGAACTGGCATACCCTACACAAAGAGCACCCATGGTCTCAATCTACAACACGCTTTGGGGCCTTGGCGCTCTTTCAGCGGCCTGGATTACTTACGGTACTTTCAGAATCGAGAGCTCATGGGCGTGGAGGATCCCATCCATTCTGCAGGCTTTGTCAAGTGTTTTGCAGATCTGTTTGTGTTTTGTTATCGATGAGTCGCCCAGATGGCTGGTCGCCAAAGAGCGAGAGGAAGAGGCTGAGAGGCTCCTTATCAAGTACCACGCCAACGGCGATAGCAGCAACCCAGCTGTTGCAATTGAGATGGAGGAGATCCGCGCTGCCATCCGTCTTGAGAACGAGGCTATGGAATCTACAAGCTATCTCTCCTTCTTCAAGACCAAGGGAAACCGTCGTCGTTTCTTTATCATCCTGTCTGTTGGTTTCTTCAGTCAATGGAGTGGTAATGGTTTGATCAGCTACTACCTGACTCTGATCCTCAACTCTATCGGCTATCGCTCACAAGAAACTCAAACTCTCATCAACGCGTTGCTGACAATCTGGGGCCTCTTCTGGGGTGTTATATTCTCACTCCTAGTCAACAAGATCCCTCGCCGAACTCTTTTCCTTGGCTCTACACTCGGTACGCTGGCTACATACATCACATGGACAGCGCTGCAGGCGACATACGAGCAGTCAACCGATGTCAACTCAGATGGCACTGGTGGACCAAGCGGTATTGCCAAGGGTGTTTTGGCCATGATCTTCCTCTTCAACGTCTTCTTCACTGCAGGTTGGGGTGTCTTGCAAGTCACATATGTTGTTGAGATTTTGCCCTTCAACCTCCGAGCCAGAGGACTTGTGCTGTACAATCTCTTCGTGGCATGCGCTCTCATCTTCAACCAATACGCAAACCCAGTTGGTGTCACAAACTCCAAATGGAAGTACTACATCACATACGATGTGTGGCTGGCTGTAGAGGCTCTCGTTGTTTACTTCCTGTTTGTTGAGACACGCGGATTGAGTCTGGAGGAGACAGCGTTGGTGCTTGATGGCCAAGAGATGGGAGATAGGCTTGTTGGAGAAGTTCTGCGAAACACGGAGAAGACTGTTCATGTCATTGAGACTGAGAAGTCTTCTGCGTAGAATCTGATATGATTATGTCTTTAGTTGATTTTAGCCGTAATACAAATTGAATTGATCTAATTTACGATTTCACTTCACTTCTCCATGTTCATCAACTGTGTCGCCCAGTCCTACGCGCCATGTAGCATCTAATTAGCCCATCAGAAGATAGAACTTATCACCTATTAGAAACTTTGTCATCGTCTTATTGCACTGACAGGTTGAAGATCCAGAACTATGAACTAGTCGGCTCCGAGACTCGGATCACTTGGCCGAGGTCCGAATATTCCCCCATTTGCACGGCCAATGTCGGTGAAAGTGGAACTCATCTTATCACTTGTCCCCGAATGTTCCTCCACAGAATCCACTATCTTAGCGTGAACACCACTGAAGTCAGCAATCCTTCGTCTCGCAATTCATTTAACCAGACCACATTCCTCAGGACAGTATCATTTGTGTTCACTGACTGCTGAGACGCCAAACTTGAACATGGACTCATCTCAAAAAAAGCCTGACTATGAGAATCTGGAGGTGATCCAGAGAAACCGCCTGCCTGCCAGAGCGTATTGGCTACCTCCAAGCCACCTCGTCCTCAACGGAACGTGGGATTTTCAATATGCACCTACACCATTGGAAGCCTCAGAATATCCTCCCACAGACTCTAAATCTGATGTAAAATGGTCACCTATCAACGTCCCAGGCCATTGGCAACTCCAAGGCTATGGTCATCCGCACTACACCAATGTGCAATTCCCTTTCCCCTCAGCGCCACCTTTCATTCCAACCGAGAACCCCACAGGTACCTATCGACGCAATTTCAAGGTCCCTGCTGAGTGGGACAGTAACTCCCAACTGAGACTTCGGTTTGATGGTGTTGATAGTGCCTACCATGTTTGGTTGAACGAGGAGTTTGTGGGTTATTCACAGGGAAGTCGCAACGCGGCTGAGTTCGACGTTACAAGTCTTGTCAAGAAGGGTGAGGAGAATGACTTGGTCGTCCGAGTTTACCAATGGTGTGAGGCCTCTTATATCGAAGATCAGGATCAGTGGTGGCTATCCGGTATGTTTCTTTGGTTCCCTTACAGTGTTCAAACTAACACAGATAGGTATCTTTCGTGATGTGACTTTATTTGCATTTCCCGGAGAAGCCCGAATCGAAGACTTCTTTGTCAAGACAAATCTTGACGCACAGTACCAGGACGCCATTCTTGATGTTGACATAACATTGCGCCAACCTGAAGATGATTCGCCTGTCGAACTATCACTTGTTCTTCGAGACGGTGATACTCAGATTGCCTCAACGGGAAAGGCCTTGAAGGATAAGGATACTGCACTCAAATTCCAGATGCCTGTCGCCAATCCAAAGAAATGGACTGCGGAAAGTCCATATCTGTATCAGCTCGAGATCACCCTCAAGGCACCCAACACAAGCGTGATCCAGAAAATTACACAAAACGTCGGCTTCCGCAAAGTCGAACTGAAAAACAGTCTAATCACTGTCAACGGCTCGCCAATTCTCCTCCGAGGCGCAAACAGACATGATCACCATCCTCTTCACGGAAGAGCCGTTCCGTACGATTTTCTCAAGCAGGATTTGTTGCTGATGAAGCAACACAACATCAATGCGCTCAGAACAAGTCACTACCCTGGCCAGCCTTGGCTCTATGATCTGGCAGACGAACTAGGTTTCTGGGTCATGGATGAAGCCGATTTGGAATGCCACGGCTTCTATGATGTTGTTACACAGCATGTTGAACCACCCCCCTACCTGGACTATGAGGGAAGCAAAGAGGAATTCTTCCCCAAGGCAGCGCAGTTCACCTCTGATAACCCAGAGTGGCACGACTCGTACCTAGATAGAATGGTTCAAATGGTCCAGCGAGACAAGAATCATCCATCCATCTTCTCCTGGTCTCTCGGCAACGAATCTTTCTACGGCGTCAACCACGTTGCCATGATCGAATACGCTCGTAGTGTAGACGACCGCCTTATTCACTACGAAGGCGACATCAAAGCACAATTGACCGACATGTACTCCTACATGTACCCTGACCAAGACCGTCTGAAGCGCCACGTCGAGATTGACGGCATCGAAGACGGAAAGTGGCAAAAGCCTGTTATCCTTTGTGAATACGCACACGCCATGGGTAATGGACCTGGTGGTCTAGACGACTACCAAGACGCATTCCGCAAATATGAGCGTCTTCAGGGTGGTTTTATCTGGGAGTGGGCGAATCATGGTCTTTTACACAAAGATGGGTACTACGCGTATGGAGGAGATTTTGGCGACCAACCCAATGATTCGACGTTTGTCATGGATGGCTTGGTTAATAGTGAACATAAGCCGACACCAGGACTGACAGAGTTGAAGAAGGTATTCCAGCCTGTAAAGTTTGAGTTCAAGAGCGGGAAGGTACTCATCACTAATGAGTACGACTTTATTGGGTTGGGGCACTTGGAGGGCGAGTTCTCAGTCCAAGCCGTGGGTAACAAGTAAGTCAATGTTCCCAGTTTTGAAAAGAGGTGGCGCTAATTGATGTTTAGGGTATCACTGCTCGAGTCTGGCAAGGTGGAGATTCCAGAGGTCAAGCCCTGGGAAACCGCTGAGCTGTCTCTTCCAGACCTTACTCAGTACCAAGCTCATGATGAAGAAGTCTTTCTGCACATCTCTTTCAACCTTAAGGAGGCTACAAAGTGGGCATCAGCATCTCACAAGATAGCATGGTTCCAGCACAAGATCTCTATCGACAAAGAGCTCACTACACCAGCCTTTTCTGCCACAGCTCAAGCTATTGATGTCAAGGAAAGCCGAACTGGAGTTGAGGTATCAGGTGGTAAATGGGCCATCAAGTTCGATCGTGTGCGAGGCTACATCACCAAGTGGTCACATGGCACTGATCTTCTCGAGATCGACACTGCGACGCGTGCTGCGATTTATCCCTGCTTTTGGCGCGCGCCTACGGACAACGATAAAGACAGCGCTGTCAATGTTTGGAAGGATTACGGTGTTCATCGAATGACTTCCCAGCTACGATCTTTCCAGGTCCAGAAGGCTACCGACAGTGTTACGGTTAAGACGGTGACATATCTCGCACCCCCAGTGTTGGGATGGGGCTACGATATTACCACAAATTATCAAATCTCGTCTGATGGTATTGTATCAATAAAGCTCGATCTCCAGCCCAAGGGAGTTTTCCCGAAGGATATTCCCCGTCTAGGTCTCAATCTTCGCTTGCCCAAGAAGCTCAACCAGGTGGATTGGTTCGGTCGCGGGCCGGGAGAGTCGTATCCGGATAAGAAACACTCTCAGGCCATTGGCATCTGGTCATCTTCGATTGACGGTCTGGAAGTACCGTATGATGTTCCGCAGGGTCACGGTAATAGGATGGATACGCGGTGGGTACGCGTTGTTGACGCGGATGGACATGGAATTCGAGCTTCGCGACGCGATCAAAGTACGTTCGATTGGACTGGAAGTCGTTTGTCAGATGAGACGATCGAGAAAGCCAAACACCCGTGTGACTTGGTACGTGAAGAGGCTACTTTGCTGAATCTGAGTGCCAAGGTTGCTGGAGTTGGTAGCGCGACTTGTGGGCCTGGAGTGAGAGAGGATCTCAAGGTCAAGGTTGAGCCAATTAGTTATGAGTTTATTCTGGAAAAACTCTAGAATACAGGGTAGTCTGCAGTTCGTTTATGCAACATTGTTGATGAAATTATCTGAGCACAAAGCGTGTTGACGCGATGATCCTCATCTAGGTTCGTTTATCAAGCGAGTATTACTCTTCTCGTCTAGGGTAGCTTAAATGTTTATCGTCATTCAACGCGAAGCTATGAACAGATGTTGTACACGACCCGATCGTCGATCGGACAACAAGTCTATCTACAATTTGATTTTTATTTTAGAAAGTAAATAAAACAAATCATGCGATATGACCAATATTCGTTACTCTTATGAGCGTGCAAGGTCAACGGTACGACCATAGGGCTGAGTGAATTGTCATAGCTCCCAATGGAAGATGCGGAGATTAGATGTCATCAAACATTCCATGGCATTGTTTATTAGCTGAGCTTTTAGCTTGTGATAAAATGAGCGTGAATGGACGAAATGACTCTTTGAGACTAGGCAATTCGCTAGAGAGTGGTGGACATTTGCTTCTACTGTGTTCTGGAATGAGACTAGAGAATTGCACAGTTTATCATGAAGATTTGGAGTTCACAACAAATGACGAGATATGCAACAGCCCCACTATGCTACATATCTTCATGTTGTCTCAGTCTTAGAGTCTCAGTCTTAGAGTGTTAGTTGCATATGTCTCAGACTCCATAGGCCATTAGTGAGTCCTCAACTGTCAATGTGCTTCATGACAAGTTTTACCTCTGCATCAAAACAGCAGTAACTCTGACAACTACCAATAATACACGGCGTGACCGATGCAAGCATAACAAATGACGCACAGGGTTTATGCGCTAAGCCCCGCATTGTACTAGACACAAACTCGACACTATCACTATTCAAGTCAAGATGGCCCAGTATAAGAGTCCCCATTCTACCGAAATGAAACAATGAAGGGGTAATGCCTAAGCGAAACAATGCAACACATTCCTCGCCCCTTTTTGTCAAAACAACTGCCCACTTGCTACCCACAACAGCTCTACCCTACCTACTCTGCTCTACTCTTCAAAGTAAACAAACAGCTCTGCTCTTTGCTCTTTTTTTTTTCTTTCTCTTTTTCCTTACTAACCATGCAACTATTGCATGTCTAATCAATCAGTCACTATCACTGTCACACTCAATACTATTAATATATACACGATTCAAATACTACATCACAGACGCGCACGCAGACACACACAAAAACACACCTAAATTAATATGGTCTGCTACGACATTGTCGGCAAAAGCAACGACAAGCCACTATGGCGACCGTTGGCTCACAAATTCTCTACTCTCGTCCTTAGAAGGCGATCAAGTAAACGAGATAGAGTCGATGCCAACGAGAAAGCCCAAGAAACCCCAGCAAACTTCAAACCACTCGAAGTTCGATCCAATGTTCTCGAAGGTCTCCACGTCCCCAATAGTTGGCTCGTCGAGTCACCCTCGGCCAACTCCCACGACAAGTTGACCCTCCCCGCAATTAATCTTTCAGAGTCACAAAAGTCCCCACGATCGCGTGGGTTTGGCCTCTCCAAAGATTCATCACGACCATTCTCCATTGGAGATATCTCTGGATTGTTAAAGACGGAATCAGATCGCGCGTCGGCGCTGGCAAGCTTGACAGCTGCCGACTCAGTACCTAAGGAATCTAGCGTCCTAGATCGTGGACGACCGGTCGAAGCTCGGCATTTAATACATCAGCCTGTCCGAGGCACCAAGACCAACCGCAAGTCACTCCCATTGGAGTTGATGTTCACAGCTCCAGTATACAACGAAGGCCAAACCTCGACTACCCCAAACGACGACTCTGCGACAAAGATTGACGTCGCCTCTCCTTCGTCCTTCCACGAATCGTCGCCTTGGGCTGCAGAACACAGGCGACGATCCACAATCCGAATTGTCAGCCGATCACCTACACGAGCCGATGAAGCAAAGATTGATACGACTTCTACGACCACCACCGATACTACAGACGAACTTGAACGTAGACCCAGCCAATCGATCCCGAGGAAGCCCGTCGCTCCAGCTCCCAGTCCCACAGCATCAACAACATCAACAACATCAGCGCCAGCACCAGCACCAGCACTAGAGCCCACACGCACATCATCCATAAGAAGTAACAACACCGATGTCCCATCATATTCCACGTCCGTTACGAGACTCAAAGCAAAACAACCATCCAAGTTGAGCGATCGTCTCTCATGGATCAAGAACCTGGAGGAGAAGAACGTCGACAGACCGAACAAGGATCTGTCCCAGTTACCTAAGCGTGCTGGCACCGTCTCGGACAAGCTGGCCATGTTCGAGAAGAAGAACATGTCCGGTACCGCAAACAAGCAGCACTTGCTTGCACCAACGCGCACATACTCTAGCAGCCACTCGAGCACATACTCTAGCAGCTACAACTCAGCCCGTGGCCGAGAGAGCATCTTTTCCACAGACAGCAACGCGAACGTGTCGTCAACGCGCACCTCAATCGACACGACGCATCGTACCTCGTCAGTGATGAGTTACTACGATGACACATTTCGACAGAAGCTTGAGTCGCTAGTTGGACAGGAGCCTGCTGCTGCTGAGGAAGAGACCGAGGAGGCCAAGACTGAAGAAAAGAAATAAGAAACAGACCAGCATATACCATACTACTTAACGATCCATCTCCGTCGCGTGAAAGAGCAATAGGAGTGGATTCAGATTATCACCAGAACTCTGTTCTTCCCGTTGTTGAGGCAGGCTTTCCCTCCACTTTAAGAACATGGAGCATATTACCGACACAGAAACAATACCCCCGACGGCGGTACATACATGTCTCACGACTACAACACTACATAGATTACCCCTTTATGATTTCAGAATGATGCATGCGACTTTAAATTTAATAGCATTTACTTTTATATCAGGATATATATCTTCAATTTGCCTTCTTTCGAAGTCTGGTCCTCATGATAAGGATGATACAAAATCTCGTGATCGTACATGAGCTGAAAGATGACTGCGCTATTGATGGGACTTCTGTCCTGGCCTATAAAAATATCGTGACCCCGCATCTGACAATTCATGGCTTCAAATACTTTGACTTATTCACATACTTTTTTCTAGGGAAACAATCATTGTAAATATCTTTCTTGAGTCCAGATATCCTTCAGCTGTTTCGTTCCAGTTCTTCATTCTCTAGCAAACATGTGGCTTATCAACACCTCCACCATCGCGCTCGAACGAGCAAACTCAGACGACTTACCCTCAACACCATACGCCATTTTATCGCACACATGGGCTAAAGAAGAAGTCACATTTGAAGACATGATTGACCAGAGTCAAGTCAAATCCATGTTGGGATATACCAAGATCGAAAACACATGTCGGCTAGCTAGAGAGCGAGGTCTAGCTTATGCGTGGGTCGATACCTGTTGCATCGACAAGCGTAGCAGTGCAGAACTCGCCGAGGCTATAAACTCCATGTTCAGATGGTATAAACAGGCCACTGTTTGTTTCGCTCATCTTGATGACTTGCCGCCATCTACTGAAAAAGAGGTTGTCGCTTTTGACAGGTTGAGCTCTTGCAGATGGTTCACACGAGGTTGGACTTTGCAAGAATTGATCGGCCCCAAGAACCTTGAGTTCTATGACTATGCATGGAACTACGTGGGCAGGAAAACAGATCTGGGTTCTCTGATATCCGAAATAACCGGTATACGCCGTGAAGTGCTTGAAGACAGTTCTATTCTTGAGAGCGTACCCATCGCGAACCGCATGTCATGGGCCGCCAAGCGGAAGACAACAAGGATTGAAGACACGGCCTACTGCCTTCTAGGCATTTTCGACGTCAACATGCCTATGATGTACGGCGAGGGTACAAAGGCTTTTGAGAGACTACAGGAAGAAATCATCAAGCAAACAACCGACATGTCTATTTTCGCTTGGAAAGCAAAGGATGAGTCTCAAGACTACCGTGGTATCCTAGCGCAGTCACCTGAGGAGTTCATACACTGCCGTCACCTTTCACAAGCGCCAAGCATGAGATGTGGGTTTGAGACAACCATGACGAACAAGGGCTTGAGGCTCGAGACCTTCCTAGGTGGTGGCAATATCCTCAACTTGGCCTGCACTAATTCAGATTGTGCTGAAGGCCAAAAGAGGATAGGGGTCTTTTTAACTAAAACTGCTGATGGCTATGTTCGTTCCTCTCCATCAAAGCTTTTTGAGACAACGGATCCACGGCTTTGGGCTGGTGCTCGCTACAAGGTCTTTGTCCGCAAACGTATCACGCCATTTGTGTCAGAGGAGTTGAGAGAAGCCCTAGCAAAGAATCTAGCTGTTTACTTCGATATATGCCCGGGCCTCGAGGTTCGTTCGTTCGCTGCGAAGCCAGCAGATCTCTGGGATCAGTATCACCATGCATTCATTGGCAACGACAATAAAAAATTTACCGGCTTTTTGGACTTTCAGATATCAGACACGGCGGGCTCATTTTTGTCTAACCGAATTATTGTGGTGTGCAGCCTTTATCTTCGGCACACACAGGGCATGAAAGGCAGCGCTGGTATGTGGAGGGCAATATATGACTCAAGGGATGGGTCAACTTCGAAAGCGATCATGAAATGTATAGATGGGTATTATAATTCGTACGGCGAGGAGTATTATCTGTCTCAACTCCAGGAGGCAGTTGTCACATGGGATTGGTACTCGCGGCGAGAGGTAAATGTGCCATCTGGTGACGAAGGACATCATTTACGTATATCGTCAGATGTACATATAGACACTAAAACTGGAGCGCACAGTCTAGTTATCAAAGTGGTGAGTCGATGAGACTTGCAGAAAATTATGGCAGAGGAGTCTCTTTTGGTAGTGTAGGGGGTGAACATGATAGAAGTAGCAGGGTGCAGAAACTAAAATGGTTTCTCAAAGACGATTAAAGACCGTGACGCTACTCGTGATCGGTTTCCCTGCAAATAGCCCTCCGAGGATGGATGAAATGGGAATCTGATCCCTTGCAGATGTTGGGTTGGACCGTCGTGACGTTTCAGTTGGTGGCGGCTTATACTGTAGCACTATGGCCAATGAATAGCTTCTGAGCGACTGTCTTCAAGACAAGGCAGACAAGGCAACCAGACGTACCTTTATAGCTTCCAAGGCTCCGCCGTCCTCACATAAGTATGCTCAAAATTCTCCGTCACCTTCACCCCTCAACTTTAACATTCTTCCTCTCGCCATAATTCAACTTGACATACCTCCCACTCGGTCGTTACAACTTTGAATCGACCAGAAACCACCCTTTCCACGCGCACTAGCTTTACCTGGTCCCCAGTACAACTGCCGTGTAGGACTGTCATCGGAGAGACCCAGTCTCCAACGCTATCTTCGCCTCCACCATACCAGGTGACGAAGCGGCCGTGCCTGCCCAGGCTGATATTGTTGGCATCCCTGGAGCCACACTGTCTGCTCTCAGTCTTACTCAAGGACTTCTATGTGCAGTTTCGGCTGATAGTGTCAATCCGCAAGCCGTGATTCAAATGGAGCGACTGGGCTCTTGCTTCCATTCCAACGGTCCATGGGCCGCCAAAGTTCCTGATCTCTTGTGCAGGGCATCATCGTCTGTAAGACTTGAGAGGCTCTCTGCATGGATCGGTTGGGAAAAGAATGATACAGCGTCATTCATGAGCAAAACGACAGGTGGAAAGATGGCAAGCCTACTTTGCTGTGTTCTGGGGAGTCTATATGAACCAGCCCGTGCTGGAATGATGATCTATGAGTTATCAGAAAGTATTCTGCCTTCCGAAGGAAAAAAAACGCCTCTAACTCGTTGCACGTATTCTCTATCTTAAGAGTTTCGAGGTAAAAAAGCAAACTCCGGTACAGGGAATCGAACCCTGGGCTCCGCGGTACTGATCTCTCAGGTTATGAGAGCGCGAAATGTTAGCCACTACACCATACCGGAAATCGATAATCGTGATTGGTGGTTGTTGATAGGGAATTCGTCATTTGATAATATGAAGGAAGCCATCTGGCGGTGTTTTCTATGGCTTATGCTGAAGGAAGTTGAAGAAGTGGTCCACTGAGCAGTGCTTTTGTATAGTGTAAATAAGGTCGCTTCTTTGAACCTTTCCCTCTTCGACTCAAAGTTGCAGGGTGAGGGGAACAGTCAATATTAGACATTCAAAACCGCGAAAACCCACCGAAAAGCAAGCAGCGTATATGCATCCAAATTCTTTGTTTGTGGCTACTAAATGTTTCTCTTTGTTACTTGTGAGTGGCTTTGCATTGTGGTACCAAATGTTTCTTGGCTAATGGTTACTCGCTATCTTGTCTTAATTCTATCTGATTATGTGATTTGGAAACCTCGAACTCTGAATGTAGTACGACATGAGAATTCTTGCCTCTTACCTAAACTCGAATGATTAGAATTTATTGAACTAAGATACTATTCTATGTGTATCAATGCTTGTCTAAATTGCAGTAGTGTTTGAACTAATGACAGTACATTCCGCTTTCCAAGCATTGTGACATATCTCGACAATATTCACAACTTATTTGCCATTTCCACAAGTACGGTATCAGATGGACTACATGGAATCTGATTCCAGACCTATTTATGCACGTTGTCTATTCTGAGCCTTTAAATATCGTGGTCGTGGGTAACACTGTTCCAGTAATAGCCACGAGGCGTCACGTACCCTGCAGTCCGATTCATGGATTTCGGCACATAACTCTTCCAGGAAATCCACAGACAATGCTGTATCTTTTTGTATTAGCACGACGCTAGCAAACAACAAGACGTCTGCATAAATTAGCGGAGCTCCCTCGAACCATAAATATCGCAGTGGCACAATGACAGTCAATAACTCCAAAGCCAAACATCAGGCGACATGTGATCCCGGTCAGTTGGTTGAGAATAATGCATCTACCGACAGCCGGTACGACGAACTAGTTATGCAGCTGCACAATTACTCATGGGTGTGCATATCTGGCGCGCAGCTCATTCCTAACCGGGAATAACCTCACGCTGAAGAACCCACCACAAGTTACGCACCATCGTTAGAAACCCACTATAATAACGTTTAGCGAAGCATACGATTCCAACTAAACCTGCAACGGAGCGCTCGTCCGCGCACTTTGGAGGATCCACGTCAGTCCCCTATGCTCACACTCTTATTTCCTCTGCTGGGACCCCCTCTTTATTCTCTGGTAGCAGGGTCGAGGCCAATCGGTTAGGACGGACTCGCTGGGATACGTGTAGCTTAGGATGGAGATAAGAAGATGGCTGCTGCACTGTTCTTTGGACCCTGACCCTCGTTCTGTTGACATTGTTCTCTTGGGAAACGAACGGGAATATTCCAATCGCATTGACAAGTTTACCGAGGCTAGAACGAGCTAGACGTAAAGTTTTATCGTTCTACTCTTTTTGTTCTGACCCCTTGATACTCCCTTCGTCACCCGAATACCATCAGCATGCGTGTCGCTATCATCGGAGGAGGCCCCTCAGGTCTTGTCCAGCTCAAAACTCTCAAGACCGCCCACGAATACTTTCCCTCAGCCGAGCCCTTCGAGGTCAAGCTCTTCGAATCCTATGACAAACTAGGTGGCGTTTTCCTTCATCATGTCTATGAAGACGCTGAACTTGTTTCATCAAAGTTCCTCACCACGTTTTCCGACTTCCGACCCCGCCCTGAAGACAACGACTTTCTCTCCTCGGAGCGGTATAGGGAATACTTGGAGGAGTATACAACGTATTTCGATCTTTGGCCTCATATCCATCTGAGTACCCCCGTCACGGGTATCAGAAGAGGAGATACAAGTGAGCACGTCGTCAGTTACAAAGGCCCTGGTGGCGAGGAGACCGAGTGGGAGTGCGATGCCATCGCTGTATGCTCAGGCGTGCACTCAAAAGCACACATGCCAACTATCCCTGGTATTGAAAATGTCCCTGAAGTGATACATTCATCAGACTTCAAGAAGCGTGAGCAATTTGGAACTGGAAAAACAGTCATGGTTCTCGGCAGTGGTGAAACAGGCTGCGACATGTGCCATCTTGCCATCACGTCCCCCACAAAGCAAGTTGTCTTTTGTCACCGTGATGGTTGGATCGGAGCTCCCAAGCGAGCACCCGGGCAGAGATTCCTGCCGTGGCTTTTCGGAGACCAAGACTACGAGGAGCCACAGTTGCCTATCGATGTTAGCCAAGTTACGCTTTTTGATTCAATGTATGTTCATCCCATGGTTCGCGATACCATGATCGTTTGGGATTACTATCATTTCCTGGCCTTGCCTGCTGGATGTTGGATTTGTGGTGGTTCACCACATGGTGTCGATCAGTGGGTCGGTCAGATCTTTAGTGATCGGTTCCACGCTTCGAGATGTAAGTTCTTTCGATCGGCATTCTCGAAACATGACTAATTTGGAATAGTGTTCTGGAACAAAGGCTGGCAACGTATTCAGAACAACGTTTCCACACCCTGGCGTCCTACCAAGTGGCCATTGGGGACTCGTATTCGACAGTTCTTCTTCAACACAGCTATTACTCCCGCTAAACGTACCATTGACGTCGCTCCTTTCCCATCACACTTTACATCTGATGGTGTAGCTCACTTCCCAGATAATGGTCGCCCAGAAGCAAAGCTTATTCAACGATCAGTTATTAAACCTGACATGGTAATTTTAGCAACTGGTTACGTTCCACACTTTCCCTTTCTCAACACAAAATACAACACCGGCCGTCGACCCTACCCCGTATCTCACGATGCGGATGTCCGCCAGGTCTGGTCATCTAACGACCCTACTGTTGGATTTATTGGCTTCGTTCGTCCTGGATTTGGTGCCATTCCTCCTTTGGCTGAGATGCAGTCTATGCTCTTCGCTACTCACCTCCTCAACCGAGTCCCACGACCTCTTCTCAAGGATGATGAGTGGCATTACCGTGTAATCCATGCACCGAGTGCGCGAGTTACATATGGTGTTGAGCACGACAGTTACGCATACCAGCTTGCCAAGGATATGGACATGGCTCCCTCGTTCACAGATATCCTCCGTATCGCTCTTTATACCCCTCGTGGTTGGCGCCTTCCTTACATCTGGGCTGGAGGAGCCAGTTTCACCGCCAAATTCCGCCTTGTTGGACCTTGGAAGTCGGACAGAGCAGCTGAGACTCTTACGGGAGAACTGTGGGAGACTATTTCTCGACGCAATGGCCTTTTTGGTAACATACCCATGGTTGTTGTTCCCGTTCTCTACCTTGGTAGTGTTAATTTGTACTATTACGTGTACTCTTTATTCTGGGGATCTCTGGCCAAGCTTGGGCTTTGCAAGGCGCCTGTGCCAAGGAATGACGTGAAGAGAAAGTTTGAAGAGCTGGCTCAGAGGGAACAGATGAAAATGGCACAGGATGTCAAGATGACGGCGGATGTACGCGTGATGGAAGTTTCAGAAGACAGCGATTTCTAATTGTGCAGGACATCACACTTAGGTAGTAATTCGATCCATAGCCTCTGATTATCCCTTATATACCACTAAAGAAGTAAAGATATTGCTACTGACTACAACGACCTTGAGAAACCCGCCTCTGTGATACTTCTATAAAGATATCAAGCTTCTCACAGACGGCATACACCGTTCACGCAACTGCAAATACCCAAGGCGGTACACAAGTCAAGATTCGCTACGCAGTCCGATTCAGTGATGCATGAAACGTCGTCAACACATAGCCCCTGCTGACAAGTTTGCCCTGGACTGCACTGTGAGCTTAACGTACAGCTCTGGACGCCGGCTGGAGGAGCACAAATTGCGTCAATGCAGACACAAAGTCCCAGAGCACACAGCGGACTCATAGACAAGAGACAGTCGACATTGTCCACGCATGAGTCTCCACCTCCAGAAGCTGCATTGGTTGTAGTAGCCAAGGCGGAAGTTGTAGTGGATTGGAGAGTTTCCATGGTGGTGGTAATGGGCATGGTAGTGGTGTCTTCAGCCGTAGAGATATCTTCAGAGGAGGTATTTGCTTCAGAGATTGAAACAGAGATCTCGGTGGTTGTAGTGAAGGGTGCAGTTGTTGTTACTTCTGTAGTAGTAACAGAAATCTCAGTGGTAGCGACAGAAAGCTCACTTGTCTCCCCTTTGGTGGTGAGAATGGTCTCGGTGGCGGTTGACTCAATTGTGAGCGATGTCTCAGTGGTTAAGGCAGAGGTTGGACGACACGGTCCAGCTTGCACGCTATTGATAGCTAAAATAGTCAACGCAGCACTGAAAAAAGAATTCGAAATCATGTCGAAGCCAAACGAGTGATTGTATTAGATTCAAATGAGTGACAGGCAATAGTGAAGCAAGAAAAGAAAAGGAAAGAAATCAGAGAGGTTTTCGTCTCCTTTTATTGAAGTAATATTTTCTTTTTGTTTTGGTAATTTGGTGGCGCAAGCTTCAAGAGTCTAGACCCTACTTTATTGATGCCAACGACTACTTCATGCTGGGTTGGGGATTCTATCTACGCATAAGTGCAGCGCTACTGTAACTAGACTCAGTAGCCCCTGTCAGCTAAGCAAGTGAAGCCTTATTAGCTGGCCTATGCGTAACTGAAGCTGAAGCTCTTGATCGCAAGGCTTTTCTACACTCCAGCGCTAACATCAACCAAGATTTTGACGTGGTTGTCTTTGTCATTGATAAGCGTTTGGAAACCATCCTCAACAACCTTGTCCATCTTAATGACCTTGGTAATCATTCCCTCGGGTGTAATCTTGCCATTTGACAGTGCATCAATAACTTCTTCAAAATCTCCGAGAGCGTATGTTGCACTGAACAACTGTCAGAACACACTGTTTCAAGGTTTAGGAATCACTTACCATCCAACATAAGATCTCTCTCGGAACACAATCTGATTCATGTTCAACTGTGCCCTCTTCTCCCATACAGCAATGTTCACCAACACTGCCCTGGCCTTCAAGCAGTCGAACGCTACATCAATAGCTTGTTGCGAGCCTGCAGCGTCAAAACCAACATCTGCTCCCAGCCCTCCTGTCAACTTTTTCACATTCGCCACGACATCGTCCTTTGTAGGATCGAACACGTGATGCGCACCAAACTTCTTGGCAAACTCGCGTCTCTTGGAGCTGACCTCGCTCAGCATGATGTTCTTGCATCCACGTCCTATGAGAGCCTGCACAACAGCCAGTCCAATTGGTCCGCCACCAACAACAAAAGCCGAGTTGCCTTCCTCGTAGGGTGAGATCTTGATTGCGTGCCATCCAACAGCAAGCGGTTCGACTAAAGCGCCGACTTCTAGGGACACATTGTCGGGCAGCTTCTTGACAGCATCCTGCGGCACAACAGTTGATTCGGCCAACCCACCTCCCCAGCCACTCAACCCGATGAAACCGTTTTTATCACAGCAGTTCTGAAGGCCGCGCTTGCACGAGCGGCACTCATTGTCGTAGATGATAGGTTGCACGCAGACGCGATCACCTTTTTGAAGACGCGTGACTTCACTGCCAACCTCTTCAACAATGCCGCTGAATTCGTGGCCCAGAGTAAGTGGTGATGTCTCGCCTGTGATGCCGTGCGGGGTGCCAGGTTTGGGGATAAGGTTATTACCGCCGAGATACTCGTGTACATCTGTGCCGCAGATTCCGCAAAACTTGGGTGCAACACGAACGGTAGTGGGGTCCAGAGGTTTGACGGGGACTGATTCAAGACGGATGTCTTGTTGTCCGTGATAGCGTACAGCCTTGATCGATTGTGTTGATGTCATCTTGTGATATGAGTTAAGAACAAGTAGAGAACAAATCGAAACAGAACACAACGGAACAGAGAATGAGAGGGAAGAGGGGCTTTTATGCAAGGACCTTCTCTACTCAACAGAACAGCTCACTCGGCCGCAGCAAGCACGAAGCTGTAAACGTGACGCAGACGCCAGGTTCCCCTCATTCGTAAGACATGCCATGTCCCGAGATAGTAATGCGAAGTCACCAAGTACAAATAAAGTATGGTGATGTACCGATCGGATTACTGTCTTTGGCTTAGACCAATCATGAGATGATACCAGGATAGAAGGCTCCACGAATGATGGGATGACTTTGAATGCGGGGAAGAAGACCCTAGACCGGGATTTGGGAACGGGTATAGAGGACACTATTGGATCAGATTCGAGACATTTGAGAAGTATGAGGTAAAGATCATCGGGTTCAGTTGTCTGTCTTGCATAGAATGTCAATGAGATGAAGTCATTCACCATCATACAAGTAAATTGTCCAGCGTATCTTGATCCAAGACTTGATGGATGTTCTTTTTATCGAAGTCATATATAACAAAATATGAGAACATGTGATAATAATGTGTTAATCGCAATCGAAGTGCGCGGTGGTTGGACATTTCATCAGTCTAGTCAATCGACAATAGGCCAGAAATAGAGACAGTTGTCTTTTACGAAAATTTCACGATTCAAAAGGATGTGGCCAAGACTTAGAGAATAATGAATGATGGTTATTCATAAAACGAGAACTACAACAGCTAATCGATGTCCATCCAATTCATTCTCATAAAAGCAACGCTTTGTTCGAGTGATCTTTGTCCCATTCCAGCAGACCCTCTTGTTCCAACCTCCACATACAGCTCCTTGTTGTCCTTTGGCTTTGATGTTGAACCACTCTTAAGTGGCGTAAGGCTGGTAAACAGTACCGTTGCGCTGGGCCTCGCGCAAAAGTCGCTTGTTGGACCTTGTGAGCCAGATCTTGAGGACAATGGCACAAGCACTGGAGGACAGACCAAAGGCCATCATACCAATAAAAGCACTGATGTAGCGAGGCTCCTCCTTGGCGACGAACATGAAAGGAGCAGTGAAGTTACCAATCTGGGACAGCAGGTTGCAAAGAGCGACGGAAACAGCTCGCTTCTCGGGTGTCTTTGCCAGAGCACCACTGACGTATCCCATGATGAGAGGGTTGGCGATGTACATTCCACCGACGTAGATGAAAGAGGCACCGTAACGGGCTCGGGCATCGGTGGTGGCAAGACAGATGACGAAACCAGAGCAAGCAACAGCGACTGGGATGGCATAATGCAGACCTCTCTCCTTGACCTTGTCGGAGTGCCAAGCGTTGACGTATGAACCAATGGCAGCAAAGATGTAGGGAGGCGCGGTGAGGACGAGAGCAATGACAGGACCGTATCCCCAATCAGCGGCGAGGCCACGAACAATCGAAGGGTAGAAGTTTGAGAATCCGTAGGCAGCAGAGATGGTGATGTTCATAAGCGTAAGGATGTAAAGCTTGGGATCGCGAACGGCAAGCTTGAGTCCCTCCCAGGCACCAGTCTTACCCTCCGAGGTAGAAGGTCGGTCAGCAATGACACGAGCGGCAGCAACCTTTCGCATGTCCTCGGTCATGGTCCACATGGCGCTACCGGTGGTGGAAGTGGGATAATCGGGGATAAACCAGATGCAGATCATGGCTGAACCAGCACCAGCGGTAGCAAGGATGATGAAGAGCCATTGCCAGCCAGCAAGTCCGTGAGCTTGTTCGAGAGTAGCGTAGGTGGCGGCGGCGATGAGACCGGCGGAGCAGAAGGCGATTGTCTGAGCGGAGTAGAGGATGGCCATGCGGAAGGCAATCTCCTTTCTTGTGTACCAGCATCCGAGAAGGTAGATGGCACCGGGCAGAAGAGGAGCCTCGACAAGACCGAGAGCGAATCGTACACCCATAAGACCAGAGTAAGAAGAGACTCCAACGGTAGCAACACTGACACCAGACCAGACAATAGCCATAAGACAGAGGTAAAGACTGGGTCGAATCTTGGTGATCATCATGTTACTGGGGAGCTGACCGAGGACTAGAGTCTGGTTAGTGAAGCTCTATGATATTGATGGCGTTTTTTTTTCACTTACCATAACCGAGAGAAAGAATAGAGACAGCAGATGAGAAGTTGGATCCGACGAGACCCAAATCAGCATCAAAGGAACTGAGACGCGCATGACCGATGGAAGCTCTGTCGAGGTAGTTGAAGAAGTAAAGACACCAGACACAAGGCATGAGAGTCATGTCAAGACGTCTAACGATCTTCTTCTCCAGCTCACGCCAGTTCGGAATACCGAGGGCGTCAATCTGCTCCTCAGGGCTGGGAAGACGGCCTTCGTCCTTCATGTAGCCTTCCTCTACGGAAGCAAGCTCCTTTTCAATAGCTGAGGCATCATCGGCTTTGACATCTCCAGGAACAGCAGCAGCGTGGGTAGCAGGAGCCTGAGGATCCTTCATAGCATCGCTGCCAACTTTCTCGTTAGGGGTAGCCATTAGAAAATGGGTCTCCAAACAAAAAGGAACAAAGGTGTTTTTGGGAGAGGGTATGCCCTTGAGTAAATGCTTTGAGACGAGAAAGAGCTTGTAAAAATGACTCAACTCAGAGCAAAAAGGGCACAGAGAGGAATGAGAAAAGGGACAGATCTGAGAGACAAAGCAGAGACGGGGGAGAATGAGGAAAATGGGACCCAAGTTTTATATTTACAGAAATTTAGTCTAAAACCCCGCATGGCGGTTGATGGTCAACCCCCCGGAGAACACAGACTTCGTCTCCTCCTGACCCCGAAGCCAAGAGTCCGGGGGATCAAGAAAATGCAAAATTCTCTTGGTACTGGGAACGAAAACTGGGGTGCGAAGGGTCGGAAATCTGGGGCCCCATAAAGCGAGGTTCGCCGATGTGTCTCCGTCATGGGGGATCGTCTTTGAGAGATCGGCAACAAGTCCGTACGTTTGGATTCAACCGTTTTTTCAACATGTCAGTCGTGATGTTGTCGATGTTGTAATACAAAAAAAAAACTCTATGTTTTTACGTACGAAGTCGTGAGGCTCTTTGTTAGCCTGCGGCTCAGCGTGAGGCTCTTGACGGGGAAAACGCCGCATTGTTGAGGTGCTTCGGGGGCATGACCTGATTTAGTTTAGTTGTTGAGACTACCCATTTTATGCTTAGTTCTAAGTTTACATCTCATTTTCGTTTAAAAATACTCCGAAACTTCTTGCATCAATACCACGACCTCAGATGAATGGATGGCATTGTGAATCCATTCCCAAGTCCAACATCAAGAAAAAAACAGTTCATTTCTGCTTTGTCTCAGACTTCCGCTTTCCTCCGAGTCATTCCAAGCATATCACTACTGCCAAGTCTTTTCACATGGGCGTTTTCGCATGACCGCTCGTAGAATTGCAAGAATATGACCATGTCGCATTGCCAAGTATTATTCTCCATATAACAAGCTGAGGGGAGACGATTGAAAGTTCCCGGCTCTTAGAATTTGACCGAATTTGACGTGTTGCCACGGATATACATGATAAAGGCTTCCCGTGCCAAGCGATAAATTGTCCATCATTGCCTGTTCAGCTGTTATATGTAGTAGGTACGTATCTCTATTCCCGTCTGGGCAAGCAGGGATTATTCCCGCTTGGCAGACAATTATTCATCAGTAGCCAATACACAGAGAATGAACGTTAACCGAAGTATAGAGTTAAGCTCAGTAAAAACACTTGGCTGATGAGTCTCTGGGGAATCGCGTGAGTTTCATGCGCCAAGCGTGTCTATCTTATACTCATTGGGAGTTTCTTTCTGTAAGAATTGGAAGGCTTTTTCTTTCTGTCTACCCGCGGGATGACATACTTCTCCACTTGTGCTCCAACTGCGGAGTCCACGGGTTGGAGAATCTCATGTCTCTCTACCCCGATTCGCCAAGCGTTGTTCCCACGGGAAATAGACGTTGTGCTGAGGGGCGAATAAGACTGCACTTTCCCTGTTTCAATGGAGTAATTATTGGACAAGACCCTGAATGGTTTGTTCGAGTCTCCGTAATTAACAAGCATAAATCTATGGTTAGTAGACGATACTCCACTAGATCACTGATCACAGGACCCTTTGACGAGAGTTAAGCTTAGGTGAGGGATGATTCATGACCTATTGACTAATTCCAATGATTAATTGACCACCTCGCATGGAATAGCAGAAGTCTGTAGTCAAACTACAAATTTAGTAAACTTATGACGGAGATATCAATTGCCTCACAAACAACAACATCTTCCAATCTGTCATGATTACAGTCGCCAAGCCGGTTCAAGGCAGCCGTTGAGAACTGAATCCACAATGTCGTGATAAGACCCTTGGCAAGGATTCGGTTCCCAGTTTTACTTCCGGAAGCGGGAAGGACCAGTATGAACAAAGTCAATTGTTCACCACGCCTCATCAAACTTTCGGGCTTGCATATAGGAACAGTCAAGTCCGGATATGCGTTACCAAAATACCGTTCACTGTTTAGCATTTACAAAACAACTGGACTTGTATTCAATAACGATAACTAATGATCAATTATGTTCTGCTTGCGCGACTGGTGCTGATTGCTGGGATAGATTGGCTTATTCCTACGATCGAATTAGATAAACAAAGAACGAGTAAAAACAACACTATTGTGCATACACAAGAGAGTAGCAAAGAACACTCCAATCGATGTATAAAATGGCTTTCCTTGCGTTATCTAATTTTAACTTTTATCCTCTCAAATCCCTACAGCTCGGAACAATTGCAACACAAAAGTTGTACAGCATCATTTTGGCATATCTAGCATCACTTTTTTATCACGACTCAAATCACAATCGACAAGATGCGGACCCAAGGTATTGACGCCATTGAAGCTAGAATGGGTTGGCTACAGATTGACGACAAGTTCCAGACTCCTGGCATCTTCGACGTTGAGATGACTCATCTTCCCAACGATCAGAGCCACACGATCCCACAGGAATCGACCTCTTCGGAGATGTCAAACTTGAAGCCATCTGATGCAACGAAAGTCCTCTCGCTGACTTCGTTTTTCCTGATCTGGCAGTGTATCAGAAAAATAATCCTAGGCGTGGCCACCGCGTTTTTGCTACTGGTATGGTCCCCGTTTATGGCGAAATTGATAAGCTACGTCTATCTCTTGGCCCGTGAAACGTCAGGGCCAGATTCTCGTGGCACAGGGATTGACAGAGAAATCTATTCTCTGCTCAGTCCTTCAGGCCCAAGAGAGTCCACCACGTAGTGAGTCCACCATGTAGTGTGGGGGGTGAGTATGTGTCTTCGGCACAGTCTAGCGATTGCTGGTAAGCATACATAGATCAAATGAAAGTAAGTCGTGTCTCCAACTTTCTATTTTTTGTTCTATTTGCCTGTACTTGAAGTACATATAACCACCATGTATTGCGGTCGTCCATTTAAATGGTTGATGATCACCTGGACTAGATTGGATGAACGATTAGTCAGCCAAGGTAAGCTTGGCATAATTGCCGCAGGTAAGATTTAGGTTCTCTTGTCATTTTACATCTCCATAACTACATATGCGAATGCATGTCTTGTTCATCTCCACAACACAAGGTACGCGATCTATCACCTTGTGTTCCGGACGAACATGTTCGAGCTTGTGGGCCTGTCCTTTCCGGACCAGGTCCCACACCGCCAACATCGAGCAAGAATCGGACAGCACGGCGTTTCACTTGGCAATCAAGGTCGACAGGAAGAGCAAATATGCGAAGATGATACGAATGCTACTGTTGACTTGGCTGATGAGGATCTGAATGGTGCTATTACTGTGGGCGACGGACCTATCGCTACGACTCGTACCACTTGGCTCAGCAGTCCATATTCTACTCTGGGGTGCAATCTTGTAGACCCATTCGATAGCCTATGTGAAAACCCTGAACGATTGCGACAACTTCTGAGACATCGTATGAACCCGTCTCGTCGATTTGCTTTTGGTATGATCTAGCTAATATGCGGCATAGCATCAGCAAGATCTGCCGGTGAACCATTGTTTCGGATTGACCAACAAACCAATTTGGTCATATTTCAGGGCTTCCATGTAAAGGATTCCCCATTGCCTTTCTTGGCTGATAAGACGCTATTCCATGCTCTATCTCTCCTGCTTGCTTCGCAGGCCAACGACCACCTACCCAACTATGAGACTCTGCATCACCGTGGTCAGGTGCTCAAGTCTCTCAGACTAGACCTGTTGCACTCTCGTAATGGCGTACCATCACTGCAAGTCATCACGGCCATTCTGATGCTTATCAGTTATGAATACCGAGTGGGGGACACCCAGTCCATCCATTACACAGCCGGTTTGCATATTCGTGGGCTTCAAAGAATGATCTACCGACCCGATATCCTAGCCAGCGGGTATAATCCCGAACGCGTCCAGCAGTTACAACGCGCTTTATTTTGGCAGGACATAATATGCTCCTTGGCGACAGGTACGCCTCGTCTGCTACCATTTGTTCATCATGGTGCTTTCGATCACTTACGAGAAGACAAAATATATGCCAGCTGCTTTGCTTTGCCAGAGGGACTCACGCCACATATTGGTAGCTGGCCTGAGACATCGCTAGCCGTGTTTGAAGACCTCAACGCCATGTGTCAGCTTGTGGACAGAATGCACGGGCAAAATACATCGACACACTTGTCCGACAGTGATGTGAATACTACCACCGTCCCTGTACCACTAATGGAAGATTTAGATGACGAGGGTTACCCACTGTACAACAACCAAGCCGATTTGGAGATTCGGCTCGTGGATCTTCTCAGTCAGACAACAGGAGCAAATCCTCATAATCAGGATGACTTGATCTACAGAGCGTGCCTTTTTGCTGCATATCTCTGTACATACAGACTCTCTTCAGGTCTTTGGGAAGGTCAATACGTTCCAGAGAAGTGTGTCACAGAGATATTGAGGTGCATGGCAGACTTCACAAGACACATGTCACCGTGGAAGCTTGCGCCTGACATATCATTTTGGCTATTAAATGTGGCAGGCGGCCTGACGAAGAACCAGTTCAATGGAAAGCAAGCGGCAGCGTTGGTACAACGGTACCGGTCTTTTTATCCAACTGGTTATAATCAGGACTGGGAGGTGGTTGAGGTGAGGTTAAGGAAGTTTGTATGGTGCGAACACACAATGAAGTCAAATCTTTATCGATTTTGGCAAGAATGTCAGAATATCTAACGTCAGAGACTTTAGTATCAGTTAGTTGTGAAGTACTTTGTAAGAAATGTGCGAACATTTAATCTTGTTCTCGGAATACATTGATTGGGCGTGTCCGTTCCCATGATCCATGCAATGATTGGAAACAACGAAATGCCTGCTTCAGCTTTGTGCGCCACAAACGTCAAGACCGAGGGCACCCTGTCAGTTTCGTGGCTAATGACGCGGTTGACCATTTTGTCTTGAGCTGCGCCGTGATTAATTATTGCGTGGCTGGAGACGAACCTCCAATGTCTTTCCTTTACGTCAAAATGCTGTCAATTGAGGCATTCTCACTGCTCCATGGCCTCAATGTAGGGTATTCTGCCGCCTCAAGGTTAGCCTCATCTACTAAAACATTCAACCGCGTCTCGCGTAGTTGCATCGGAGAACTGTCTTTCCGAGCATCCCTGCCGACACTCACCGGTACGTGGCCGGTCAGCCACTGCAAATTTCGGTCAGAGTTGTGAGCAGGCCTCAAAAGTGTCCTTCGTGTGTAACCAACAACACTGTCTGTCTCAGCATCGTTTGCCACAGGGATGTATGTCTTGCTCGCCACGGAATGCTGGGCGGGGTTTTGGCGGCCGTTTGGTGGCCGTTTGTTGCTTGTCGTACCCTACAAAAGGTCACTGAAACCCTCTAGTAACGTCAGCAGTGACTCTGGTGGAACGCCCTATCTTTGCTATAGGTAGCCTGTGAGACAATGTTGGGTCAATTACCAGTGGTTGAGAATAAGAATTTTGATCCTTGATACATTCTTTTACAGATGGCGGTATAGAAATGTCATATTGACAATAATGACATTCCCATGATACTTGGCTGATCTCGATTGCGCTAAGATGTCGGCTGAAGAGAGCGAGATTATGGTGGGAAAGCTGTGTCGTGGCTGCATACGCATCACAAGAACAGCCTAGCAGCCCTTCTGAAAGACCGGTGGGAAATCTTGCTGGAAAAAGAAACATATTAATTATTGCCCTGAAGTGCTATTCTGTGTAACACACCAAACTCAATCGTAGTATATATCTCGTGGGCGCCTGATCAGTCACATGGCCAGCGATCTGCAAATATCCGGGGAGTGGTCGGCTTTCCTGCATCTGACCCTGATGTCAACCAGCCTCAAAACGTTCCATTGTAACCGTTGAAGTAGGACAAGACAGGACTAATCAATGCGATAGCCAATTGACCCCAGGATTTTGGCGTTATTGCATCAATTCTAGGTGCGGCCCGCCATAGACCTGCCGGTGGGAACTAACCCAGCTCGACATGGCTTGCTTTAGGCCATCTTGATCGGCATCCCTACTTGCGATTCTCTCCACGATCTTCACATTGGACATACAGGATCCCGACACGCGCTGTACTTTCAGCCCTGACTAGCGAAGCAGTATCCTACATGCTGACTGACTATAAGTAACGTTTGGATGGTCCAAAGAAATAGATGGGATCAACCATGGCGATTGTCACAACTCACGTCACACTCTCATGTCGGAAGAGGGAAATGCCCTCATTCGATGGCGTCGCTGGCGCAACCTCCAACAAGAAGCGAAAACGAACAGAAGTTTCCCCTACTGAGCAGCTGAACAACTCTCAATCGCTTGCCAAGACATCTCCTTGGTCAGATCTACCAAGGCAGGCGACATGTCTTATTTTATTCTTTTTTGTCGTGTGAGTTTGTAACACCTTAACTCACATGAACTTGTGGCTGACTGTTTGCAGAGCAAAGATGTCCCACGATACACCAGCCCCTCCACCTCCACCCAAACTGCGCATCACCAAAGCTCAAAAACGGCCACAACTTGGATATGTCGAGACAACAAAAGCTCTTGCGAAATTGGATATACTCGATTCGGCAACACGAGAAATTCTCTCATCGATCAATGGGTTTACTGAAATGGCGGAGGAAATAGATTGGATACTCGATCTAGGAACACCAGGGGTCTCTCAGCGGGTTACACGAACAAAAGAGAGTTGTCAAAGCTTGATCGACTTAATTCAGGAGAAGGTGGCGTTTTTAGATCAACAAGAGATGTGATTGGATTAGATGGGTCGGAAGTTTTCCGTAACGGCGTTATTCCTTATGAGACATGTCAAGCAATTAAATAAACTATTTTAACACGACATTATGCTGAATGAATTCTGATGTAGTCAGTTGAAACAAATAGAGCCATGGAGAAGCAAAAAAAAAACAAAAAAAAAAACGCTTCTGATCGAAAAGTTCCTGGAGGAGCTGATCGCCCTTGTGTAAAGACGCAAAAAAGTGAGGTTCTGCCCGGGCTCGAACCGGGGACCTTCTCGGTGTTAACGAGATGTCATAACCAACTAGACCACAGTACCAAGCTGTTTGTTATAGTACAAGGATTGCATCACAGATAATACAGATAACAAACAAGATGGTCATCCGCCTTCTTCCAGCCAATTCAGTCGTGAGAAAGACATATGCCTTTTTGCCACATCGTCATCGTGGCTGAGAGATTTAACCTTTACAACGTCTTATTATCAGTTCAAACGTTTGTTTATTGTGCGACAATGTTGTTGCAGACGGATGCAGACTCTAATAAAAATACCTCTGCTGTCGAGGTCCGTCCAAGACTCTCTTTTCACTCGAAGCTTTCCCATACTAAGTGATTCCTCGCGGGAGGAAGCCGTGCTAGATTACAGTACATGGCATATCCAGTACCTCAATGTCCATATAATTTACAGAGGGAGACGGTCTATCTATCAGCAACCCAAGTAACACATAAAACTGCTGCACCAGCAGCCATAGCCCCCAGCACTAACATCTGCAGCCCTTCGACGAGACACGAGATGATTTTTTCTCTGTCTGAGCTGAGAATCCATCTTTTACCGGCTCCAAAGGTGAACAACACCATCAAGCACAGAATGCTACTTAATCGTAGTCCCATACCCACAGTACTGGCAAAGAAGTACGGCAGAAGAGGGATAATGCCTCCAACTGCGTAGCCAAGGGATATAGTTAAGCCGGAGATAATAGGTGAAGGCGTGAGTGAAATGGTGTGAAGTGATGTGTTGTCCGTGTATGATTCGAGCTTTGATATGGTATGTCGTAAGTTCTTTGGCTCTCGTTGGATGCTATCAAGAACCGTAGTGATTGTTGAAACAGACAGATCCAGTGGCTCGAGATGACGCCTGACGAGATCATCCAATCTTGCTTGCATCTTCTCCGACTGCTCGACCATACAATCAGTCTCACTTGCTTCGTCGGTGCCACCATGATCCCTCGGGCTCTCTTCATCTAGAAGAGTTGATCGACAAGGGAAATATTCATCACGTGCAGCGAGATATCCCCCAATTCCCATGCTAATACTGCCGGCACATAATTCTGCCAATCCACCTGTTATGACAGTGTCTGCTTTGCCGAGAGAGCTTAGCCCTGCTGTGAGGGCAAATGGGACTGTTAGTCCATCAGAGAAGCCAAGTGTAAAGTCGGAGAAGAAGCGCTTCAAATTTGATATTTTGATTAACTTCATTTTTGTGTTGTGATGATGAGTTAAGAGGCACTGGTAAATGTGAACAGAAGCAGGAAGTATGAATTGTCAAATGATAGCGCTGAAGACGTTAACGATCAGCTCGCCGCGCATCGCACGTGTCCCAAGTAGCACGTTTCCCGCCCTTCAAGGTATCTATCAGACAATCTATCATTGGGCGACAGAACATGATAGCTTTCGGCAATTTCTGCCGAAGCAGTGCCGTAATTTCCGTGCGTGAATTATCCTATTGAATGTCCAGACACACATGCTACAATGCTGTGCTCTTAGTGGCTGAGTCGCTAAATTGCCACTACCGAGTGCTAACAAAAGAGCCCCAATTTGTTTGCTCTTGGTCTCTAATGCCAATGCCGATCTCTGGATTTAGAAGGTCCCCAGTTGGCTAGTTTAGCTGAGAGGCAGTGATGGTGTTCAATAGCAGTGGGCTCGCAATGTTGATCACATACACTACAACCCATGCTCACAGCCTGGTATCTTCGGCCCGCGGCTTGGCGATCTACGATATGTACTTGGCAAATATCACAACTGCACAAATCATCAGACCAAACGCTAGATCTTTGCTGAACTACTCGTCAAGTTATCAATATATTCTGGGCTATGTATTGATGTCTCTATATCGCACACTTCAAGGGTACATGCTGTCTACTATTTATTTGGACTTGGCGGGCTCGTAACCCTTAGGAGGGTTCAGACCGTCGTCGACCTCAATAGTATCCTTGTAATAACTGGGCGCCTTAGATCCCTTCCACTCCTTCTTGATAGGACTGAACACCTTGCGTCCCGAGAATGTATGCTCCAAGTCCAAGTTTGGCGCAACATACTGTTGATTTCCACCAGCAGTGTTGAATGGTCCTGCGTAGGAAACATTCCAGAAATACTTATCCATTGTGTTTGCCTTCCACTTCCTCAGCTTGTCGCCCGTCTTGCGCGTAACAAGCTCAAAGACATTGGCACCCACATCCCAGCGACCGAGTGTGTCGAGACCCCAGTTGGCCTGAACGGTGGCAATCTCAGAATAGTGGTTATAGAAGCTGTTGTCTGTTGTGCCAACAAGATGTTTGGGAACCGCATCACCGAGAAGAATACCAAGGATGTGGTTCTGGCGAGCGTATGATTCGTTTTCATCCCAAGTGATGAGAACGAGAGTGTTGTCCATGAAGTGCTTATCCTTAAGAAGTGGCTCAAGAAAGGTTCGTGCCCAATTGCCGGCGACAGTAACGGATGTATCGTGTCCATCAGATGTCATGTTGGGTGTGATGAACATCCACTGGGGTAGCTTGTTCTCCTTGAGATCCCGATGGAACATAGAACTCTCAGTATCAACAAGAGAAAGATTCTTGATTTGCGAAAGTCGTTGTTCGGAAGTAGCAACGCTGTCATGAAGGACAGCAGGGTTGTGCTTGCGAACGTAGTCATTCTTTCCATTCTGATGGTTCACCCATGCGAAGCCTTCAAAGCCAGTATATGGCTGGTCTTCTTGGTAAAGACCCCAAGAAACACCCCGATGCTCGAGGAGATCGATGATGGTAGAGACATTTTGGGGGTTGCGATTGAAAGCGTCGTTCTGCATACCAAAGTAATCACCAGCGATGGCGGCCATGTAGTTTGGCTCTGATGGATGAGTGACACCAAAGTAATTGGAGAGAGTGACGCCCTTGGATCTGAACCAAGAAAAGTTTGCTGCGTTCGTTAGCTATAGTATCTTTAAAAAAGTGATTAATTGGTACTTACGATCACCAAAGGCCTTCTCATAGTTCTCATTCTCAAAGTAAACAATTGCGATGCGATCAAATGCTTTGCCCTTCACTTTGGAAGTAGGACTGCTGGTTTTGGCTGTCGCAGCGGCGGCAGCGACTTCAGCAGTACCTGTGGCTGTGTACTTTGTCTCCCATCCTGTCTTATCGGCTTTATGGTGAGTAGAATGGGCTAGGCCAAGACTTGCAAGAGTCAAGATGGCAGTGGCTTGGAACAACATGACCGATTAAGAGATGAGCTTGAATATCGAGTTGTTTCAGAAAATTCTTTTGAGCTGTCACAATACACAGAGGTTTATATCTTGTGATATTATTTACTCCGGTCCCATACGGAAATTGAGGCTCGGAAACGGTGCCGAGGAGACTTTTCGTCCCTCCACATTCGGTCAACAGAATAGGTTCTTTTGTAGATTTTCCCTCAATTTTTCGGACCTATCGAGAGCTGTAAATCAATTACACTTCCAATTGGAGAGTAAACCTCCGCACGTGTGGTCGCAGTCTGCATTCATGCGCATGCTATCTTGGTGCCGACTCATCCGGGCCACAGGCTAGCAGTAATAAGACCCCTGTAATTTCCACTGTAAGCGTTGCTAGAGCTGTTCTGCGCCACTGGCTGAACACAGTGAGAGTATTGGGTTCATTTCACTTCGTCTGTTCTTGACTTTCTGGAGTTAAGACAATCTTTGTCGCATTAATGACATCTTGAGAGTGAAGATGGGAGAGGCGGCGTTCATATGGGTCAAGAAAGATGAGAATGAATCTTCGGATTCATGGAATGAGGAAGCTGAAATGTCCGACTCAGCCATTTCGAAGAATAAGACCTTTGCGGGAAAATGGACGAGGCTTGTCGTCGCTCTTCTGACTATCGTCTCAATCTTCACGCTCAGTACTTTCATTTTCTTCCAGCAAACGTCATTTACACACCCTCAAAAGTCCCATTCAGAGTATGTTCAACCGACAAAACCCCCGGCACCAAACATCATCGAATACAAGGAGGATATCCCATTAATACCCCAACTTCGTGACACGAGCGAGTATATCCTGTCTGAAACATGGGACTTCAGCGCATCTCCAACGATCAGAGAATATTTTTGGACAATTGACCAATCGATACTGAATCCAGATGGCGTCTACCGACCCATGCTTCTCATCAACAACCAATTTCCAGGCCCATTGGTTGAATGCAATGAAGGAGATACAATCATTGTACACGTCAAGAACGAGGCTCCCAACGCAACAGCGATCCATTTCCATGGCATGTTCCAGAACGGGACGAATAATATGGATGGTACTGTTGGTGTCACGCAATGTCCAATTGCGCCAAACTCAACATTTACTTACAAGTTCAACGTCAAAGGGCAGCATGGGACATATTGGTATCATGCCCATCACAGCGCGCAGGCGTCTGATGGATTACTTGGGCCAATGGTTGTGCACTCGAAAAATGAACACGAACTTCAAATAATGGATTATGCGACCGATCGAGTTGTCATGGTGCAGGATCACTATCACAACTTGACTTCTGAACTGTTGATGGAGTATCTTGCTCCTGACCAAGAGAACAACGAACCCGTTCCAGACAATGGTCTTATCAATGGACGGGGTGTTCGCGATTGCTCCGACTTTCAAGGTTGGGATTGCAACAGTACTGATAGAGAGATGCCGAACATCAATCTGGAAGCTGGTCAACGGCACAGACTTCGCATCATCAACGTTGGCGCATTTGCCGAGTTTCAAATCCAATTTGACGAGCATCCATTCTACCTTACTGAAGTTGACGGCACGGATGTGCATCCTGAATCACTCCATCGACTCAACATTCTCCCAGCACAACGGTATAGTGTTATCTTGGATGCGAATGTCACCACAGGGTCCGCCTTTTGGATGAGAGCTCGGATGGTAACGCATTGTTTCAAGAATGAGAACGATCGATTGGAATCTGAAGCAAAAGCGATCATCCGATATCACGGCCCAGAAACCCCGTCTTCAGACGAGCAACCTACCAGCAAAGTATGGCCGGATGCCATCGAAGTCATTTGTCGCGACCTGAACACAAGTACTCTCCGACCTGTCGAAGTTATCTCGCCACCTCCAGCAGACAAAATCATCATTCTTAGGGCAAATTTTGAAATTGGTGACTGGCGCTTGGCAAGAGGTTTCTTCAACGAGTCAACGTGGCACCCAAATATCACCAGTCCATCGCTACATCGCTTCCTGGATTCTGGTGTTCAAAGTACATCAAAAAAGGCACCAATTACAATTAACGAGGGCGTGTTCGATCGCAACAAAGAGCTTGTTCTAGAAACAACTGGCATTCGAACAATAGACATTTCCATCAACAATTTCGACGATGGTGCCCATCCTTTTCATCTTCACGGCCACAAATTCTTCGTCCTTTTACAAGGAAGAGATGGGTACCCACCCAGTCCCGCCGAGCTTCCAGAGTATCTCGAAAAGCATAGCCTTTTAGATAACCCTCTAAGACGAGATGTAGTCACCGTAGAGGGATATGCATGGGCTGTCATCCGGGTTGTGCTTGACAACCCTGGTCTTTGGGCTTTCCATTGTCATAACACCTGGCATGCTGAGTCTGGGATGGTCATGCAGATGTTAGTACGGCCAGAGGTTGTGAAAGAGTGGGAGCTTAGTTCTGAAGAAAGGGAGATGTGTTCAAGAGAAGGTGTCGTGTCTGGAATGAGGCCTGATGATAGTTTGTGGTTTGGACAGTTTAAGTCATAGTATAATAGAACAATATGTCGTTCAGTAAACCAATCCGATCAATGAAAAGTGTTGTTAGAGAACTTTTCGGGTGCACCTTAGCATTATCACGAAAGGCGACCAGCATCGAGGTCCTTGATGGAATTTCGTACACGATTTACTTGTTCAAGTCACCTCTTTTTAGCACTACTAGACACACAAGGTTCGACAAGTAGATGATTGTGTTGATTTGCTAGTCAACAAAGAGCTTTGATAACTGCTCCCAGACATCTTGTTCATCTATGCACCATCCTTCGAACTCGGTATTTCGTCCTAGAGCACAATGCCATTGTTTAAAGGTATGTTCAATATCTTCTGTGTTCCGTTTTCATATAAATTCTCGCCGTTATGCAGTCCGTGCATTTCAATCTCTTTCCTTCAAACATCTTTTGAACTCCAAATTTTGTATCATTGCTCAGATTTTCGATATCCCACGCCGACTGACCTAGGAACCTTCGCCTACCGTCTACGTGTTTTTTAAACCGTAACCCGCCTACACTGTCGACATGTTGTTAACCATCCGCCAAGCATTGTCTCACGCCAACGAGGAGTACACCGAAGCCTACAACGCTGGGCCGTACACCTCGTACAAACAGATCCAGCTCCTTCTGAAGATCGCTAGTAAGTCCATCGGAGATCTTATCGCAGACCCGAAGGGCACGTTCGATGATCTAACCTATGACACTATTCTAGATGTCTGTGAGACGGGGGGTCCTGATGTCGAGGCTACTTGGGATGGTGACGCGGGACGTTGCACTGCTACGTCGCTGAGGGTCGCTGAACGCCTAGTTCTCAAGTATCCAGGAGGAAACTACGACTTTGTGATCTTCCACACACCTCGTGGTAAGGGTGGCCACCGCTTTGCACGCTGTTCCTTCACAGGAATCGTCATCGATCTGGTGTCCAACATCGGCGCCTTCGTCTTACCAGACGACGAAACCGTGACTATCACCACCACTGGAACGGTGTCATGGAGACATGATAAAGGTAAGATCTACCTCACCGACGAGGATGACAACGAGCAGCAATGCGAAGAGGTGTTTAACGCTCAGGCCCAGGCCCTCTGCCTCTACGAGGTCTCTCGTAGTGCTCAGCTTGTGGTGCTCTTCCGAGAGCTCGACCCACATCTTGTTAACCAGAACATTTCTGGCAACAATTACAAGCATGCCATGTTTGCTTACGGGATCATCAAGTGGTGCCTTAAGCCTGACAGAGTTGAGAACGATGCCACAGTTGCCGGCATCAAAGAACTACACCTCAGGCCAGATATAGACAGGCCAGAAGAGATGACAATAATCGTCTGGGGCCAGAGTCACACCGCTCAGGATAAGCAAGAAGCCGCCAACGAAGTTAAACGCTTTCTGGAAAAACACGCTGGACCCTTTGCCAACAAACAGTGGGAAGCTGATGATGTTAGCGACTTCTTTGGGAGCATATGGTGGGAGCTTTGCCTCACCTATGGAAACCCAAGGGTCACCAAGCTGGCCGCAACTGACTAGATAGTCTATTTGCTGTCAGAGGAGGGGGGTTGGGTTAGGTATTTGCTGTTCAAGTACTGGATTGTGGAAAGTGGCTTTCTACAGAGGTAATGTGTTTGTTCGGCGTTGGGGGAAAGGTAGGTACGAATACGGCTGTAAATTGACTGCCCGGGAGCGATTGCTTTTTTGATATATATTGATTCTCTGTTTTGCCAAAGTGATGCAAACTTAATATTAAAGGCCCATAAGAGTGCCTCTCACAAATAATTGGAAAGTGTTGATTGACAGCATATTGCCACTACCCACGATAGGCACGAATACCACATATGCCTTACTCAAACTTTTCAACATCTTTCAGCTCCTGGCCGTCTTCCTCTTCGCCATCTTCAAGTGCGGGTTCCTCAGGAACGGGAAACGTCGGCGTAGAATTATACCAGATGAAAGCCCCCAGGCCACCCGTGCACAGCACGACAAGGACCTTTAAGAACCAGCTGATGATGTTTCCATATTCGATCAACCAGCTCGCGAGCCACTGCATGCATGGTGTGACGAGGGCCTGCCGCTCTGCTTCCAAGTCGGGATTGACAGAATATATCAAGGCGAGTATGGCCAATAGAGTTAAAATCAGCACGATGGCGACTAGAATTTGGATGATGGCGAGAAGAATGGCAATGTTCTTTGTGGTTTTGAGTACTTCGAATCCTGCTGCGACAAGCGGGGTGACTTGGTCAAATGCCGCGTGGACTTGTTTGGAGTATGGCATGCCCATCTTGGCGGTTATGCTTGCAGAGATAAATGTCTTGGATGATGGAACGAGGTATAGATCTGGGCTGTTCCAGATGGAGAGATAGATCTTAATTGTATCTGACGTCAGGATGGTATCTGAATCAAGTTATCTCGACCTGCCCGAAGAAGTTAGGTGGTTCATGGTTTCATAGCAACATCAGCTTTTGTGTTGTGTTGACGAATCAGCTCGTGCATGGATGAAACCCCTTCCATAATGTGAGGAATGTCACGTGGTAGACTGTACAGCCAGTGGTTCTATTCAGGCTGGGAGGCAGAACAGTTTGGGTATGATTAGGCATTGGTACTCCATTGTTCGAGTTTGTCCCTTGAATAATCCCATAGGCATGGCCTTGGTGTAGCGCCCACGACCTTTATTCAACAGTATACAGCGCCGAGAACGACTCTCATTGCGAACACTTCATCGCATTCATATGTTTCTATATGCACTCGTCTTGGAAATAAAGTTAATGGTTGTTCACATTATCTGTTGTGGTTGAGCTTTGATCTGCATAAGTCGACTGGCTTTGTTGATCTGAACACGAAGCGGTAAACCGTATCCTGTTCTGCATCTTTCAACTATAAATATGTCACGGTCCCCTCAAGATGATCTTTCCCTTTCCTCATCAATTCTTCTTCGAGTTTCTTACACCAAAGAACATTCATCATGTCAAACACGAATTCTTCTTCCTCGGACCCTCGTGTCCCGAACAACGACATGGCTCAGGTCAACTTTGCAAGCCTTGCCATTAGACCCAAGCAGGCCAAAGCTGACTTTGACAGGACAGCTTCCTCTGACCCTCGTATCCATAATAACGACGCGGCTCGGCTCAACTCTGCAGGCCTGGCCTTTAGACCCAAGCAGACTCAAGCAGACTCTGACAAGGCAGGACCCGGCCAGGGTTTGGGTGAAACATTGGGTGCCACGACACTGGAATCCAAAGCACAGGATGAAGAAACGTTACGTGGCCAGTCGTCTACTAACATTTCCGCAGGGCAACCTAGCACTGGGCAAAATGCCCAAGTGGCTGAAGAGTCTCTGGCACGGCGGAACCAAATGATGGATCAGGTTTTGGCCAGAGTCCCAACTCTGGGTAGGACAAATTTGCTGTACATTGTCAAGCTTTTCGGAGAGAGGCCCCTTGCAGATGTAAAGGACGAACTTTTTTACCGTGGAATACCCCTCGACGATTCCATCCTCCTCAGTATCGGGAGTCTAGCCCTTGAATTTTACGCTGACATCGTTGAGGAGATGCGGGAAGCTCCTGCTGGTCCCTCATGGAACTTGGTTTTGAGGTAAGTCGATGTACAGTGTTGAATTTTTCCACAGTCAAGATTACTTAGATATTACCTAATAAACAATTCAATAAAAACTAAAATAAAAAAACAAAAACTATTGTCAATCTTAATTTCGAATATGCTGTATTCTCTTGTGATCATGATGTGATAGACAATCAACGCGACAACTACAGGGTATGCAGTTGAGTGGGTAGTAACTGCTTATTAGTAAATATTTTGCCACTTTTTTTAATCATTTTAATTTCCATCATGACTCTTACAACATCCAAGCTCTGGCCTTTTCTACGCGTTTTATATCATCCACACATTTTACGTTCAAGAAGCCACTTTGTTAACCGAGTAACACACGCCAATTATCACACGCGTTTTCAAGGTTGCTTCCCGCGGCTCAAACGCGTCAGACATTCTCTGGCCCCTCATTTTTTGCCACGTAACATGAGTTTTTGTCAATACCAGCCTCACTTTTAGACCATTTCAACACACCACATTATAGACATGGTCAGCGCGATACCTCGTCGCAATGATACTCGGTCCCCCGAGAAGCCGCGCAAACTCTCAAATCCGCGACTCCAAGGAGACAAACTCATCGTCCGTTTAAAACTGCGACCATCAATCCTCGCTCAATTTCCCACCAAACCAAGAAGTCTAGAAGAAAAGCCGACGACAAGGCCACTCCTTAAAGAGAACGAGACACATCAACTCAATTTCATCAGTCAACTCATCGACGAACAATTTGCAGAGATAGAACGGTTAAAGTCAGAGATCGCCTGCACGTCGGAAAACATCGACAACTATGCACGTGTGCACGAAATGCACTCCAATACCATGTCTCGAACTCTGGCGGATGCATGTGATCTGGGCATGACAAGCTGTGAGAAAGAAGATGGCGATGGGGATGTAATGAGGTTCTTGAAAGACGAGATCCAACAAACGAGAGAGGGCCTGAACAATTGGTACAGGATTTTAAGCGAGGCAAGGCAGGAGGTTGCAAGCAAGAAGTATCAGATATCGATGATAGTCTCGAGTCTCAAGGCCTTGGAGAAAAAAAGACGGGATCTGAGTCAATGAAATGGTTACACTCGATCAGGATTTTATACATAATAGACTTTAGTATTGCATCGGGAAGGTATGTGAACCACCTTCTTTGCTAGAGCATCATAATGACAATACAACAGGGCTTTCCTTTTTAGACTGTCACGGTTTGGCAAACACCCACAGCCTCCGATTTCAAATGTTTTACCAACCTGCATTGACCCGTTCCGACGTCTGTTTACCTACTTGCCATGTCCGTCTCCAAGATCGCGTTCCACTTGGCATACCCAAACCCATTCAAATGGACGTTGTCCTGGCTCATTATGCCCTCCTGGTCGTCTCCAAAAGGCAAGAAATCAGTATGGTTCTGGAATGCTACGTCGCGAAGCATCTGGTTCGCCTCGTCGATAATTTCGTCCGCTAGACCACGTTGCTTGAACAACGCAGTGATAACAATCTTGACGTTCGGGAGCGCATCTCGTATGTTCTTGATCACAGTCGCGTACCCATCCGCATCAATCTTTCGAAGGCCATATTTCTTGAGATTGTTGCTCCCCATATGAATATACATGAGTTTGAGATTGGGCTGGTTGTTCTGCAGGTTGCGCAAAAGGCCTTGGTCGATACGGTATTGCACATTCAGGACCTTGTCGCCACCAACGCCTAGATTCAAGATCAATGGATTGTTGTTTATAGGAAGATTGCTACCGGTGGTCTTGAAGCGCTCAAAGAGACTGTCACCAAAAAGAGCGATCGTATACTGGTTCGGGTTTGATGTGATTTGCGGGCGATGAGTGTCGTGATGAGTGTCGTGGGATCGCTGCTTGAACATCCTCACAGCGCCGACGTAGTATCGTACTGGGACTGTTACTGTGTTAGTAATGGTTTGACAAGCCACCGATATAAACCAACCGACTCTTGACTGCCCTTGTCGCGAAACTTGGTCTTGACGTACTACCGACTTGAGGAATGCGATCCCGAATCAGGTAGGGGCGAATTGACAGTATTTGTTTGGTGTCACGACGGGAATAAATTATTGTGCAAGTGAGAAGGTGTGATGATGAGAAAGGCATCTTCGTGACGGTAATAGTTGGTTACATATATAAGTGAATCCTCATCGCGAAGTCATTCACTGAAAGGTAGACAATAAAGTGTTATTCATTATTTCTCCAAGGTAAACGGTTTATGCTTGCCGGTGACTCATTTGCCGTCTCACCTAGAATCTGAATAGAGGCTGTGCATGTGTGCAGCATGAGATCTATTGTTGTTCACAGCCGCTGTCATCGAACAAGAAAACATCGTGCTTTTGCAATTTCGTTTTTGCGCATTATCATTTGTAACAGGTAAAGCAGAGATTGTTTATTCATCAAGCGTGATATCATCATCATTAATCATCTACATAAAATTCATTTCGCACGATCTGCCGCTCCTTTGAGAATACGGCACAGAAGAACATGTGACGTCTTTGCACCCTGCGATGTCCTTCCGAGCTGCCGCAATGCTATAGTCGCATTTTCAATTGCAGCCATAGCATCTCCCTTCTGCAGCATATTGTCTCTGGCCAAAGTTGTACTCAAAAATGCAGCCGTGTCGAATAGACACAAAACAACAAGATGGAAGTGAACATTTCCATCCAGCGCGTGCGATGACCACTGTCGAGCCACATTCAACGCGTTCAAAGAATACTGTGTTGCTTCTTGTTGTATCTTTTGTACCTCCGGCATCATTGGGTCGATGGACGGGTTTGACAAATATGCTTTATATGGTTGAAGAATAATGAAATACGCCATGGCTTGGACGTAGTAACGATGTGTTATTAGCCATGGCCATTTTTGGTCATTCGTCGTGTCAGTGTTGTCAATCCTGTAGACAGGTGGTAGAGATTGTAAGAATGTCTGAACCACTTGGCTATGGGCGCGAATTTCTGTCGGTGAGTCGATACGATGGGGAGTATGCCAGCGCTTGGAAAGAGATGATACAAGCTCGTATTGTAGCCTTGTAGAGAGTGTCGGGGAAGGTGGTACGGTCGCCAGATTGACTTCCACATCAGGTTCTGAGTCGATATCGTTCATTATCATCGGACGTCCCAGAGTCAGGGACAATTGCCTACGTGAGGTCAGTATGAGTGTGCTCAATAAACCCTTGACCATCACTTACCAGTTCCAGCAATGCAATGTCCGCCAGATCTGACGTCCAATCTGTGCCTCTGTTCTCGACTCTGCTGTGCAAGGCCGGGCTTGATGGAAACCTGGTATCAAGTGTTATTTACAGCCATTGACGTGCGCGTGTAACCTTACCTAGCTCGTATGCTTCTTGGATCGCCAACCCGATTGTGTGCCATGCCTCAATAAACCTGGCTTCACCCTGGAACCAACAGATTGAGAGCACCTTCCACTGAAGATTTGTCAAACTGTACAGCCCAGCGGATGTTGTCATGGCAAGCCTTTGACCAGCGCTATGATAGTCCGTGGACAAGCTCTCGGATAGTTGGGTTGCATTACCCTGCGGGAGCTGCTGTGTAACACACGCGCAAATCATCAAAATGAGCGTTGTCAGCTGAGCATCTTGGTACTGCTCTTGCTCTGTTTTTGTAGACCAGTCGACATATTGCTGTATGAACAAGGATGGGTTTATTATACTATAGTGATGGTTGATATCACTAAAGAAAGATTCTATCAGAGCGTCTGATTATGTTAGCTAAATGAAAATAATGTGATGAGCACATGCTTCATACCTAACGTTGGTTTAGAAGGCAGGACTTGTAGTATATGCTGAGATTGTAGACCGGGGATGCAATCATTTAATGAGACGTCGCTGGGCGTTTCCAGGTGATGCTGCAAGCGAGGTCAGTGCTATGAAGGCTTAAATAGCATTGACATCAGGGCTTACTGGTGAATATGGGGAGGGGTAAGCCCCATTGAGATGCTGGTACATTTTGAGTTTGCGGATGGTAGCAATAGTCAGTGACGCTAGTGGAAGAAGTGAATTTTCAGAAAAGGTATGACTATCCGACAAGAAAGAAGAAGTATGGGGGAATTTAGGGCTAAGCATGCAATCTTTATCAAATTGATCAACATGTCTATTTGTCTTCGGATGCTCTTTCAAAAAGTCGGTGTTGACCGAAATGCTTCGGCCAAGAATCCTCGCCGAAAGCTTTCGGGAATTCCACCCCCGATCCAAAAACATTGCCTGCCCGGCCTGCATAAGTAGTGGGTGAGCACTTGAGAGATAAGGTGGTATCGCTTTGCCTTGGCTAAGCAGTGCTGTGCAACATTACTCCACCAGCTCTGAACTCCCCCTTTCAGCCAACAGGGAATGCGAAACGACAAAGCGCAGAGACACAAAAGAAGAGATTTACGATATGATTTGTGAATGTCCAATATTATTTCTTTCGGTAGCCGCGAAAATCGTGTCCAGTCCGTAGGATTTAGTGAAACAAAAATTGCCTGAACGCCTTCTGACAGACGGCCTGGCGCAGGGATATCCTTGTTCAAAGCAGGGGTAAGGTCGATCTTACTTGATAGCTTGGTGCTTAAAGTGGGTTGGCAGCAGAACACAAACAAGCTAAGGTCACTCAGCCTAGGGCTCGGTCTTCCAATCCAGCTACTCTCACAACATTCATTGGATCGGGTAGTGTTCGTTCACCAATGTCAGCGGCTTATGAAAGCAATTGCTTATATTGTCTCACTATCTGAATCAACAATCAGATCACAATCAGATCCCCGTGTCGATCGACTCTATCTACATACACTCAATGCCGAATAATCACGGCAAAGTAACAGATGATCACAAGGCTCAAAAGAAACGACCAGGATACATGCTGAACCAATGAAGAAAGACTCTTTGGCCAGTGACCCGAATGAATGTTGGCTGCATGACGTTGCTGCTGTTGCTCCCGCTGCTGCAGATACGGGGGGTTGATCATCACGTCAACCAACCGAGTTTGTCGAATTTCTTGGGCTTGTTTCCCAAAGTACCTCCCCGATTGGAAGCTAACACATGTTAGTAACACGGTACTGGCTGTTGTAGAAAGGAGTGTAAGTACCTCCATGTGACATTAGCTTGGACAACGTTTCGGATGCCCTCGACATATCGTGTCACCTGAGCGTCAATTTCTGGTCCCCAGCTTGGTAGTTCCGCTATGACTGTCTGCCATTCTTGGTGTCGCTCTTCGAGAAGTGCGCCCACGGTGTCAAAGGCTTCCTGGGCAGATTGGCCAGCCATTCTGCAAGAGGCAACCATGCTGAAGGGAGAATCGTCATTCTATAAATTGTCAGATGTAAGTCATGGTCAGAGCAGCGATTGTCTCCTACCTCTTCTTTTCTGTAAGACAAGACGTCGTTTGCCCTGAAGAGTTAGCTCAGTCAGCAACAACCATTGTAACAGTCTTTGTTACACTTACAATAAGACAAAGTCCACACCAAGACGTTCTAACGTTTGAATGACAGGGTTCTCAAACACCTCATCAGGTAATTGAATACCATGAGCATATTCAACAAGGTGATATAAAGGCGTAACGCCAGATGATAGTCTCCTGGTATGAAGCATATCTTCGATACTTGGAATACTGTTGGAAGAGAAATGCTTCACATGATGAATAACTCCATCTGTATAGTCTCTCATTGCGAGAGCAAATCTCGTCCGAGCGCCTATAGCATATTAGTTCAAGTCACAAATGAGATAGACGGGATTCAAACATACCAACTGTTGAGCCCTTCACGATGTCAAGTTAGCGGGAAGCAAATTCATGGTAAGGACTTCTGCTTACCTCGGAAACTCTTCGAAAGATATCATCATGTGCTTGCACAACACGAATCTTCTTGTTGGTAAATGTTTTACCAAGCATATCTGCCATGAGACTGTCGATAACGAATTGAGCCTGCTTCTGAGCATTCTTCAATGACCCTTCATCAAACACTATGTATTGTCAGTTGGTTTATCAAGCCAGTAACAATATCACTTACAATCATCAAAAGGAAATACCTAGACAGTAAGGATCAGTTCCGGTTCAAAGTTGGAGAACAGGAGAGAGGTCTTACCCAGTTACCCCAGTCGCACATAGTCTTGAGTCTATCACCAGGGGCATCAGGAGCTGCAATAGAGATGAAAAGAGCAAAGTCGCAGAACTCGACTCTTTTCTTCATCCGAGGAGAGAACTGGCATTTTCTGATTTGTGTTAGTAGAAACAACATCATTATTTCTGTTCAGCTTACTCTGAAAGCCATTGTTCAGAGACTGGCTTGACTGCCTCATAGCCTTTGTTGATACGGGGTGTTTGAACAACAAAGCCCTTGAACAGGTCTGGTAGTACGACCGTAGTCTTGTCCTGCTTTGTGGCTGTCACGTGCATGATTGCAAGTGATGTATCTTGAGAGAGGAATGGATATAGGAGTGGAATGTGTGAACCGAGTGTTATGTAAGGGTTGTCTGTTACTCTGTAAACAGTGTGACACAATGTCTATACATGTAGGAAAGGTAGAGATGGGAAAGACAAGAATAGTTTGTTTGATTTCGGGCTCATCATGCATCATTATATGCAACTTACATCCTAAAGAAGCCCCAAGGGCGTGTTTGACGTAAGCTGACCAAGCTAGGGAGAACCCATCCCGTCTGGTGATGCTTGACCCGGACTCTTTGCAAAACTATTGGGAGAGATATCACAGACATCTCGGACGTAGTTCGAGTTTAGTTGCTTTAGCTCGTGACAATCACAGGCCAAGACACTAATATTCGTCGTTCAGCTCCCTTTGGGCTGATTGTGGGTTCCGAGTGATAGCTAGCGAATCTTGGTTGCCCATAACCCCTGTAACGGAAGGGAGAGGAGGATACTTTGCTGTACTTCTTGATGACACGAGAATCACATCAGAGGTGTGTAAGGAAGGTCAAAGGTTTAGCCTGAAGTTATCTGCATAATGCTGTCGAGGTTGCAGATAAAAGGCAGGTAACTTGCACAGTAAAGCTCCCAATCTACATCCAGATCCCATTTCATTATCTTGTGTTATCGGCACATATCACACTAAGTTTCAACTTGCTTTTTCTCTTCTCTTACACCACAATGGACTACTTCAAAGAGCCCGTTCAAGGAGACCAAGTTTGCACCATTGGAAACCACACTTTTACATGGACAGACCAGCACATCCCCAAATCCCAAACAGATCCTCTACGTTTCGAGTGTGATGAACTCGGTGCCTCAGCTGTGAAGAAGATCCAAGAGATCCATGATCAGCTCAGACAAGAAGGACAACAAGTTAGCAGAGCAGACTTGTTCGAAACACTAAGTCAATATCATGAACAAGACGCAAATCTGTCTCAGTTTTGGCAAGAAACGCATCATGTTCCGTCCTGGGTTGACTGGGAACAAATCGCTAGGGGTCAGCACTTCTTCTACCGATACGCTCTCGCAAACCTGATTGGCTTCGCCTTTCAAGGCTTTGTAGGCGAGAATTCCGCTTCAACAAGTGTGGTTGAAGTACTTGCGCGTACAGGCGGATTCAGCACCCGTGTACTCAGGAGACGCCTCCTCGAGACCTTTCAGATGGTCCTCCAAGTCACACACTCCCTTGAGTACATCAAACCGGGGGGCTCGGGTCACAGCTCGATCATCAGAGTTCGTCTACTGCACTCCATGGTCAGACAGCAGATCCTCAAGGTTGCCGCATCCAAGTGCCGGTTCTTTGATCAAGAATCCCACGGAATACCAATTAACACTCTCGATTCCATCCACGCCATAGCCACTTTCAGCTGCAACCATGCTTGGCTACAGCTGCCACTAATGGGCATCACGCCTGACCCCCAAGAAGTTGAGGATTACATAGCGCTTTGGAGATACGTAGCGCATGTGATTGGCGCACCTCAAGAATACTACACCTCGGCAAAGCAAGCTAAGGCAGTGATGGAGAGCTTAGCTTACAACGAGCTCTTCGTGACACCAACATCTGTCGTCATTGGACACAACTTTGTGGAGGCACTTAAGGACCTGCCTCCGATCAACATCTCGGATGGGTTCATCCAAGCTGCCAGCCGTGTGCTGAACGGCCACGAGATCTGCGATCAGCTTGGTATGGGGAGACCAGGATGGTACGCGTATGCATGTTTCAAGGGCCATTGTTGGCTCGTTTGGAGCTTGGCTACGATGCAGCAATGGGTCCCGTCCTTTGACGACAAGATGATTCAGCTGTGCAGGGAGGGATTGCATAATGCTATCATACACAGTAGCCAGGGGCTTCGGGGTGGGTCCATTCTTGATTTCAAGTATGTTCCTGATGGGAGGATACAGGGCAAGGAGAAGAGTGGGCGGGTGGAGGGGAGGCTTTGGTTTTTCGAACGCCCACTTGAACTGATTTACTTCATCGTCTTCATTATTGGTTGCCTCCTAGTACTGGGAGGATTGTCAGGCGTGGTTCAGTTGGTGATTGGTATATCAGGGTCGCAGAGATTGTTTGTTTAGGCTTAGATAGAGCTTGTAGTAATCCACTTAGAGTTTGTTAGATCCATGCAATCAGCAATAGCGTATTCCTTTGTCGTATCATCCACACACGGGAGTTACCATTGTCGTTCTATCAGCCTTGAATACTACTGTGCACGGACACCTAGAATAGTTGAGGGCAAACGCGCCATTAAAGAATTTAAGGGATGATCTGACATAGACATGACGATGGATTCTCATCCACTTGACCACTGTCTCCATCGCACAACTGAGACACCATGACTAGCAACTCCCAAGATCTGACAGATCACCAGCGATCTGTCAAGAGGTGAACGAACGTGTCCCGATCGATCCGGCAAGAACATCATATTTCTTTGTTTCGTACCACCAAGGGAGGCCTGTCTGTTGACGTGATGAGCCCGAACAAATTGGCGCCACACGGCCGTCCGTCCCCTTCAATACTCTCTTGTTGGTAAATGATTCGTTGGGGTGGGAGGTGACAGGTGGGTCGAAGTGCAGGATCTGCAATCACTTACAAGGGTTGCTTTCAAGCCATGATCAAAACCCCCTGTTCATCATTTGCGGTTCACCCACTCACCTGATGGAGCAAGTTAGTGAGTGTCTCACTAGCAAATAGCCAACAAGATATCGTATTCCATCCCATAATCTGGGATTTTTAGGCTCAAGACTCACGATTTACCATGTCAGCCTCCTTTCGATTACGCCGAGCGATCCGCGTCCTTGCTAGAACCCCTTTGACAGATTGAATCTCAGCTGCCATGTCCAAAGTCTGTCTCTGATCTAGTAACAAACTAACATGGGATTTGTAGATCCCGGGCATGAGCGAATTTAGTCTTAGGGCACCATTGACTCGGTTCTGACTCTTCAGACACTAGATATGCAAGAATGGCCTCCTGTCACTCTATGCACTAGCAAGGGCCGTGCCGCCGCGAACCATTGCGGCTTGTTGTCACTCATGCTGGTCATGCCGACAGTGACAAGACTGACATGTTAAACAAGGGTAGTGATTTATCATGATTATCAATGAACATTAGCCGATCTTAGCCATGAGACATGATGGTCCGTTCCGGGGGGCCGGGTGAACTGCATGTTGGAAGCAGCCAAGTTTTCCCGGTTTTGTGACAAACAACTGATTTTCATGCTAGCCGTGCTTGACTTCCGAGTGTATGGATGTTCATATCCACAATGGATAGTTTTTGCTTGCATACTGGTACCTTGCAGTCTGCCTAACACGAGTCTTTGGTAGCAATTTACTTGATGAAAAATAGCAAACAATGTCTGAATTGTCTCGTTTCTTAGGATTATCAGGCTCATCCTGGGCATGTCTCTCGCAGTCTCAATAAATTAGAATACTCGTCATCCATCAGAGTGGCAGAATCCTCAACCCGACTGTCATAAAAATACAATCGTAATGTTGTCAAGATGGCTCAAACTAGCTCTTGGACTATTTAACCCTCGCGCCTCAACCTTGGATTTCGATTTTTCTGTCAACCTCTAGAGATTCTACAATCTAACCAGGATAAAGATAAGATAAGACAAACTTGGACTAGGTACTTTGCGTAGCCAAGTGTGGCGTCGAGGCTGTGCTCGTACATTGAAGAACCATCATACCCGATACCACCAACATAATATCTATTTGGAAATACGGAAAAGTGGGAGAAGGGAGTACAATCGAGGAAATGGCTTTCTTAACAACTTCTTGAGAGTTTTGGGAATTTGGGAAATGTCGAAACACCATTGACCTTTCTTCTGCGAAGTCATCAGAAATTTTACCATCCTCAATCAATTTATTCCTTCTAGTTTCACCGAGAAACATCACTCTCTCCCCTTTATCAATTTCTTATACAATATATAGTTGATCATTAAAGCTCTGGCCTTTGATTGAGTACTCAACATACTCAATTATAGAGTATTTATTCAGAGACAGCAGGCATGCTTTTAGTTAAGACAATATGTCGTGTTTTCAATCAGGTGCTGATAACCTTCCTTCGTACAATCTATCATCATCTACTCCCGACAACCCCTTAGTCGAGTCCTTCCTGAAAGACGCGTATAAATTGAGTTTAATTCCCTTGTTCATGTTTGTTATGCAAGTGCCACTGACCACAGCCTCCGTTCCCTCGTAACCATCCTATCATGTATGCCATAGCTACGTGCACCGCAGTTATCAACACGGTACCAGATACACACAGAGTATCACGATACATAGCCTAGATCTTGAGGTATACTATCGCCATAAAAGCACCAACATTTAAGTAGCGTTGCTAGTTAAGAGTCTTTTCATAAAATCTTGTCTCGTACCCATCTTACTCCATGCCAATCTCAACTTCACAACCTTTTTCCAGTAGGTTTTCTCAATGCTGACTTCATCAGACGTAAGCAATGTGCTTGATGTGAGATAATCTAGACTTACCTTCATCTCGACTATCATTGATTAAATTTACTTTCCATCTGAGCGGGCAACATCATGGATGGCATTTGGCGATTTCTTCTTTGTCGCCGTGTCTTTTAGCATGTCCATCCCTCCTTATCCACTACAAAGAACCGTCAACTCACTTCAATTCAAAAAATGACATCTGTCTAAGGCAGTGTCATCGTTCTTATGCCCTGTTTCTCTACCTTTCCAACACTCGCCCAACTGCGTAACCTCATCTGTATCAGGCCTCCCCCATTTGAATATGACTGGCTTGCATGAATAACATTGTGAGTTTGATCATAGATACGGCCAGTAACTTCACTAAAAAGTGGAAATCCAGACTATTCGGCATCATTTCGGTGGTGTTGGTCACCTTCCCTTCTGTCCTTTGTTATGTTGTAGTTTCTTGGCGAGCGGCTCGCAAATAAAGCTCTATGCGGAAGTACATGTCTAGAAGCCCATGTGATGGAACAAGGTCCATGGAGACCCTTCTTCTTCCTTATACGGAAGGTTACCTTTGCATTACGTACGTGAATCGCGTGCATGAATGCAAATTGGTTTTTATTTTTTTTTTATATTTTTTTTTTTAGATTTACACAGCCTGGCACGATATCCGAATCACCATTTCCCGTTTATGCCGATTTTACTACATTTGTGAAAGCTTCTAGTATTATCTTAGACTTTGAGCTCTTCCTGCCAGTCTGTCAATAACCTGACATCAGTCATTCCCTTTTGTTATGACAGAACAAGTACACATACGTACGTACAGGTCTCTAAAATCCTCTTGCTGCCTATCCGTACAAGCAACTGAAGCGAAAGATTTATCAGTCATAATTAGAATAAACAACAAACTTATTGCATGATCCATACTCATTTATCATCATTTATCATCAGGCCTATCTCGGTATGCTTAACATCCCGAAACTTTAAATCATCATCGACGGTCGACCCATCGTCATCGAGGTTACATCCCCCTAGAATAGAGTTAGCGAGAACCCTTGCACAACGTCCGACCTTACGCAAACGGGACAATAATTCCACGCGCTAAACTACAAGTGGTCTTACACTCAGTCTATGCTTTATTTACGATCCGTGCACGTGGCTACGACAGCAAAGAGGCTGGTGCTTGTGGACTCTTCAGTTACGGTCTGATCAATCGTTGGACGAGAAATTCAACGGGAGCTGATCACTTGCCCCATGGGGTAGTTGTTATGTATGTTGATGGTTGAGTTGATTCTATCCGGGACCCGTGGCTGACATCGGGGAAGCGGAATTGTATGCGGCAGTTGGTTGAAGCGGGGCGCAGTTGGATCAATTGACGATCTAAGTGTCTTGGGGTCGCTACTTATATATAACCTCAAGTGCCTCATTGTTGGAAGAGATCCTCACTCTACAACATCAACATTCTTTCGTTCAAGTCCAACAGTTCTCAAGATGTTGCCCAGGCTTCTTATCAGCGCTCTCTTCTCTGGTGCTCTCGTAGCCAGCCAGGAATCTTCTGCCTTTGCAGATGAGCCCAATCGATGTGACACAACCTGTCAACTCGGCTATCGCCAGGCTTTGGCCGGGGAGTCTAGTCTTTGGGTCAACCAAAACGTCTCGACCGATCCCTTCTACGCAAACCCCGCCAACATCTCAGACTATTCCGCCGGTGACCTTGTCAAATGGGAGGAAATCCCAACTGCTCAGGCCACCAGACGATGGACTATTCCTGGTGGAGCCAGCATGACTCGATTCTTCTACATGTCGGAAGATATCGATGGAAAGCCCATCCCAGCCACTGGATTCGTCCTGACTCCTTACTCTAACCCTCTCGGAAAGGACAAGCCTTTCCGCACTATCGTCTGGACCCACGGAACAGCGGGCGGAACTCGGCAATGCGCACCTACCAACCACCGCGGTCTGTACTACGAATGGCAGGCCCCCTTTGCTCTTGTCAACCAGGGATACGTCGTTATTGCCCCTGATTATGCTGGTCAAGGCAGTGATATTCCCCAGGGCTTCATGTACGAATCTGGTGCTCTCCATGCTGCAGATGTCAGCTTCGGTCTTCAAGCCGCTCGCACAGCTCTCGGAAACAAGATCACCAAGGAGTGGGTCGTCATTGGTCACAGCGAAGGTGGAATGACTGCATGGCGCACTGATGAGCGAGAGGCTCAGGAAGGTAAGGCCACGGGTGGATTCTTGGGTGCTGTAGCTATGGCCCCTGCGCTTCAGCCCATTAAGCTTATCCCCGAGTCTTTCCGCCGTGCCAAGGATGGTCCCGCTGGAGATGTTGTATCCATCTTCTTCCTCCAGTCTCTCTCTCGCCTTTATCCTTCCATCAAGGTCGAGGACTACGCCACCGACATTGTTCTGAGCCGTATTGCTCTCGCTGACCAAGGCTGCCTCGCCACCGGAGGAGCTCTCTACGGCAGCCTGACTGTCAAGCAACTCTACAAGAACACCAGCTGGGTCGAGCATCCCGATTTTGTTGACTGGCAGAAGCGCTTCAACGGTGCTGGCCCTCATAAGCTTGCTGCCCCCATGCTCGTTATCCAAGGCGAGGCCGACATCCTTACTTATCCCGAGTACGCCGAAGAAGACTTCAACGAGACTTGCAAGGAGTTCCCCGAGTCTACTGCCGAGTACAAATCTTACCCTGATCTTGACCACGGTGCTGTGCTGCACGCTTCTGTTTCTGACTTCATGCCCTGGATTGCGGATCGTTTCAATGGAGTTAAGCTGGAGAAGGGATGCAAGATTACAAAGGTTAGCCCAGCTACCAAGAACTTTTCTCTCGTTACCCAGGACTGGCAGGCAATTATCCGATAAGCTGCTGGTTGAGTGGTGACGGTATGTCTAATACTTTTTTATTTCTCTGTATACAGCAACTATTCTTCTTGAATTCTTTAAGCACATAGATACAAAAGAGAATATAATTGATCATTTTCTCTCATACTGTCCGCTATCGCATAAGATAATGAACCGCTTTGACTGCTTAGACAATGCGACAATCGCCTTCAACCGGCTCCAACATGAGTGTAGATGAGGTGAATGAAATAGCAGTGGCAATGTCTCTATGAGTAAATTAATCTCAACTTCCACAGTGCTTCTGTATGGGGTCGGGTTTGATGGTTGACTAGGGTTCATGATACGTCAATTCTTTATCTCAAATGACGACGTCAAGGACTCGGTCGGAACATCTCTCGCAGGACCAGGTGGCCACTTTCGTTAATTCTTTTGTTCAAATGTCAGGATATCAATTTATGCGTACTGATCGACACCCATACGATGCATTGCTTATTGCTGCTCTCATGCAGCTGTTGCATTGAAGACGGAAATATGACCTGTGGCCTTGAGTGTTTTGAGTTGGTAATCCTTTGTCCTCCAAAGTACAGAGGCCAATAGCGTCTTTGTAGTTCGTTAGACCCTGAAAAAGTGCCCAAATTAGAACGTCTGTTCGTGATTAAGGCACAGACCGGGACTAGAGCTATGCTTCTCCAGCTGACCTTTTCTTGTTGCATCTAAATTACTTTCGCCCCTTGGAGTCCCTGTTTCATACTAAGAACCTGGTCATAAATAAGTGGCTCTCCCCAAAATTCCATTATTTACAACACATTTCCAAGCAGTAGTAAAATGGCTATGTGGAACTCTCTTACCGTAGTCCTTGCCTTTGGTATTGCTACGATTCATGCTAGCCCATGCAAGTCAGCATCTTCTGTGACATTTATCGATGCTGTGCCTTCAATTGTGCTAGCTGTGTCAGCGACTGACACCTCCAAATTCCCTTTATCGTCAATCATTTCGCCCGCGACACGAACGACATCAGTATTGAAACGGTCAACCACAGCGACGACCGAGATAAGCAGTATCACGACCACACGCACGAAGAAGTCAGATGCTACTCCTGTCAGAAAAGTTACCACGACCTTTACCAGGACATCAAAACCTAAATCGACCGCGATAAACTTACTTAGCAACCCAGGCTTCGACGATTCTTCCGACATCTTTTTCTCTCAGCCATGGGTCTTGAGGTCTTCTCAAGGGAGGTCCGTGGCTGAATTTAAAGATAACTACCCTGTCAAATCAAAACCGACAGCGTTGTAAGCATTCCCTACTGTCGATACCATTCAACACTCTAACAAATCGCAGATACATGTCCATCCTGGAAGACGGCGCGCCATCAATCGAACAATGGGTGGCAGGGCTGGAGAAATCCAAGCAATACACTTTGTCAACTTGGGTCGCCTATCAATCCGGAGCGGCAGGATGCCACATCGATTTGAAGCTAGACAAAACTCTCATCAAGAGGCACGTCATTTCTAAAGGCTCGCCTGGTCGATACAAAAAGGTTGAGGGTATTGCGGCATCCAATTTCCAGATGGATCTGGTCAGCATGTGGCTGTACTGTCCTTCTGGCGTGACTGTGGCTATTCTAGTGGATGATTTCAGTCTCGAAGAGGTGTAAGGTATTCTACAGTGAACGATAGACGCGACTGTCGGAGGGAGGGATAGGGCCACTGGGGAATATCAAGACATGACAATACTAGATTTTCTGTAATATATATTAATTTTTCCCTGGGTATCAGAGATTTCTGCTGCGGAGACCTTATAGTCGGTGAGTTCATGCTCTTCAATACTGTCCCAGCCCTAGTGGACCAGAACCACAGAAGGATCTACGGCGAGACACTGGTCCCTCAGATATTAATGCCGTGTATCCCCGAGTCCACTGTTCCCTTGAATCTGGACCCTTCGGGGCCCGGTATAATAGAGTCTCCGTCGTCTAATATGCGGCTGGGACCGAACTAGCGACTCAAACGGGCTTCAAACCCGTCACGGAGGATTTACCCAAAGCCGAGGAGGACTTTATTAAGCCTATCGTAGTCAAGAAGCCAAGGTTTCACGTATTTTAGCTTGTGAGTGTTTAATTATGGGCGGGGCCTATTTTAGATCGCCACCGTTAGATAAGTTAAAAACATGTCCCTTTGAACTTTCTTTTGTATCTTATTTCCAATTGACTTTTCGCCATTGGAGACGACGGTACGAGTCACCAAAATGACAGATTCTTCATCAAAATCGTCAACGGACCCAGCCACAGCCGTTGACGCGCACACAAGCTCGAAACAAGCGAACAACGCCCTTCTTCCCTCCCAAATTAGCGACGACGAACAAGATGGCTTCCACAATGATCAACAAGATCACCTGGACATGCAGCGCCTTGGCAAAAAGCAGCAATTCAAACGTACTTTCTCGCTCTGGTCTTCAATTGGTTTCGTCGCGATTTACATGGCGACATGGGAATTCGTCCTGATTTCGCTTGCGCCTGGCTTTACAAATGGAGGATACGCGGGCGTATTTTGGTGCTTTGTTACAACTACTACAGCGTATTCTGCTGTTGTGGCAAGTTTAGCAGAGATGGCTTCCATGGCGCCCACGTCTGGTGGTCAATATCGTGAGTTTCTGTCCAGCGCATCTCCTGTATTCTTCGGCTGACGAATAAAAGACTGGGTCAGCGAATTCTCACCTCCAAAGTACCAAAAGGTTCTCTCATATGCGTCCGGCTGGATGACAACTCTTGGATGGCTCGCTAGTTTCGCCAGTAGTTGCTACACAATCGCCTTCCAAGTACAAGCCTGCATCAATGTTACAAAGCCCGACTTCGCATTCACACCGTGGCAAATCGCGCTCATCATGTGGGCTGTCATCCTCATCACCATCGCCTTCAACACCTGGGGCACAGCCTTCTTCCCACAGCTCGAAACAGCCAGTCTGATCGGCCATATCCTCGGTTTCTTCGCCGTCATGATTCCCCTCTGGGTTCTCTGCGATAAGAATTCCGCCGACGACATCTTTCTCCAGTTTACCGATCAGAGCGGATGGGATAACATGGGTTTCGCATACATCTCCTCTCAGATTTATGTCCTGTGGTGCTGTTTTGGATCAGACAGTATCGTGCATTTGTCCGAGGAAGTTAAAAACGCGTCGATCATCGTACCTAGGGCTATTTGGTGGTCGTATGTGGGTAATGTCTTTTTCGGCTTCATCATGCTCATCACCATGCTTTTCTGCATCGGACCTTTGGATCCAGTGATTGAGTCGGATTGGCCATTTATTACCTTGTTCGATCGAACAGGTTCACAGAGCTTGAATTTGTTCTTTAACGTCATCTTGTGGTTGTTGGTATACCTGGGCAACATCACTACGCTGGCGACTTGTGCGCGTGAGACGTGGGCTTTTGCTCGAGATCAGGGACTTCCTGGTTCAAAGTGGATTGGCCACATGTAAGTTCTCTTCCATCAGTTCTCTACTTCAAATGCTAATCAGCTTGCAGGGACAAGAAATGGCACATGCCCTTCAATGCAGTCTATCTCATGTCCATCGGCGCCGCCCTCCTAAGTTTGATCCAGATCGGCTCCGACGTCGCTTTCACCGTTCTCGTATCTCTCTCAACCCTTGGTATCATGACTACTTATCTCCTCAGCATCGGCTGCGTTCTTCTCAAGCGTATCAAAGGCGAGAAGCTGCCCTACGCGCGATGGAGTCTGGGGAGATTTGGACTGGCTATCAATGCTTTCTCAGTGCTGTACAGCTTGTTCATCGTCATTCTCTGTTGTTTCCCTCTTACTTTGCCTGTTGATACCGCATCAGCGAATTGGGCACCCTTGATCTGGTTTGGCGTCATCGTGATTGCTGCGGTCGCCTATGTAACACATGGTAGAAAGGCCTATACTCCTCCTGTAAACTTTGTCGAGGGAGTCAAGACGCAGGGAGTTGGACTACAGGAGTCGACATAGAGATATCAGTCTCTTTCAAAAGTTTTTTCAAGTCACAGTTGTGTCCCTTGTTCATAATACTCTAGGAGAAATCATACATTGTCTAATAAGCACTATAAATTATGGACGTTGAAAAAAAAGGTCGTCATTTCATCACTCTCATCATCTCCATCTCAAGTCTTGTTTCTCATGCAGGAATGCGATAAACCTGGTACTCATCACCTGTGCTAACAGGGAAGATGTTGAAAGTCGCAAACCCATCAGGGTTTTCGGGCTCAAGACGGACAAATGCCTGGGCAGCGTATTGCTGTCTGGTGCTAACCCAGTATGAGCCAGCAGGGAATTTCATCTTCTTGGTGAACAACTCAGTGTTGACTGTCGTGAGGACATTGCCCTCATATTTTGTCGTTGCGATTGTTGCTTCCGTGATGTTGTATGCTTCAACCTCGCCCTCAAAGTCCACTGCCAGTTCGTTGACAGTCAGACCGACAGCACGAAGCTTGTTGGCGGCGCTGGACCATGCGCGGCTGAAGATATAGGCTTCGGGCCTGGAACGAGTAAGGTTGCTGGCGGGAGGAGTGTTGTTGCCGAAGATAACGGGCACCTCAGTATATTCGCCAGTCTCGACGTCGATGTAGTTCCATGTTCCATTTGTCCAGCGAGGTTGGTCGCGGACAACGATCTCTTGGTCGTTGGTGATGAAGTCAGCGCGGGCTGCTTCGACGGTGTCGTAAATCAGCTCTGCGTTGTCGGCGGCTGTCTGCACGAGGGTAAGAGCAGCAGTCAAACCAGCTGCTGTTCGGCGCTTAAAGTACTGGTTTCCGATACCGATGCCTCGTGTCTCGGACAGAAACGCGAGACCTTGGCCCATGTAAACGGTAACTTCACCACGTGTATCTGTGACAAAGTCTTGCAGACGAATGTCCTCCTCACCCTCCTCCTGGAACGCAACAACGTAGCCGCTAGTAGTGAAGTTCTTGTCCTTGAGTGCGGACTGAACCTTTGGTACGAAGAGAGACTCAGCAAGAGAGCGGATATCCTTGTGGACGTTGGGGTTCTTGAAAGCTGAAAATTGATCGTCCTGCGCAGGGATGTATGTCTTGTTGTTGTAGGTCAATCGGCGAACAGCATTAGTCTCGTGGCAGTCAAGATGGACGTGAGCGTTGAACTTGAGGTTCAAAGCCTTGACATCAATGGTTTGCTGAGACGCCATCTTTGTGTGGTCGCGGTTAGGATCGAAGCTTGTTGCCAGAGTTCGCTGGAAATAGGCTGATCCGTCAGGGCTATAGCGTGGTAGAATCATGATATCCAACTTCTCAAGGATCGAGGCAGTCCATTCAGGCTCAGCGTCCATCTTTCCAAGCAGCGCAAGAAGAGCCTCCTCTCCTGCTGGCTCGTTTCCATGAACTCCACCTGGAATCGGTTTGTAAGTCATCTTTGCAAGTTGAGAGGGCCATTTGGTACTAACCTTGGAGCCAGACACGGACTTTGTTCGTGGCATTACTGCTGGCAAAGGGTGTCTCTTGAAGCAGTGACTTGGATGAAGACAGAACAACATAAGGAATAGACCGGCCCTCCTCTGACTTGAAGGTAGGGTTGTGATACGTCATCCAGTCATTCTTTGCAGCAAGAGTCCAGAGGAACTGCTCTAGATACTGCTGCGGGTTTGGCGCAGCTGTTCCATTGGCAAAGCCCTTGGGGATGTGATCAGGGTCCAGGAACACGGGTGAGTACAAATCGTCGTCGACATCGGGGAAGTTTGATGCGATCTGTTCTGATTCCTTGACAAAGGGAACTTGATTACCGGCGTATTTGATCTGTGCGGTCGCACCCCCGACCAGGGTAGCGACAGTGAGGAAATGCATGATTGACTGAGAAGCACTGCAGATCTAGGAATGAAAGATGACGATATCGGTTGGGTTTATATAGGCAAGATGGTCGAGTCAAGTACCCAGACAACAGGCATCATAAACCGAGTCAATCACCGACAATCAGGTTCGCCTATCCATTTTGCCTTCCTGTCTAGTCGTTAGTTTGAGCCGTTTGTTATCATTAAGCTTAAACATTTATTAGAGTCTCTCCGCGAAATATGGGGAAGGGCTAGGGAATTAGCGAATGATGAATCAGGTTTTGGAGTCCAACCCCGCGAATTTATCTTTTGCCAAGATTGACGATGGAGGCGCAAGGATACGCTTGTCTCTTAGCTGGGGACTTGGCACTCCGGTTACGGATCTAATGAGACAAATCCGAAGTTCCGAAGTCCCGTATCTAGGATAACGGATAGGGGACCATCATGATAAGTAGTGTCGGCTAAGGGCATGATGAAGAACATTGTATCTTTACGTATCACGGTAGCCAAGTCTCTACGTGGCTGATCTGTTCGGTGACGCCAAAGGGAGGACAAGGTGTCAAACAAGAGATTGAGCATGGCTGTACGAAAGATAAAGAGTTGGTTTATGCTAAGAACATTAATGAATGGTTGAATTGATACTGCAGGCATTCCATCTCGGTTGTCAATGATCACTAATGCGGATAATAATGACCAAACAACATGGTTATCGTCGACCACATCAAAAGGTGGAGACCAGTTCCAATTGAGGAAAACTGCGACTCAACAAACATGGCGTTCTCAAGATACTTTGAAAGAAAAGAGAGAATAATTTATCGAACATACCTAGAGACTAGAACTCTGACATCAGTAATTCCCATTCCCGTCAAAAGTAAACCATGCAGATTGTATTGATGTCTAGGGTAATTAATCTCTTAGGACAAATGACGTAGTTTAAAAGGACCGGTAAAGGATTAATCCGAGACAACTCGAACACATTCCGGTAGAAAGGAGAGATCAACAATGGTGATTCAGAGACGCATTCAATATATACTACTAAACTTCAATTCCTCGCCTGACATTTTGGCAATTGCTGGTAAAGATGCAAAAGATACCAACAAGCTAAAGGATCACGTGGTGATAAGATTAGAGACGCGATCTAGACCGCTAGTCCATTAACAGTATCCCGTCCAAGATCTTTCTACGCGTCCTCTCCTCACCCATGATCGCGTCGTCTTAGTCAAGACGCGTCCAGCCCATCCCAGCCCATCATGACAACATCTGTAACCCCTCCTATGCGCGTCCACGGATGGAACGTCCATTTTGTCGCAGGCGATGATGACTTTCACTTTGCAGGCTTGTACCAAGTTCCCGGGAGTAACTTGATAACATTTCGCGATGTTATTGATGAGATGCGTCTTTGTTTTGACATTCCCGGCGAGGAAGATCCTTGGGAGACTATGGCCTTCATGCTGGTGGACTCACCAGACGATGCAAAGAGGAAACTCCCTTCTTTGGTCGCAGATGAGGATCTGGCTCTTCCCGTTCCTGCACTCCAGAGTTCGTCGCCCAAAGCTCAGCGTATAGTGACATATCATGTTATCCTGCATAAGCCCTGTGAGATTTCCTACGATAAACCACTACAAGATCATATCAAAGGTTCGTTTAGTCACTTGAGATGTTAAACAGTATTCTTAGGAGTCACTGACCAAGGGCACCAGATAAATGTGCTCGACACATCAACCGACCAACGCGGCGAATGGATAATCGCTATATATCCCTTGACAAACCATCACTGGACCCTCGTTATTCTAAAATGCCATTTCGACGCACAACAAACACTCGCAGAGCTTCTCAATCTCCAAAACGGCGCAGGTCCGACTCGTTCTCATCAACGACGGATGGCGAACATGAAGACATCAAGAATTTGCAGATTCCACCAAAGATGGACCTATCACCAGAAGAAGCAAGAGAAACTACAGAGACATTCCGGCATGATTGTCTTATTCATGCTGATCGTTGTGCCATTTCTGGGAAAGGCCAGTCGTGGTGCATCATTCCATCGACTGGGCCAGGTCTTCACGCTTGTCATATCGTACCTCAGCATCATTTTTATGTCTACCCCCACCATGACCAAAAGCACGCCACCGAAACTGAGGTGGAAATCCATAATGAGAGACTCACTCAAGCATGGAAAGATACATGGTCTGGTAAAAATGGCATACTCCTCATGAACGACATACGGCAACTTTTCGAAGCCCGTCTCATCTCAATCCATCCCGACACCTATAAGATCCGAGCCTTCGTGCCATACGATGTCATAACAGACTTTCACGGCAAGAAAGCCAATGTTGCGCGAAAAGTGGATAAGTTGGCGTTAAGGCACCACTACGAGATGTCGTGCATTGAGAACATGGCTGCGCAGATGCCAGCGGCACTACATGACTCGGCTAGCGGGAGTACAGTGAGGTTCTTGGAAATTAGATCACCCCTTGGAAGGACGATTAGTCTACCAATAAACACCACTGCAAATAGGCAAGCCGGCGATCCGGCGAAGAGGGTAAAGTTAGAGGAGATGGCAGAGACGAGCACGCCGGAGGAAAGTATACAGGAACAAAGTACACAGGAGGAAGACATCCAGAGGGCTTTGTCTGTCGAGTACGATTTGATAGAAGGTTCGGATTAAGTTAGTTGGAATGATGAACGATCAAAGAAATCGCATATTCATTGGTAAAAAAACCCAGTCTTCTTACGCTCTACAGATGTTCCTCATTACGGTCTTGGGCTATCCTAAGCAACAACTGCAACAAACAATTGTTGGTACGAGCTACACGGAAAGAACCTTCATTAACTTGAAGACACTCCCTCGGATTAAGCGACGAATGTGTGTGCTTGGATATGGCTTTACTCAAGGCCCCCTCGTAAGGGCATGATACATACGTATTCTTAGTGATCTGCGCATTATTGATCACGGTACGGACGGACTGGACTCCCGACTGTTGTGAATAAGACAGATTGATCGACAAGCGGCAGTTGACGAACGAGCGGCCTACATCGTCCACGTGGGCCGCTCGAGATCTTCAGAAGTTGTATTGTCTCGCATTCAGCACGCAATCACTCGTTCTATGCCAGCAACGACTCTTGTCTCAATTGTCGGAACGACAGGAACTTGGGAACTTCGATACTCTCGGACATATCCGCTGCAACATGCAGCAGAATAAACCGAGGAACCTCCATTCCCACTACCTGTACAACGTATATCTGAAAACTCACCAGTATGGGTGCTTTCCACGGCAAGTGGACTGTCGACGGGAAAGCAAGTCCATGCAGCTGCAGCTATAACCTTGAAAACTTTATCATTTCGTCGCCAGAATCGCCTTTTTGAGATACAAGTCAAAGTCGGTTGGGAGATATAATGCAATGTTGGTGGAGAATAACAAAGGTTTCGCCGAGAGGTTGCGTGGAAGGGTAGTCGCTTAGTTTTGTATTCGAACCGGGCCGAGATAAGAGGAACTGCCGGCCTGTCGTAAAGAGGCCCCCGCGGTTTGAGATAGATGGATGGATTTGGCAGGAGAAAACGAGAGTTGTCAGATCTCACATTAGCTCGTCTTGGCTCAGATAGCAGAGCCTCAATCGAATCGCATGTTGTTGCCGGTGAAAGCGATGCCAACCAATTCGTCAAAAGAACGCCGAAATTCACGAAAAAAGGTCCTAAAATTCCGGCGGTGACTAAGGCGGTTATTAATAATAACACAAACCGTCTTCGTCCAATATCCCAGTGGATGCAAAAACCTAATCATTTTTGAAGATCCGGGTCCAATAACCGGGCTCAAGACATGAAAACCGGAGCAGCTGGGAATTTGGGGTAACGTTGTCCGCTCCCGTTCTCCAAAAATGAACAAGACTCCCGTGTCCGAGACTCCGAATGAGGGAATTCTTGCATGTTGTGCTCGTCCGCGGGATGATTCGCATCAGTAATTAACAGTGTTGTGTCGTGTTGTGTTGCTATCCGCGGGAACTATGGGTCATTGTGTCTTCCCGTCAGCAAAGATCAGGCCAGTTCTGGGTCTGGGTCATGTCAGCAGCGCACAGCAAGAGGCGCGAGGCGAGCCCGGGTAGAGTGACTGCAAAAAAAGAAACCTGACGGGGGGGAACAAGAGGGTTCTTATGTGCCGTTTGTGCCGAGAAAAACGGGTCGAGATGATAATCTAGCACCCGTCTTGGCGAAGCGCCATTCCTGCATGCCCAAACTTGGCCAAGACTGGCCAATACAGATGAGAACAAGTGGATAAGTCCGGGGTTTAGAGGAAAGCTTATTAGATCTCGAGATTGGGTTATGCGTGCTATTCAGTACGGGCCATACCCAAAACCTGGGGGAACATGAGGCTCTCGTCTCTAACAGCACAAGGGAGACACTTGATTGATGAGTTCTAGATTGATCCTTCAATTGTCTTGTCCCGTGGACTTGGCACCCTTTACCTCTTCGAGCCACGGGATGTCAATACATTCTGGAACTATCGGGGGACACAACGTCTAGACCAAAACCGCCACTCAATAGAGAAACGGGGAACTATTTACCACGGACCCATCACTTTCTCCCGCGGGAACACCAGCACCCCGGGAAGACAGTCGGCAGTATCCCCGTTCTTTGTTTTTGCTGGTGACCACACTGCAATCACCAACTCCAACTCTACCACGATAGTCATTATGCTTTTTGTCATTGCATCACAAACCGTTTCTATTATTCCTTGCCCTCGGTACTCCATGGGGAAAACTAGTCACTTTACCCCATATTCCTTGGGGTAAGAACTAAAACCTTCGCTTCCCCCCCCTCCGCATGGTGATGGTCTTGTCCTTTCACTATAAGATACCCTGGCCCCGAACTTCCCCAGACAGAAGAAGAAGAAGATCCAGGCTCAGATCCAGATTCAGATTCAATATTCAAAGAGGAATTCTTCCAGACTCCTCTCTTTCAAGGTTCTTTGTATCTCATCTTCATCTCGTCTCTTCAACCCTTCAACCTTTTACTCTTCTTATTCCACAACGTCAACGACAAAGAGACAATATGGCTGGAGGCCCAGTGAAAAAGCCCGTCAACATCTTCAAGCTCAAAGAAGTTGACGAGCCACAAGGCGTGTTCAACTGGCGACTATGGTTCGCCGTCTTCGCCTTTGGTCTGATGGGTGCCGCACGTGGAATTGACGAGGGTCTCATTTCAGGCGCTTTCAAGTCCAAGGACTTTCAGAAATATATTCACTTCAAGGAATATTCCGAGGTCGAGCAGGCCAACATCAAGGCTAATGTTTCTGCCATGGTCCAGATCGGTTGTGTCGGCGGTGCCCTCATGTAAGTACCAATCAAACAAGCCACCGAGTCATGCTACAACGGCGCTAACCTTGTTGTGTGTCTACAGTGCTTTCATGATCTGTGATAGAATCGGTCGCATCTGGGCTACTCGTCAGCTCTGTCTTGTTTGGATTGCCGGAATCGTCATCTTCATGGCCAACGGTGGCAGTCTCGGAGCCATCTACGCCGGTCGCTTCATCGCTGGTCTAGGAGTTGGTCAAACAGCAGTCGTGGGACCCGTCTACCTCGCCGAAATCGCCCCATCAGCTGTTCGCGGTCTCTGCACTTGTGTCTTCTCCGGCTTCGTCTATCTCGGTATCGTTCTGGCCTACTTCGCCAACTATGGCTGCTCTCTACACATGGGCGACGACACCCACGCCCGCTGGCTCGTCCCCACCAGCCTTCATCTCATGTTCGCTGGTTTGATCTTCGTTCTCAGCTTCTTCGTCGACGAATCTCCCCGTTTCCTTGTCAAGAAGGGTCAAGTCGAAAAGGCCACTGCTGTTATGGCTCGCCTACGACAACAATCTATCGACTCCGATTACATCGTCCGCGAAATGACCGCCATCCAAGCTTCCCACGAGCACGAGCTTGAGAGCGTCAACACCTCTTTCTTCGGTACCTGCAAGGAGCTTTTCCTCAACAGCAGCAACCTGTACCGTTTGTACCTTGCCAGCATGGTCCAGGTTCTTGCTCAGTGGTCTGGCGCTGGTTCTATCACCTTGTACGCCCCCGATCTCTTCGAACTCCTCGGTATTCACGGCTCTGAGACCGGTCTCCTTGTCACTGCCCTCTTTGGTATCGTTAAGCTTCTGTCCGCCATCAGCTGTGCTCTATTCCTGGTCGATGTTATTGGTCGCAAGCGCGCTCTTATGGCCGGTATTACTCTCCAGGCTTTCGCTATGATCTACGTTGGTGCATTCCTCACAGCTGTCCCTGAGCCTACCGGTTCTTCCGCTGCTGCTCGTGGAGCTATGGCTATGATCTATATCTCCGGTATTGGCTGGGCTCTTGGTTGGAACACTATGTCCTACATCCTTACTGCCGAACTCTTCCCTCTCCGAATCCGAGCTCTCGCTACCTCATTCGCCATGACCCTGCACTTCCTGTGCCAGTACGGTAGCAGCCGCGCCACACCTAACATGCTTCTGCCCACATCAAAGGGAGGCATCAACCCCAACGGAACCTTCTGGACCTACGCTGCCATCCTCGTTGTTGGTGGTCTCTGGGTTATCGTTTCCGTCCCCGAAACCGCTGGCCGATCTCTTGAGAGTATGGACAGACTTTTCGATCTTCCCTGGTACAAGATCGGGTTGTTCGGTAACAAGGACGCTGAGGAGCAGGATGCTGTTTACAACGAGAAGGAGGAGATGGCCATGAACACACATGGCAACGTCTCCTACATTGAGAACAGACCCACCAAGGAGATTGCTTGATCTGGTTTAGAAGCATGGGATAAGCTAGTATGATTTTGACATGAATTAAGCGAATTGATTTACATTTTACATCACTCTGCATCCGATTCATCTATTCTTGACGGGATGTCTATATGTGACAGTTATATATACCCTAAGTAAAGCCTTGCTACAGTAGCGCCATTCCTAGTACATGGCATTAACCGAACCCCAATTCCAGGTTACTGGTATTTCTGACGGCGACATGACTCGTTTCGGCAAACTTGGAGAAGTATAGCAAGGTGAAGCTACTCCACTACTGCTCGAATGGGTTGGGACTCTCGCCCTTCACCCATCATTAGAACGTGGCAGCACGATGGACACAGCTACCTACAGCTTGACGGGTATTTATCACAGGTACAACAGAGAAAGTGAACGAAAAAATGCTTTAATTAAACTAGATTACTTTTATTTATGTATATTCGCCATCGTAAATTAGCTACGACGTGCCCCCGGACAATGCCAGAGGGTACCGGATGCTTTGCTTTTCGATGTCTCCAATTAAAAGACCATACCCTTGGTCTGCTTGCCCTTCTCTTCCTCAACCTTTCGGACGTTGATGTTCCTCCAGATAATAATTGAAAGAACGCAAAGGGGCATGGTAGCAACACCAGTAATAGCCATGAGTCTCATGGTGTGAGCATACGCACCAACAATGGCCTCACGCTCAAGCGAGCCATCAGCGAAGGACTTTTGGACCTCAATGCTACCGAAAATAACAGAAGCGTTAGCCTTGGCAGCCTCGGGAAGACGTTGAGCCAGTTGAACAGGCATAACGTTATTCCAGAAAGCACCAGCGATGGCATAACCGATACCAGCACCAACACCACCAAAGAGACCGGAAAGAGCGCTGGTGACGGCGAGGTATTGGTGAGTGACAGGGGCCATGACAGCGACTTGGTCGACGGTGGAGAAAACACCGGCACCGAATCCGACGAGGATCTGAGTGAAAGCCAAAAGACCGACGTTGGTGTCCTCCTTTCGGAAGGGAATGATCAAGGCGGTACCCAGAAGCATAATGGGAGCACCCGCCATGGCAGTCCACTTGATGTTACCAGTGCGGGCAACGAACCATCCGACTCCAGGCGCGATGACGGAAGAGGTGAGGGAATAAGCGTTAAGGACGTAGTTGGCGTTGGAGATGCTCAACCTGTTGACAACCTGGAGGTAAGAGCCGAAATAGGCGTTCCAGCTGAAGGTAGACAGGAACATGATTGCATTGAGCAAGCAAGAGCCGATGATGGTTCCCTGCTTGAGGTACTTGAAGGGCAAGAACTGAACAGGCGCCACCTTTGCCTCCCAGATGTAGAAGATAGGGATCAGAACAACGCCGAGAACCTCGAGGGCGATGATATAAGGCGTAGCCCAGATCTTGGGAGCATAAGGAGCCAGACTGTAGGGCAGAAGCAGGCAGGAGATGCAAGCACAGAGAAGCAAGATTCCGATAATGTCAAACTCAATGAAGTAGAACTTGAGAGACTGGAGGAATGTGCGGTTTGATCGCTGCTTTGTGATGACACCTTGCTTGGTAGCTGTGCGGAACATGTAAATCATGGTAGCCATCGCAGGGACACTGCACGCGGCAATGATGATGGCGAAAGCTCCAAAAGCCCAGCGGAAGTTGAGATTCTCGTAGAAGCCAGTGGCGATCTGGGGACTGGCAAAGGTAGCGACGATACGAGGTGTGGTGTTAATACCGTAGATGAAGGCACGGTTTGTCAGGGTAGTCATATCAGCCAGCATGACGCCAATGACATACATGATTCCGATATGGCCAACCCAGTAAAGAATGTGAGCGCCAATGTACATCTGGACAGTGGTACAGGTGGCCTTCATAATCATGCCAACAAGGCAAACAACCATCATAAAGGCAAAGCCTTCGACTCGACCCCAGACATCAATGGCCTTGGCGAGGGGAAGAGGAGCGCATGCTCCGATGATGGAAGCCAAGATACTTCCAATGTTGAGAAGACCGTGAGCACCGAAACTTGAAGTGATGTAAGGGTTGAGAGCTGAATCGACATAGTTCATGATCATGTCGACGAAAGAGATCAAGTACAACCTGATAGGATAATGTTAGACATGGTCTCCACAGTCCCATCCTCTCCAAAAGGTGAGGGGAATAAGCTTACATCAAGAACATGCTAATCAAAGTCTTCTTGGTCCACACCGAGGTAATGGCACGCACGCGCTCGATTCCCTCCTGATACTCACCCTCAGACTCAAAATCGGAGCCTTCAGGGCGAGCAGTAGACTCAGTCTGTGGGATGGCATTGTTCTTCTCCTCATCAGAGGATCTGCCATCCTTGTTAGGCGATTCAACCGTGATGGGGTTCATGTTGGGCAACCAAGCACAAATAAACTGCTGTGATTGTGTTTGGCAGTGAAATTGAGTGAAGGAGTAGGGATAAAAGGTGCTGGGAAAAGGAGCTGTCGATCTTTTTATCAATCAGCAGAGGCGAAAAAAAATATTCCATGCGTTAGTATAGACAAGGTGTGTCTTGGCAACCCTTGAAAATGCCAAGGGTCTGGCGAACCGTCAACGGACTGGCGTCTGAATCCTTCCGGTTGTGGGATCCCGAGGTGGGATTAATTGCATGGTCAATTCTGCACTGTGATCGTCGATTCTAGTGCATGACTATTTGTGTCTCCAAAGAAACTCTGGTGGCAATTGAGGTGGTTGGGCCGGAGATTGTTTCCAGAATCAGATTAGATCTTTTAGATATAACTCCTCTGCCCACATGGTGCATTATTAGCGGTGATTCTATCTAATCAATCGGCGGTTTTGATCATCTCATCAGACCACTTTGATCATCAGTTTGCCATCCTTTGGTCTAGTCCGCTTGTCCACTATTCCCTGGTCCTTTGCCTTTGGGGACTTTGGTTGCAGGGGGGTTTGGTGGAACGACTTTGTTTACGCGGCAGTTGTTTATCTTCAAGCTTAGAAATACAGTGTTAACAAAGAGAAAATGGACTGCCGATCCAATCCCCCAATCTCGTAAATCCATCAATGCTACTCTTCAACGCGGCAGAGATACAATGCCCTGGTCTTGAACCAAGAATTGCCGTCTTCTAGCCAATAACCTTGAATATCTACCCGAACATCCCTGTCACTGAACCGGACCTACGGTTCAATGTTGGCTCCGTTTCTGTAATATCCCTGCAATAACCCGATAGCCATATGCGCGACAACGGGGCCGTTGTTCTTTTATTTCCAAACCTCTTGGATGTAACCAGATCTGGACTCTAAGATTTTGAACCAAGTGGAGATAACCAAGCAAAATGATTTTTTTCTTCGTCTGACACTCCACTACTTTACCAGTAGAACGGGCGAAAAGGATGCTAGCTTGGCCTGGGTGAGTCTTGTGCTCAGGTGCCAAGGTGCTAAAAAGATAAGATCTTGTAGCTTGAAAAACCATCTGAACAATCTGACTCTCTGCGTCTTTTTCTTACTCGGCTAACCTTTCTTTCTCAAGTCTGGTCCCCTGGTAGCGTACAGAATACCCGATCATTCCCGATAATCAATGTGTCTAGGCACGAGGCCTTGACAGTTTGGGCTTAACGTCTTTGGATCGTTGTTGAATAGCTCCTCGGCGAACCTGTATTTTATCAACAAACTCCGAGTCTGACATGGGCATTCTTTCAGAATTTGCCTTGTCCCCAGCGACCGATCACGAGTTGACAACTAGCCTTTCTACTGTGCCAAGATCTCAGAGGGGGGACGAGGCGGCTGGCCTGTCCGACCCTCATTTCCTTGCTTTGGAGGACGTTCTCGGTGTTGGAGTCGCTTCGAGTACTCTGCCCCGTTGATGACTGATATCGTTGCGGAAACGACAAAATCAATGGGATTTTTACCAAGTCATTACAAAGTCTCCTTCCACTCGTCCTCGCATATTCAACCAAGAAGAGTAAGAAAAGCAGTCTATCTATTGAGTCAGGGACTATCCCGATCGCATTTGAGTCATCATTTGCCTAATATAAGCGTTCTAAGAAAATAGTTCAAAGGCGACTTCTACTGCACCAATAACCCAACCCACAGACAGGAAATCTTGGGTCCAGGCATGCAATCTGTCGTGGGAGTGTGCTTTTGCTCTTGTATCCGCTGCTGGTGTATTTCCAAAAGTAACTTGCTACCTGAGCGTTGAAGACTACACCGCGCGAGACGTGAGCGACATCATGTTTAGTATCAGTGAGGAACGCTTCGCTTTTGGTAGTAATTTACGTGCCCAAATAACGGTATGTGCGACTAGATATTATTTCAGATGTTTTCGATGACTCGAAAGCAATTGTATCTCACTCAATGTGCGATTTATGTAGCCGACTTTGATGAAGTCAAACACTTCAAGCTTGACCTTAGAGACAGATAGGAATCCCCGATATCAACAAACAGATTTGAGTTATCTATACTAAAATCAAGGCTCTTTTTGCAATTAGTCTAACAGGACTTTCTGTAAGGTCGCGCTATAATAGTCTTACTAACATACTTCTCTCCATCGCATCACCATATCAATTCTCAGATGACGAAGCTTTGAGCTTATACTTCTGACTGATTTCCTGGTCATACCTTTCATTCCTTACATCCGCTTTGGCAACATTCTCTTATTTGCTACCCTATTTTCGAGATAGTAATACGGCTTGCATCGGCAGCTTATGCCGTGTGCACGGTCAGCAAGTTGGGAATGTCGATCTCCCTCGTGTCTCACCGTGTCATCGGCAACTCGGTAAGTAATCACTATATGCAAGGGAGATATGGAAAGCTGAATGCCAATAGCAAAGAATTGCCAAGGTGGAATCTCAGATAGGGAAATGATTTGCACGAGCACGGTAGATGGGGCCTGCGGCTGAGGTAGATCTGTAGCTGAAAGGGCTTAATTACCTTGGTATTGATGTGATTGAATATCTCCGATGTCTTACAGTGACGTTGCTCTACATTGTAGCGAAACTTACTGTACCAATCGTCAGCGACGAATCACCTATATATCTGTGACATTTTGTATTTATTTATCCATTCCCCTGGCACTGATACTGATCATCCTACTTACGACGACACAATTACGTTAAATCCAGCAGACCAACAATTTTACTCATCTCAAGAAGAAATCATGACAGGCACAGATAACAAAGGACAAAATGGCGCAAAGGATGGCGACAGGGTCGAGCAAATGCTCTTTGAGATTTATTTTGTTGACACTTCCACCAAAGCTGCTCAACTTGACAAGATCGCCCCTGTACCAAAGATAGAGATGGAAAAGAAGTTGTCCGAGGTCCGAGCTCACCTTCGCGCCAATAAGGCTCTATCATGGAGAGAGTAAGTTACTGGTTTGTTTTTCGACTATTGTTGCGTACTGAGTCTTCGTAGGGCATCATGCACCTTCTGCACTCTCTCGGGAGCTGAGTTGAAGGATAATCTCACTCTTGCTGACTACAAGGACCTTGCTGCGAGCCAGGGAAAGGAACCTGGAGCTGAGCAAGACAAGTCGAAACAAATTGTCACTAATGTCAAGGAAGCTGACAAAAAGGAAAAGATATCGATCAAAATTTACTTTCGATCGCTCAAGCGCAACTTGGGATTGGACGAGAAGACCAAGGAGTTTCTGAAGCAGAAGATGGAATTTGAGCTCAAGGTATGTCTATACATGGAAAATGATGCCTACTTCAATTTCTCATATTGGACCAGAAAGCGGAGCTCTTGCCTGAAGAGGAGCGTAAGATGCTCAAAGGTTCATACAGCCATCGGGACTTTATGGCAGAAGTTGGAAACGGAAGCATCATGTGAGTTACGATTCAGTTCGCATCAAATGTACCGATACTAATTGCTTAATAATAGCCATCCGGCCGACATGTCAGAAGAACAATGGAACTCGGTGGTAGAGACCAATTCTTTGCTCCATGGGAACACAATTTTCCGAGAAGCATATACTCTTCCCATCACGGTGGAGAGAGCCATGTACCCGGGTAAGTGATGACTGAGAAATGTAAAACATAAGTAGAGCAAGGCTAAATGCAAGCAGCCTTTCGACTCAAACCTCGAGCCATTTTCGACTTCACTGAAGACGGTCCCAAAAACAGGACTGGGAAGAAGGGGAGTAACGGAACAGTAAGTGGCGCATGGATATAAAGCGACTTCACTTACCAAGCCTGTAGACTGAAGAGTACCGAATCCCTCGATTCATTGTTACAGATGACGCGTATGTCGAAGTGTCTGAGCACAAGACATCGGTCATGACGGCTATGGCTGAGAGTTCTCTGTCCAAGAACTCATCCGAGGTTGCCATGTATGTTATCGAACCCAGGTTTCGTTAGTATACGAATCACTAACCTAAGCAGAGGGGGTGGTGCTTTTGGATGGAGTGGAGGTGTCACCGGTGGTCACGAATACGAGAGCAGCGAGCGCAACCAGATACGAAGGGATGAAGAGGCCAACCACATGATTATCACCTACAACGTGAGTCCAATGTTTCGACATCCTTCTTAGATATACGGTTAGCTAATCCAGATGTACAGTTCCCGCGCGTCACTCTTAGTCTCGACTATGATAACCTAGAGCTGACTCAGGAATGCAAGAATGATCTTGCAACTGTGAAAACTCGTGAGGACGCCGGGAGGTTTAAGAGAAAGTTTGGTATGTCATTGGAATATGAGATCTTCTAGCTGTCTCGTTACTAATGCAGTTTCACTGTACCAGGATGTTTCTTTTCCACCAAAGTACAGTTGGGTGGTCGTCTGCACTCGACCCAAGAATCCACGGCTGTAACGGGCAGCACAGTTGGAGAAAAGTCGAAAAGGCTCAAGGTTACGGCCGCAGCGACTTTCGCTGGGCCGGCCGCTGAAGGTATTGTCAAGGGAGGCTATGGAGAAGACAGTACGCAGCAAGATAGGTCTTCAACTTCTACATACGACAGTCATATGGCTTGGGAAGCCAAAGGAGGCGACACTCTTCTCTGCAATAAGTATGTTGAGGTTGACTCTCTGAATGCTTAAAAAGATACTGACATGACTACTAGTCCTCCTGCTTGGTGCAGTACCGTTTCATCATACTACAATTGGCGTGTAGTCAAGGTATAGAGACGCACCTGGGGCTTATGTACACATGCTAATACTGCACAGCAAGATAATGTAATATCAATTGAAGACATTATTTCCCAGGTCGCGAAAGATCAGAAGCATGTCTTTGAAAATTTGAAGAGATTCGAAGAACGCGCATCAAGTAATTCAGTGGATATCTGCTTTTATCACAAAGAAACCTCAAGGTATCTGGGATTCAACACTGATGCTGACTCTGTCCGTAAGTGTTACATCGTCTGTCACGTATTGTCAAGGCATAACCAAATATTGATATGCGACTTTAGCCGGTATCATTTTCGCAGATCTTTTCAAGAGAGGAGATATTCCAGCCCCGGACTTCCTCGTCAACTTGAAAGATAACCCAGAATATTGTAAGATGGTTTATGCGCAAATGTTGGGAAGAGGCAGCAGAAAGACACTTTCTTTGGGTAGCGTGCAAAACAATGATGCGCAGGTGTTCCAGCTCTCTGGGAAAGTGGTACAATGTGAAAATCAACGTCTCCGAGTAAGTCTCCCCCTCTCTCATATGTACACCTAGATAAATGCCTTATTCCCTGACTAACAAAACCTCTCAGCTCATGAAGCAGGAGGATTACAATGTGTGGAAGGCTGATGTCAACTGCCCAGTTGGCTACGTCCCTGGCACCGAAAAGTACAAGAGGACCCAGCTGCAAGAATGTTACAAGGTCAAGAATGAAGAAGAGGTACGCTTCCGCTGTATGCCCGTAACTGACCAGACTGCACAAGGTCTTGGACAAGAGGTAAAAGTGGTGATTGAGGTCTACTCGGGGACAGAGTTTTTGGGACATATCCGAGAGGCAGATGGGCACAAGGGGGCAGTGGTGGTAGATCGCGGTCCCAAGGACAAGTTCCAGGACAAAGGCGACATCAAAACCAGTGAACCATTGCAATTCACTTTGCGATACCAGCCGTACGAGGACAATGCGGTATAGGAGCCCCACGGACGATCTGAGCCATTATGAGGGGTTCGCTTCATTTACATGCTAGTGTGTATTTATACGTCATACAACATGTGCAGCCTTCTATCATCACTTCTTTATCACGATTTGAAAGATTACCCACACTACGCCAATAATTAGTATGAATAATGACCTTTTGAAATGACATTGGCATAGTGGACCGCATGAATGGAGTTGAGCTGAAGGTGACGGGCAATAAACCCTGGTGATGTACACTCTATACGTTGCAGCACTAAGAACCCTGGTTCTTCATCCAATACTAGCGCCAGAATGACAACTGTGGCCATTAAAAAGGTATAGCTTATGATAATTGGTAACCTTCCACCTGATTGATGAGCGCAGAGTAGGCAAGGCTTTCCCTGTCATTAAGGTTTCTCATTTCAGATATCAAAGCGCAGAAGAAGTTGATCATCTGTTGTATATAGTGGAGGGCTTGTCAAATAAGGCACAGCATGACAGGCTCAGAGTAAACGGCCTCATTTGACCCGCTGTTACTGACATTTGACAAGTCTATGCACTAACTAAATTAGTTTAATGCCAAGTGCCCGTAGCAATGGCCATCTTGACCGGTCAGTCGGTGTGTGGAAGAGTGACAAAAGGTGGACAACTTCAATAATTTTGGAGCAGAAATATCGGGAGAAATTCTTTGCGTTGTATGATTGGGAATTAAGCATATTGCCCTGGAATTGATCTATGTCGCCATCACGATGAATCAGTTGCTCACAAGGAATATTTCGACACGCGTCGGAAACCCCGGAAAACTATTACAAGGAATCCCATGTCATTCCGCACATGCTGTTAGACTGTAGTGGGTACGTGATGCAGGGGTAACATGTGTCAAATTCCGCAATGGATTCATATGTTTCGCCACAACGGAATTGGAGACACAGTTTCATGTGAAGATCAGTTTGATCTTTGTGACTACCAAAAAGGATTGGCCATTGATTCAGGTACCGGTTTCAATATATGTAGGGCTGTAACAAAAATCCAAGCTTGACACTACAAAGGTCACAACCCAAAACTCTGCCTAATGTCACATCAACTCTCTTACTCATTTCGTCTATTGTGCGTCTTACAGTAGTCACATCTGTAACCGTATTCTGATCCATCTATCCATTCAGAAACCATTCCCCACCTACCACGAGGCATATTGTGATCGACAACAATCAACGACTGCAAAAACCGCTTGGAGCACAGACTGCGGCGTTGCCCAAAGAGCACCTGGCAGATGAGATCCATGCTTGATTGGGTTATGTCCAAACGAACGAGTCTTGATCGAGCAGGGATCAGCAGGTCCCAAGACGAGTTCGCATCATCAACGATCGGCAGTAACAATAACGAAGGCGGAGAAAATTACTCAGAAATGGGTAATGGCCCGTCAAATTGCCCGTCAAATTGCCCGTCAGGGTTGATCGACGTCCGGTGGATGGATGCAGCTCGACTACACCGAGCGTACGATGTTACAGTAGTGTCACCACGATAGGGTCGATCTCTGCCCCAGGGCTTGGGTCTCGGTTCTGTCTCATCTCAGTACAATACCCCTCACTTCCCCAGGTCCCTGTTCAGCACTGGTTCAAGAGGTATCTATCTCACTCGTCGTCGAAGGACGGCTTTCACTCACAGACGACATGTATCTCCGCTGGAACGATCACAAACCCAGAAGCATGGAGAGCACAACGGATGCATCGCGCTCCCTCGAAATCCAAGCGGTTCTCATAACTTTCTCTCTATTATCTGCCACAACCGTCGCCTTACGGACTTATATACGAACGAAAGTGCTTAATTCATTTGGCTTGGACGATGGCTTGATGGTGGTGGCACAGGTGCTAGCTACCGGCTCCGCTGTGGCCATTGGTCTTGGTGAGTAGTCCGAATGTTTCCAAAAGGCCAACTGCTGACTTCTGTTAAGAGAACAAATATGGACTAGGATATCACACATGGGAGCAACCGAAAAGCGCATATGTGCCCTACATGAAGGTTCGTTATTGTTTGCTACACTATATCACACGAATGCTAACATGATTGCTAGTCCTTCTACGCGTCTATTGTCATTTACAACATCGCAATGTGTCTTGTCAAGATTGGAATATTACTTCAATACCGACGCGTCTTCGCTATCCAAGCCATACAACTCATTACGTTCTATGGAACGGCTCTGATGATTGCTTGGACGGTTGTCATTGCCTTTCTCAACATTCTCATTTGTGTTCCTGTCGCCAAGTTCTGGGACCATGAACTACCCGGACGATGCCTTGATCCACTTTTGATATGGTATATCATGGCTGGGTTCAATCTAGCAACAGACATTACCATATTCTGCCTGCCTTTGCCGGTCATCAAGAGTCTCAACCTCCCGAGGAAGCAGAAGATGATGCTCTTTGCCATCTTTAGCCTTGGGTTCTTGTGAGTTGTTGACGATACCAACTGTTAATTGACATATACTAACGATAATAGCACATGCTTCATCTCGATTTACCGCATCCAAACACTCAGAACTGCTGCTTCCACAAAAGATCCCAACTGGGATAACGTGGATGCTGCCATATGGTCATTCCTTGAAATCGCAATTGCGATCACAGCTGCCTGCCTACCGACTCTGCGACCCTTAGTCTCCAAGCTCCTGCCCCGGATGTTTGCTTCCTCCTTAGGTAGAAGTAACCGTGCCTCCCGCTACACTCAGCCACGCAACAGTCTATATGTTGGAAACGTTCCTCGAACAAGAACGGAACGGCGCAGCAATATGTTTGACGACACAAGCACTCTGCACGATGACAACATCCCGATGCCCACCCATGATAAAGCTCTACACTCTCCACATAGCGCCAATTTCAGTGTGAGTATAAGGGCTGGCAACGAAAGGGCTGGCAGCGAGGACACTGTTCCCATATACGAGGGGGCAGGAATCTCAGCCAAAACTGTCATTACACAACAAGTTGTGGAGGAGGAGGAGGGTTGGGACAGCAGTAGGCCAAGCAGCAGTAACAAATCTTTCTGATTGCACTCCAAGTTTATTTGTTCACCCTATACCCCTTCAATGTATGCCTGGAACAGGCTCATATAGTTTTAATAGTCATGTTATGAGTTATGGAAGAATGCTCTCAAGCCATCTCAACTTCATCTATGTAGTGAAACGTCTCCTGGTGAATGATTAGGTATGGATTGGCTTTCGGCCGTAAAGCAAATGCCTGCAAGGTATCAATTAAGCGTTTTGTCCAGAATAAGAGGCTAAGCAGACTTACATATCGCAACTTCCAAGATGCTTCGGATTACGAATGATAGCCCGCATCTTTGCCACAAGAACATCGACCTCTTCGCGACTCCAGCCGAGGATCTGGCCGATGGGATACAGCGCAAAGCCATCCAGACTTAAATCCATGTACAGACCAACAAATTGCCCTTGTCTCTTACGTCGAGCATCCTTCGGCCAATCACCTAGCGGGATGGTGTGTATTTTGTGAACAATATCCTCAAAACCTGCTTCCCGAGCAGAGTCTTGCATGAGTCCGTTCGTGATATTGAACGTGCGCCCAACCCTGTCGCCGGCATCGTAGAATAGTTGAGCCCACTGTCTAAAGGTTCTAGACCGAAGTTAGTTCTAGAATCGCGAGAAGATAGAATCTCTTACTCGTTCCCAGCGACCGAACCTAGGTTTTCGCATTTGAGATGGATGTCGGGTTCGATGTGCTGGAACCAGCCACCAGGTTTCAAAGCCTTGAACATTTGACCATATAATCTCTGCCAATCGTCAAAGGCACCATGCATGTAGCGGATATGGATAAAGTCAAAAGAATCCGGCTCAAAAGTCCAGTCAAGCTGCGCATCGTCGATCTGGAACTTGACATTTGGTGGAATCCAGGATGGTTGGGTGGGCGATATGTCAATGCCGATGACCTCTGCTGAGGGAAACTTATCTGCCATGTCACTGAGGTAGAGTCAGTATATAACTGCGATAAATGTGACTTACTGACATTGCCCAAATATCAGTACCTGTTCCGATGTCGAGGATTCGCTGAAAGGTTAGCTAGGCATCTTGTTGATTGGGAGTACACTTGCCTGGGGGTTCTCCCCAATCGGTGGGACGTAAAGCTTGTCGTCGAGCATTATGGTAAGCCATTCATGTCTCAGTGCCTGTCAGTTCGTATCGTAAGAGAGCCGACTTTGTGGTACTCACGCTACGTCGAAAGCCTCAACATGCTTGTCGTCATTTGGGGCCCTGTGTCAAGATGAGCATCGTCGCGTGACATTACAATCAGCATCTGAAATACCAATAATCAGTCGTATGAGAGTTCTGATACGTCCGTCCTTGAATCCTTCGATACTCGTAGATGCTTGATGTGACAGACGCTGTTGAGGAGTGGGCGCTTTATATCCGTGCCATTAGTTGTGCGCAAAGGCAGGATCGTCACTCTTTACCTTTCTACGTCGGATATGGAATCATCATCTGCGCCCGCAACTTCCGGACCCTAGGATTCTAAGCACTGCTATTGTTGAGTCGCTTTCAAGCTACGTACAATGGCGATACCTTGGCGGATCTGCTCGTCGTCGGACATACTTTTCGATAGCATGGTATAGAATGATGCTTCTACCACGAGACTACGCTGTGAAAGGACAACGTTTGGTTTCCCAGTTTCCACCGGAAAAGGTAAAAATCCCTCAGACAAGTTATTGTCAAGCTTGGCCGCTTATGCTACGTAATGTTGGCGGCTGACATGTCTTTGTTTGTTCATTCAACACTTGAACCGTAGCCAATGAGGTCTGGCCTGTGCACTTATCAGCGTTCATGTTTATGAGCGACAGCCCCAAGTTCTTGACAAGGTCATTGGGCCTGGCAGTGAGATACGTTTCATGTTCTGTATAGAGGGAGCGGTCTTGGCTAAAGCCCCAGGAAGAAACGACTTGGCTCACCGATTTGCCAGAAGAGCTGATGCCATCGTTAAACCCGGTTATTGCCTAATCTCCGCGAACCTTCGGGCCGGTAGTTGACGATTGGGGTGAGATTGTCGAAGGCTGACCGGATGAGCTTGGCATCCTTGTTAGCATCGGAACACTTCGATGCCGACAGTAGCGTGTATCAGAATAAGCTGCACACTTTACCGGGTAGCGTTGATCCGAAGAACTGGTTCATTCATGATTGGCTGCTATTCCAGATATCTCTTTTTTGTGCATATCAGCCGCACCATCTGCATGGATACTGGCACGATAATATCATCAAATTCGTGTCTATTCACTATTAGTCCATGATTTACTGGCGCTTAGTACGATTCAACCTCTATGGATATGTTCCACCTGGCCTTGTTCGTGGGATCCCTGCTAGACTTTGAAGTAGCCTCTCCACAGACGTGCTAGCTTCCCTTCAGGATCCCACTCATCAACCACCTTCTTCAGCCTCTGTTGACTCTCCTCGCTGTAGTGCTTTTGCACCTGCTGTTTGCTTCCTGCGTAATTCATGTAGACAAACCCATTGTTCAGACCACGGTCCGCTGCCATGGTTTCAACTGTGCTGATGAACTCCTGTGAACTATCCTCCACCAGCTTGTCCAGTTGAGGATCCTCCCAAGTCGTAGAAATCTGTACAATCATCAAGGGTCCCTCCTTTGGGCCAAGACCAAACGTGTTGCCACCATTCTTTTGCATTGCTTGGAGAATGTTAACCGACAAAGGTTGGAAAACCAAGAAAGGAACGACGCTGCTTCCGTTGGCGGCCTCAAGGAGCTTAGCATTGCGGGCCTCAAAAAGAGGTACAAGATCTGTGAAGAATGATGCGGATTTGGCCGATACTGTGATATCCCACCAAGTCTGTCGCGAACCGTAGGGAACGTCGATAAGTTTGGAGTGCGTAGAGATGTTGGCTACAACCGTCTCATTCGAGACAGCCCCAGGAATATCCGTGAGCGAGGAGAAGACTGGAGGTATACTTTTCGCTGGCGAGGGAATCGTGGAGTGATAAAGACTTGTGAGCGCAATATATCCTTCAAAGAGCGGCTGATAGGTCAGGACGAAAAAGCTGTGCGCATTTTGATCTTCTGGCAGACCATTCTCAGTCAAGTTCTGGAAATGTGGTATGATTGTCGTGTTGAGAGCGCCTGGGTGAATGAGTGAAGTTGACCACAAATCGCCCTGTTCAAAGGAAGCCAAGTCAAAGCGTGTCACGATGCCAAAGTTGGAACCACCACCGCCTCGTAGTGCCCAGTAAAGATCGGTGTTGGTATCTGGCGATGCGTTGACGATATCACCGGATGCGATAACAACTTCATAGTTGCGCACGTTATCGCAAGCCCAGCCTTTGGAGCCTGAAAAGTACGAAATACCACCACCGAGAATGAGTCCGCCTACACCGACATTCGCCACACGCCCGCCTACTACAGCGAGTTTGAGCGGATCAAGAGCCTCAGAGACGTTGATCCATCGGTTTCCAGGTCCGATAGAAACAGTTTCGCGGTCTTTAGAAACGGTGATGTTGTTGAGATGCTGAAGATCGATTGTGACACCACCGGCGACATTAGAGCCACCTGCGAAGGCAGTATGGCCGCCGCTCTTGACGGAGAAGGGCGCATCCAGAGAAGTGAGAATCTTCATCATCTTTGAGACATCTTTCGTGGTTCGGGGAGAGACGAAGCAATCAGGATAAACTTCTGCTTGGCGATGGGACCAGTAATTATTGGCTAGGATGTAAGATGTCGTGTTGGAGTAAGCGACGTCGGAAGGAAATTGTTCTGCGATGGCAGCGCACTACATAATGTTAGATGTAATACGAAGGGGAGGGACGGGTGTGGTACCGCATCGTCGGAGCCATTGAGAGCATAGCTTGTGGCAGTCGACAGCCCAGCAAGAGCAGGGATGAAGATGAGCTGTGGCACTCTCATCTTGGGCACAGATAAATGCAAGAGGCTTGGACTTGCATTTGCTAGTAAAGTACAGAAATAAGTAATAAATGCAAGAGTCAAAGTTGTAAAGAGAGAGTGATGATGATGATGGGGGAGGAGGAGGAGAAAAGGCGGACGCCATTTATAAATGAGACGCTAGACATTAGCACTAGCAGCGAATTGTAGTGGGATTGGCAGAAGAAGCAAAAAGACGAAAGCTAATAATATCGGTAGTCATGGATCTACGCTGTAATAATTTGGACTAGACTAGTCATCATAGCGTTCGATTCACTGTTAATCGCTGACAGGAACAAACCAATTAGACATCTTGGTTCAAATCTAGCAACTTTCGTCAGAGGTACATCGCCCATTATTCTCATTCAGGTGAATAAAACCGTCTTTTCTTCACTTGGTGAGTGGGCTTCAACTAGTGAGTCTGACAAGTCTCGCATGTGCAGTTCATTCCCTGTAGAATTGATCCTACACATTTGAGGATCCAATCGCATGTCTCGATTTTGCTGCAGAAAAACGGCGTAGAACGATTGAAACCCGAAATGGAAAGGTCGATATATATTTCACCAGATATTTGTTCCATCAACATCTTGGCATCAAACACTTGCTCCGTATCTTACTCAGTACTTGATCTTGGATAAGGAAAGAACCGAATCGATCGGGATTTGCCGGAAGGGTTGTCGGTCCTTTCTTCAGTGTTGGCCTTTATCGACCAAACGCGTGACGATCAAGATGAACGAAAGATAACTAACAAGCAGTAGACGAACGTAGCACGTTAGGAGTTCAAGTTTCCAAATGATGTATTGAATGAGAGGTATAAGACTACGCGTCGGGGCTCTCAGGCTTTCTCGCATAAATACAGCAACTAGACAGGTTAGCACAAGCAATCAACCCCCCATAATCATACTTACATTGGGTTATAAGCGTGGATCTGACGGTTGTTCAAGTCCTTTCTCACTTCCACAAGAAACATCTCCACCTCCTCCCTCGACCAGCCATGCGCCCTGGAAAACGGTGCCAAGGTCAATGACTCAATCGCATCCATCGAATTCGCATTGTTCCACGTTCCCAACTCTTTATACTTCTTATCCTTGGGCCAAGGGTTGAGGGGCCATTTGAACCGCGTGTCCACGATATCGACGAACCCAGCTTTTTCCATCATGTCCTTGATCCCGTCAAACTCAATTGCAGCGCCGCCGAGTTTGATAAAGGCTTCGCTGAGAAGCGTGAACCATTTTGTGAGAGCATGTGTCTTTGTGAGGGTACCGTCGTCGGAGAGGATGCTGCCACTGACTTCTTGGATCTCGATGTAGCCACCTGGCGCAAGGGCTCTGTTATTTGTTAGAGAGATGCAATGCGGAGTCTTGAGACGGTGAGTTACTTGAAGATTTTGCGGATGTATTCCTCCCAGTCCTTTATACTGAAGGTCATCATTCGGCTGTGGATATAATCGAATGGCTCGGCATAGGCCCATTCCTCATCAATATCATCGATGATGAACCGGACATTCGGTGGGACGCTTTGGGTCTGTTAGTTGGTTGTCTAGACCTAATATCCGCGCGACTTACAATTCTGGCTGAATTGGAGACAAATCAATCCCAACAATCTGGAAGTTCAGTATATACTTCCACACAAACAATACGTCGGCACTTACCTCCGCTTCGTGATGCTCATCCGCAAAATTAATCGCCCAGATTCCTGTTCCGGTACCAAGATCAAGGACACGCTTAACATTCGAGTCAGCCTTATTCGGTGGTGCTAAGCCAAGTTTGTCGCCGAAGGTGAGTAGGAAGAGGTGATGCTGAAGGTCTGTCTTGGATCAGTGGGCCATCTCGTGCTGTCAGGTGATATGTATGTCCGTACCAAGTCGCTCGTTTTCAACTGCGTCGTTGGGAAGATGATATTCTTTGGGAACAATTTAGTGTACTGTATCTTGGTGAAGTGACAGGTGAAACCCACTCCCTTCCTTATATCGATGGTATGTTCGTCCGTTCTCTTCTCGGTAGCTTAGGATGGAACTGGAGACACTTTGAGTTGACGATGCAACATCCTACATCCAGTCAGTCGTTTCACTCGTTGACATGGAAGATTTATGTCGCTCACACTTCCTCGTGTGGAGTCATCATCATCTGCAACCTGCAACAGGCTTAGCAATGGTTCATATGATAAACAACAATACAAACCTGTTCATCAGGACGCAGTACTGGATCTGCTTCGACAACGGCCATAATGTTGTATACTGTGAATAACTTGAAAAGAAGAGAAGAGGGTAGAGTAGGAAATAAGAAACATGATCGATTACGAACAGCAGATCATTATCTTTCATATGGTCACGTCATGAAACGTGTTTTCTTAGCGAACCAACGGGATACTTCCAAGACGCTGTTCATCCGTTGACAGGAACCAACATGCATATCGACACCCCAAAATAGGCCTGTGATCCGATGTTGGTGTGGGGTACAACTGCAAGAGTCGCGGGTAATATTGAGTACAGCAACAAACATTTGATACGAGATTTGAGTGTACATCCATCCATCTTCATTCAGGTACTACTTCTAATTGAGAACTCGGACATTTCAACAAACGTCCTCACTTGAGTAATGACTCTTTTGCTCTATCACAGGCCAAGTTCTTGCAGCCTTTACGATGCGTCGAGATCTTGGCTAAGAAACCCAAACGTCAACGGGCCGAGTTCCGAGCAAGGGTCACGACGGGGAAGGGTTCCGAACCTGTCACGGCTGTTACTTTGACACCTTGGCAAACTATCCCCTCACACGACATATCCGCTCCAATGCAGGTTTCTAACCAGTTACCACAAGGTGTTATGCAGTACAAACACAGAATAGCCATGAGTTAAGTTGAATGATAAAATGAAATGTACTCCGCGTTAATATCAATACTTGCTAAATAAGACAACCTATCGTCTGGCTCCTAAATCAATACTTCGCCTTCTAATCTTCTCAACTGGTCCAAACACGCTGTTAATTAACTCCTTCTTATTAATCTTTCCCATAGCATTTCTCGGCAACATCTCAACAATCTCCAAATCCTGAGGAATCTTGTACGCTGTGATTCTGGGCTTCAGAGCAGCTCGCAATTGTGGCAACGCCATCCTCTCCTCGCCCTTCTGTGATAGGACAACTACTGCCGCAACTTTCTGACCCCAGGATTCTGAAGGAAGTCCAACAACGGCGCACTCATCAATCTCGTCTAGAGACAGAATTTCTCGCTCCACTTCGAGGGCTGACACCTTTTCGCCACCTGTCTTGATGATATCTGCGCTTCGGCGGCCCTGGATGAAGTATGCTGGTCCTCGAGCCCAAGAGCCCGACTCGCCCTTGCCAGAACCTGGAACAGTTCGGCGAATGGCGATATCACCAGTCTTGAACCATCCATCGGTAGTAAACTCTTTGGCTGTGGCTTCAGGGTTGCGCCAGTAGCCGGTGAAGATGGTGGGTCCGCGCAGTTGGATCTCTCCGATACGTTCCTTTCCAGTAGCAGGATCGATCTCATCTCCTGGCTGAACGACAGTCTGAACACCAGTATCGTCGTCAGTCTCCATTAAACGCGCCTCAACGGAAGGAAGAGGCCAGCCAACAGAACCGTCTACGCGGTCAATATCGGCGAGACCACAAGACAAGGCCATCCCGACTTCTGTCATTCCATAACGTTCGAGAAGAATGTTGCCGTCGGAGAGTTGGATCCACCCATCGCGAATTGGCTTAGGTAGAGCAGCTGATCCAGAAAAGTTGAGGCGTAGGTTTCGAGGGGAGATAGCTTCTTTGCCCGCCTTTTGCATTTCTGGGGACAGTGACTCGTACGACTTAAGCATACGGGCCCAGATGGTTGGCACTGCGGTGAAGAATGAGATAGGGACCTGCGCCTTCTCGCCTGCTGCTGTCTGAAAGGGGGCTGTCAATCTCTTCCAGACCTTATCAACGTTGAACGGAAACATGAACTCAATGCTGCTTCCGGCTAAGATTGGTGTGAGAAGAGCATTGACTGTGCCGTGAATGTGGTGAAGAGGCAAAACGTGCAAAAGTCGGTCGCTAGGTGAATATCGCCACGCTTCCAAAAGACTAGATGCTTGGGCGGTGAGATTGGCCTGTGTAAGCACTACGCCCTTTGGTCTAGCAGTTGTTCCAGAAGTAAAGAGCATCATGCCGCCCTGCTGAGAATCCGAAAACTCTGCAAGCTCGATTTGCTTTTCTTCCGCGGTGGCATGGCCGGTTCCATCGAGTTGGTAGAATCGTGGTGGGTTTGCTAGGCCCTGGCTGATGACTTCCTTTGCTTTAGAGGCGTATTTGGAGGATGAGATAAGAACAAGAGCTTGACTGTTTTCGAGGATATATCGCAGCTCAGGTGCGGGGAAAGCTGGTGCCAGTGGTAGAGCAATAGCATTGGAGGCAAGAATAGCCAAAAGTGTGACTGTAATATGGTTAATCCTGATCAATTGCGGCATATGAAGGATTATACATACCGACGTATTCATAACCGCTTTCCACCATGAAAGCAATTCTTTCACCAGAGACATCCGTTCTGCCGACTTGGCTCAACAACTGTTCCTTAGCGTGGGCAATGCTCTTGAGCAGGGTACCGTAAGAAAAGGTTGCTCCTGTGTCATTCTCCAGTACTGCAAGTGAAGCCGGCTCATGCTTCTGAATAGCCTCAAGGAATGATGAGCGCTGAAGCGTGGTTGGGCTGTCGGATGATAGAAACGGCATTTTGGTGTTTGGTTTGGTTCATTAGATGTCTTTTGGTTATTGAAGGTCACAGGTCTTAATAGATTGATGATATATATATAAACAAATCATGCATGCATGGGTCTGATGAAGAAACTGCAGACGCGTATCTTATGAGGCTGAATAGAGATGGTTCGGCATTAGATTTACATGCCGAGTACGGGGTCTAGGGGCAAATTGCGGGGACATCGGGAAGACGGGGACGACGGGGAGTTAAGGCTAACGAGAGAAAAGGCGATCAAGTTCTTGATTTGGCAAATCTGTTGGGGAGTTATGCTCAACAAACCGATATCCCATTGACAGATATCTTGATGACTATAGAATATAATCTTGAGTTGCTTTGTTGCTGTTCTTGCCGAGGCTATTCTGGATCCGAGTATCTTATCTAATCTCTTATCCATCCACCCGATTACAACCCGATTGGATGACATGCTTTCGTACAGAGACGAAATGAATGAATCAGTTAATGCCGATTTAAAGCGAGTTGCTGAGTTCTTCATTTCTTCATCCTTAACCGTCGACTTTTGCGTCAATATCAGGCAGGGAGATAGGTGCTCTATTTTCTATTCATTTGACTGGTATCCATTTGCTATAATTGATCTTTATCATCAACGGTAATCTTACCTCTTACTTAGGCCGCTCCGGCAAATGAAAGATCACTAGCAGGGGCTGCACTAAACCACAAAATACCCTTATCTTCTATCTCACGACACTGAGGCTTGATCCCGCGGGTACTGACTTGTGGTCCGCTCATTAAAGTGAGCCCACTCCTCCTCATACTACGTTGAGCCTTTTCAGCGCAGTGGGTTTCAATTCTAGAGATACGAAAATAAACAGCCGAAGACATCTGATCTAAGTAGCACAAACTGACCTCCTAATTCTGTATCTCCTGGTGGACAATTTTTCTCATCCTGATGCCAGCCCTCCCAACGGATCCATACACCTTCAATCTCAACATATCGGTAAAACGTTCGACTTGGATCAAACTCGGCCTGGAAAAGGCTACATATGGCTGCTAGACCTGACAAGTCACTACAAATGGTATTCGGTGGTCTTCAGGATGCATTATATCAATGGACATGACGGATGGCTTCAATCGTTCGCGCCAGCTGCCATCTGTTGACAAGCACGTGCGACCTACCACAGGTTTCGATAAACAAAAGACTGGCAATTAAGATGTCAATTAGCAAACATGACTTTGTGTATTTGCCCTCATAATTATATGTTGCTCTAACGGAGCAAACCATTCACCCTGCTCTGATCAAGGGTAGTGATCACCGTGTCCTCCCCTCATTTTGTACATGTTCTTCGTCTCGTGCATAACTGTGCTCTTCGGTTCGTTCTCGTTATCCTCTTGTCAATCACTCAGCACCCTCCCAACTGCACAGAAATATGTCAGTAAAAGATCATTCGTTCCATTCAGGAGGCTCACCTGGCTATCATGATATGGTGAAGGAGTTGGAACTCTTTGTCGAGGCGCTCCTCAAGAAACGCAAAAGAATCGTCAATTTTCTTGCAGAGTCTCTCCTCGAGTCTGTCTCGGCCGGGCTTCTTGTCGTCAGTCATAGCGGTGGCTTTGGATGTCTCGCTCTCTCCACTACTATTCTTGTCGGTTTGGTCGGCTTTTGCAGGAGGATGTTGGACCCCGAGGGGAGGGAAGCCAAAGGGGCCAGTTTTGGGACTAGGTTCTTGCTGCTTCTTGATCTGGTACATAGCGTAAGTCTTGAACTTCTTTTCGAACTCTGGGTCATCGGGGCGAGGATACGGCGGCTCATGAGCGTCAGACATGATGGGTATAATGGAGGAGTTGATGACCAGTGTGAGTTGCAATGTGTTTGGCGTTGTTGGATGAAAGTGAGAGAAGGAAAAGAGAGGAGACTAAAACATCGGAACAAAGGTTTACCACCAAGCTGGACTTTCCTATTCAAGGAAGTGTTACCATGTTTTGAAAAGGAAGGAGGATCGCGGATTCATGAGTGGGAGTATGCCACTCTTTCCGGGCAATTGTAGAGTGAAGTAGGCGCCTTTAAACACTTGCATTTCTTCTCTCATGTCCTTCGAAGGACCCCCGTTGATCGAGTTTGTCAATCATTCTTCCCCCCAACAGGACCACCTTTCGCCCATCTTGCCATATTTTCTTTATACATTCAATATCAGAACGATTACCAAAATAATCAAGCATGCGCTGGCCAAAATAAGCAAAATACTCGAGTGTATAGATCTAGCGGTCGTTCTTTTCCGTTTCTTTGTTGAAGTCTATTGGGATTATGCTTTACTGTAAACTTTTATTATCCTTCAGGCTTTCTCCGCATATCATATGGCGTATGACAATAATACGAATTATCTTGGTTATAGAGAGTCAATAAATTTGGCAGAAACCCAGTCGCACTTAATCTGCAAAATTAGCTCTGCCTATTTCCATTCTCAGCTTTGGTCTTACACTTTATTGACTCTCATAGGTCTTGTCTGTGGGGTTTTTTTTTCTTCGCGATATTCAAAGTCTAATACTGAGTTTTTCTTCACACTGCAGCATTTGACCGCCTATGAATACTTCGTCCTTTACCTCCTTCATCATTCTTCACAGCTTATCCTTTACCAAATTCTTCTTCGTCCAACAGCACTCTTCTACAGACACAGTGCCATCAAAACACTTCCACCCTTTCCTTCGCCTGCCTTCTAAGGTCAGGGAGCTCATCTGGAAAAAATGCGCTGTTGACCGGAAGAGACATCGCTGGGAAATATATGAGTTTGACCCGTTGATGCGCGACAAGGCTCTTTGCATTCCCGAAGCAGTATTGGATGAAATGTGGGCATACCGTGCCAACAAGGGGTTATGGCAAGCATGCTTTGAGTCAAGACGTGTCATGCAGAAACATGAACAACAACAGAACCGTCTCGCTGAGACACAAGGGTTGGAAACGCAGCCGGCATGGTACAAAATGGAACGCCTCAAAGAAGCCGGCCGTTCGAGGTTGTCTGGACGCGCCCAGTTATTCGAGGACTAACCCAAGGAGTCTTCTATTACCTAATAAAAAAACATAAAAAAAACATCAACTTAAGTGAACTTTGCCTACTATAATTTCCAGATGCAGACTCGGCCATTATGGATAGAAACCGCTACCAGACTTTTATAGTATCGAAAGGTAACGCGTTCAAGGTAATGATAATGAGGCGCGAGGTGGATGTGGCTGTGGTGGCTTAAGAGACCCACGTAACTTCCATTGTCAAATCAAATGTCGTGTTTCCTTGTGACGGCATCTTTAACACAACACTAGACCAAAAATAAGATCGACCCAACAACGACTTTTAGACTCGATATCGACACACAATGCGACGACCAGCAAAGCCCACTTTGTCTTCAAGATCGATATGACTTCTGATGACCTCTCCAAGCTTACTTCAAAGTTATCTCATAACCCTGACAAGAGGCTGGCTACTCTGAGGCGCATTCGCGATATCGTCTTGAGTCAACAGGAAAAACACGAAAGTCAACAAGCACAAAACACCGCTCAATGGCTTCGCTTCCACAACTTTTTCCATCGTGAAAGTGAGCTCTATCGAGAAAAGGTCGCCTCCCTCATTACCACTGGCTGTGCCGAGACAGAAGATGACCAAGCATGGGCAAATTTCCTGTGTCTAGCCGTCGACGTCACGTCTCTGCGTGCCCTCTATGATACGAACTGGACTCGCGAAGTTATTCGTGAAACAGACGCGTGGTTACGCGACAATCCCGTCATGAAGACGCATAGATACATTTCTTCGCGTGATACCCTCTTGATTCTTCAAAGCGCGACCCCTCCAAGTCAACAAGAGGCAATCTTTTGTTCTGCCGATGAAGCAGGCAGGCTGGTTGACTCGGACACAATCTTGGTGGTAAGAGATCAGCAAACGTTTCCATGGGGAGGTCGACCTATCGATGCACTCTTCAAGAAGCATCTATCCAAGTGGCCAGAGCACAAAAAGATACACGTTACCATCCTAGATCTACCAGTAAATGGGCCCATTACACGTCGCAAAACCATCCGCGAGGTGACGCAAAAGATGATCCACGGAAATCCTGCAAATCAACGCTGGAATATTCTAGACCTCAAAAGTCCTGACAATATCCCTCATCCGGAATTTCTGAACAGACAACAACAAAATTGTTCGCTCCTTCATTGTTTTCCCCTCCACAATACAAGCCTGGTTACGAAAAACACATTGAAATTTTTGTTAATAAGTGAAGGTGGTAACCACACTGGGATGCATGTTGATACCCATGGCTTGGCAACCTTTATTACTGTACAACAAGGCGAAATCGGTTTCGGCTGGATCGCTCACGAGACACCCCAAGATCGTCTCGACATCCACAAAGATAAAATTCCCGATTCTCTGAAACGAAAAGCTCGCTTCATAGTTCTCAGGCCAGGAGAAACAGTCTATATGCCCTCGGGTACGATACACTTCATCTTTCGCCGACAGGCCGTCCCCACCATGGCAACAGGTGGACATATTCTCACATGGAAGAGCATTCCGAAATGGCTGTCAATCATGAAGATGCAAGAACTGAGCCAGGAGCCTGTTGAAGCAGATGTTACAAAAGAATCTACTCGGGCTTATCTCAATTGTTTGAAGCAAATTCTAAAGGAAGACAAGGCCGCTCAGTCCTCAAATATACCCAGACCAGAGCAACTACAGGAGAATTCGGCTGAAGAAAAGGATGCTGCAAAGAGAGATATGGGTGTGGCCTGGTCAATAATAAAGGTATGTTGAAGCAGTGACTATATAGGGTTGCACTAACGACCTTAGAATTGGGATAACATTACAAAGGAAGACTTATTAGATAAAGAGAAGAATTTTGGCGTTTAATTTTGAGACATTCATTGATATGATAAGATGGACAATGTAAGATATGTATAAATAGTCCAACATTAGTTGCAAGGCGTCTTGAAAGCGATACACCTGTGAATTTAGGCACTTTGACAAAGTGTGCATCTACTGATAATAAAATCGTCAATATTGCCCGCTCGAAAAATTGGCCTTAATAAACAATGTTTCCAGTTCTGGTCACATACTATCAAGGTTAACAAACAAAGACAGGTCAGGTCACATGAAAGGCCAAATACCTTTGGCTTCTGCCTTGTGCTGCTAAATCGCGCCTTTGTTACAAACTAACATGCCAGTGTCACTAAGAAACACGTAGCTTTTGATAGAACAAAGCTTGAAAGGAGCATGCAGTCTCTATGCATAAAAATGCACTTGGTAACGCTCTAAATTCCACTTCATTCTTCAGAATAAAACAATCAACAGCAGAGACACAAAATCTACGAAAATGGTGCCAAACACAGGACTGCATGAGCCTTCAGCTACCGACTGGACTGAAGCGGAAAAGGCAGAATTGGTAGAGTATTACAAATTTTGTATCGAGCAACGAGACAACTGTATCGAGAGCTTGGAAGCAATCTGTCAGGAGCAGGAGGATTTAGAAGTACTGCATCGGAAGCAGAAGGATTCAGAGGAAAAGGATGGAGATTCAGATGATGACCACGATAAAGATGTGCAAGTTCAGTACGATGATCTCGTTCGCAAAGCTATTGATCAGGTAACTCTCATGGAGGGTTACCTTGACATCTTGATTTTCATCGAAGCTGAGATGGAGGCGAGTGATCTGTCTATTCCTTAGATTAAATAAACTCTATCAAAGGACACTTGAGTAAATACCCATGAAGCATAAAATTATTTTGGTTTGTGATTTATAACATGCATTATACAAATTTCAGATGCGAAATTTAGATTTAAACTCTTGTTTCTCGACTAAAAGTTAGACTCAATAAGCGCTTGAACTTTCTATTGAGTAAAATCCTGGCAGTCTATATAAAGAGATCAGGAGACTACATCCATCTTCATTCACAAACTCCGAATCATTTTTTCTCTTTAGAGACGACTCTTTCGTACTCTCCAACTCGATCACACAAGTAGCTCGCCTCTACAACAAGGCTTACGGACAACGAAACAGAAAGATATTCGCCTGGAAAACAGTCAACTCTGTGAACAGACAACTCAAGATGTACCAACATCAAGGAAACTCCCAGTCCGGGCCGGTTCAGGTGAATCAACTCCGCAGTGGATATCAACTCATTACCGACTATGCGATAAGAGCAGCAAGAGAAAACAGCCGTAACTCTATGTCACTGGCCCGGGAGCAGGCACGAATGCTCAGGAAAGTGATCCGAGAAGCTGAAAAGCAAATGCTTGGAGCCGATAGTGCACGTATGGAGTGGTTAGATCTCCAGATGCAGACTATGGAGGATGAACTTTAAAGATGTCGAAGCATTGAAGCGACTCATAGGACCATGATGATCACCATGGAGGCTCTGATGTGGACGACATGCTCTCGACAAAGCTAGCACAATTTTGTCAATATTCTCGGGAGAATGGCGAAGAAGTCCGAACTTTGAAGCGCGGAAACACGCCATAACGCTATATCAGAGTAAAACCCGGCGTTCTGATTAAACCCATGGACAGATCGCGATCAATTGAGAAACTATTCGGAAATATCTCCAAAATGGGCGTCATCACTGGACCGACATCAAGATAGATCAGATGGGAAATGCAGACTGTTCACAAGGATCACGGCACCTATCCCGGCAAAGACTGCCTTTCAAGTAAGGTGTTGTCTTTACGTAGATCTTGTCTGTCTTGTTCAATTTTTACTGTTGAAATTTATTAATTACAACTTCTCATATCTTATCCAAGCACTATGTAACGCGCACTCTAAATGTGACATTCTGCCATGGCTTGCCATCACGGTTCATTCTTATTTATGCTGGACTTTGAAGACTTTCTCAACTTTCTCTCAGCTTCGTAAACACCCTTTGATGCCGTGATGCTTGTCTCTGTCCCGAATGCGTGGGCACTGTTTGGTATCTGTAACCTGCTTCCGTAAGGTGCGTCTTCCAATTCCACAACCGCAATCCTATCTGAATCGTCGGTAGCAATACCGTGTAGAATGTGTGTACTCTCTCCACTTCGGAGAGTAGGAACCCAACCGTTGACTTTTTTGAGGAGAGGCTTGAAAGTCGATAGACAAGAACACGCGATACCCGAGACAAGTTCCGCCAGGGACCATGAAGCTGCAGTAACATTCCACCATGTAAAGTCCTTTTCGGGTGTAAGCCATTGCAGTCGGAGGATGGAAATAGCTATTGTACTGGCAACGTTAGCTGGACGTGCACAACCAGGGTGGCAGAACTTACAAGAAACCCAGTCCGAAGATGCCAGAAAGCCACAATTTTTGTGACAAAGGCAGTTTCAATTTCCAGACAATGGGGAGAGGCATTACAATAATCGCAAAGTCGACAACAATGTGCATTATCCCATTGATATACCACATCAACGTCTGGTCTTTGAAACACCTTCCCTTGATTCTCGGATCCCAGAATGCTTCAAGTGGAATACAGAGCGTACAAATTCCCACTATCGTTATCGCACTCCATATCGAAAGAAATACTATAGAGCCTATGTAGACCCAACGCATACGTGAAACGTTCATGATGCGGAGATATTGTAGTAGGAATGTTATTTTGCAAAAGCTTAGGGATATTGTGTAGAATAGGACGGAAAGCCAGAAGCACTGGGTATAGTTAGAACCTGATGGAACCTCGAGGGGAAGTCTCTTACTCTGCCGTAAAGAACTATTTGATCAAGAGATAACGTCCAATCGTGTCGTCCAAGACCATGTCTCGTCACTAAAGCTGTTAGTGTGTGTCGCTTGTTCTGACGTGGCAGAACATACTGTCAGCAATCGAGGCACCGCAAGCTATTAAAAAGGCCTGTAAGTTGCATGTTAAATTCAAGCGTACCATGAAACATTTTTGTGATACTGACCAAAGCAAGTACGGCAGAGATATCGTCGAGTCCAGTTGAACGGATAAGTCTTCTGCAATAAAGTCGTCCAGCAACCAGCAAGGACCCTACAGCCATCAACGCCACCGAGACACCAAGCATAAGATCCGATCTTGTCTCATGAGACCTCGCAGCTTGCTCGGCTGTAATATTCATTGTGGAGACTGTATATGTACAGCTGTCGAGGCAAAGATAGACGAGTGAGAAGGAGCAAGTGAATCACAATACTGAAAACTCTGCACACAGATGATGTTGTGTACACCAAGGTGCCGATGATTTATCAGTCGTCAACGTAAAAAATTGAAACCTTATAATTAATTTCTGATAAGCCGGAAATAATGATCTTTTGGCTGATATTGAAGGCACCATTGGCTGGGATCTTCCGCTAGGCTGCCACAAGGTTCGATAGCTTAAAGTCACCCCGCCTTGAAAATGCCAGGCGAATATTGCTGTCAGCAAAATGCTTCAGATCAAGTAGAGAGAAGGTCAAGATTGATGTGATAATTTGGCAGGATCATAGCTGTTGATATCAATCTACTTGACTGCTGCTACTACATCTCATTACAGCAGCATTGCAACTCTAAATCCGAATACGGAACCGGAAATATGACATCTGGAATGCAGCACTAACTCGATGCAGTTGGATAACAAACTTGGCCGAACAGGAATGACATTCGTAAGGGATCAAATAGCGATGTGGATGTATCCGAAGTCCATATCGGCGAATTAGCTTCCGCAAAGCTTGATGTCTGAGGTGTTATGCCTTGACGGGAATCCAGGTACGCTGCAAACGGAAATTGGTGTCACACGAAACGGGCGGTTTCCCACAACCATGGTGTCTGAATCTCGTGTCCAGGCTCTCGGAACGGCCGTTGAGATTCGCATTCCTCTTGGCTTGACATAAAGGTTTGAGTTACTGCCGATCTTCAAGCGCTAACATTCCAAATCATGGGACTGGCCAATTTGCAAGAAGGTGCGGTTTTTTTAATGCGATCGTAGCCTTCCTCACACCTTGGTAGCCATCGCGAACTTCAGCGAGGATCTCGATAGTAAGCATAAAGCTAACCTTTACGACTACTCCCTTCTAGAGTAGACTTTGTTCTCGTGCCCCTCCTCACATGTCGGCTTCAATACTCCTCGTCGCATCTCCAAAGCACATTTAGTCCACATTCTAGGCCCTTCGATCAGAAATTCCCCTTCCCATTTCTTATATTGTCCAATGTATCCGTCCCAGTCTCCCTGCCTAAACTCGACATTCTGAAGCTTATCGCCAACCTTAAAGAGGTTGAGAATGTTGAACATGTCGAGTGAAGCCTCTTTTGTTAATGGAGGCTTCGCTGGGCGGAACTCCTCATTGTCAAGTTCAAAGTTTGATGTCTCGTCGTACATATTGAGATATATGGTCAGGTTGGCCAACTTGGGTAGGCTCTCAGCGACAGCTTTGAGGTGCTTCCATGGCCACACGCCATCAACCCGATCCAAGTCAATGGTCAAGTTTGTTAGTCCCGGAGCCCATTTGCCCAAACTTCGTATCTGTTCTACTGAAAAGCTCGACCACTTCAACTCTGTAGTTGTCCATTCTAGATGCTTGAGCGAAGATCCGTGATGCTTCAATACGGACTCAAGAACGTCATCTCTCACAGTTCCACTCTTGGTCCAAGTAAGGCTCTCCAGTCGTGGATGTACTGCTGTTATGAAATCTCGTGCCGGGAACAGCGTGGCCTCCGGATATCTGTTCCTGCGGAGCCGGTCATCCGCATGCTGGTATAAATAATCGTTATTGATGTCGAATCCGGTCATGTACTGTATCCATTCGCCCTGGATCTTTAGTGTCTTCAGCCTGGTGAGTGCGTGAGGAAGACTTTCGTAGAGGCCCTTTCCTCTTGGTATCCTATCATACTCGGCGATTGCCAATGTATGTACGTGGGAAAAGTCCATGGCTTCCAGCCAGCGCTGAATATTTTCCAGAGATCTTCTCTCAGCTGGAGTATGTCTCTGTGAATACCACATTTTGTGATGTCCTTGATACATGTGGACAAGTTGGTAATTTGGCCGCGGGAAGGAAGCTAGATGTTCCACGAAAGCTTGCAGACATTCCCATTGCCATCTAGCTTTGTAGTACATATCTACAGTCCACATGACGATTGGGTTGGTTGAAGAAGACACAGGCCATGTGCCATTCTCGCCCGTCCAGTGATCTCCTTTGGGCCTTATATGAGACCACTCATCATGATCGAAATTGTAGTCTGTGAGGGACAGAATCTGTGGCCTTGCGATGTATCGTTCACTGCCGTCGAGTTTGAAAGGTAGCCGGTCTTCACCATTGAAGTCTTTGGGAAATATGGTCGTCATATGTAACTCGGTAATGTTAGGGCATACTTGCAATGCTTCATGGACACGTCCGTAGGTGCTGTATGGAGATAACACAGCGTTGATTGAAGTTGGACAAGGGTCATCGGGGGTCCATTGCTTCGGTTTATCTCTGGCAGTTACTGGCAGCGAAAAAAGACCAACGGCACTAATGGCAATGATCAGTAACTTCATTTGTCTGTAAAATGTATTTTGCCGCCTCATCGTGAAAAATGGTGGTGAATGTCGGTCAGGACATTGTTTATCTGGTGGAACATAACAATGATATAAAAGCTGACGTGGGGAAGACAATACGACAAGCGAGACCAATGACACGTTGTCCCTTATCGTGCTGACTCACAAATTCACGACTGCCTGGAACATTAGATTAAGCATCTACAGGGTACAGGGTCTGATGATTCTAGTGGTGATCGCGTTCTAGTTATGCGAAATATCTAAATTTAGGGCTATTGCCTCAACATAATGATTTGACTGCAACCAAGCTATGCAATCCGTGACTAAAAGTCTTCCGGCTTTACCTTTTTAACTTTTCAAATTTGACCAGGCAAGTAGATTCCTTTCGCTCGTTAGCTCACTTGTTGGACTGTACCAATGATCACAAACATACCTTAACTTTAGGAAATCTCTCGTCATAGAAAGTCTCAACTCGTGCCGTAATCGCAGGGCTTGTTTCCTCAAAACCAGGTGCAATCGTAGTCTTGTACTCTCGGTACATAGCAGCACCCAGAACAGTCATCTCTGCCATAGCGAGGCTATTCATATCAATCAGTATTCGCTCTCATTTAACTTGCACGACACAAGGTGGGTATGACTTACTGCATGCCGATGCACATTCTTCCACCGGATGAAAATCCCCAGAACCATCGATTCAATTCACTCGCCTTCTCGCCAAGCCATCTCTCTGGGTTGAATACCAACGGATTCTCAAATACTTCCTCGTTACGATGCATGATCCAGGGTGACATTCCGACAACTGTATTCTTGGGGATAACATATCCATCAATTGTGGTATCGTCGCCTGTAGATCGAGGCTCTGTACTCGGCAGCGGTGCATACAATCGCAGTGTCTCCTTGATGACAGCTTGGAGATAAACGCATCGGTCAGCGACTTCTGCTTTGGGGATGCCCTGCTTATTTAGTGAGTCATCTGAGATGGCTTGGACTTCTTCGCGGAGTTTTTCTTGATATTTCTCGTTTCCGGGCAGAGATAGAGACCATACGAGGAACATGAGTGTGTCACTAGTTGTGTCAATTCCAGCAAGGAAGTGGTCAGCGCATTCAGATGCCATTTGCAGATCACGCATTCCGTCTGGTCGTTGAGTTTCGTGATACTGCCAGAGACGTTCGAGGATGGACACATGTTCATCTAAATTGTTATTAAGTTGACCTTTTTGGCAGGCTAGAGTTACGTACCTTCGGTGAATTCGACCTCCTGGGCATCAGCCTCAGCACGGAACTGCTTGAATGCAGAAAGCGCATATGCACGAATACCGGTATATGTTGTAGGTTGTTGCATGGGTAGAATAGGTTTGACCAGTGCTCCCATGAAACTCGATTGTCGATACAGCCACTGAGTGAACCCCTTCAAATGCACAATGCACCAACTGAGTCGTCGCCGGCTTGGGTGGAGGATATCTGAGATGAGATCACGATGAATCTTAGATCCCCTCACTGCAGCTGTGGCACCGTACTTGCCATACACGAAAGCTGTGATGTTGTCCAAACTGTAGTAGTGGAGAGTACTGAAGATCTCACTGACACCTTCTGGTTCTGCATCAATGAGATTCAAGTACCGCCAGGTTTGTCTCTCAATCATTCTCGCAGTTGCCGGTTTGAGGACTGCTGTCTTGGAGTAGGCATGACTCAAAAGCTTCTTCCTGTCACCATGATCCTTAGGTGAATGGAAAGTGAACAAATTCTGCTCGCCGTAGACGTCAAACATGCGGTAGAAGCTTGTTCTCCCAAACCGGCTTCCAGGACCATAGATTGTGCGCAGGGCAGAGAGGCTGTTGAAAGAGATCTCATTGGGAGCAATACGTACAACGGGGCCGTATTTCTTGTGCAGAGCATTAATGGTGCGAGTGCGAGTTCCTTTCCAGTCTTCGTAGGCCAGACGCCATCTCGTTGCGGCGAAGAGTTTTGGGCCTGGAACGTGACGGAGGGGAGAGAGAAAAGGATCTAGAAGATATTTGACGAAGAGGGCGACTGCTACAACAGCAGCTGCCAACTGAAGAATGGCCATGATGAATATTGAATGATAGAACAATGCCAATTGAATCAACCCAACAAGATACCAGAGATATGTATCTCAATTGACAGGGTTATGATACCACAGAAACTTCCCCGCATAAAGCTGAGTTGACTTGTCGAGATAGGGCGAAATCGCTTCAAATCAAGGGCGCGCCTTAAAGACATCATATTTACCCCTCAGTGGAACCTCTTTGAATTGCGCTCTACGTCAGTTATCAGCAATTATCAGTGGGTTTTGGCAAAGTGCCGGTGGAACGGTCACCCAAGACCGACGGTCATCGGCTGTTACTCCGAGATCTACTAAACTTGATTCGGATGAAGCGAAGAGGGGAACCAGTTATACAGAAGAGGTATGTAAAACCCGAATATGCAGATGGTTACTGATCACGCGACATGAATTGATATGTTCCAATCTAGTTCAAAGTGATATTTATTGGGCCGATCGATTCATGGCGGCCACAGTGTCATACATTCATCGCCTCATCTATTGCCATCTTCCTAATTAGAACTGAGGAGCATTAAGTGCCATCAGTGTAAGAAGTCCCGAAATAAGTCCAGCACAAGGAAGAGTGAGAATCCAACCACCAAAAATCCAGATCAGCTGCTTCCAGTTCACAGCGCCAACATCACCATTCATCAGGGCGACGCCAACAACGGCTCCAGTGAGGCATTGCGTCGTGGAAACAGGTAGACCAAGACGACTCGCCAACAGGACCGTAATGGCAGCACCCAGCTCCATGGCGTATCCTCGCGTGGGCGAAAGCTGAGTAATCTTGTTGCCCAGAGCTTTGATGATATGATGTCCCATGAACCAGAATCCTGCACCCAGAAGAAAACCAGCAATGACGAGAATCCAAATCGGTGTCGCTGAGTCTTCAGACACGATGCCTGTGCGGAAGGTCTGGTAGACGGCTACCCAGGGTCCTACGGCGTTGGCTACATCGTTGGAACCGTGAGCAATGGACATCATCATGGCCGAAGCGACTTGAGCGTAGGTCCATAGATGTTCAATACGATTGTCGTAGCGCTTGGCCTTTTTGTGGATATCCGCAAGGGCTTGTGACGCGTGTGTGACACAGTCCCGAGAAACACCTTGAAGAAGAAAGTACTTGAGAAGGTTGACAACGCGGCGAGGATGATACATGGGGAGATGCTGCACGGGAACCAGCCAGCGCTCTTCAGGCTCGACATGACGAACTCTCTTGCGACGACGAAGAGTGGAATTCTCTCCGCGCTCAAGCTCTTCCAGGCCAGTCAGGTTATCAGGTCCTGTTGCAGCGGCAGTGTCTTGTTGAGCGTCTTGACTTCCATTCTCAGACCCTGGCAAGGGCTTCTTCTCTTTCTGTGGTTCGGCAAGCTTTTCATCCTTAGGTGTATCGGCACCATCGTGAGCAGATTCATAATAGTCCAGTACGATAGATTGACCAGTGCCGGGAAAGTACAGAGGAGGATTCTCGCGGTAGAGGAGAGGCCCAAGAGGAATATGCCAGGGTCTGACGCGCGGGTCGTTTTTGACGACTACCCGGTGGAAGTATGGAACAAAGAAGACATATGCGATAAGTAGCATACCAAAGAATGAACCAAGGACGATACCAACAGCAGTCCCAGCTCCAAGCTCCTCTAGAGATGGGGCACTAGGTGCTTCGACGGTGATAAACAAAGCAAGAACAGCGCCTGTGAAAGCCAGATAAACTGGAATAGCCTTCAAAGCCTTCTCAAACGAGTTCTGCCTCTCAAGGACGCAGAATTTGAGTGTTCCGAAGAGGATAGCGGAAAACGCTGCGGATATTAGAGGTGCAATGCCCCAAGACGCCGCGACCTGCGAAACACTACCATCTGTCCACGCCCACGAGACGCTGGCTTGTGAAGCAATGCCTGAACCCACAAGCGCGCCAACAACAGTCTGTGTCGTTGAAACAGGGAATCCGAGCTTTGTCGCAAGAAGCAGCCAAAACGCCGATGCCACTTCCGTGCAGCCCATGACAACCATGAGGACGCCCGGGCTGGGAACGAAGTGGTCCAAATCGATGATGTTGTTCTTGATAGTGCCTGTTACGCGAGCTCCCAACGCGACGGCACCGATAAACTCGGTGATCATGCTGAGGAAACCGACCTGGGGCATCGTCAGGGAACGAGCTGCCACCGAGGTGGCGTAGGCGTTGGCGACATCATTGGCGCCATTTCCAAAAGATGAGCCGCAGAATGCGATGGTGGTTATGGCTAGAATCCAATCATATTGTTGGAGGGCTGCCATATTGGGAAAATTTGTCTCTACTGGAGAAACAATGAATAGAGGCTAGAAGCTGGAGGGCATGAGAGTCTAGCAGCGATCAGACGAGCCAAGGGCTTTTATTCCACAGCATACTCGACCTGCCTCAATGCCATTTTCTCTCCATTGCATCTTCCTACGTATCCGCCCGATCTCGACGTCATCTGTTCCACTCGCCAAGCCTTGAAGCCAAGAGTCGCTTCCTGTTACTGTCTCCAAGTCCAACCTACGAGGTTTCTTCGCAAAACTATGCCAGCTTCTGATTCGGTTGTCACTGCCAGTAGCCAAGACTTCCAACCTGACGAATGAGATTCACATGTCAGAGCTCGTGTGTTGAATCGGGGGTTGGGAGTGGCTGGCCGCTTCGAGAGATCGACGGGTGGAGATGATGATTTTTATGCTTATTTGGACTTTGTTGTGGATATGGATGATGAAAAGGCTGGAGACTGGCGAGGAAAATTCTTGTAAAACCTGCAAGCTTAATTTTATGGTTTTCAGGGTCATATCACTTGGCTACTTTCGGTATCTTGTCGCGTGAACAGGGCTTGGCTTCACTTCATCCTCGGCTGTCTCGGTTCATGACAAATCCAACCTCATTGATTACAGCAACTATTAAAAGATAAAACTACTCTCCAACCATATATCGATCCAGCATCTAGTTCAAAGGTGTGTAGATAGTGTCAAACTTCTTGTATCCTACTCCCTTGACAAAGGTCTGCAACCATTCACCCTGCTCCTTGTCCTGGCTCAAGTTCCAGTACATCTCCCAATGCGCATCTCCATTGACGCGATAAATCGGTCCACCCTCGGGCTTGCGCTCATCAACGTAGTAGAACCTTGAGTTTTGTTAGCTCACCTCTTTTTCTACGTAGTAAATGTTGAAAGGGCTTACTTGTAACCGCGATCTTTGTATGCTGCTGAAGCATTCCAAATCATATGCGCAGCACCTGACTTGCCAATACCAGCAGCCATGAACTGAGGAAGCATGGCAACATTGAGGACGTTACCCGTGTAGATGAACGTGCGGGACGCAGACTCAGGAAGCTGCGCGAAGCCAGCGACTGCTTGCTGGGCGGCGATAAAGGGACTGCGGATGTTGATGGTCATGTTGTTATTGAAGTCTTCAAAAGGTATATCAAAAGGATCTTTGGCCGGGCTGAAGTTTCCTGCGCTAGCTGTACGAGTTGTCAGTCTATTGAAACAAAAGTGAAGCGAGGCTATTACCATTATATACAACCACGCTGGGAATGCCAAATTCCTTCTTGACCTTATCAAAGGCGTTCACGATATCGTTTGTCTTGGTAAAGTCACTCGGGATATTGAGGTGGGTATCAGTGCTGTCTGCTTCTTTGACAGAGCGCGCTGCGACTGCAACTCTGTAGCCTTGAGAGCTGAACTTGCGAGCAACGGACTGGCCAATATTGGCGCCGTAGCCGAGAATGAGAACAACAGGTGATTTGGCTGCCATTTTTGTATTGAATGAGAAGATTTGGCTGGGTTTGTTTTGAACTGGTGATGATAACGATTGGAACAGACATTCGGCTTCTTATATACTGCTCATCTATGAGAGGGAATAGATCAAGTCGGACACGTAAATTATGTCTTATCAATCAAATCACATCTTATCGATCAATCTTTGGATATCGATCCGACGCGCGCGGAGAGGCTGTTGTACCTTCAGTACTGTATAAGCCTGTGAGTACATGGCTGACAGAATCATTGGGCGATACCAACTCCGCAAATGCAGCTTACTGTCAGCAGGAATTTATCAGCATTGCCTGTTTCAACTATTTGTCAGCGATGTGTTGCATTCACAATCTCAGTAAAACTCGTCATAAATTTGATGTCGGGGAGATTGAAGTTGACCCGTCATTTGTTAGAAAACTGGCTGTTATAGGCTTTTGTTGCAAATAATTGATACAGTCGAACCTTGACTGCACCTCATCAACATGTACTGAGCTTCAGGGTACGATGTGACGTCATGTTCCATCCATCTAACTCGACCAACCACCAAAGCACAACATTCCATCAAAGATGGCGAGCTATAGTCGGTGGCTATAATCTAAAACAAATGCCTTATCTTTCACATACGACCATACCTACCAGAAAATACGGGATCCCGTCAGCTCTCCCATAGTCAAGCTGGTAAGGGGCGGATTAGTAGTTGGGTCGGTGACGACCAGCGAATCCCCGCTGTTGTATGTTTTTGCACACGCCATGTCTTATGTCTTCCTTTTTACTTCAGTCACCACTCGCGGGCGTGCCCCTCCATATATCTAACGCATCTCCCATACTTGCTCACCCTCAATCCATCAGCTACCTCGGGGCAGTTGCACATCAGAGGCATTATTCCAATTCTGACCACCGGGAAATACCTCCTCTTATCCTTCTCGTCAATGAGTTTGTCTGATATGTCTTTGCGCAACTCCGCGACCCATTTTTTAGCCGGTCTCGTTCGCGGCATCTGCCTGGAGAGTAGAGAGCCTAACCTTCTTCTATAGCTCATGGTCCGACACGGTCTGCCGATCGGCCAAATATGGCGACAATCGCTATGGTGCTTGTGTTGGCTATCAACCGCAACGAGTACGATTTTCGGCGCAAACGACTCTCCGGGTCGGACTAATCCCAGGGAAAGTCGCTGTTTACACAATTTGATAAGCTCCACTGACAGGTTGGAGGTGATGTATTTGACTGCTTCTGTGTTCGTCTCCGGAAATACATTAGGAACCTGAGCTGGATTGTCGTATCTCTGGACGCAAAATGTAATAGTACGGAACGGTGTGTTTCCAAAATTCCAATCATCATTGTGCATCATATTTGGGATATGCAGGATGTCTTCCCTGGGATTACAGTACCCGTGAGGCATCTGTTCGGGGGGATAGAAATCTGAGGGATATTTTGGGAAGAGCTGATAAAGTTCCAAAGTGATGCTTCGCGATTCTTTGTTGATCATTAGGGCGACAGGTAATGGCGGCGATACAATGTTTTGCAGCCAAAGAGGTATGCCGCCCTTTGACTCACCTCTATAAGGAGGGCCGCGGGTCAAGAAGTGGACTTGTGATTCTGGCAAAGTCTTTATCCAAATCTGATGCCGGAGCTCCGGAGGGAGGTTTAAGAAGAGATGGAACATGGTTGGCTACACCAGAGGAAGGTTCAACTTGTCTGGAAGTTTGGGCTGTATGGTCGTGGTCGACTAGGATACTTGCCAGGCTGCCAGCGTACCAGAGTCAGTCGAGAGATGTTTGACACAACTTGTGCAAACGATTGCATGTCAGAGGCTCGGCCAAGTGCGGGGATTAATGTTCGTCACAAGCTGGAGATGGACTAACAATCTCCCGTTGATCAAGGGGGCAAGGTCAATACTAATTTCGATTGGTACAGATACAGAGTCAAGGCGTTAACAATATCAGACAGTCTTCTGATTAATCACAATTTCTGAATGAGAGGTAGTGAAATGTTGACTTGCAGATTTGGGTGCCCCCCAAAGCAAGCATTGTGTACCATATCGTTCGGCGGAATGGAATCATGGCTGCCATCAGCTTGGCTTGCAGTTGTTCTCAGAAACCAGTACCTTTGCTCGTGCTTCAAATTCCTTCCGAGTATGTATTTTACGGCCGGAACATGGAAAGACCACGAAACATCGACTAGACGGTCAGATGCTTATTTTCTGCTAGTGGTTGACGGCCATGCATCTAAACTCTATTCTTTGACCACAAGTCAAGACATTATCTTGAAAGAGACATAACGCAATGGGAAAGCTGTAAGTCCACTACATAAACCATGAAAAAACTCCCCTGACCTAGGTGCCATGACTCAACAAAAACCACACCGCAATATCAGAAAAACAGACGGAATTGGCCATCCAGGCGCGGTGTAGATCATACATGCAAAGCGTTGCCTGTTCAAGACAAAGAAGAGTTTACTGATCCCGTCTCTAGTCTGCGCTGAAAAAGTAAAGATATGTGATTACCATTGGGTGCGGAAAGATTTCTTATTTACTTTCGTCAAAGACAAGAGATTGCTGTAAAGAAGGAGAGCGGGTAATATGTCGCCTCATGTGATGTAAGCGAGAAAAGGGCAATCAGATTGTCATAAATGGAATCGCTATCAACTCCAGAGAGAGCTTAGCAGGAGGCCTTCATGATGAAGATCATCTCGGAATAGATAGACCCAAGTGGGTTTTATTATTTATAGGTGATCGACATACTATTCAAGTGAGACAAGTGAAGATCAATCACATGGGTTTCTTCACCTTTGTTGTCCATGAGCCACGATGTGGAATTTAGAATTTCGGAACTCCTTTAAGCTTGAATTTCCGAGACATTACAGCGGTGAATCTTATTCCGATCGTCGACGCCACGGCGTATCCGAGCGCACCAGCCTCGCGGCTCGGCAGTACCTTGTGAAGCTCAAAGAACTTCTATAGGGTAATTGTCCCCTTTTACAGTTCAACATATGAGCAAAGATATTATGAAGCCATGCGTAGCTAGAAACATCTGTAAGCTATGGATGGAGCTTGTACCTTGAGAATCTTGTCCTTCTTTCATCTTCACAAGAAGAGTTTGCCAGTAACGTCAAAATGTTCGTAACTCATGTTATGTTTTCGACGGGGAACAAGTTCATTGTGAACCAACAAACAAAGTTGACCGTTGCCAATAGTCTTCCTTAGCCTCTGACCCCAGATTGGATCAAGTCAACAGGTCATGGACTCCTACTTCTAACTAAACAATACGATCGATAGTCTGAATTAGGAACCTTTGTTGGGTCGTATAGTCTAGATTCATGAACCTTGGTGTTGGACCTGCAGTTTACGGACTTACCCCTGAAGCCCTGCAGGGCAGGCTTAATAATTCTCAGCGCTAGTACCTGAAAATAGCGCCAAGATCAAAATTAACCGCTAAACAATACGAACTCCGCAGCGTCTCCGTTTGTGGACATATCCAATCAGCAGTCATGCCATCTCGCCTACCCCAGACCCAGTATTCATCTCGTGATCTTCGGCAAGGAGAGCACATGGAGACTAAAAAGCTTAGCTCAGTTGAATCGTTCGTCAAGCCAATTGACTTTGCGAGATTCAGATCAAACAAACGGTGGAGACCGAATCGGTAGCATGTTCCAGGGGAAAAGAGGCGTTCTAGACTCGCATTAGTAACCAATGATATAGGGAGACAAATCTCGGGTAGTCAAGCCACCGTCCAGCCATACGAACGTGCTTCTTTAATTAGGACCAATGGTTCATTGCCGAACTTTACCGCGCGGTTTGTCTTGCCGAAATGATGGAATAGTCCAATCAATTGAGTCCGAGTTTGGAGGCCCCTGATCACGTCAAGTGTTGTTGACAACTGCGTATAGACTCCAGGCGAGTCTGTGCTGGTCTGAGCTATGACTTTCACTATGGAGCGCCAAGCGAAATTACAACACCATCTCAATAGATCACGCCTTGTTGGATCTCAACAGAAGCTAGTTGTGGTAGTTGTGGTAGTTGTGGTAGTTGTCATATCGTTCATACTAGTAATTCTGAGAACATAAAAGAAACAGACTTCCACCTTCAAATCTTCTATTCTTCACTCTCAGTCATCCACTCATTCACACTCTTTACTCAACTCTTCAAGAGACAGTCACTCATTTACTTTCTTTTAATCATTCTCATCTAAATCAGTCAACATGAAGCTGTCCGCTGTCACCCTTCTCACTCTTGCCACCGGCATCATTGCCGCTCCTGTCGCTGAGGCCAGCAAGGAGGTCCGTTCTTACGGCAGCTACGAGCCCCCCAAGTCCACTTACGAGCAGCCCAAGACTCCCAAGGAGGACAAGCCCAAGAAGCCTGAGTACAACCAGCCCAAGGCTCCCAAGCCTCACCACGAGAAGCCCAAGAAGCCTCACCACGACAAGCCTAAGCACTACGCTCCTCCTCACCACGAGAAGCCCAAGGTTCCTAAGCCTCACCACGAGAAGCCTAAGAAGCCTGCTTATGAGCAGCCCAAGGCCCCCAAGCCTCACCATGAGAAGCCCAAGAAGCCTGAGACTCCCAAGAAGCCCGAGTACAACCAGCCCAAGGCTCCTAAGCCCCACCACGAGAAGCCTAAGAAGCCGGAGACTCCCAAGAAGCCCGAGACTCCTAAGAAGCCTTCTTACGAGAAGCCTAAGGCTCCCAAGCCTCATCATGAGAAGCCCAAGAAGCCTGAGACCCCCAAGAAGCCTTCCTACGAGGCTCCCAAGGCCCCCAAGCCTCATCACGAGAAGCCCAAGAAGCCTGAGACTCCCAAGAAGCCCGAGTATAACCAGCCCAAGGCCCCCAAGCCTCACCATGAGGAGCCCAAGAAGCCTGAGACTCCCAAGACTCCTTCTTACGAGAAGCCTAAGGCCCCTAAGCCCCACCACGAGAAGCCCAAGAAGCCTGAGACTCCCAAGAAGCCCGAGTACAACCAGCCCAAGGCTCCCAAGCCCCACCACGAGACTCCCAAGCCTAAGCACGAGCAGCCCAAGAAGCCTTCCTACGAGGCTCCCAAGCAGCCTGCTTACGAGGCTCCCAGCTACTAGATTCTCTAGACACTGTTGATTGATTTTACTCAATAATGTCTTCGACTTTTGTCTATGAGAGTCTGAAGTAATGGATCGGTGTGGATGGAATGCCGCATGTTTGGATGTTTGACTTTTTCTTCTTGTACTTAGTTGTCTTACCTTTATAATCACTGCAGTCAAATGAACAAGAAGGAATTCCATATTAATCTGCGACTTTCCCCATAATCATGTGACATGTTTTGTACCTTTGAAAATAGTCTGATGATATCACTTGTAGGATCAAAAACGATCATACCTGTTTTCAGGCTAGTCAAGATGTGAGATGCTGCTGACTAACTAAAATTCTAGGCAGACATCTTCAGCTCATCTGAGGCTTTTCTTTCCAACATCACCAGCATTGTACAGAAGTTGCAAATATGACTATATGCTCACTCTGTTCTCCTGCTCTGTCAAGTCCTTCTAGACTTCCAACACTCCCCGAGTCATGGAATTCTGGCTGCGGCATTCTGGAGTCCAGCTCTACGCCGTATTTCGTCGCGGACAGGGACAATGATACCCCGCCTGAAGAGATCGGCCTACCTCATCATGTTGGCCTTGACGCGCTCACAGAGTCAGCAAAAAAATGTTCGCTATGCGAGATCATTCTTGAAACAGTCGGCAAGTTCATTGAAGGTCTTAAAAAGGTGGAACAAGATCCACACTACCGGTATTTTGTGCTCGAACGTCAAAATCATGGAATACCCGAGAAATGGCCCTTCAAGCTTGTCCAGAGACTTGACAACGGTGATGGATTTGCGGTTCTTGCGACTAGCAAAAACAGGAGGTATATGTACCTGATGGATGTCTTTGGCTTCTGTGTCGACCCAGCGGATTCACTATATTCTATCATGACACGAGGTGCTGGTGCTGGTGAGGCAGGCAGCTCCTTGCCCAAAGGAAGGATTCGAGGATCAAAGGTCGGGCCTGATGCTGGATCGAAAGAGACCTTGAGTGTGGTCACAGGCTGGGTAAACGATTGCGTGCAAAGCCATGATTGTTGCCAGCCACCAGCTGAGACTCGTCTTCCTTCCCGTATTCTGGACCTTGAAGCTTTGAACGATCCCAACAAGATTCGCCTATTGGAAACAGCAGGCGACGAAAAGTATGGCTCTTACATAACGCTCAGTTACTGCTGGGGATCTGATCCTACTTTCCATGTGCGAACTACTCACTCGACAATGTCTAGTCACCTAGACAGCATCGAAGTGGACGCTCTTCCGCAAACGTATAAGGATGCCATAATGATCACTCGTCATCTCGGTATTCGGTTTCTTTGGATCGATTCGTTGTGTATCTGCCAGGACGACGCCGAAGATTGGGCGAGAGAGTCTGCTTCCATGCAGCAAGTCTATGCTAGAGCGTACTTATCCATTGCCGCGGACAATGCTGCCGGATCTGAGCAGGGATTCTTGAAAAGGGAAGACCGCTCATATGTGCCGGCTACCATCAATACCTCAACTAACACTGGCGATTCATCCGAGTCAAATGAGGTGGCTGGATATATCTTTGAAGTGCCCCCAAACAAAGCACATCATGCCCGAGCGTGGATGATATTTAACAAAGAACCCCTCACTAAACGTGGATGGGCCATGCAAGAACGACTTCTTCCTATAAGAGCCCTTCACTTTGGTAACGACCAGATGTTCTTTGAGTGCAATTGCCACCTGTTGTCCGAAGACGGTGTTGAGGTCAAGGGTCGTTGGAACTCACTGTATCCCCTCAAAGAGAAAGGGTTCAAGGATATCGCGCGCAAGTCGAGAGTGAGCGCCACGCATCAGCTGTGGTACCTGATCCTTGAAGACTTCTTCCACAGAAAGGTCACTTTAAAGAGTGATCGCCTGCCTGCGATTTCCGGTCTGGCGACCATGTTCCAGAGTAGGCTTACCGAAGAGATGGTGTCAAAAAATGGCTCTGGAAATGTTCAATATGTTGCTGGTCTATGGAGTAATGCCTTGATCGAAGGTCTCGGGTGGTCTACTCTCGGTAGGAAGGAACCCATAGCCCTGCCCGACCACAAACCACTGCCCGGTGCAGAGAATTATATCGCACCTACTTGGAGTCCTGCTTCCTTTGACGATGTCTCTGCCCATGGCATGACCATGCCTGGTTGGGCCGATGTCGCGACTGTCACAGAGTTCAGCGTGACACCAAAGACCATGCATAACCCATTCGGCGAACTAATTGATGGTTGGATCCGCATCCGAGGTCCAATGATCAAGCTATCGCTCAGCGAATTACCGGACGAGGACCAGGAAAAGCTGGGAACATGGCGACGTAACATGAGACTCTGCACGCCAGGCGGTGATGAATATGGTTCATACTGTTCTATTGACAGTGTTCACGGACAGAACGAGGAAACACGTGCCTGGATCAAAGATAACGAGATATTTGCGTTGGTCCTGTCGGTAAAGAAAGATGAAAAAGGCGAAATGAATGTTCAACGTACATACCATGCAATGATGGTCATGCATTTGAGTCAGGATAAGCGGGTTGTGCCTGGTAGGAATGAGTTTAGAAGGGTCGGGACGGTCTTTTTGAGCGATGATAAACTTGGTGATGGTAAAGAGTCAGTGGAGGATGTTGAGAAGTTTGTGGAGTTGGTCTTGGTTTAATTCTCTGGACGATTTCTTAATCCTAGTTGGCCTTAGACTTCGTGAAAAAGGCGGACTCCTCCACAAGGTCGATCCCACCAAGTCATCCTCCCCTTCCATGGAAACCATCTCCATCCTTCTGCTTCAACTTTCCGAGTACTAATCTTAACATCCACGATACTTTTGCGGCTGTACTTTCCCCTTTCTTTCAGTGACATACCAGAGCTGGCCGTAATATCGATTGGTTTAGCTAAAGAATCCAACCGCACTTGGCCAATAGTACGCACACAGCCATCCCCGTAGACGAAAACAAAGCCGATCATATGCTTCCCGTACTTTTCCTTGAGCCAACAAGGAGTGATAGTTGATAAGCCAGTCAGCTATTCCAAGAAATAGAAAAATCTCATTCTTCTTTTAATGCTTTCATGTGGAGTAACCGTCTCCTCCGGTGCTATCGTCGCCCTAACTAATGGCTTCTCACCATGAAAGGCTGATTAGTTGACACACCTCCGTGACTCATCAAAGTAGATAGTAGATGGTTCTCCAACAGGGAGATTGATGAGGTAATCTCAGTCCCGTGCTTCCTTAATAGTCTGTGGGCCGATAGACCAGATTCACCCTTTGCTGGTTCGCATCTATCTCAGGTCAGTGAAACGAACCAAGACAAGCTAGACCTCGACTCACTACAATGTCACTTCTCCGGGAATGCTTTTGCCATCGCCAGATCTCTGTGATCCGTTCGCTCTCATCAAGGACAAAGTGGAGCCATGTAGGGTCGCTAAAACAAGTATCACCACAGTTGCCATAGTCTTGATATTGTATCTCTGACGAATCGGGATAGTGGGCGAATAAAGTCAGACAAGAATCTTGCCAGCAGGCGCTCAAATATTTCATTCCGACATTGTTCAAAACGAAAGAGCGCATTCTCTTAACCATTGGCAACCCTTTGGCACCTCTGTTGAGCTATATAACTCTCGGATAAGTGTGGGGTTTCATAGACTTCTGCCAGTAAGTTTTTGCAGGCTTTGATCCCGTGCGATATAAAGCGCGTAATTTGATACCCTGTAAAGGTGTTAGTTAGGTGGCAAGTATCAGACGGCCGGTGAGTAGTAGAGAAGATGACCTCTTTGTGCTGCCCTTAGGGGTGGTATTCTCACTTGCGTCTGATACAACCTTTATATCTTGGTAGTCGGCATTAAAGGTAATAGTCTCCCACCACAGATTCGTCTCTTCTGCAGGCCTGCGTATTCTCTGGTACTGGTAAAGTGCATATAACATTTCTAATGCCCATATGATCATGTGCAACATATAGTAAGCTCCTCTTCTCAACCGTCGGTTTAATCAATACTAAAAAGGCTTCGTCAATGGGCTGGTTAGAGATACGACTGATGTAGTATTTTCCCTGTAATGAAACAAAGCTAGCCCAGATTGGAAGCTGTTGATATACATAATCACAGTATGGCTCCGATGGAGGACAGCCGAGGAGATAAGTGCCATGACATATCATGATATTGGTTAGACACAGCCGTATGACTTCCTGTGTCGTTTTCGGTGGTAGCCTTGACAGCTTGTTGAAAATATCACCATCCGAGGCCTGCGACGGTTGAGAGTCACAAGAACCAGTCCTCGCTAGTCTTTGGAGATAAGTCCTTCTCCGGGAAGTGTCAAAGGGCGATAAAGCAAAGTCCCAGGCAAGTACCTTTGCTAACCCTCCGAGGAGATAACCCATGGCTTGCCATGCAATGTTTGCCATAATTATCCCATATGGGGAAGTACCTCGACGTGTGGGTTTCAGTTGGCTCAGAATCAGAATGGAAACCAGAAGAAGAAGAAGGGGTTGAGACGATTGTTTCCAGCGGTTCTAATACCCCCGGGCCAAATTTAGAAGAAGATTTGTCGAATTTGGTTGGCCGTAATGGGGAAAACTCTATGACTTTATGGAAAATTTGCAGAGCTTGACAACCACAGAACTGGGTAAAGCTGGCCCCGAAGGAAGTGGCAGTGATGAAGTGGTTGGGAGTTCCTTGCTGTGTTGCCTTCTTAAGAATGAACGCATTTGGCAATTGATAGCCCAATACGTACGGCAATTGGGCAGAACATCGTTTGGACACTGGTCCTTCAAGGATCTATAGGGCACTGCCAGTTTGAAACCCAGTCCAGAGCCGTAGATGAGTGATTGGGTTGCCTTTCGCTTGAAAAAGGCGCCTTCAAGGTACGGATTGAATTGCTTCTATGAGGATTGAAGAGCTCCTCGACAATAGACCTAAAAGTAAGAGGTAAAGGAAGAAGAGTTTTGCCTAGGCTGAGATTTTGCCTTGCCTGTGCATGCTAGGCTGAGGATTTGGGTTTTGTAAACTTACCAATGACAACATCATCTCCAACTTGGAAAGTGGCCTCGCACAAAGTACAGAAAGGTCTGACAGACATATTAAAAAATGATATGGATGGAGATGTATGACGAAAGGTGGCGAGGGTTCGCTTTTATACCGTAATCTTCCACCATGTTCGGTGAGATTTGCGCCAGACTAATGCAAGCCTCAGACTACTTTTATAAAGATCTTTCCATTTTATAGCCTAGCAACTGATCAGTAATTACTTCCTCTTAGTGTAATGAACAAATTACCTTGCTAATACCTCTGACAGCTTGCAGAGCTCTATGAATTCGACTTGCTTGTAGCTAGTTTAGGGCCATTCTATCATTACCTATAGTTTATAATCTAAGGTTATAAAAAAGTTAGTCTTTAAATTCTTCATATGTAAAATAAACTAATCTAAGGAATAGAGTTTAAGTGATATACTTCTGTATTTGTTTTATTTTTCCTATTCTTAGCAGCCTATTTTTCCAAGATATTAAGACTGATCTTTTTCTTTTAAAGCCCAAACTACATTTAAACTTTAACTCATAAGTTATAGAAGAGTATAAAGCAACATTGCCACGTATGCTTGCCAGGGTATCTGCTCAATGCTTGCTACTTATTAGAAGAGCTATTAATAGTTTATTAAATTTAACCGGTTAGAATAATGCTGCATGTTTTTCGAAGTCAGTATAATTTTAAGATCAACTATTAAATCAGTTAGAACTGTCTAATTGCAGTCTAGGTACCTGAAACGATCTTCATTGTCCTTACATGCTGTACTCGTCGGGCTAGTGGCATGTTGAATTTCGGTTGGAAAGCATGTATGTAACTCAAGTTCCAATGGAATAAAAAGTACTTCCAAGAAATGGCAGAGCGGGCAGCACAGTCATCACATGTTGAGTCGTTATTTAAGAATTGTTCTAAGGCCTTTCTTTGCATTTTCTTTTCTTCTTTGGTCATCATGACCCCATTATTGCCATTGGCTCTGCATTTCATTTTGATACCTGAATAGTGTTTGATTGCTGATTTATAAAGCAACTTCACAACTATGCCTCGTAGCTTCATCACTATCGAAAGCCAAATCACCCCGTAGCCTATCCAGATCCGTCGACCAAACAACATCAAACCACGCTATAGACCGAAGCTCACTCATCAAATATTCCCAGCTCAACTTCCTCAGCGACACAACGTGACTCAGATGGTTTACAAAGAATTGCCTCTCGTCATCCACTCCAACAATAGCCCCAGCAACTAAAACGAACAGTTTCAGGTGCTCAGGAACCGAACAAGGTAGTCCCTGTGCACCGTAGAGTTTTGATAGTTGCCCTCTAAATTGGGGAATTACCAAGTTGAAGCGTCTGTTTCCAGCTAGAAATGTCGCAGGACCTGAGAGATATAAAAGGGCGGCAAGTCGAACTATCTCGTATGTTCTCAAGCAAGGCTCACTTAAACCGTTGTTTGCCTCTAGGTTCCCATATCGAGGTAACATCAGGACGGCGTGGATTGTCGCTTGCAGTGCTTCAAGTAGAGCCTCGTCCTTACTCTGTTCGATCTCGGACTTTCCTGCAACCAAGCTTGATAACATCGAAAGCATTTGAATAATCTTGTTGATATTGGCATGACAGTGTTTCTCAACGTCTGGTACCGCACCTGTCGCGTCGTAGGTCACCTGATGGGCGCCATCTGGGCGGCCTTCCTGAAATGCTAAGTAAGGGATTTGATCTAAAGTCATGGAACCGATCAAGTCCACCCTAAACGTGTTAGTAATCTACAATCAAGAGTTTGAAGCGAGACTTGTACCAGACGGCTGTGACTCGTATATATTGTGAAGTAAGGGTATCGATGCCGCCTCTATACTGAATCATCTTTTGTATGCCAAACATGTGTGTTTTCCACCTTTCAAAGTTATTGGTGAATATCTACTGCATTGTTAACCACAAACCCTCAAAAGACACGAAGAGAATACCTACATCGTAGCATGCCAAGTTGACAATCACGCCGATGATGGCTTCATGGGCTTTAACACAGGGATTTTCAAGCTTTTGCCTCAGACTTTCAACTGAAGTCTCGTAGTGAGACAGACTACCAAAGCCTTCTTGTGGTTCTTGTCCTCCGGTAGTCTCGGGGTCGACCTCAAGACGAGCCAGGATTAAATGAAAGGCACCTTCATCGATAAAGGACAAAGAGAAACAAAGTTCACGCATCAGCCGGCATACAGGCGCTTCTTGAGATATAGCCACTGCGAAATGTTAGAAAGGAGTACTCCATATTTGCATTCAGATGTGGACCAACAAAAATGAATCATTTTACTTGTGCGCGCCGACATGGGAAGTGATCTGATGTTCTTTTGCTCAGGAACGGGACAGGGGATAAGACGCAGGCAGTGGCGAGGTACGGGAGCTAATGATGGTTCATTTTGATCTGGTACGTTTTGATCACGTGGAGAAGAGTCTGTCACGGTACAAGTAACAGCTGGAACAGGTAATATTCCAGAGCTGTTCGGTTCTGAATTGGGCGGTGATGGCAGAGTAATTGGTATTGTTTTGTTTGGCTGGTGGCGCCTCCGAGTGAGGCCAATCGGTTTCATGACATGACTGTTGATTCTCTTTCGTGTCTTCCGGTTTTTAATGTCTTGTGGCCGCGCGATATTGACGAATAAAAAATCTGTCGTGGGCGGAGGATTGTGAAGCTGTGTATGCGACATTGCGACGGTGAGGAGCAGTGCGTTACGTGTCTTGCTTGAATTAAAAAGATTGGTCAACAAGGTATTCTCCAAAATTTCAACGCCTCCAACTCTTAATAGGTATTTATAGGACTTGGCAGCTGATACGCAAAACTCCTAGGATTAGATGGAACAGTCAGCACTAACAAGGATGCCCAAACCTTACCAGGGTAAACACCCTGGGAAAAGAAGGATTGAGATCGGTGGGTTATGGGGCAAGATACGTTTGATCTGCCAGTAGGATTGAGTAGAAAGTCAAATTATCTCAAGCTTGTACATCACAGGAATGATCATGTGCAACATTGTATTGGCAACGCGGTAGCGACTACTGCATGAATCTTCCGCAACTTGAATACACACTGAACAAGTTTGTATTATATCACAACTTGGTTTCATTGCCCTGAAATTCCCCCAGATGAATACAGTATCTCTATCGCCTTGCATACAAGTAGCTGGGTTTTCAGTTCCCTGGTCCTTGGCTCTCAAGCACCCATTCTTTGATACTGTGAATATAGAGATCTCCTGACGACGGCCGGGCTCGGAAAGAAAGACTCGGCAGACAGAGTAGATTGCTTGATAGACAACCCAAATGCCACAATTGCGCCACCAGCCTGTCCAATAGTGGTGGCAAGCTATTGCTTCCGCGGCCTTATTCCTGCTGCCAAGAACCTTGTCCATCGACTACCATGGCAGAGCTGACACCAGGTGGGTTAAGAACACCTTTGGCTGTAACGCTGTTGTTGAAGTTCAATTTGAAACTGTCAATTTCAATTTGCCCATTAAATGAAAGGGTGGAACTCAGTTCATCGACATTGTTGTATGTAAGGGTGACATTGTTTGTGGTGAAAGGCTCGATAGAGGGCGAGATTGTTCCCGAAAAAGTAAATCGTATGTCGTCAATAACGAAAACAAAAGTGATGCGGTTGGCACTGTTGCGATTGAAAATTCCTTGTGCGGTAGACACGTTTGTTAAGAAACGAAGCTGAGATGAGTGTAATGAGATGTTGAGATTTATGGACGTGATTTAGAAGCGTATGAGAATGGTAATGGGCAGGATGGGTGAAAGAGATCGAGTGTAAGAGGAGCTGGCTTTTATACCCGAAAGCAATGAATTGAAGGCAGGTTTTCAAGCTGGAATAGGAAAAGCAGATGGCTTGCTATAAGTCGGAATATTCCTTTTCCTACGTCATATTGATTCACAGATCGTCGCCATGGGATGAATATATCTGTGCCAAGGTGGACTATATCTCTTCAGAGTTCAAGACATGTAGAAATACTAGCGTTGGAAGTTTGAAGAGAAGAGCTGAAACCCCAATTGAGCAATTGATAGACTAGTAGTGGCGTTGATCACCCACAGACCGTCTGTCCAGGCAGATATGATACAATTATCGCAATTGAGCCTTCTGTCCAATAGATATGATTCTACAGAGAATAGGGCTTAGCTAAAATGATATCATCCCCACTAGCCTTCAGCTGCTGCATGGAGTATGTTTCAGTTGACGATTTATTTCCCCAATGAAAGAAGGTCCCTCCACCTTCATAGTTAGTGTGTCATCTCGATGCCACGTATGCAATAGCACTGTTCATGATTTGCCAGAGCCTTGTGCAAATCAATAATAGAGTTTCTTTCCTTTGTTATCTGGCCTAGATGATATATAGGTAGAAGCGATTAACACGGCAAGGCTCAGTGGCGTGCCTTAGTCCGCGTACTCCCCTCCACCAATTTTATGGGAATGTACGGTACACTTTCATGGTAGGAACATCTTTCTTACACAGATACGTCATTTGTTTATCTTTACTAAGCTATTCCTCCTTCTTGAACGCAGAATACTCCTTAGTTAACCGACCCCAATCCCGCATCACTTATGCAACACTTTCGATATTCCATACGCTTGAACTGAGACTTAGCGAGTAGTAGTGACATTGGTTTCTGGTATTTTCCATCCGGAGATCGGTAATGGTGTTATACGCAAGTCTACTCGATAATTGGAACTTGTTAGATGCCCCACCATGTTCTTTGAAAAGTCAAGCCGGGCCACGAAAACAGCTCAACAACGACCTTTGTCTGGGAGCCTATCAAAGATATGTGACATGATATTCATATATAAGATAGGCTCATGCAAAAAGTACCCAAATATGGGACATGATACCCAAACGGATGTTCCGAGTTGGGAACCTCGCTGAACTACGGAGTGACTTTGAGATTAGTGATCATCTATTACTCGGCCCATCAGCTCAGCTCCAACTGATCATGCAGCCGTTCTAAATTTGGACTGGGAGAGAAATCCGTATTTACCGAACCTATGTTCGCTTTTGGTTTCTCCTCTATCATAAACAGGAGGTAGACAAACTTTCAAATATGTGATGATCCTCAACGACTGATTATCGCTAATGGTCAGAAAACCGAAAGAATAATAATCATTAAATAGTATTTATAGTATAGAATTGACAAACAACCCGACGACATGGAAAGTTTTGTCATCTTGAATTGAACAGACTACATTTTGTCTGAATATACAAACATGTATATATACATGTAAAGATGTTCGGTCATTCCGGACATCCTCATCATTACCGTTCATCCACACTAAAAGGAATCAATTATTCCAAAGACCCTTCAAATTTTAACTCTTTCCAATTATAAACATGTCTCATCGTATCTTCGTCATCGGAGCCACAGGAGCCCAAGGCCTGCCTGTATGTCGAGGCCTCACCAAAGACGGCGCCTATACTCTCCGCGTTCTGACTCGTGATAACAAATCAGAGCGCGCCAAACAGCTCGCAGGGCTCGGTGACGTTGAATTCGTCGAAGGGTATTTTGCCAATGAAGAAAATCTGCGCAAGGGCTATGCCGGCTGTTATGGCGCCTTTGTCAACATCGACGGATTCAATACCGGCGAGAAAATAGAGATCTTCTGGATAATTCGCGCTTACGAGTCGGCCATCGAATGTGGCATCAAGTTCTTCGTCTTTGGAAATTTGGACTACGCTTACAAGAAGGGAGGATATGATCCCAAGTTCCGAGCCGGCCATTATGATGGCAAAGGTCGACTTGGAGAGTGGATGCTTAGCCAGAGGAAGAGCCACAACATGGGCACTGCGCTTTTCGCCACAGGCCCATATGTCGAAATGGTCACCTCTGATCGGAGTGCCATAGTGCCACATGTTGTTGACGGTGTTGTGACTTGGTCTGTCCCTCTCGCTGATGGAGCCATGGTGCTTGTCTCTCTGGATGACTGCGAATATTATGTCCGCTGGCTTTTCGACAACCCGAAAAAATCTGATGGTATGGATGTTGATGTTGCCATTGATCATATTACCATTGATGAACTTGCAAAGGCTTTCCAAAAAGTCACCGGTAAACCTGCTAAGTACATTGACATCCCGCACCCAACTTATTTCGACAACACGCCTGTTTAGGGTGATATCCCAGCTGGGCACAACGCAGATCCGAAGGATCCTGCAACTATGACTATCAAGCAGAACTTTACTGGATTCTGGAATCTGTGGAGACATTCTGGTGGAAATAAGAGGACCATCAGGAGAGATTATGAGCTTTTGGATGAGATTCATCCAAGTAGAATTAGGACAACGGAGGAGTTCTTCCGTCGGGAGGAAGAAAAGTGAAAGGCATTGGGGCTTTGTGGTCTGTATGAAGCGATTGAGACTAAAAACCTTGGGATCATTTTGAAGGCTCGCGAGGATGGAAGGAAGGGTGCACTTTGATAATATGGGCTTAACAGGTCCTACCATGTATCGTTCAAGGTCAGATTGTGTTGAAACATGTATCTATTATTAAATTCTAATTTACTATTTGCACTCGAATCAACTCGCGATACAAAATACGGTTGGAGTGGGGATTATCAAGGTCGAATATTGCAGGAACAATGTCATGGTACATGAGAAATCTACTTACAACTTTTAAATGCACCATCTAACCTTGACATAAAAGAATCATTCACTACTCGACCCCGTTGATCAATCTATTTCTGGGGGAGATATCTCCAATGCCCCAGTCAACAAGGTTCAATTTCAACTTAGTATTCAATGAGTCTTTAGACAACCACCAATCAACCTTTGAATATATATGCTTTGTCCTTACATAGATATTCAGTGACCCGATGTGAATATCACAGACGAGATGCAAAACTTTATATTGATGCCGATGTCAAGTACGTGCAGCGCGGCAAATCACACAATGAGGAATCGAAGAAATTGAAAATGAACAAATAAATTGTCAAGGCTATGCTATGTTCGCTTGGTGGTATATGCTTAGTCTATAAGTTGTGAAAAAAACGCCAAAAGAAATCCCAGCTCATGACTCATGTGTATACTATCCTGTTCAGAGCTCACTGTCGATCTATCATTTCGTAAAATTGGAAGGACCATCGCTTTACAATGCAGAATTATCTCCGCAGCTAAAAGTGCCGTTGACATTGTCGCCAGTAGCGAAAATCTCGAGCATCTCAGTCAATGAAGCCCAGAGACCAGCACCGTTGAGGAAGAAGGCAAAGAGGATGATGCCGACGTTGAGAGCGAAGAAAGAAATGTTCTTTCCGCCCTTGAAGTGAGTACCCTTGCGGGAGACGATGTAAAAGACACCACTCATTCCGAAGGAGAACCAGGCGTAGGTGGTGGCGGACTGGATCGAGACGATAGAGTCGAAAATGGGGATGGCGTTGGCGAGGATAAATGCAACGATCCAGAAGATGGTGGTGCAAATCATCCAGGCGGCCCAAGATCGGATGCTGTTGGAGGTGATTTCGTGAGTGGCCTTCATCTGCTTCATGCAGACAATGAACATGTACTTGACACCGACGTGGCCGTTGGCAAGAGCACCAGTCAAGATAGCGGGAAGGACAACACCATAAGCAGCCTTGGCGTAGATGTGAGGAGCTGATCCAAGAGCAGGTGAAGTTGTGTACTCGCCGGCGAGGCAGTAAATACCGGTGGCGAGCATGGTGTAAAAAGCGGTAGTAAGAAAGATCAACCAGGTGAGAGAGAAGGGGAAATCCTTCTTTGGGTCTTTCATTTCAGCCATGTACGACACGTATGAGTGGTTACCAGCATAGGCGAAGACAATCTTAAGAACAGCATTGAAGATGTCACGGAATCCAGGATTGTTGAATGCCTTGATGGTGGGCTTCCAATCCTCAGGGGCCTTGACGGGGTCGGCGAAACCAAGACTGACCATGACGATAAGAACGGCTCCGACAAGACTGATGACGGTAGGGGGACCGCTGCGAGAGATGAACTTGACAGTACGAGGCACGCATAGAACGAATGAGATGACAGCAGCGACAGCCATGAAGCCGACGGTGCAGATGGCATGCTCAGTCATGGTGTTGAAAGCAATTGAGATGGTGACAATGGCAGAAGAACAGAACATGATGACCTGGATGAGAAATCCAATGGCCACGATGACTTGCCATGTTCGACCTCCGGCAGCCTTGGCAAGGTCAATGATGTGCACACACTGAGGATGCAAGATGGAGTAGCGGTATAACTCGAAGCCAGTGTACCAGGCCAAGAGGGCAGAGCCGAAGAGAGTGATGAGGGCGGGGACGAGACCGAGGGTCGCAAAAGCGCTGGGAAGACCGAGGGCACCGATACCGAATTGGTTGGTAAGAAGAGCAAAGATTGTACCCCAGCGGGTCATGGTCCTGTAGCTTTTTCCATCCTCACCCTCGAAGATGTTGCCGATCTCATCGCTTGTCTCGCCCTTGGGAACTTCGCCGTCTGAGCCGGATGCCGAGTCGTGCTCGTACTTGGGGGGAGAATTTGAGTCTGAATGGTCCATCTTGAGAGGTTGTTGCTTTCCTTTTTCGGACTCGCTGGCGAGATTTGTTGTAGGTTCTGATGTGGCTGCCATTGTGATTGTTGGTTATGGTGGTGAGGTGAGTGGAAGAGAGGCCAGGGTCTGAGGAATTCTTGTCAGTACAAAGTGTTCGAGCGAGATCTTTTTCAAGTGGAGGTCAATTGGGTCTTGGTAGTAGGCGAGGGTAGAATAAATATGGGCTGGGCAAGATTTGATGAAGTCATATGCAACTATGATGTAGAGCGTATCTGAGGTGAAACAGATATGGGTATCTGTAAAATGTGGTTCTTCATGATCAAGACTTGGAGTGTCTCTCCGTGCATACGTATGTGTTGCTGTTCGACATGTCGTCGTGCATGCAGAGCCGAAGGGCTAAGAAACCAGGGTTTAAGGGACGGGACGTGCTGTACGTAGGTACTTACATTGAAGGGTTCAAAGGGATCTGCAGGTGATGTACTCTAATAAAAAAGCACAATCGTTGTTTGTATGAGTGATGAAAAGGAAGAGAGTCTGAGATGAGATACGAAGAAGAGTAGAGTCAAACAAGAACCGTCAGAAACGGGAATGGGGACAGATGGGCTGGGTCTAAATAGCTCAACAATTTGGAGATCTGACGCAGAAAACACCGAGAACTTTTTTTCCAACATCTGGAACGTTAACTAGGTTAGACTAAAGGTACAGGCATAGCCTCACTTTGATCCCTTACTGCAAGAAGGATCGGTCCCCCATGGGGCAGAACAAGGGCAGTGGAGCGTTGAGAATGAGTGATGTCGATGTTGATGTCTGCTTGAGGCTGAGAGTTACGTCATAGATACAAAACAGCACTAGTCAAAGAATGGACTCTACTCGATTCAGGAGACGAGACCCGGTCATGCCGTGCGGGAATTTGTCGTGTGCGTTGGTTGGAAAGAAGAGAATTAAGGGTCGTCGCCAAGCTCTGAATAGCGTCATGTCATGGTGGAAACGCCAAGAACGGAGACTGAAGAAAAAGTGGATGTTGGAGATGGAAAACAGGAGTAAATAATGGGTCGACAAAGACGTTTATTACGTATCGACTTTTACGGTACCTGGAAAGGAAAAAACAAGGGTTTATCTCAAGCAAGTCTATGTTTCAGCACTCTGTAATGACATTACTTGCCTTGTCTAGTACCTGAGTACCAAGTAGTAACAGTTGAGGTTATGATAAACTTCCCTCCTCTACGGACAAAAGAAGAAACTCGAGAGCCGCTAGCGTGATGTGATGCAGGGAACGCTATTATCGGGAAGAGACCGATCCCAGCACATTCTCGGCACCTCGTTCTTGTTTAGTTACTCCGAGACACGGGAACTGAATTTGTCTTTTGGACACATCTTATTGGTGCGCGCAACGTTCTTTTGGTCGCGGTTAAAAACTGTGCCTCCTGGATGAGATACGTACCCTCTCTATTGTAATTTACCGTAGAGTTTAATAGACGGACGGGACAGAATAGGATAGACCGCCTTTGCCGCCGCCTCATTTTTCTTTTTCTATCTGTCGTCCTTTCTTCCGATACGGACCAGTGTTGCATCCTCAGAGCATCAGGGCATATCGTTGTCTTACTGTGACAAATTGCTTCAATTCTTATTCGCCACAGATCAATGTACTAGAACAAAAGCCCCGTTGCTGGCCGAGACTACTTGATGCTTGAGACTGTCTAGAACTCGGTTGAGAAAATAAAATAAAAGCATGACCTTGTTGTGGATATCATCAAATGGGACTCAATGGGACTGCGGATGCCAAATAGACCAATATCAGAATCAGAATGGCAAATCAGCAAGTAAGATCACAGTCTAGACGCGCTCGACTGAGGGTCAGTCAAAATAATAATGCCGCGGATAGTAGCAAAAACTGGTTCTGTATTGTTGAGTACAATGGGTCTGTCTACACGTCAACGTCTGGAACTTGTCGATAGGCAAGTTTGACCGAAGTGTCTGAGATCAAGTGTCCGTGATCAAGTGGCGAGTATTCGTTCTCCTATTTTCTCTACGTACCTGCTTACGGATACTTCCGTAATAAACTCTATGCTGATCAGGCAAACACGGACTTATGCCTTGGTCTCATCATGGTTTCGCTTAAATCTTGACGAAACAAGTAGGAGGGCAGTATCTGGTAGACACAAATGTCCAGACACTTTGACTCAGCAAATAAGGGGTCTTTTTCTATACTAGCTCTTCCCGTCTCCCAATTTGCCGCCCAGCTGCGGCAGTGCCGAGAGGACGAACAGAAGCTGTTGGAACGGAATTGGACTGACTCGTACACCGTATCCCAGTACGGAAAAGCGCCGCACAACATGACCGCCTCTTGGAAAGTGGATCGACAGTGAAGAAAAAACTTGCCAAGGAGTCGTTGTTGGAATTGAAAACATTGAATGGGTCGATTTCTCGACCAATATAGCTGTAGACATGAGTGGGTATTTCTGTCTCGTCCATCTTCGCTAACAAGCCTCAAATTCTTTCTCTTTGATGAGCTCATTTGCCGTGGCGTGGTCTCACATTACGTTATGGCAATCCGACACTCAGGTTTTCTACTAAAACATCCTGTTTTTGTCATTATGTTTAGCTTTTAGTCTTTGCTAATCAATAT